AATGCAGACGAACACGCGAGTGGAAAGTACAATATTACAAGTTTACAACTTGGCGTTAAAATAAGTTGAAAGTGGGCGCGGAATGTCGTGCCCAATCTCGCTCGCGGATTCCTTGCAGGAAGGGACAGGAAGAGATATTCCCATATCCGGGCAAGCGTGCACTTCCTAGGCGAGTACCTTTCCCATCCCGGCTAGCCTAACCTGGCTGGACCATTTGCATTATGCCATTCTGAGCACACTTATCCATATTTTTCTTCTCCGCCTACTCCACTCTAAATCTCTTCTCTCCTACCCGACTGCACCGGCCAGACCTGGTAGACCTGGTAGACCTGGCAAGGGCCTGGGTCGACCCCAGCCAGCCGAATTCATTAAACCCCCCGAACTCCTCGCCTGTTTTCCTCTTGACCCTACTTACTTGAGTCCTCTTCGCAAGATCAGTTGTTCTATTCAGAACCCCTCCCTCTCTTTTTTTCTTCTTCTCCCTTTCTCGCCTCACAGTCTTTCGTGTTGCAGGCCATTAACACGTAAACTCCTATTCCTTCTTGGAGAGCCCGCATCCGAAGACGACTTCATTTTCTCTTACTCCGCAACCGCGAGACGTTTTTATTGATTACGAGCGTTTATCCCGACTGTCCGGCACAACCGCATCCCCGTCCCTAAGCTTAGTTCGTCGCACCGTTAGAGCTACCATTCAGCGTCCGGTCTACCTTGTTTGATCCTCGGAAGCATCTTGTTGATTATTTTATCTGTTTCGTCCCTTGACATCAGAGCATTCGCGTCTCTTTATCCTTGTTTCGATAAGCACGATTTAATCTAATTCGGATTGTTGCACTTTCCCAATTGGGTTGGTGAACTTGTCGACAACAACGACGGGAGCACAGTTGCAGGACGGGAGCTGAGAGATATAGTCATCGCGAACTCTGCGTATTGCACAATTGTCATTCAGGGCACGGCCTGTGCATACTAGAGGCGAGGGGATTGTATTCTAGGCACTTGCCAACCTTCTTTTTGCCGGCTCAACGATCGCCTTAAGGGTTGAGCTTACGTACGACTACTTGCGCTTAGCCATTTGCCAGAGGTAAATAACGGCTATTAAACCCAGAAACCAAAATATTGCTCGGGCTGGACTCGGCTTTAAACACATGATATACACCTCGGTAGAGTTATCCAAGGAAGATTAGCTCAGAGGGGCAGGCAGTGCCTTAGCTCCCACTTATTGATATCCAAACGACTTGAGCGGGAACGACACCACGGACGATCTTCTATTATTTATAAAGAACTAATAACCCCTCCTTTACCGAGTTATTGGTTGTTACGGCCTGGAAGCTACCCAGTACATCATGTACTCACAACAAGCGGCTATGGCCGCTACCGCCCCCCAAAAACCAGAGACTTTCATGCTTAGCACCGAAGCGCAACAAGCATTACCACACGACGCACAAGTGGCCTTGCAACAAGTTGACAATTGTGAGTAATTCCTATTCAGCTAGATTATACCTTTCCGTGTTCAATTGCTTACAAATGAGTGTAGTAAAATATTTCCTTATCTCGGCGCCTGTTGACTGGCAGCATGACCAATACATTCGACGTTTCCTATTACCGACAGGTGAATATGTCTCCTGTGTATTGTGGAATAACCTATTCCACATCTCGGGTACAGACATTGTGCGATGCCTTTCTTTTCGATTTCAGGCCTTCGGCCGTCCCGTGAAGAACTCCAAGAAGTTTGAAGAGGGCATATTTTCTGACCTGCGAAACCTCAAATCAGGAACAGATGCTTCCTTGGAAGAGCCAAAGAGTCCCTTTTTAGACTTCCTGTACAAGAACAATTGCATTCGAACACAAAAGAAGCAAAAGGTCTTTTACTGGTATAGTGTGCCCCACGACCGGCTTTTCCTAGATGCGCTGGAAAGAGATTTGAAGAGGGAGAAGATGGGTCAGGAGGCTACGACTATGGCTGTTAGTGAACCGGCCTTGTCGTTCCAGTATGACTCTTCGCAGTCCCTTTACGAACAGTTGACGAAAGCCCAGCAAGCCAATTCCTCGTCTTTCAACGCCCAGCAAGTTTCTTTTTCTCAATCTCAAGCTCCATCCCCGGTGATGAGGGCAATGGATCCCATGCCTCCCCCGCAGATGATGCCTCAGTCGATGGCCCCTTTATCGGATGGGATGGACGCCATGGTACAATACAATACGATGGCAACGATGGCCCCGGCTATGCCTCAGCATATGCAGCAAGTAGTCAAGAGGGAGCCTGACTTCAGTCGTATGCAATACAACCAGAATGGTGTACCAATGGCTCATAGCCACACGCGCCATGCCTCGATGCCAGCTTATGGTCTTGAATACTCGCCTGCACCCTCATTTGTTTCATCACATTACGAGGATTACAGCAACCGAGGCATTTCATTCGAGCCAATTACACCTCCTCAGCAAGCTTTAGCAATGGGAGCCGAGCCGGCCTATATTGCAAACGAGGAGACTGGGCTGTACACGGCAATTCCCGATCATCTCAGTGGGCTGAACGGGATGATGCAGTTACCGCCCTCTAACTTGGCTGGGCCGCAGTTTTCGCGTGCCTATGGCGCCAACAATGTCTACTCTGTGATCGAAGGATCGCCGACATACAAGCAGAGAAGACGGCGTTCATCCATCCCTCCTTCAGTAGTGGCGTTGGCAGCTGCGACTGCTCAAGCGCAGGTAGCTGCTCACAGGCCCTCGGATTTGAGGAGGTCAGTTTCGGCGTCAGTTGGCCCTGTGGCGGAGGGTGACGAGTCTCAGAGCAACTCCCCCCCCGGCCTATCATACAGCAACTCGTCGATGTCTCTCACCAACCAGCAACATATGGAAATGTCAAGGCATGGCACCCCACTGTCGACTGTGGAAGGTAGCCCTGCTTTAAACCCGATGTCTCTCCAGCGACAAGACTTCACCCAGTTCACTAACGACGATTTGAGTGGTGACGGTTCGATTCATGAGCAGCGGGTGATGCAGCCTGGAGCGAACGTAGTTCGCAGGGCTCGCTCAGCTACTGTTATGGAGTTAGGGCCTTATCCTCAGAAGTCTCATTCGTGCCCAATTCCCACGTGCGGTCGTCTCTTCAAGCGCCTCGAGCACCTGAAGCGGTAAGATCAAATATTTCTTTTTGTTGCTTGCTTGGTGCACCGTTGTGTATCTGACCAAATATTTAGACACGTAAGAACACATACCCAAGAAAGACCCTACATCTGCCCCTATTGTAGCAAGGCGTTCTCTAGATCCGACAACCTAGCACAGTATGACTCCAATTTTCTAGATTGTTTCGTTTGTCAACTTGAAGATCCTGTGATGAGCAACGATGTTTGTGCGATATACCTTCAGAGCGAAACCCAGCAATCATTCGAATTAAGTGACAACACAACAAGCATACATCAACTCATCATGAGGAGCGACAAGTTTTATCAATATGATAGAGACTAACTTTTGTTATAGACACAAGCGCACACACGACCGCGGCGAGGGTGCTGAAGGTGGGCTGGCTTTGTCGGGTGAAGAGGAAGAAGATTTCTCTGGCGAGGATCAACTTGGCTCGCTCGAGGAAGCTTCTCCCAACTCGGAGCCAGGGTATGTCCCGACTTCGTTAAGCTCTATTGCTACGTCGATGCCTACATCCAATGGACTTTCCGGGAGTGGGATGGCCCAGTCGACCTTCAACCCTTTGCAAACGCTAAGTATGCCCATGACAATGAGCACACCAACAGGAGCGATGTAACTGAAGTTGCGACTTGAAGTTTATGGGCGCGTAATAATGTGATGCAACTGTCTATATTATATGGCAGTCTTAATCCGGGGTTCAGTGGTTTGACTTGCATGGTATGTTTCATTTAGACGTGGGATTTCATTTACAAGCGCGGGCTGGACGATTTGTGTTCGGCATTATTTATCGGGGAGCGATCTGCTTTTGCTCACTTTACGCATGGGGGATACCATGGTGGAAAAAAACGCTCAGAAGAAGCATTTGATAGACGGACGGCCGGAAGACTTGAAGGGAAGGGAACAATCGATTCACACAGAACCACATAGGAGCAAAGTTGCTCCCTCAAAAACGGCAGGAAGGCACATGAAGTCGACAGACCACTACCACTCATGCATTTGTATATATATTCGCTTTCTTCCTTTGTTACTTAGGCTTTGTGGCCGGCTGTAGGGGGCTACGGGAGATGATACCAAATTTCTTTTCTTTTTTTTTCTAGGGGCCGCATTTGTCGGCTTGTTCTTTCGGGGGACTGAGCTGAAGAGGAAGAAGAGAGGAGAGGGAGAAGATGGCTTAGTATAAACTTTGAGCTTCAATAAACATCAACTAACATCTAAATATTTACCTTTATACTTGATCCTGGATTTGTTTTGGTAGTGATGTAATTGTCCATTTACGCTATCTTATGGGTATTGCTATGCTATAGAAGTTAGAAGAATCTATGCATTATATATTTCATATACTTCATAGGAAGCAAGGTTAATAAGTATTGTGTATTGTGATGAGGCTGTGGGAAGAGGAATTGGCAACTTTTTAGTTGTATATCAACGCAAAATACGCCAATTGGTATAGTTTCTGCGTATATCCCACGTCATTCTCTTTCGTTCATGCATAGTTTATCATATGATATCCCCGGTCAATCCTTGCTTGTAGAACCCGTCTACATAGTAAACTGGTATAATTGCAGATACGAGGTTCTAAGGTTACTGCCAACGGAACGTCTAACTAGGGCGAATGGGGGGGAGGGCGGGTGACGATGCTGTAATTAACTACCACTTCTACCCAATACTTTGCGTGTAGACAGGCTGAAATTGCACTGCATTTATGGTGGCAACATTAGTTATATCCCCGTCCATCGTCTCCTCCCTAGTACATCATCTCTAGGGTGTTATCCAGTTTCCCGAGAGGCAGGCATACATTGATTGTATAGGTGTTGACTCGCCCTTTTCCTACCCCGTACGCACGGCAGAGATTGTATTCGTACTTCTTAATATTCCCCTATTGATCGAGAGTCATCCTTTGGCTTGAAATCTGCCATATTTAGCTTGGCTCTTAGGTGATCCATCATCTCGAAAACATGGTTAAATCCCCAATCCTCATCCTCTCCCTTTTCCTCCTCGCGGTCAATTACGGATCTGATCTCATCTGCGTACTCAGGGTAAATGTAATACAAGACATATTTAAGTTGGTCCTCCCTCGAGCCGATACTGGTGCCGTCGATGTGTAATTTGATCCACATCTCCGCCTTCCATACTTCATAGTCTATGTCAGGGCAGAGTTCGAAGTCGAACATAGCCGGGTCTGGAAGCAAATGGCTGGGTTGTCTCTGTGTCGAAGAATCGAAAGCGAGCGTGGTTGAGGTAGAATAATCTGCTGAATGGGCATTAGCAAGATCTCTGCGGCCTTCCCCAATCTTATGAAGTGTTAAAGTACCATAACGAGAATGCATTATAAGGTGAATAATATCACTACGCATCCTAGTATTTGCTAGACGCATACTATCAATAATAGTCATTAATTCGGTAATATCCTTTCTTATGCCGTCAATTGATTTTTCAAGCTTATCGCCCATACGTTTTACAGTAGCATTGATGAACGGTTTAAAGTTAGGAACCTTGGGGCATCCTGGGAGGCATCCTGGGAGGCATCTTGTCGATTGGTGTTACTATCGCTGCCGTGACTGTAGTTATGGTTGCGAATAGACGGAATGTGTACTGCGTTGAACCACTGCAGGTGTGGTAGATAGGTGAACGTAGTCCTGCCGCAATGGAGAAATATATATGAATTGACGTAGAGAGAAATAGGAGTAGGAAGATTAGTGAAGTTTCTTGTGGGTGGGCTTGAGGTGCACCGCAAGGCATCCGCATTGAATCCCATAATGCGTTGAATCTGGGCGAGTCGCTCATCTTTGACACTCATTCTTTCACCTTCGCCTCCTCTTCCCACCGCTTCTGCCCCCAGATCTCCTGTCATCTCCTTGGATCTCGGCAATATCCTTCTGGCTCAGTTTCAGCATGCCGTTCCTCAGCCTCCCCACCGCGGGAGCATCCACGGCCTTCTCAAACTTCCTAGCCCTGGGCTTCCCCTTCGCGGCCGTACTCGCAGGCCGCTCGAGGATGATGCCGTTCTCGCGAGCCTCCTTACGCCTCTTGGCCTCGCGCGTCGTCACAGCAGCTACGATGCCTTTCCGGTGCGACATGGGCATCTTGGCCTGCTTGAAGATGCTCGACTTGGAGCCGAGCGCTGCTAGCCGCATGTCTGTGGCTAGATGGCGGTTGCGACCCGCGTGTTCTATGCTGCCGTTGTTCTGGCCCGATCCGGAAAGGAGGTGCGATTCGGATAGCAAACGTTGTAGCGCTAGGTCGTTTTTTAGAAGTGAAGGGGCATCTTCGTCCGCGGCGTTTTTGTGCTTTATCGCCGGGGTGGGAGAAGAAGCATTTGGGTCTAGGGACGAGGAAGGGACACGCGAGGATAGGTAGGCTTTGCTCTCGCGCTTGGAGAGCGGATCGGTGGAGAGCGCAGGGAGCTTGCTCGTATGGGTGACTACTTCAACCACCTCGACTGTCGATGAGCTGTTTGGTGTGGACTCTGACCCGGATTCTAATTCCGACTCGGAGTCAGATACGCCGTCCCAAGAGTCCTTAGAGGCATCGTCTGAGTCGGAGCGCAGATCTTCGGGTTCGTCAGTTTGTGCTGGTTGTGAGGCGGCAAGTGACGGGTCTAACGGCGCAAACTGGGCTTCAAAGTGCTGGCGGAAGATAGCTTGGGCTTCTTCTTGGGATAACGAGGATTCTGTTTTCTGCGCGCGCGACTTGCGCTTACCGAGCACTGTAGCCATCTTTCTGGATGTTGAAGTTGGAAGAAATATAAAATAAAAGTTTTAGTGGATCCAATTAATTTACAGTGTTTAAAACGTTATTGTTATTTTGAGCATAACTATCCTATGTAAAGTTATATAATAGTAATTCACCAATCAATGAGCCTAATTGGCCTTATTAATTCCTGACGCTAAAAAAGAAACACCCCGCTATGGCCTCATAACGGATAGAGAGATCTAAAGTTAAAAGCCCCGCCATCTATAAGGTGTGAGTTTAAACGTATTATAGTTTAGGTACCTTTTAAGTTATTTTATGAGTATCACCCCCCTCTCCCCTAATAGTTCAAAATACTTGAAAAATACCTAAAACAGTATGACACGGTTCAGACCATGTATAGACCTACACGCCGGCCAGGTGAAGCAGATCGTGGGCGGAACCCTCGATAGCTCCACCGCCGAGCTCAAGACGAACTTTGTCTCGCAGCATTCCGCCGGGCATTTCGCTCGTCTATACCGAGATCATAATCTCGAAGGGGCACATGTCATTATGTTGGGCTCTGGAAATAATGACGCTGCGAGTGAGGCACTGGCGGCGTGGCCGGGCCATCTCCAGGTCGGAGGTGGTATCAACGACCAGAACGCTGCGACGTGGATAGAACAGGGCGCTAATAAGGTAGGTGATATGTATATGTATGAGTGTCATATATTATGCAGTATTGTTGATTGCGGATTCTAGTAGGTCATCATCACATCCTTCCTCTTCCCCGGAGGCAAGTTCAGCCAGGAACGTCTAGACGCCGTGCTAGCTGCCCTCGGCGGCCGAAAAGATAACCTCGTTATCGACCTTAGCTGTAGGCGACAGGGCGACGAGAAATGGTTTGTAGCTATGAATAAATGGCAGACTATCACCGACATGCAAGTAAACCAAGGTATTTAGACGTCTATCCTCCCCGCCCCGGCTGGAAAGCTTACCCTTAGGTTAAGAAACGTCTGATTAAAATGATACGCAGAGTCCATTAAAATTTTAGAGCCGTACTGCTCCGAATTCCTCATTCACGCCGCCGACAACGAGGGTCTCCAGAAGGGCATCGACGAGAAACTCGTCGAGAAGCTTGCGGAGTGGTGCAGTATACCGGTAACGTATGCCGGTGGCGGGAGAAATATTGACGACCTTGAACTTGTCAAGAAACTGAGCCGTGGAAAAGTAGACCTTACAATTGGCAGTGCCTTGGACTGTTTCGGCGGCACAGGGGTAAAATTTGATGACTGTGTTGCGTGGAATGCTAAGCAAGGGGAATGACATGACCACAACAATAAAAGACAAAACACTAGCTAGATAATAGAAGAATCTCTTAATAGACCTTGCATACATGAGGGAAGAGCCTATTTTGCGACGATAGATAAACTATGAGTATCAGTCTCACCTACACTTCGCGACAAGAAATCCGGTTGACGAGGTATAACCACAAATGCAGCCCATTAAAAGATTCGGGAACGCCTGCGTAGCTCCGGGTACGGTATTTTGGAATGACTGGAGGTATAAGCTTCGTCAATGTCGTTCGTTATCCATCAACTGTTCGACCCTAGTCCACCTCTTTTAATTGTCTCGATACGTATTCCTACAACTTCCCTGTGGCTTTACGACCTCAACTCCTCCAACTCCAGCTCCAGCTGTCGGATACGTTCACTCTGGTCCTGCGTTCCAGATCCCACTCGTTTCTTCAGGCTGTCTACCTCATCCGTCAGATGATTGATCTTTTGGCCTTGCACGCTAATCATGTTAGTCTGAGTCTCTAACAGCTGCTTGATCTGCTCCAAAGTTGTTTCAACGCCTGGGCCAGATGTTGGGCTGTTCGACGATGCTGAAACAGGGACTGCTGTAGCCGAGGTTGATGGGTAAGTAGGCGATTTAATTGCGGCTGCCGGTTTCGGTGGCGGCGCGGAGGTAGTCTTGGTAGGAGAGAGAGGCGTCGGCTCAGAGCGTGCAGGGATTGCGCTGCGTTGGGTTGGCTTTGAGATCTCTTCGAAACTTGAGGTCTCGTCGTCATCGCCCTCATCTTTATCTTCATACTTGGAGGCTATCGCAGCCATGGAGCGATTCTGCTCCTTAAGGGTGGGAGGCGGAGGTCGCGCTGCTGGCTCGGGTTCCTTTTGAGGTACAGGTTTAGGTGCAGGGGTCGGAGCTGGTGCTGAAGCAGGTGCCTGATAATCAAGGACTTCAACAGGCGCACTGCCCTCATAGATGCTTTCAAAATCGATCTTCGGTGGCAGGCCAGTTTTGCCAGATAGCCAATCATTAGCACCGACACCAGGTTTGACGCCAGAAGCTGGTGGGTAAATGTCCGATTGGAATGTCTCGGCCCGTCGAGGGACAGTGAAAGAGATAGGCTCGATGTACGTGTCGTTAACTGTCTTGTATGCCCTCATGACTTCATTTTCATGGACCTTTCTATTGTGAGTTGTGATATTCGAAATTGAGATAAGATGGGAATATAGTTATAGTTACTTACATTCACTCCGCGCTTTGGAACGAAAGCAATACCTCTCTGAGGCTCAATCGACTTGTACTCGGAAAGAAATTCGAACTTGTCGTTCTCATACTCAAAATATCGGATATTGCCATCACTAATACAATCTAGATTAGACGCCTGTTTTTTGAGCAATGTTAAAAATGGACAGAACTTACCCCTTTCCGGCGAGATACAAGCAGTTGCAGGCGTCATCTATGTCGAGGTTAGTTATGCAATATGTATAAGCCAAAGACCATCTTACCCCAGAAAGGCATGCAAACACCGGAGATACTATCAAGAGTATTTAGTATAATAGGCGTGTTGTTACCGGGCTCCCAGAGAGCAAGTTGACGATCACTCATACGAGAGAAGCCGGTCGTAGCAAATCTGTTATGTTCTCCTAACCAAACTGTTCGGCTGTTTTTGGCACCCTCGTGGCCTTGTCCTTCATGTGCAGGGCGCTCTTGTCGTACATCCCATACACGAAGCTTCTTGTCTCTCGAGGTTGTGACGAGCATTGTACCATTGGCATTCCACGACAGACTTTGAACAATATCAGGGTGTTTGAGCGTATGGGCAGCAGAACCGGTGCCTACATCCCATATCTTGATTGTGAAATCCCCAGAGGCAGAAGCAAGTATATTCTCGGCAGCGGGGTTGAATAAGACCTGACCAACCTTCCTCGAGTGACCGGTCAGTTTGGAAACGGGAGCTACGTCGGGTGGTTCCTCGGCATCTGTTAATAGGGTGAAGCCCTGAGGCACTTCCCAAATCATGATTTTGCCATCTTCGGAAGCTGATGCGATTAGGCGATCGTTAAAGGGGTTCCTTGAGCAATAACATTAGGTTAAGGTCTTCGCATAAGGGGGGATCAACCACCCCAAGGGTCGCGTGCGCACCAGTCGGTATCGAGAACTGCAGCAGTGTGGCCACGGAATAGAGGAATGACATCGGGGAGCTTGCCCTTCTCACCCAAGGGGATGACAGCAAAGGCACCTCCACCACTGGCCTCCCAATTTACCGAGAGATATTCTGGATTGGCCTGTTGCAACCGGACCTGTCAGTTCCTGGGCGTACTATGCAGACAGCAAAAGAGGGAAGACCAGACCTTAACCAAGTTGGTATCCCAAGCATTTCGGCTTATACGTATATTATCATAACAGAATTCCTTCCGAGTAGATTTGCCGAAGACATGTCCTTAGTCAAGGTTAGTCGGGTCACGGCAAATCGCAAGGGAGCGCGTTGGGGACGTACGGTACTTGGACGCTCGAACAAAGCGCCCAGCCATGATTGGCTGTAGGCAGTATAAAGTAGGAAGTAGGAAGTAGGAATGTGATAAAAAGTACCTAATAGGATAAATAGAATATGAGGTATCAATCAGCGAGATTGTAGCATTAAGAGGGTAAGGTACTTAGAGAGAGAGGAAACTGGCAGATGGTAGATAGGGGAGAACGAAGCGTATGTAAGTAAAGAAGGCAGTAAAGATATTAGGTAAGGGTAGGTACGAATACGTCGATTGATTCAAGGAGCGGAATCTGAAGCTATGTACCTGGGTACCCCCTGTTGAATTAGTTGCTGCTAGGAATTAAATCAGCGGCCAGCCAGGCGAGCCTCCTGAACTCGAATGAGAACAAGTGGATAAGGCAAGTGGGCAAGTGGGCAGGTGGGCAGGTGGGGTTTGCATCACCACACCCCGGAATAAGAGGTTGTGTACATAATGCAAACCAGCTGAAATCACGTGTTCGTTTCCGTTCCATTTAGGTACGCTAAAATCCCATTAGTTTTTACATAAGGCTCTTTAGGCCCTTTACTTAGGTAGGTACATACCTAACTCAGGCAACTTAGCGCGTCGACGCGCCTCTTTGAACTTTTTCTCTCAAGAGGCGGTTTCCTATAGTTAGTCCTCATAGCTGTCGCATCTCCCATACCTTCCCAGCCTCACCAACAGCCCGCCAATTCAATATCTCAATCGTCAACATGGCAGCGTTGTAAGTATAGCCAGTGAAGCTTCTATCGTTTATATTTCTTTTTATTAATTGTGGGACTTAATAGTGAGAACTTCGATAATATCTTCCTGGACTTATCCAAAGAGTCTGGGAAGTGCCGATTCGCAGAAAATGGTCTGGGTTGGAAACCTTCTGCAGGCGGCAACACTTTCACCCTCGACCGCAGTGACATCGCCAACGCGCAATGGAGCCGTGCTGCAAAAGGTTACGAAGTTAAGATTCTCAAGAGATCCTCCGAGCTTGTCCATCTCGACGGTTTTCAACAAGAGGTAACCCATATTAACTATTTGCTTGGCATACGTCTGACAGTTGCTGACAATACTGCAGGATCTAGAGCGCTTGAGCAAGATATTCAAGAATTGGTATAGCATAAATCTGGACCCTAAGGAACATGCATTGCGAGGCTGGAACTGGGGCAAGACTGAGTTTAGCAAGGCCGAGCTTGTCTTCAATGTCCAGAACAAGCCTTCCTTCGAAATTCCCTACTCCGAGATTTCAAATACCAATCTTGCTGGCCGTAACGAAGTATCCGTCGAATTCGCCGCATCGAACGAGGATGATACGGGCACGAACGGACACCTAGGTGGTGCGAGAGGTCGCGGCAAGAAGTCCGGTGCGGGCAAAGACCAGCTCGTAGAGATGCGCTTCTATATTCCCGGCACTACCACTCGTAAAGAGACAGAAGGAGAGGATGCAGGAAGCGGCGGCGAAGAGGAGAAGAATGCTGCAACTCTGTTCTACGAGACACTCATGGACAAGGCCGAGATCGGCGAGACCGCAGGTGATGCGATCGCTACTTTCTTGGAAGTTCTTCACCTTACGCCACGGTTCGTCTACTCGGCCCCTATTTGCTTTAGAATGCCTCTAATCATTACTATATAGCGGACGGTTCGATATCGACATGTATGAAGCGTCGTTTCGCCTCCGCGGTAAGACGTACGACTACAAGATACAGTATGAGGCTATCAAGAAGTTTATGGTCCTTCCGAAGCCAGACGACCTGCATTTCATGCTGTGTATCGGGCTAGATCCACCTCTCCGCCAGGGACAGACGAGGTACCCATTCCTAGTTATGCAGGCCAAGAAGGATGAGGAAGTGACTATCGATCTCAACCTCACCGAGGAGCAGTTGAATGAGCAGTACAAGGATCGTCTACAGCCTCACTACGAGCAACCGCTTCACCAGGTTATTACCTATATTTTCAAAGGCCTTGCCAACAAGAAGATCACCTCTCCGGCTAAGGATTTTATGACACACAGAAACCAGTTCGGCATCAAATGCTCAATCAAAGCGGCGGAAGGATTTTTGTACTGCCTCGAGAAAGCCTTCATGTTTGTACCGAAGCCCGCAACTTACGTGTCATATGACCAAACATCTTCCATTGTTTTCTCCCGTGTTAGTGGCGCGGTTTCCGCATTATCAACTTTCGATATCGCGGTTCACATGAAGAGCGGCGGAGCGCCTCATCAGTTCAGCAATATTAATAGAGAAGATCTGAAGGCGCTCGAAGGATTCTTCAAACTCAAAGGCCTGCGTGTTAAGAATGAGATCGATGAGGATGCTAATTTACTTGCTGCTGCGCTCCGCCAGGAAGTCATGGATGAATCCGAAGAGGAAGTGGTCGGTCCTCGAGCGGACCGTGGTTCCGCTGACGAAGACGAGGAGAGTGTAGACGATGACTTCCAAGCCGAAAGCGAGAGCGATGTCGCCGAGGAATACGATTCGGCTCACGAATCGTCTGGTTCGGGAAGTGCGGAGAGCGACGTTGATGGTGGGGAAGACCGGGACGAGGATGAAGAAATGGTAGACGAGGAAGAGGAAAAGAAGCCCAAGGCCAAGAAACAGAAAACCGGAAAATAAGGTCGAACCTCTTCCCCGTGTCTAATTGACCCGGCATAGACTTGAAATTTTCATCGTTGAGTCGTTCAAGGGTAAGGTCTAGCGGCAACGGCGTTACGGAGGCTCTGATAGCTTTGCTCAAGCACAATCGCTGCTTTTTTCTTTCTTTCTCGTACAGCTTGCGGATTTCGTACGAAGCACGTGGCTGACCCACCAGTCTTATATTGAGGATAGCATATAGGGACAGGCACATCGAAGTAGTATTTCGTTGGACCTATACAGCCAATCATAATGATACCACACGATAGGCCTTCTAGGCATCTTCATAGATCAATTCATAAATGATGAATTTCAATACACGGCACTTGAGGATTAGCGATCCCATTAAGGACTATATTCGGGTTAGTGAGTGTAAGGGGAAAAGGTTAACTACGTCTCAAACCGACTCTGCTTGGCAATGGAGATCCTATATGAACTAGTTAAGGGTGTCGAGGCCTCGAAAGACTAGGAGATAGACACGACTTAGAGTCTTGTTTAACTTCCGAGACCTGAGTATTCACTCTCTAAACATGGCATATGAAACAAGAGTCTCGTAGTTAACTTTCCAGTTGTTTTCTAGTTGACGCCGTCTACATGGTGTACATGTGAAGCCCCACCACTATTAACCGTCTACTGATGGCTTTTCCCTTTCTTTAATTTCATGTCATTCTCATGTGACAAGAAGGTTGCAAGGACAAGGACATGCAAGTTTTTTAATCGAGACATTACACACCTACCTACGTATGTAGTTATATCTATCGAGTATGTCCTATTCGACCGCGGAATGCTAGGCGAAGCTCCTATGACGTAGGAAAGCAAAGTAAATCCTCCCGTACCGATACATAAACATGGTACGCATAGGTACGCATATAGGTACGTAAATATTTACATAAGCGTGATTTTCAACGAGCATAAACCTTATGTACCTTAACTCGGAAGGCCCTAAGTACACCGGGTATCTCCATAGCTTTCAGGGAAAGCATGAGGTTGTAATATCCCCCTTTCGGCATGGCCTGTTTCTAATTTTTACCCGTCAGCTTTCTGCGCCTGCGCCTACATACAGCCTACAGCCTATGCGTAATTACATACCTTATGTACGGATTAGTACTGTACCTAACCTTAATAAATACATGTACAGATAACATGTCGTCAGTCTAGTCTATCAGTGTAAGACTTGCCAGTTTTCCGTTCAGATTGAATTGACGTCGAAGCCGAGCGGTTTCCCATTGTTTCTTCGTACTTTATTTTCTGTATAATACATTTTTGTTCCCCCCCTTCCACTCCATATTTTTTGTTGTTGTTTTTTTGTTATCAATTCCTTCTTCCTGTCTATTATGCATCTTTTGACACGGCAACGAATGACAATTTCTACAAAGGAACAACTGCCTACTCCAATAGAAGATTAACCCTACCTAACCTATGCAAGCAACTACACTTGGCCTACCTTGGGTCCCATGTCCGACTTGCCTAGATTTTATTTGCATGGTTCAAGGTCAACCAACCTGATCAGCCGACTCCGCATCGCGTTCTTACAAACATAAGACGTCGAAGTGGACTGCACAACTGCAGAACTGCAGAACGGCAAACCCCCCCAAGCTCGCCCCCCCACTGCAAAAGGACCCTTTAGATATCAATAGCCACTCCGCTGTGCCGTGCTCCTTTTTCTTGTACCAAACAGAAAAAAAGAAAATAAAAAATACAAGTCCGACCCTATTTTTCCTCTCCACTCGAAGTCGGTGCTCTTATTTCCATTATTATTCGTTATTATATTCGTTAAAAAGACGGTTTATTATTCGTCAATTATACACGACGTGTGGACGCCCTTTCCACACACACACCCCAGATTACCTTTCACTCGACACCCACGTACAACTATAATAAATGTTCACACAGCCTACGCCGCCATCGCCGGGTCTTTTCCCGCCTCTCACACCTTCCACAACCGCTCCACCGGCATCTCCCTCGTCTCCAGGTAGAGGCAGCAGGATACGGGGCTTAATACATCTACATCTCTTGTCGCGCGACACGTCCAGCCTCGTCCACCACAATAGGACCGTTCCTCAAGACACATCCACATCTGCACCTTCAATCCAGCCTGCTTCCCCCACCACCACATCCGCTGCTCCTCATGAGGTCGACTCCGACCCGCTCAATACATCAGATCCAAACGACGATTCGAGGACACATCGCCGCCGCGCCAGTAGATTCTCCGAGGCTGCTTCCGAGGCTTTGTTGATCTCAAGATCCGAATCAAATCCTCTAGTTGAGAACCAGGAGCATCTGCCGGACGTAAACATGACGCGGACACGGTCAGCAACCACGAGCGACGTCGCTCACGATGCGTTACCAACCATACGCTTCTCGGCATTCTTCGATACACGATCAAACCGGCCATCCCTTTCGTTCACTCCGATTTCGCGTACATTACCAACAGGCAAGGAAACAATTAAGGTTGGTAGATACTCAGAGCGGGAGAACCACGCCCTCGTACCTATCAACACACCGTCTGCTGCGCCTGTGGGTTTTAAGAGCAAGGTAGTAAGCCGTCGTCATTGCGAATTCTGGTTCGAGAAGGGGAAATGGTATATCAAAGACGTTAAAAGTTCTTCCGGGACATTTCTCAACCACATTCGTCTAAGTGCCCCTGGTACTGAGTCCAAGCCGTTTCCCATTAATGATGGCGACATAGTTCAGCTAGGAATAGACTTTAAGGGTGGGGAGGAGATGATTTACCGTTGCGTGAAAATGCGCATAGAGTTAAACAGAGGTTGGCAATCAAAACCTAACACCTTCAAGTACGTTTGTACATCATATCATTTTTGTAATTCCCGAAGAGTTTTCCTTCCTTATATTCGCACTTCGCTCTTTTTGTCATCTCGATGCGGCGACGACGGCTAACAAATCAACAGCATGGCAACACACAAGCGCTTAAGAGACTTGACGTCAACGTCAGCTTCATCAGCCCATGCGCAGGATTGCTCCATCTGCCTAAACGCGATAGCAGTACGTATTACCATTCTGAGCGCTATCAGATCTTACACTTTGTTTATTTGATACTAATACATCTCTCTAATAGCCCTGTCAATCTCTCTTTGTAGCGCCTTGCTCTCATACGTGGCATTTCAAGTGTATTCGGGAAATGTTAAACGGGCCGTCATGGCCAATCTTTATATGCCCGAACTGTCGAGCCACAGCTGATTTAGACGCCGAAGTAGACGAGCCGTCTGACGAATGGCAACAGCTAGACTCGGGCATAGACGATGCTCAGGAAGAGAGATCCACCCCTCCAGCTTCTCAACTCAACGGCGAAGCTGTGCCGCTTGCAATCTCCCAGTCGAATGTCGAAGTTCGCTCACGGCAGTCGTCCGGCGAAGGTGATGCGGGTGATGTGACAATGCAGATCGACGCTGCAGCAGCACAGTCAGTCCTATTAAGACATACCGTGACGGAGCCGGTCCCCATACCCAATGCGACACCACGTGTGAATAGTGGCGATCGGTCTACGACTAATCGGACACCATCACCAAACAGCAACCCCCCGGGGCCCAGTCACGAAGGCCCAATCACTCCACGCAACGACGCAGGCCCGTGGGTGTTTGATGGTAACCCAGCACGAGTAAGCCAAGAAAGTACTCGGCAGACTGGTATGAGCAGCCTGGACGCCGCAGCACAAGTTGAAGTGGACAGATCATAGAAAAGCTGCTGCCTTTTGTAGAGTTGAGGTTTATTTGTTGGCTAAAGTGGATACGTCTGCCCTTGAAGATTCGAGTGGAAGATAAGGAGAAGGGCGTCGTATAGCAATGCTGCAGTACCATATGTATAGTTGAAGATTGAAACCCGACGGATACGTCGTAGTCTTCGACAGCATACGCCCATATCACTGTTTTGAGATGGCTACGAGATACATTTTTGACCTATATTGGATTCTCATAGGTCACCCCGAGTATGGGAAGGGTTAGCGCAAGAGTGAGATTTGGACGATGCGGATTCGTTAGAATCAAGGGAAACTATATATTTATCTTTTATATGTTTACTCCCTATTCAAGAGATAGACCAAGTCTGGGCCTAAGAACTGGATATACCATACCGGACTGGGTCTAATGCCGATATCTAGGGAACGCGTACGGAGAGCGAGAAGGTAGGTCCGAAGATATCTCACAAGATGAGGCGGATGAGTGTATACCTCTCAGGAGTTAAGAAATATGGCTATTCGCAGGAACCTTAGTTCCGGCGTCTTTGGCCCAATTTGTCATTTGTCTTCCTTTTTCTTTCGGGGGATATTGGGGGTCTACGAAGCATCTGTCTACTGGAGTTGTTGTAAATTATAGAATGCATTCAAGGCTGAACCTGGGGGACATCAGCCATGGTTATGGGAGTCAGGCATATCTTGTGACGGCATAATAATATTATGAGTCGGTGATAATTTATAAAGTCACGACGGCGAGTTGAGATTTTGCACAGCCTTATGCTTCAGATGCAAATTTAGATGATACTCATGTTTGGAATAATGGGGCTCGTGCAGGATTGAGGCTCTTGGTATAGTTATAGCATTGAAGTTATAGGTTTACAGGTTTAGATGTTATAATTTATGCATTAAGTACAAGTAGTTATGTAGTTACCTACTTTTCAGCTATGTACGATACAGTTGCCCTTTACCCCAGCCCTATAAGCTTATTAATCAGGTCAAGTACTTACATACATGTAGTATTCCGTACAGAGTGGGGAAAGGGTACAATACAAGCATTGCATACATCTATACGGCAGCTTCGATCCATGCCGTCCGTATCCGCTATCCGCTATCCGCTAATGAGAGCTTAAAGACTTAGCTGCAACTTTAGGATTTGCGAGCTCGGAGACGGGCGTGAATTTCGGAGGGTCCAATCCTACACATTTCTTTACTTAGATGGTAGATTTTGTATCCGGTATCTATTTTTTTTGTTCATGTCATCAATGGATTCATTGTTAGGCCGGTCTTAGAGAAGAACAATAAGCCTCACCGACCAAAAATGGATTTATGATCTACGTTTTTTGCTGTTTCTTTTTTTGATTTTATATCTTCTTCTCTCTTCCGCTTTTCTGCAAGCCTTCTTCCCTCTTCCGCTTTTCTGCAGACCATCTTCTCGGGGTTCCTGCTAACGCCGAAAAAGCGAATTGACGTCGGAGACCAGAACCTTATATATTCTGGCTGCGCCCAATTTGATCGCCCGTCGACCCATCTTCTTTTGGTAGTTGGTAGACTAGAGCAAGCGTTACTTGGAGGGGCGACCGAGTCCCAAAGAACAAACTGCCCGGTGGTTGAGCGGACTGCTTGGAACGAACGCCATGGCGACTACTGCTGGGTACGATGCCAGACAATGGCCAGACAATGGCCAGACAATGCTGTTTAGAGCTTCACCAACTAATCAGAGCTGTAGGGCTTTCATAGCAGGCGGCATCGCCGCTTGTGGCGCCGTCACGGCCACACATCCCTTCGAGACGGTTAAGATTCGGTACGCATGCCATTGTCCCCTCGTCTAAACACACAAAGGGTTTCCGGAGAAAGCGGTTCGTCTGCAATGTGTAGTATGAGCTCTTGTCTCGGCGATAGATACCGTGTGTATACACCATGGCAAGACGCAGCTAACAGGGAATAGAATGCAGCTCCAAGGCGAGCTCCAGACCAAGGGCCACCAGCCGCACCACTACCGCGGGCCCTTCCACGGCGTCAGCGTTATCGTGCGGAACGAGGGCATACGCGGCCTATACCGCGGCATCGGGTGCGCTTACGTCTACCAAGTTCTCCTCAACGGGTGTCGGTTGGGGTTCTACGATCCCATGCGGAACCGGTTAGCTTCGCTACTGCTGCGCGACGGCGCGGCGCAGAACCTGGGGGTCAATATGTTCTGCGGCGCCAGCTCGGGCATGATCGGTGCGGCCGCCGGCAGTCCTTTTTTCCTCGTTAAGACGCGGCTCCAGAGCTACTCGCCCTTCTTGCCTGTCGGCACCCAGCACAACTACCGTAACGCCATTGACGGTCTCAGCCAGATATACCGCGCCGAGGGCTTCGGCGGCTTGTACCGCGGTGTCGGCGCTGCCATGATCCGCACGGGTTTCGGTAGCTCCGTCCAGCTGCCTACGTACTTCTTCGCCAAGAGGCGGCTCGTTAGGCATTTAGGTATGGAGGAGGGCGCGCCGCTGCACTTGGCTAGCAGTACGGTATCTGGGTTTGTTGTGTGCTGCTTTATGCACCCGCCTGGTAAGTCCCTAATCTCAGCCTATATCACTTTTAATATGACCCATACCCATTGGATAGATCAGACGCATGCTAACATAATATGACCCAAGATACGATTATGTCGCGGTTATACAACCAGAACGGCAACCTGTACAAGGGCGTATTTGATTGCCTAGGCAAGACGATCCGCACCGAGGGCATCCTAGCTATATATAAAGGTTTCCTGCCACACTTGGCGCGCATCTTACCTCATACTATATTAACGCTGTCACTGGCCGAGCAGACGAACAAGCTAATGCGCAAACTCGAGATCAAGATGTTGCCTGCTCCGACGCTAGGAAAGGCCTGAATAGGTCTATAGGAGGCATAGGTGCTGGACGACGTGACGTGACCGGGAACGGGAACGGCAAGGGGGACGGAAGGCTAGCTTGAACAAACAAACAAACAAACATGGTGTCGGTTAGGGAAGACATTATCTCAATAGAGGGAGGATATCCGGTATATGGTATACATTCACGGTATTCGGGTGCCACCACGTTCATCATAGAGATGGGGTAGGCGGGTTAATTATACTTCTGGCCTATATTTGAGCGCCATTTTCTCTCCGACTACGACTAGGGTCGGTAAGTTAGATATGGGACGGCGCCGTAGCTGGGACAGCTATGTCCGCTAGATTTACTAGTGGTATTCTTCTACGAGTAGAAATAAACATTTTGTTATTCACAGGCTTGCTTTAGCCACTGGTTTCTCTTATTGCTTGTTAAGGTGAAGGCAGGGAGGTGCCGAGATACATAGAGGTAGGTAAGCTAGGTAGCTAGCTATGTGCTATCCGCGTATAGACCGTTGGCATCCGTAGCATAGCCTCCGTCGAGTTGCCGCTCTGTCCCCGTTCCCATCCTCGTCATCGCCGATTTCACCCCGCCACCGCCCGTCGCCTAGTTCGTCGACTGGTGCGCCGCAGAGGCCGCAGTTAGTTCGCCCATTACTAGCATTGCTGCTTATTATTGTGTTCCCTTCGTGATCGTGACTATGACTGTGATCGTCGTCCGCAGGCCGCCGCAGCAACTTGCCCGTCGTACGCACGACGTTGGCCACGACGGAAGGGTAGCTGGCTTCGACTTCGCTGAAGTACCGCCCCAGCACGTCGTCGATACTCAGGTCCCGGTGCGAAACTACCGCGGCTACACCCCCGCCCCCGCCCCCGTTAGCAGCAGCACTGCTAATCCTGGCCGCTTCAGCCGGCGGTAAGATGCCAGTGAGCGCCGGCGACGTCTGCGAGAGATACAGCACGAGTTCCTTGCGGAACAGCTCGCGCAGCGGGCTGTAGATCGGGAGGAGGGGTCCGGGGGTCTCGGTCGGAAGCCCATTGGTTGTGGCAGTATCGTTGTTGTTGTTGTTGTTGTTGTTGTTATCGCTGCTACTACTACTACTACTATCGCCGGGAAATCCGTGGTCCGGACTGGAAGGGACCGGTACGGCGCCGTCGTTAACTAGCCATGGTAAGGAGAACCCTCTCCCTTTGGCCGTCTCGGAGAGCGTCAGCTCGGCGAGCGAGGTGGTGCTGTGGCCGAGGAGCAGGGCGTCGCAGCTTCGGGCGCGGGAGGCGGCGAGGAGGACGTGGCGGGTTAGGAGGCGCTTGATGTCGGCGCGGGAGGTTGTGGAGGGGAGGGATTGCAGGATTTGGGAGAGGCGGTGGGAGGGAGGGGTGGTGGTGGTGGTGGTGGTGGTGTCTTGAGAGGTAGGAATAGGAATGGGGGGAGTAGGGAGGGAGGTCCAGTCGATAGAAGGTAAATCGAGCGCAGAACTCAGGGGCACGGTTTGCAGGTTTGCGTCTGGGAAGCGGGTGCGGAAGGCGGCAATATAGGAAACTTCCCCGTCCCCGTCCTCGTCTCTTCCCCCCTCCCTCCCAGAAGGAGGAACAGTGTCGTCGACAACATGCACAGCAACGTACTCAAACCGAGACGTCTTCTGCCCCCTAGCGCGCTGCAGCCGCACATTCTCCGTCAACACGTGCAGCAGCGCCGTCGACGACGGCCCGCACGACAGCCCGACCAGGTACCGCTGCGGCCGCCTAGGGCCCTTGGTGGTGGTAGACGACCTCGGCGCGGCGGTTTCGCGCTGCAGGGCCTCGAGGCGCTTGATGGCTTTGCTGGATACGTAGTATGCGAAGCAGGTTCTGGGGGACGTTAGTGAGATGATATTTATATATATATATATATTAATATAATATTCCGTATGATAGATAAGAAATAAGAATAAGAATAAGAAACAGATAACTAGGTGTAATATATAGGTAAGTAATTCCACCTACTCGCATACCGTCTCGGCACCCCGCAAGTCGACGGTGCCTTCGTGGTCCTTGCACCGGTTGCACGGCCGAGAGGACCCCGCGGTCTCGGCCGGGGGGGTTGATGCCGCTGTCGTCATTGGGACAAGGCCTGGTTTACACTACATACCCCTCCGATGAAGATTTCTGGGTTGGGTGGAGACGGAGATTATTGAGGATGTGAGGATGAATGAGGAAGGTTGCTATTAATTAATAACACCCGTAGGGATGGCTTAGTCTTTTAAGTGCTGGTAACTAACCTAGTACCTAATATATATTAATATGTAGGTTAGGTAGGTAAGTTGGTAAGTTTAGGTATTGTACCTAGTTTAGGTACCTGTTAACCTAGTTAACTAACCTAGTTTTAAATTTAACTCATTAAGAATTCTTTTGCGGGAGTCACGTGGGTCCGTGTTTCTTAAGCTATACTTTGCCCCTGATACCTAAACGCACGATTATACTTCATTAACCTAACCTAGGTAGGTACCTAGGTATGCAATTCAGTATTCGGGAGATCGGTTCTTTGTTATGAGAGTTCACAGCTATATATATTTCTTCTCCTCTTCTATGAGCTATGAGACAGTTCAATAGGTAGCATTGCTCATCCTGTCGTACTAAACAGACAGGCGAAATCGCTCTCTTCAAACCACCGGCGGTCCTTCTCCCACGCGCGAGTTATCATATCTCTCCCGAGGCGTCCGCATTCTTCAACCTGCTCTACCGGCCCCCAACCCGGGACTATCATCCCAAAGGAGACCAGGTGAGCGCCGACTTGGATCGCCGTGCGGAAGGCAAAGTCCTCGCTCACTGGGCCATAGCCCTCTATAAATCCCTGAACCATAAATAGGCCGGCTGGTTTACCCTTGTATAGCTTCAACTCGTACAGTTCTGCGAGCATTTGGCCGACATCGAGGTTAGGCTTTCCTATCTGTGACATCTCCCAGTCGATCACGAACATTGGCACGTCTTCTCCCTCCTTAATTTGGGCCTTGGGAAGAAGAATGCTAGTGAGGCATATATCAGCAAATGGGCTACAAGAAACGAACGGGCCTGTATCACTTGCTTTCCCGTCCAAAAGTCGCCATGGATAACCTGGAGCTGATTGTCGTCCTCCAGCTCTGCCGCAGCCATCTTCCCCACCTCTTCGAAGACGCCTTCAGCGTCCCCGAGGACATCTGGGAACTGCTTGACTCGGTCTAGAAGCCATGAGGAATTGATTATGTGCTTCAACTGCTGCAACTCCTTATTTGCGGTTACCGTCCGTCGCAGCTCGGGTTGTTGCGCCGCCCAGTCGTGGAAGCCTTTAAGCCATCTTCCCAACGCCTTGCCAAGCTGGAGACTTTGGTGCTTTGTTGTCTCTAGATCAGCACCGGATACAACTGTCAAGGTATGCGTTTTTAAATCAATGCCGTTCTGTAGATACTCTTGAACTTGGGTGTTGTTCGTCTCGTCGAAATGGTATAATTTAGGCGTCCTGACGATGAAATGGTAAGGATCGCTCTCATCTGCCTTGCCGACGATGGGAAATGCTGATAGCGCTTTGAGACATTCTTCTTCGACGCGCTACCAAGAATTAGTGTATTTTATTGCAAATATGTAAGGCTACAGCTTTATTTGGTAGAAGCAACATACGCAACGAGATAGAGTCAACTTGAAGTCCGGTGAGTTCGCAACATAGTCCTCAGAATGCTTAACGGCAACTTGTTGCGTACCATCTTCAAGTGGCTGCATCAATGTTGCGCGGTATATGAAGTTAGCAGTTCCCCCTGATAATACATCGAGCGACGATGCTTCGTAAGGTGTTCCTTTGAGACTCTCAAGGACTTTAGATGTGATCTCCCCACGGCTTGCCGAAGTCATATTTGAAGTTAAAAAACTCTTTCGGGGGTGAATTAAATCAGTTCGATTATAAGAACGTAATGGCTTTGAGCACCGTTAAACTAAGCGCGGTACGAAAATCGTGGAATAAGGCTGAATACCTGGATAACTAAGATCAACTGCGCGACTTATTTTCCATAGGATATCGTTGATGGAAGACAAGTTTAGATTGATATATGTATATGTATATATATACATATAGTCTAGACAAGCAAAAACTTGACTCTTTTCATATTCATATCTCATCAGTCCTGAGCGCCCTGATGCAGTTGAAGCTATGATTGGATTAGGTCAAGCCACTTCGGCCAATGACTCAAGTCTAATGCAGTAGGTAATAGTCTTGATTCGCGGGATCTATGCAATTGTATGTAATATAAACCTATTCAAGGCTCGCTTGCCATTGCTAGTTCTTATGTAATTACTAATAACTCTATCTCTTAAGAAATAGAAAAGATTCAAAGGTGCTATGAGCCTATGACGAAAGACGGAAGTTGACAACAAAGTACCCAAGTATCTACCCCAATTCCCGGAAGCTATTGGCCAGGTACCACCGTATAACCTTTAGAGGTAAGAGCAAAAAGCTCTTCCCACCAATTAAAAATAGGACAAGGACCAGTTAGTCGGTATCTCAAACACGCCCTTGTTTCGTTTACTCTCCTTGACATCACTTCCCCCTTTCCATTGGTTTACCCCGACACCTTATAAGGCAATGGCTACGAGGGATCCGTTCCGATCGATAGGTTAGATTGGTTGGCCGCTTGCGATTAGCCCGGGGGGTCAAGGGGGTTTAGCTCGTGGGAGTGAGGGAACTACTATGTAAAGGGAATCTCGCGTGGCCGGGGATTGAATGGGCTAAAATAATGCAAATGATGCAAATGATGCAAATGGCAGGTTATGGCAGGTTATGGCAGGCTATGGCAGGCTATGGCAAGCTGAATCTAATATAGGCAATAACCCCAGGACTTGTAAAATTGAACTTTGTTTCTCATAAAGTGTTTCCCCCCCATCTGCCGTCTTTTCCACTACTATGTAATAACCTTGTTCACCTTTTTCTTTTTCTTGTTTTCAAAGAAGACGCTATTGTCACTGTCACTGTCACTGTCACTGTCACTGTCACTGTCACTGTTACTGTTACTATGGCTCTGGTTTTGGCTTAATATTGTCGCGAACACGACGTGCCAAAAACAGAGGAGCTGCGCTTCGTTTTCTTCAGCATACCATTTTGTGTGCTTGTTTCGCGTTGACTGCATTGGTGGTTTAATATTTTGTCGTTAGAACCGCCTTCGAGTTTCCGTTTGTTATCTTTTGCGTATAATTGGCGTCGAGTGGCTGCTCCTATCGTTCTGCATGCCTATCCGCCTACCCGCCTGTCTAAGCAACACGCCTTGGGGCCTAGGTACTGCCCGACCCTCTCACAAATCTACGTCTCGCGCCGTACTAAAAGGTCTTCCGCCATTTGTAGCCTCCTGATACAACTCGTGTTTCGGCGTGTCTGCTTGTTCGATCTAGCCAGATCCGACTGTGCAGACCTCACGTTGTTTGGCTAAAACGTCAGGCCACCTTATATGCTATCAAGCTATACTCTCGGAGAATATCTGATTTCCTCAATTTTCTTTGGTTCTGTCAATTTGGTTGATAGCGGTCTGTTGCGAAGACACCGGATTATCGCGAAAGGATCCTTCTCCGAAGATGACGCATCGTCGGCAACGGTCGCGACGAGTCTTAGATCTCACGGCACTGCTGGCTATGGTCTCGACCTCGTCGGCTGTCAACTTAACTCAGTTCCAGCTCATTATATCCAACAGCATACCGAAAAGCTGCATTCGTGCCTATCAGACGGAAATAGACGGCTGCAAGGTTGATGATTTCACAGGTGGTAGACAATGTTCGGCAAGCTGTGTGAAGGGAGTCCAGCAGGTGCAGGATCTTGTACAAGAAGCTTGCGGGGATCTTAATGTCAGCCACAAGTCATTGCTCGGGATCGTGTTGTCGGGTGATTTAGTCGATACTCTTTGTCCTGGTCAGGATCCGACGTCGGTCACTACGACCGTACAACCATCGTCGACCAAGGGGGGATCCTCAACAATCGTCACGGCGCCGACAAGTTCCCCGACGGACACGAGCCGCACTACCGAAAAGACGACATCTACGACGTCAAGCACGAGTGCAAGTGCAAGTGCAAGTGCAAGTGCAAGTACCAGCGCCAGTGGCCAATCCACAACAACTCAATCTACAACAGATCAAGAAATATCATCACCAACAGCCACGGCTACCAACTCGCCTACCGATACTACATCGAAACAGAACACGGCACAGCCTACTACGCCGAGTGAGCCGACGCAATCAACGTCGTCTGACGCTGGTGCGCCAATACCTTTTTTCGCCGGTGCGCCATTTGATACTTTACCTCCAGAGCAAGGCTTGAGCACGGTTCTCTCACCAAGATATTGCAAGGAAGCCCTAGTAGTTGCGATATGTGCTGCTATGTTATTGTTGCGGTAGCGGTTCAACTTAAAGTCTTAGAATGTATATCCGAGCATGTAACAGTATTTGTAATGTTTAAAGGGGATGGGAAGGATAGGAGCGATAGGACAAATGATACCAATCACGAGGTGCTGGAGACAGGGTACTGGGGATAGCGATACCATGAGCCATTATAATTTCGGGGTGAAGCGTTAGAGAGGCGGCATGGGTTATCTGCGACTGGGAGCAGTCTATTGGGATGGAGAGTAGATATTTCGAAATTAGACGTTGAAGTTTTGTTATAGGAGATGTCACTACCGAGCTGCCGAGTGGCTTATAAGATTAAGCTTGGTGGGGGTTTGTACACTACATAGTAGAAATGAGAAACGTCATAGTATGAGATTTAAGCACCTGAAGTCACTTACGCTTTACTGTATGTTTTGCACCTACGAGTTATGACATTACCTAATGCGAGTGCCGTATTGTACAAGTTGCATGATGTCGGTGTGGGTAAAATGAAGGCGGTGGAATTCTGCCAATCTGGCTAAACCTCGATTGGCTAGCATTAGCTACCTAGGTTAGCCGTATGTTAGCTAGGTAGCTTTAGAACCTCCCCGAACCGGAGTGTGCCGAGGTAAGGAGAGAAGGTGCGAACTATGCAACGCTTTAAATATGTAATAACCACCGGCGCCGGCGTCTCGTAACCCACTACAGCACTACAGCACTACAGCACCTACTGTCGTACTACAGAGACAGAATCGCTCTGTCCTTTGTTCGTTATTGCGTTTCTTTGCTTAGGCACCTAACCTACCATTCATTTCGTTGTCGTCTTTTAACTACAAAAGGTAGGTACACATTAGGTACTTAAAGGTACACCAGTCCCAGTCATTGTTATTAAACCTCAACGTCAGGTCCTACGTTAAACCTACCTACCTACCTACCTACCTACACATTATATATAACCCTTTTATCGATACTAGAGCCTGTATCTGCGTATCCAAACGCACATAATTACATGGTCCATCCAGCCAAGAAGTCCACCTAAACACAGCAACCATGAGCGCCACCGAAATCACCACATCCGCCACCGCGGACCTGCCCTCGGGCGATCCCGTACCATCCGCCATTCCGCTGCCCGTCGCCAAGCCAAAGCCCTTCCCGATCAAAGAAGTCATCACGGCCGCACCCTCGAACATCGATGCTTTTCTAGCCCATCTCCAGCGGTGTCTGCAGACGCCCTCGGGCATCGACACCGCGCTGCTGTTCCTATGCTACTCCTCGCGCTTCTCCGCCTCTATCCTCGAACACCTGACCCGCCCCGCCATCCAGCGCAGCGCCCAGCAACTCCTCGCTCTCGCCGCCAGTCTGCCCCCCTCCGCCACCCTGGTATTCACCGCCAAAGCGCTGCCCGGCCGCAGCGCTGCCCTCGCCCTGGTCTTCGCTAAGCGATTGCGCGCTCTCAGCGCCATGGTGACCGACGCTAGGACTTTCCTCCGGTTGTGGGGGTTGCTGAACATGTACTTCTGGCTCCGCCGCCTCGTGGCTAAGAAGACGGCGGGAGAGGCCGAGAAGAAGACGGACAAGCTCGAGACGGCCATCTCCTGGTTCCAGCTGTCCACCTGCGTCGTCTTCCAAGCCCTCGAGAACGGCGCGTATCTCTCCTCCAAAGGCGTCCTGGGCTGGGCGCCCGCCACCCAACGCCGTGCTTCGCTCTGGAGCGCGCGGTTCTGGGCTGCGTTCGTGGGCGCCGAGGTCGGCCGTCTGCTGTACGAGAACCGGAAGCGCGGGCAGCGGGCTCGCGCCGAGAAGTTCGCTGATGGGAAGACGGCGGCGGAGGTCCAGGCAGAAGAGACCGAGTGGACTGCGACCTGGCGCAAGACCCTCCTGCGCAACCTCGCTTGGGCCCCGCTTACGCTGCACTGGAGCTCCGAGACGGGGCTGCTGAGTGAGACGGCCGTGGGGGCGCTGGCTTGCGTGCCGGGGGTTATACAGATGAGGGATTTGTGGAGGAAGACTGCTGCCGAGTAGATGGGACCTTTACTCACGTGAAAAGAAGCCGGTTTTATATAGACGCGTGAGCTGTCCAGATTCGCTTGGGTGGCAGTGCAGGTTACGGAAGAGGCAATACAGCCGTTGCTAGTTTATCTTTATTTCTGCTGCGCGGGGAGATTGGCTCTACGGGGTATGATAAGGGAGACGTCGTGATGAAAAGAAAGTAAAGGAGAATGAATGACTTGAGCGTGTATTGGGATTTAATGGGCTTTTCGTCTATTCTCGATGTCGATTGATCTACGAAGATGGTATGGCGTGTATAGATCCGAATACATATAATACAAGAAAATAGAATCCAAACCTATGTTTTGCTCCAGTTGTTCTGACTAGGATCTCGGGGTACCAATAACGTTTATCGAATATCAATCATAACTGTCTGGGTAGTAAAATAAGCATTTATTATCTCGTTGAGTAGGTATATAGTTACTTTATGTATTAACTAACTAACTAACTATATAAACTTAACAGTTTTCTTTTCCAACAAATCGCCCCCTTTTCCCAATGCCAATATGTTAAGCTCGTTCTTACCCCTATCCGCGAAAACTTATTATTCTAGGTTCTACTATTATAAGGTAGGTAGTAATAGGGGTTATTAGCTTAGTCGTAGCGCTTTAGACCTAATATATGTTTCAAGTAACGGGTAACTAGCTATAAGTTATTCTATTACTTAACTCCAGGGTGAAGAAACGTAAGTAGGTGTGTGGATCATAGGCTTTTCTTAGGATAAGGCGAGCATCGACTAGTATATAGACCTTGGTAAGAAAGGAGACCAAGTGCATCGTCTAATAACAGTATCTTCGTAAGACTACTTCATGTATGGGTAAACAATGCTCACTTCAAAAATGATATGAACTACAGGAGACGATAAAACTGATAGATATACAAATGTATTATTATTTATCATATTAAACATTAACTAGCTGATTGTCTGGGGGTATTAATATAGTTTGTAGGCTTTAAAGGGGGTTGGATAGCATAGATGAGTCAATGGTATGACCCTGTTGCTATTTGTGTCATAAAGGGGGTAATACTCTTTGCCCGTATAATAATTTCTATAGTTGATTGGTATAGAAACCAAAGCAGTCGCCTGAGTATTCATCAGGTGTGCTTAAGAACCAAGGTAAAGATTGGAATACTAAGCGTTGATGTGCTCTAGTCCGAGAAGCAATCAATATCAGTATCCTGTAACAACTTCATGTTGTATGGGGGTTCGCCCTGGTGGGTTCGGGATTTACTGTCGTAGGTAAACTGCCGTCCTATAGGCATTAGATAGCGTGGCTATTTATGCTTCCGCGATTGTGTTCGAACACGCAATCCGTTGTTAGGTAGTGACTAATATGGCAGCTTTCAGTCCCTTTCGTTTCCAAGCCATCTGTTTCCCCGCAGTGCTTAGCAGCACACTCGCATCGCGTCTCAGGGCCATATATTCCTGGCCCGTAGACAATTATACTGCGATATCACCTTCACCCGTTCACCATTACCATCACAGCCATCTCTTGACCTTAACCCTTGATAGAACATCAACCGGAAATATGGCCGATTCCATAATCTCCATTCCCGATGTTATCAGGCTGACTGCTAAGGTCGCCAAAAGCTTTGTGGAGTACGGGAGACAGGTCAAGGATGCCCCCAGGCTAATTATGAATATCCACTTAGAGGTCAATGCTCTAAAGACCATCCTGGAGACTCTTTACATGACTCTAGGTGATAATGAGGGGTCTACCCAGAGGGCAGGGCTTTCCGATTCCCTAAACCAGTGCAAGCGAATATTGAACGAGCTTCAGTTGTTGGTGTTACCGGAAGTAGAAACAGAGTCTGACGAGGAAGAGCTCCCCGACAAGAAGACACCACGGAATACGCAGAATCCTTTTCGTAGATTTGGACACGGAAGAGCAACACCCGCACCATCTCGTCACCAGCATAATGAAAGCTCCAAAGTAGACCACCTGCTATCTTTGATGCAGACCCAGATCGGCCCCGAGCACCATCTCGCACAGCCCGAGCCACATATCTTCAACATGAACCAAACCGTTCCTAGAGGGCCAGCACGGTCGCCTCGTAGGCGTCCGATAATCAATCTTTCGACGCGGTTCAAATGGCCATTGTTCCAGAAGGGCAAGGCAGAGGAGTTACTAAAACAGCTCGAGAGGCAGAAAACCCAGCTGAGTTTAGCGGTACAGACCGATAATGCGTGAGTCAAGCTGTGCTACTTCGTAGAGTGCTAGCTGACTTCTTCTGACAGCATGAACCTCAACTCTATCGCCCATTCCATAAAGGATATTGAGGCTAATCTTAACGGTAATATAAGCCCCCGAGTTATTCCAGAACGTGAGCGCCGGCTAAGACTGGAGAGTAATAGATAACGAGAAGAGAGCAGTCTTGGCTTGGTTGTGCCCCAGAATTGACATGCATGAGTTCCATCGTGAACAACACGACAAGCAGGAGGACGAGACATGCGAATGGATAACCACTTCTCGCGGCTGGAAGCAATGGCTTAACGGAGGCTCATATGAGCCCAACGGCTACCGCCGTTTCATATGGATCTACGGCATCCCCGGCGCTGGAAAGACGGTTTTGGCATCGTTTCTCATCGATAGTGTTGCGGTCCATTGTCGAGCGACGGGATATTCATACTACTATTGCCACAATGAACGAAACCAGGATGAGACAATCCACTTCCTGCGTTGGGTAGTAGGAGATTTGAGCCGACAGATCGATCGCTTTATCCCTAAGGAATTAGATAAGCTTAGCCAATCCCAACGTTTCACTATCGAAGGCCTTATGGACTGCTTCGCAGCCATTTCTAGAAAGTTTAAGAGTGAAGGCCGTCGGGTGTACCTAGTGATCGATGCCGTGGACGAAAGCAAAAAACCGCGCAAAAGGTTGCTCGACGTGCTGATCGCAATGGGCACGGATATAACTTATGAGAACGTCTCAATATTGATGACGAGCCGTGAAGAGGAAGATATTGGAGACGCAATGGCTCAGACTGCGAGCAGCGCACAGCGTTCACTTCCAAGTACGGTCCGTGATTCAGATGTCTTAAGCAGTGCCTTTATGCCTTATACGTCTATCACGATGTCGAATAGCGATGTTATGCGAGCGATCCAGAAATACGTTGAGAAGCAGTTTGAACGAAACGCCAAGTTCAGACTGTGGGCGCCAGATTTTAGGGCAGAGATAGAGAAAAAGCTGGCGAGAAATGCTAGAGGAATGTGAGTATCTAATGGCCATGTTTTCAAGAGAGTCCAGTTAACCCTTTCCCAGGTTCCGATGGGTTGCATGCCAGATCGATATTCTCGAACGTATCTATATGGACTCAGACAAGGTGTCGAAAGCACTGGATGATTTGCCGGAGACGCTGTTCGACACGTACGAGAGAATACTCAAAAGCATACAGTCAGAACAGCACGCATTCGCTCGCACGGCTCTGGCGCTAATATGTAGCAACACCTTCAAGGTCAAGAGCGCCGACGTATTAGTGCAGGCATCGCTCCACGATGTTCGACATGGCGCAATGCACAAGTATGATGTCGAGACATTAAAAGACATTCTCGGCTGTCTAATCAAGGTAACCAATTTGAGGAAAAGGCCTCAGTCCAAGCTCAGACGTGACGATGATTCTCCCCTTCAGAAAGTTGCCGTCGCTCATTATACCGTCAGGGAGTTCCTCTTTGCGAAATCAAAAAAAGATGGGGAACCAAGACCGGCCGGCGAATTTGCTCTGTCGGATGGTAGTATCCGCGTACTAGAGACACAGGTCGTGTTTAATGGTTTGCTGCAATGGGGGAGAAATCGTCCTCCAAACTCACGATTTCCCACTCGCTATGAGGAACACTGCCTGGAAATGAGTGAATGGGCCATGCGAGGAGCCCGGCAAAACTTGCTCATCAAGAATCATGGCGTATGGGAATCAGTAGTGCAGTGCTTGATCCCTGGCAGACCACACATCAAAGCCATTACAAATTCAAATCTCCGTAAACACTTTCCACGGTGGGCAAAGCTGAGTGCACTCGATGAGCTGTCACCGGTACAACAGCCTCAGGCAGCTCCTAATAGGCGGTTCCGACAAGAGACGGGTATTTTGGCGAGCCTCATCTTGCTCAATTGGCCGGAATTTGCGCAAAAATACCTCAAGGACGCCAATTTCCAGGTCTTATCACCCGAAGCAAAGCATGCCGTCTGGACGAATAAATTCACCATCAACCAGCTGGATAATACGGATATTCCACGCACGTTTGAAAAGGGGAAGCCGATCACACTTCTCCAACTGTGTGTGTCGTGGAAACGTCCCGAGTTCTTAGAGCTCTTCATTGATGCCGGAGCGAATTTTACTCATGAGCCCGATATCATATTTACGGCTCTTGAAAATCCCTGGGGTCTCGATGAAATCGAAAGTGATGCATCTGTTACCAGCCAGCTCTTAAAGATGCTCCTCGAAGCAGGCGCGGATCCTAACCCACCCGGCTATTTATATACGCCTCTTCAATTTGCGGTACACCACCTCGAAGAAAGCTGGGTCCAGAGTCTGCTTATTGAGGCCCGCGATGCCAATTTAATCGGGGACCCCAAGGGAAAGGATCCATATAGACTTAAAGACAAGGAGAAAGATCTTAAGGAGGGAGAAGATCCTTGGTACAGCTTACATCCTCTTGAGATATGTCGTAGAACGACGCCAGGACCAGACAACGATGGATCAGAAGGCCTAAATAGCAAGGCCAAGAAGCGGATAGAACAGCTGTTAATTCAGTACGGGGCAGAAATTGAGCCCGACGTGATCGATGTCTCATCAGATAGTCCAGACGAAGGTACCTAAGGCAAGTCTGGTACCGAAGTAGCCGTCGTGCACTCAAAATCAGTTTCCCTTCTGCGACGGATAACAAATTTTGTATAGGCTGAATAAGCCTAATATAAGCTAAAATAGGTGAATAGTGAGGTGGGAAGTAGTCTAGACGATGTAGATGGTGCAAGGAGGAAATATGATTTATATCTCTACCATTGAACTGTGCTGCTCTTTCCCAACGAAGTCGAAGTGTACGCTCGTATTGAATAAAGTCTAGGGAGAGGATATTGTTGAAAGCGGATATCACTTGTCTTGCGCAGTGGCATATTCGGCCACAAGCGGGTGCTGAAAACTTATTTGAATTAATAAAGGTGTGTGGTATCATTATGATTGTTTCTGGCCCATCTCTTCCATGCCGATATCATCCCATTCCTCACTCCATTCGCCAATCTTTCCACCTAGCCAGATTCCCCCGGCCGTCGCTACGCTTGCTAGAAGGAACCAGCCCTCAAACCATCTGTCCACGAAACCCGGCTCTAAGGCACTTTCAAGCGCGTCACCGACGGCGCTGCCTACCTCCTTGGGAAGATTACTTCGTAAGAGTAGAGCGGCAGAGATCACGTATATAGCGCTGATCTGCCCAATCAATAGAGCTAAATTGGCTTGAGCCTGGTATAAGAGTCCAGGAGTCCACTTGGCAAAGAGATGGAATGTTTGAAGCGCGCTGTTGGCGCTCGCGGCGAGGATGACGCCGGATAGTAAGAATGATATCTGTCTAGCCCAAGCAATCTGATCAAGCTTCGGGTCCCAATGTTTCGCTAAGAGGCCCAGGAATCGATTAATGGGATCTGAGGAGGAAAACGAGGCGGTGGGATAATACAACCGCCGCAGAGTAGTCAGGGTAGTCGCTATGATACGATAAACGCAGTATACGCTGAATACATAAGTAGGTATCGAAAGTAATTTCCCCGAGAAAGTTGCAGCACGAGCCGAATTGGCCTGTCGAGAGCGAAGCATAGAGAGAGAGGACGATAGATTTGCTTCCATAGCTTCCAAGCCCGCGATCTCGAGACGTAGTGTGCGGATCTCTGCTGCATCACCGCCTCCGCGGATAGAACCGATGACCTTAGTGACAAACCCACGCTTCTCAGCCGATGGGTTCTCAGCTGCCTTGCGCAATAGGCTCTGCAAGCGGTGTCGTTTAGTTATGAGCATCTCATTCGTAGCATCAAGACCCGCTTGTTTACGAGAGACATCGGCGTCTGTCACGGGGCGTCTTCCACGGTTGCCAAATGTGTGCCACGGTGAAGAAACCGAGGCGAATCCAGACAATAAAGCCATAAGTGAAATACCGATGACCCCAATTCGCTCGAGACAGGCACGTGCTAGACTGCCAGAAAACGCGGGCTCGGCCCGGGCCTTCTCCATCTTAGCGCTCGGGCTCACTGCCTCACTTCCTACCGGTACGAGATTTCCTAACGACCAGAACGCGCATAGCCAGACACTAAACATAACAAATTGAAGCATCCAAGCAGCCCGAGGTATTCGACCTTTGGAAGTGCGTTGAAACGACCATCCCGATCCAGCTACAAGAGACTGAAGTTCGAGGAATGGTATGAGTACGACGAGGAGGAACAAGAGAGTGGGAACAGTGACTCGCAGAGCCAGCGCTCGGGCATAAGGGTTGATTAATTCAGAGATCTCGCATAAAATCAACTCGCCCAATACAACCGCTAACCCAACCGTCGTAGAAAAAGCGGCTTCCGCTATTCGCCTTCGTAGAGATTTAGAGCCATGCTCGGCATGCGCTTGCTGGAGTGATGGGGGCGCATCGGAAGGGAGGAAATGGTCTTCGCCATCGCGAGAATTTTGGACACGGGCCAGATAGGGAAATATCTTTTGGGAGACCAGGATAGAGACGACCACGAAGGTGATTACGAAAGGTGCCAATGAAAATGTCATGGACGTCGCCGAGGGTGCGGCGAGGCTCGGGGCCATACATGCATCGTCTGAGCAGCTGAAGAGTCCCATTGGAAATACTCTTAACGACAGTGGTTACGAATGATTGTTCCGTGATAGCATTCTAGCTCATAGAACAAAGTGTTGATTAATACTTATCGACGAGTAAGTAGTGCATTCGAGGTAAGTGTAGGCACGGATCGAAGATCGAGGATCGAGGAAGAGATTAGGTTACATGATTAAACTTTCACAGATTGGAGTTGAAACTTGAACGAAGTCATAAGGTGTTGGGATTCCCCCAGACAAATGACGACTGCCCTTGAATCTAAGCCCCACCTTCCACCCAGCCACCACGCGGCTACTAGCCCAAGGAACCTTATGGATCTCCGACGCATCCGTGCGCGTCCCGATCCCCCCAGTCCCGAGCCTGTACGTACGGTTTCAGCCACATATATACGTACTCGAGGGGCTCCCCATAGTGTGGCTTGAAGTACGAGGCGCATTGGAAGTCTAAGTCAAACCAGACAGGGGTCCATGAAAAAAGTCGAATATCTCCAAGTAGTCGCGCGACCTGCAAATAATCGCCAGCAACTGCAGAACCTCTGCCATTGACGCTGGGAGAGGTACTGTACTCGCTGCCCCTGACTATGGCAGCTTCAAGTAGAGGTGGCAATGCTGCCGCCGCTTTATTACGAAGTAAGTTGGCTTCTGCGGAATCCCCAAAATTGCACATTTGTGTCGCTTGATACTAAAAACCATTAGAAGGGCAATCCAGCATATGCGCCAGCTGTAGGGATGCCCAATTCCGATCGTACTCTGCCAACGCCGAGGCCGCCGCGGCAGCTGAAGCTCACCATCTTAAGCCGACGGAATCGCAACCACATCCACCCTTCACAGCGACCCGCAGGGCAGAATACCGCATAAAATCCGGCATCATCCTAACCCGCGCACCTCTGCTAACCCGCGCCCTCACTCCCTTCGAGAACGCTTTCTACTTCTACCAGAAACGATTGAACGAGCGATTAGTGTTGCCATTCCGACACACCCTCTTCTTCAAGAAGGACACGGCGGCCGACCTCGATTGGCGAATCAAATTCGAAGAACGGGGCCGGATAGCGGCGAAGGAGCTGGGCAGATACTACGCCCAGGGTCGCAATGCGTGGAACGACGAGTTGTTAGTGGGGAGCACATTGAGTAACGAGGAGAGGATACGAGAGATCCTGCTCAAGGATGCCGAAAACAGGGTGACTGAGGATGGCGAGAAAGCTGACCCGGATGAGGTCCTACCTGTCGAACAACCGATGGCCAGGATCACGGAGGCTGATAAGACGAATGATGTGAGGCGATTAGACCGCAAGCTGGACCGGACGCTCTACTTGCTTGTTCAGAGTAGTGATGGGAAGTGGCAGTTCCCGGCAGAGGATGTGCCGACAGATGAGTATTTACACGAGGTTCGTCTCATATAAACCGTGCGTACTATAGCGAGTCGATTCATGCTAATCATATTCACAGACCGCGGTAAGAGTCTTGGCGTCTGCAGCGGGTGTCAACATGAACACCTGGTTAGTGGGCCGCGTACCTGTTGCCCATCTAGTTACACAGCCCGAATTCAACGAGGATACGTCCCTCAAGCAGAGGGGCGAGAAGATATTCTTCCTAAAGGGGAGGATCATGGCCGGCCAGGCGGACCTAAAGGGCAACAAGTTGGGACTACAAGATTTCAACTGGCTCACAAAAGAGGAGTTAAAAGAGAAGCTACCAGAGGAGTACTTCCACTCCGTAAGGAATATGATGGCGGATCGGTAGGACGGGTAGGTAGATATCACGATACGAAACCTCTGCAGTCTACGACCGTCAATGTAAAGACAATGTACTATATTGTACCTTACGTGGAAATGAATCCTTCTCGTACATTGCTAGTACATACATACATACTAACTTTCAGCGCATCTCATTTCTCGTGCCCAGGTATTCAGTCAGCCTATTACGCCTTATGTCCAATCACGGCTAGATCGCTTGATCAACAGTAGCAAATCTCCTGTCTTGTGGGAGAACTCAGGTTTATTCACATATTCTCTGGCTATCTCGAATCTACCTAACCTACCATACTGGAATTGCTGACTTCAGTGCGTGTAATCACTAGTTTCCGCAGCTTAGGTTTAACGTTCCTTGCGTAACAGTGAAGTTATTCCCACGTTTTTCGGGTCCACCTCGTGACAAACCAAGGCTCAAGTCAACGTCTTAGTACGCGAATCTGACAGATTACTGGTCCGGCATTTAGATCTAACGTATCGTCTGTTGCTCGAATAAGCATACCGCGGTTGACTGTCCTCACCTCGGCTTGTCAGAGGCAGTAGTATCCTTAAGAGACCGGTTCAAAAGAGATATAGCCCGCCCCAGGGACAGAGCACTTGTTGCCATAGGCTCTCCAGAAGTCATGTGTCCAGAGGGGTAGCATGTGTGTTTCCTCCTCTGAGTATGTTTCGCCCGATGCTGACGTAGGCTCACCCCGTGTAAGTATTTCCTCGGCCGGCGGCATTGCCTTGCTATGCCTGGGGGATAATACTACCCGTCTTGAAGCTGCCTCGTCGAGGATGTTCCATCTTTCTAAATTTCTCAACATTTGGTCATCGTCTTGTTCGAGGATATTGATGGCGCTTGTCTCGGGCCACGAAGTCATATCAGGGGTTGTCGGTTCCCTTTCGTCTTTTTCGCCCTGGTTGTTCTGTTCCTTCGGTGCGTAGAACCCTTTCTCGAATGGAACCAAGTGTTTCTTGGCTCTGAACAGAGTGTAAGTCTGTTTTAAGAATAGACTGGCGGCCATACAACCTGACGAAGTAAGATACAATATTCTAGCGATGTAAGTAAATAAATAAATAGTAGGGACTTACTGTCAGATCCGGCATGGTGAGGACCTAGCAAATTGATACCGGATTCTAATCTGACTGCAGGAATTGGATTCCGCGCGTAGAAATGGTGGATCTTTTCTAAAGCTCGATCCGGCTCCATCATATGTCTACCTCGTGCATACATGAACCTCGTATCCGCGATTCGTGGGAAGAGTTTGTTTATCTCAATAAGGAAGTCGTCGACGTTAGCGGGTAGAGGCTCAAAGAACGTTTGATATATATAGGCCAAATCCATGAATAGGTTATGGCCAACCAAGATCGGTCTATTTCTCTTCAGACTGGCCTCGCATTTTTTAAAGTCGAATGTCTTGTTGAGTTCATTCCAAGTTCTATGGCGCTCTGGGACGTCGCTTTGGTGATAAACGTATTCTTGTTTCATTCTGTCGGCAAAGGATCCGCCTGATAATGCCTCGAATAGTATTTGAAGTCCTATAAAAATTAGTGGTTTATAAATCATTCGTTCTGGAGGAATACGAACCAGATAGTCGATTAACTTCCGACAAGTTCCATCTCTTTCGTGCCTCGGTCTACTCCAACATCACTTATTAGTCGGATACTCGAAAATGTCACTGCGTATAAGATTACTTGGGGGGTTACAGACCCTGGCTTTCACAGATTCATCAATTAGAGCAATGGAAGCGGTGCCCGATGTCGCGTTTCTGGTTGCCACATACGAAGGATACTCTTCACGGATGATTTGGTGTATCAAACGGATCTGTAGTCCATTCAGCCTATCTCCATACGGGTTTTTTATGGTAGTTTCCATGGCCTAACAAGTCATCAGCTTAACGAGTATTAGTCCGGAGGGGGGTGTCATACCGGTCGAAATCTTCCAGCAACAAAGTCCGCAATTTGCTTCTTAGTCCTCTTGTAGAATTCTTCAGTCTCGTAGTCCAGCGTTGAAGGGTCAAGATGTTCATTGTTGGGATCTCTCGACACACAAAACTGCTTTGCGAGTCTCTGTTCCTCTCTATTGAGATAATGAGCGCCAGTATCCAAAGCCTTGTTGAAGTTGAAATTGTGCTGTTGTAGAAAATCGTACGCTCTCACTGAGACGCTAAATTTTCTATCAAGACGTCTGGAGAGATTATCGAAGAATGTGGATTTGGGAAACAAGGGAGAAACAGAGAAAGTGAATGTTCTCGTGGTATATTTAGCTGGTCATACGAGTTAGTTATAACGCGGTCTCTTTTCTCGGTTATTGTAGACTGACCTGATCCTTCGTCATAGCGAACGAAGGTGAGCCCGAGTTGTACCACTTGAAATTGTTCTGCCGCTTCTTTGATCTTTCCGTATGAGTCTTGGGCACTGTTGAGACCATGAATAAGCGCGATACCGCTCATCTCGACGTCCACCGCTACAAAACGAGCATTCTGTGCCTCGTGTAGAATAGGTGGTAGCATCCAGAAGAAGTTGCTCCTGTTGACCTCCATGGTGTCGATGGTTATATGCCGGACTAGTGTTGAAGGTGAAGCGGCAGCAACTAGCTGTTGTAGGTTATACCAGAATTTTAAAGAGATGGAAGGGAATCTATGTTTATGGTAGAATACGAAATGTTATATACTTCTAGTTCTGAAGCTATGACTGCAAGTAGGTTGCAACCTCAGATAACTAGATGATATCCACGCCAGGTATCCTACGTGAGAATTTTATATCTCCCCTGACCAAGAGGCATGTTCTTAGGGAAGGAACTGATGGTTTGTGAGTTGGTACCTGGCAACGTCTCTTCGAGCTAGAGTAACGGATGGCCAATTGTCCCACGCAATCACTGAATAGTTTCAAAATTACTTAGGTACTTAAAATACGCACGGTTGATTCTAACGGCAGCAACGTCGGGAATGATTCATAGGTTACTCGGTTAATAAGCTGGGTAGGAAGCTACGACTCATCCCCCTGGACTTGTTGTTTTGTATTTAATTTTAGTTCCCTTAGGAAAAGATGAGCAATAATAATAGATACTTTAAATAAACACTAAACTTGAGCCTGTTTGTGTCTGATCAGAGTTTGCTATTATAAGGTACCTACGTACGAGTCAACTTCTATCTTATATGCCCCTTAAGACGTGTACTTCCCATTCAGTTTTCTTAAGTCGAGTGATATTGTGATCGAGTCTTTATATCGACACTGATGATATGTACCTAACTATAGAACCAATGTCATACTGTTACAGCTGGGTCTAATTTTTTATTTATTTCTTAGTCTATGATGATATTGTTGCCAACATTAAAGGTGCATGATAATGACTATAACAATTTTGGTAATAGTTAGGTCACTGAAACATCACTGTCTTAGTTTACGGTTTCCTGTGTCCAAATATTTGAAATTTGTATTTCTTCCCTTTGATTTTATATATCGTGGCCAATACCAAAGTGCTAGCTAAACCTGTAGCCTTAATTCGTATATTTAAATTGATTGTTCATCCTGATCTAGGTAGGCTGAATAGTTTGGCAATGGAAAAGCTGAAGTTGCCATTTGTTCGTAGATCATCGGAACATCTAAATATTAAGAATTAACATAGTAATCCTGAACTGAGTGCTATATACTCCGGAGATGATATACGTGCAAGTGATCAACTCCACAGTCTCTACTACAGGACGTTATGTAGACAGTAACTTTAAACGTACAGTAAAAATCCACTAAACGTACAGCACATCCACTTTCACGTGAGATAGCCCGATATGCCACCACCCACCTAATTTGTATTGGGATTAGCATCGCTCCCTAACAAATTCGTAGTTTTACCTGATCGTATTGTAATATCTGTATTCAATTGAATATAAAATTTAAATTGAAGCTATCACCACCTTTTCGATGAGTCAGCAAATAACAGCCTTGGTAACGGCCCCAACACAGCCGCCTCAACAACAGTATACACAACAGTATACGATCCCCTCATCCCCAGCGCTAGCGCCAGCGAGGCCTAATATCGCATCCAGCCTCCACGGGTTACAGGGCTTACAGGGCTATCAACAGTGGTCTCCAGGGCCTTCCCAACAGCCTCAACAGCCCCAGCAGCCTGTAATTCAACGGCAACAGGCGCCTATTATCCCTTCTCAACGACCTGCAGGGCAGCAAAATCAGTGGCCAAGTCAATATAACCAATCAAATCAACAGCCTTGGCCTCCGTATTATTACCCTAATTGAGTATATAAGCCTGTAGCCTGTATATACGTATTAGATTCAATTATAAATATATTGATTTTTATTTATTTAAATTTTATATTCAATTGAATACAGATATTACAATACGATCAGGTAAAACTACGAATTTGTTAGGGAGCGATGCTAATCCCAATACAAATTAGGTGGGTGGTGGCATATCGGGCTATCTCACGTGAAAGTGGATGTGCTGTACGTTTAGTGGATTTTTACTGTACGTTTAAAGTTACTGTTATGTAGAAGAAGGTGGTTCACTTATCGGAATGTACTTGAGTACCCTGGTACCTCGACTTAAGCTACCTGATTGGACTGAGCTAGCTCATAAATTAATTACGGCCTACATAACTTATTGTGGTAGTTTTACGGGAACGATAGAACATGTGGGGCTCGCCTAACGCTATTCGCATTTGTCGGCCGACGACCGATATACCGAGGCACAGCGCACCTTAGGTTAGGTACCTATGTAACCGACCTAGGTACCATCAAAATACGATCATCACACCAGGCCTTCAGGCTTTTTAGCAAGTGCAATCTTCCCGCATACCAGACAATCACCGCGAGGATTTCCGAACCTCGTCAGCCGAACATCATCAGGTTCCACATGCTTGTGTTGTTCCTGCATGTGCAAGCTCTACCACTACTGTAATGTCATGTTGGCATAGCTATTGATTTCACTATCGATTTTATTATCTTATTCTTGTTAGTGTCAATTGTGCTATTGGCATCCTATCGTCGCGTATGTTAGCGTTTGGTCCGATTCTTATCTACATTGCCTACCTTGCCTACCTTGGGTAAAGAAAAAAAAAAGTATTCGCAACCATGTCGTTCGATGGTTCTTATTCCGCAACATTGAGTCCGTCAGTGTCTGAGAGCTTCGGATCCCACGTTCTGTCCAACTCAATATCGTCCTTGGCATCCTCAGCAACATCTCGTCCATCATCAAACAATATTTCCAAGACCTACCGACAGGCTTCGCAATTATTCTTAACGCGTCGACTTCCCGAAGCCTTGTCAACGGTCTTGCCCTTGATCACCCCATCCACCGAAAGCTCCAACGTAAATGGATCGACTGAACCCGCACCCGTTGCTCGAGCTTCAAGATCCACAAGGATAAAGGTATGGAGTCTTTATCTGACGATTCTCAATGCGGTATTGGAGCTGGATGCCGACGAAGGAAAAGATGCCTTTGGCGCTCAGGAATGGCGTGCTATATGTAAGAAGGTACGGGATAGCGATATCTGGGAAGAAGTGGTGCAGTTCGGATATCATGGCGTCGAAGGGGAGGTAGATTCCGATGTTGTTATAAATCTGTAAGTTTGGTCTTCTATGTATTTCAAGTTGTGGTTAAGCGGCTCAAATTTGATACGGAACGAATATTGACAAGTTTTCTAGGGCGACTCTTTTGCTTGCACATGCGAAATCACAGGCAGTCAACCAGAAGCGACTAGAGAATTACCTAGCCTCATCAAGTACCCCAAACCTTGATATATCTAAACAGCTTGAGGCAACTAGATCTCCGCGGTTGACATCACGAAGTCGAAGGTCCCATTCTAAGAGTGGTGCTGACACTCCTCGCGATCTCAACGCCAGAGTTAAGATTCTCGAACTGTACACCCTCCACGTCTTGTTACGCAATAACGAATGGGACTACGCCAGAGAGTTTATTAGCTCTAGCGCAGTACTAGACGACGAGCGAAGGGATGCTTTCTTACAGGCTCTTCAAAGTTTACAGGAAGAGCAGCAGGAATCAGAACGGAAAGAACGCGAAGAGAAGCAAAAGCAGGAGGAACAGCTGCAAAAGGATATCGAAGAGGCTAGGAAATTGAGAGCGGAGAATGAAGCAAGAGAACGACGTCGAATAAACGAAGAAAGAGCCAAACGAGAAGGCACTGAAGTCGACTATGGCATCGAAAACACTCCAAGTACTTCAGGGGCGAGGAACAAAGCTCGGAGCGGTTCTAATGGCTCTGCATTATCAAGGTCATCTAAATCATCCAAGCCATCCGCCCCTAAGGAGAAGAAGGCTGTAGCGCGGCCAGGTCTTGGTGCTCGAGCTATAATGATCCTATCAAATCTTCGTAACATCATCGAGCAGATGAGCGCTACGTTTAAAGCAAACCCGGTATTGCTTATGAGGCTGCTAGCCTTTGTCATTGGTGTAATTGTTATGTTTGGTAGGAAGGGTGTTCGCGAGCGGGTTCGGCAGATTCTTGGTACGGGCTGGAATAAGGTGAGATCAACCGCTGGTATGGGTGTTAAGGTGAGCTACATCTAATTAATGGGTTTATAATATGGCTTTTTGTATATCATCCCCTTTTAGTACCTAAGGTAATAATCACTCGGGAATACCGGATAGTATCCTGAACGAAGTATGTCGTATACGTTTCAAAGTTTTTAACGAGAATCGGGTTATATTGGTAGGTAATATGTTGGGTAGTTAAATGTCAATTTCATCTATATGAAGACTGTCGTAACCTCTAAACGCCACCCTGAATGCTGATCCGAAGTGTAACTCCTTTTCCCACGTAGGTATGTGTACATTAGTGATTTTGACCTGTCAGATACGCCAATAATTCTGAATATTCGAGGCATAAATAACCGCAGCCCAGACCCGGGCGTCATGGAGGCTAGTACCCTGTCCGATTTGTTTTCTTTTGGTAAAATAGCTGTAAAACGTATAAGCATAATTCGAGGTTCGATGAGGACCCATGTGGGAGATATGGAAACATACATCTGTACGTGAACTGCCTAGATTTATAATCTTGGGGCAGCCGTCTCTATCCTTTTCTAGTCGCGTACACTCGAAGCAGTAGAACGCGTCCGATATACCCTCGCCGCCGCACACGACACACTTGTTTTGGTAGTTGCCGAAACTACATTCGTCACAGATACGCACGAGAGTGGTTGGACGCACGTAGGAATCGCAGACGGGACATTTGCCGTCGCACTTGTCGCAAAGGCGGCCGATGGCGATGCCGGATTGCTTACGGCACATGACGAGATCTCTGGAAGATGAGGTTAGCTTCAGCTTATTGCGAGTAAAAAGCTCAAGCTGTAAGCAAGGGGGGTTACTTACGGATGATGTCGAGACATTTTGATTGATCGCGGACCTTAGGATGGTTGAATTATTGGGAAGGGAGTGTTTGTAGATGGTTGGAACGTAGAGTATTGGTCGCTAATGCAATAATAATAATAACAATAATAATAGCCTTCCGGGCAATTTCTCAGCCTTGCCACTTGCTTCTGGCGATTTCTTTGGTACAAGCCAAGCTGCACGAGGTTGGAGCTTCCCTGTCTGCTAGCCTGCATACATAAGGGAATTGTTATAAAGTGGATTATTATAAAGTGGATTATCATTACCTAGGTAGGTAGGTATCATATGCGCAATTGCATAGCGTGCTGAGCATGGCACCGACGTGCATACGGATTACGTTAGGTACATAATACACTAGCGTGGGGTACCGTACCTGCTGGTACCCACCTCCTACCGTTTAAGTAAACTTTGAATGTCGCGCCCGTCGCACAGAGCGCTTTGGCCCTTCAGCCTCGTCCGCGCGACAGTCTGGTCAATCTCTCATCTAAGCAAACAATGCTTAGAAGTATGGTCTAACTTAATAGATCGCCCGCTGTGGCAATCATCTTTCTAACATTGCGCATTTTATACATAGTCTCATAAATCTTTTCGACACCCGGGGGGATCAGCACAATGTCATCTAGTGATACGTGAGAGACTGTCTTTCCTCTAATCTTATTGGTCGCAATTGGCTAATGATAATGCAGCTCTCTCAATGGTCGTAGCCTAGAGCGCGAAACGATTGCCACTGAAGCGGACAAGGAGCAGCGTGGTTCGAATAAGCGCAAAGCGTTATCGCCTTCACCAAGCGAAGACAAATCTAGCCAGTCGCCGAAAAGATCTAGAGTTGGTGATGGCTCGAGGGAAGACAGCACTGTCAAGCCGCTGCCTACACCAAAGGAGCCCTCTACAGATTGTCGCGAAAGCGCGCTGCAGGAGGAGAGGAGGCGCGGAAAGCGCTTATTTGGTGGTTTGCTAAGCACATTAAGTCAAACCACTTCTAGCTCTCAGCAAAAGAGACGTCAAGAGATTGAGCGACGACAGCAGGCAAAAGTTCACCAGCAGAGGGCCGAAGACGACAAGCATAGAGAAGAGAAGCTGGTAAAGCTAAGAACCGTACGGCAGTTGGAACAGCTCAAGTTTGACGAGCGAGTTGTATGCTAAACCTCTGTTCTTCTAGTGGTCACTCGAGCTAACAAGACGGTCAGATGCAGAATAAGCATTCCAATATGCTAGCGACGGCACGTTTTCTAGAAACTAAAAGTATACCTAAGATAGTGAGAACAGCTCTGTCATGTGGCCGACGCACCTACTAATCACAATTCCAGTATTATCTACCGTGGGACCTCACAGAAGAGCAGGAAGACATGATTAAGGATCAGACCCGAGAGGTTGAGGACATCATCGATAAGGAGGCCCTCGATTTCAAGCAACGCAAAGAACAGAAGTTGAAGGTATTGGGCGTCGCTGTTAGATCCCCTACGCCCGAACCCAAGGACACAGTGGGTAATAACCCTAATGATGAGCGCCCTGCTGACCCTCCACAATCTAACCCCACCAATCGCCCGCCTTCCCACGCTGGTAAGATCGGTCATGAAAGGGAGTCCGATAGGGCGGATGATGTTGTGATAGAGGAGGTTGAGGATACGGTCATTTACTGATACCTAAACCCCTCGGTACGGTTTTTGATTTTACGTTACGTCTTTTTAGGCTCTGGTGGTGGACGGCGGCACAGGCGTTCTGGTGTGATAGGGGTTTGCGAACCAGAGATTCCCGCCGTAAGTTTCGATGCCAAGGTTGAATTGTTCGTGTGTGTTATGTATAGGTATGCATTGCGCATGAGTTTAAGATTCCTGGTGAATTTGATTAGAAATCATACCTTCTATCGTATTCTTGAGAAGGATGGACTGTCTTCACTGGGGCAGCACTGTTTTCTGTTTTTCATGTATAGCTGTGCCCCTATTGGCGATGATCCCCCATATTACGCCAGCGGATGATGCCTACCTAGTCACCACATACCAAGTGCAATGGTCTACAAACACTTAGTTCTCGATATATACCATCGCATGGCGTAATGTTCATGATAAGCGGTGTGGTCATGGAATTAATGAAACCAGATTGCAACCTCGAACCCCTATGGAATCCGGGTTGCGCGGATATGCCTCAAGAGCATATGTACCAGGGCGAGGCGTGTTCCTTACATTATGTGTCATGTATATACTTGGAGAAGTTCTCTTGCAGCAATAATATGCCGTCTATAGTATCAGGTGAGCAGTATTAAATATATTCAACGTGCTCGGCAATCTATGTAGTGTATGAACCCCCTTTTTGCGGAACCGCCACGGGAGCCGTTGCCGTTCTTGATGTGTGCCGAGGCACACGACACGACACGACACGCTAATTGGCCCACTAGCGGTACCTATGTACCTATATATCACACCAGGAGGTAGGTTAGACGTATACATAGTATGACAGGTCGAAGTCCGTAGACTCGTAAACGGACGATTGGACAATTACACCGAATAACACCCCCGATCTCTTGGCCCAGACATCACCTTAAAAGCCGTACAGGTCTTTTCTGACCTCGGGATATCATAGGATAATATGCATTGTGGGTAAGCCTGTACGGACTTGCTGCTGTCTCAGTGTCTCTAAACCCGATCAACCGGGTTTCTTAGGTTTAGACACGTCTGGTCTCGCCAACCCCTATTAATAATACAGTATCTGCATGAAGTGGCGTAGTTCTGCTGTGTGGTAACTAGCCTGATTGACAACTCCTAAGTTTATTATGTGAAGCATTCGGGATGAAATTTATAAAGGGTCTAACTATTTCATATTAGTATGGGTTTTTAGTATTTTCCTGCTTGATATATCTCGAGAGAATCTTTTACGAAGGTATTCCCTTCGTTAGGCACTTATTTTGACCCCGCTAACGACGTGCATCCAACATTGCGTGTCTTACAAATGTCTATCGATTAACGAAAGTCATCATGGTTTATAATTGCCTCTTTTAGAAGTTCTCCAAGAATTATAGGTAAGCCATGTTAGGTAGTCGACCGAAGTGGGTACCGGCTCTCCGGCAGGCATATAAAAAGGTCCATAGATTCCGTCTGTTCTCCCTCTCGCAGTTCTCACCAACTTTGTGGAAGAAGGCCTCATACATAAGACTCACCCATATACTATATTGAGAAACCCCTGAATTAAGTCAACATGACTGTCGATGCATTGGTCCCCAATGACACTCGGGTCGAACATAAGTTCAAGTCCTTTGGAGATATCAAATACCACTACGTACTAGCTAAGCCGCAGGGCAAGCCTGTTGCCACTGTTCTCCTCACTCATGGCTGGTAGGTGCCCCTGAACTTGAGGAACGTCTACATTACTCACGGAATATCAACAGGCCAGACCTAGGTTTTGGATGGCGGTACCAAGTTCCTTACCTGCTATCCCTGAACTTGCAGGTCATTGTCCCGGATATGCTAGGATTCGGGCAAACATCTGCCCCTGATGCTTTCGAGGAGTACAGCTTTAAGAAAATGACCGCTCAAGTTGCGGCCATCGTTAAGGATCACACCGATGAGCCTATCATCCTTGGTGGTCACGATTGGGGCGCGGCTTTCGCTTGGTCAGTTTTCGTCCTTTATGATCTTCCTGAATAGATGTAACTGGGGATCTGGGCTCCGTTCCCTGATTTGAAAGTCGTATCATGTGGCCAATGAGCTAACATTTGTCTATCATAGGCGCCTAGTTAATTACTACCCAGAGTTGATCCGCGGAGTTTTTACCCTATGCGTGCCTTACACGCCGCCGTCGCCGGTCACGCACTCGCTGGAAGACTTCGTCAAAAGGCTGCCGAATTTCACATACCAGCTACAACTAGCCAGCCCTGTCGCAGAAAATATCGTCAACAAGTCGCCGGCGCACCTCCGGGGATTTATCAACGGCATTTTCGGCGGCACGACGCCGGAAGGAGAGCCTGCTTTCAAGGTCTCTATAGGCGTCATCGAGGAAAACCTAGAGAGGATTAGGCCGTCCCCGCTGTTCAGCCCGGAGACCATCGACTTCTACGTCCAGGAGTACTCGCGCAACGGCCTTCACGGCCCATGTAATTGGTACCGTACCACCGGCATCCGCGGCGAGGACGACCAGGAGCTTGCGAAGAAGATCGACGGCAAGATCAAGGTGCCGGCGATGTTGGTCATGGCCGAGAAAGACGCTGCGCTCCCGCCGCAGATGGCGCAGGGCCAGGAGAAGCTCTTCGAGGCGGGATTTAGGTATGAACTTGTTCCCGGCGCGGGCCACTGGGTCCATGCCCAATTCCCCGAGGTGGTTAATAAGTACATCGGCGAGTTCATCAAGAGCGTGCTGGGGGACGAACTTAAGGCCTCGCTGTAAAGCGTTAGCTTGGTCCGTAGGATGCCAACCCCACCAAGGCTAAGGGCTGTCTCTCTCTCTCTTGGATATCATTTTGATCCAAAATCTTTGTATCGGTCTCTACTGGCGGTGTGTGGTGGTTTGAAATCCACGATACATACCTGTTAGTTATATGACTTGAACTATACCTAGGTAGTGACTATAGTGTATGTAACTAGCTATGCGGGATGCAACATCCAGCCTAGCTTTATCTCGTATACTATTACTATTCTTCTATTCTTGTCGTGATGAAGAAAGACCGAGTAAACAATGTTACTATCTGCTAGCTGACTACCTATTAATAATGTGTTACGAAGGCGTTAGCCTGGGTAAGACGTGGTGGTGGTCGGTCGGTACTGCGGTCAGCGAACGCCGCCACGATGAGAAGCTACGAGCCCCTGAATTTGGCTTAAAATAAGATAAGATTGATGAAGGGCGCGGGTTTCTTCTTGGCAGAGCTCCGTAACAAATGAGTTACCTAGGCTAGGCACTTTTCCTTGTGCTTGTTATTCTTTTCTTTACCGTTCTAAAGTTTGTGGTGGTTGGTTAGGTAGTTATTTTATTTTCCTAGGTGTGTTTTTTCTCGATCTTTTCAGATTGTTTGCATGCGGCGTGGAAAAGAGGCGTAAAAAGACCTCCTTTTGGGGGGCTTATCGTGATTATGTAGATTCTCCAACTTACATGTACCTACCTATGATTATGTTACACATGAAACTCTAAATATTCAATGCTTCATGTTGTATTCCACTGTAAAGATCGGGTGCGTATCTCTTACGTAGTTTGCGTTAGGTTAGGTACATGTGTGTACTGGTCAGCCACGCATGTTGTTTCCTTGATGCTGGCCGAGATCCCTGTTGATGCTGCCAAACTGAAAGAAAATTCATTGGCGCCTCCTTAAAGAGCTTGTGTTACTCACGCCCCACAGGCGATTACTACTGGCCAGTAACGGAAGGCTGTGCAAAAGAAAATGGATGTAGGTACACGAACACGGGAATGGGGGTCCACTTATTATCTACACTGATGCTTAGGCCTGGGCTTGCTTTGGATGAATGAATGCTACCAAATGCTACCCTTTTACATTTCTACGTTTCGACCAACTTACAGGCTAGTTAGAACTGTCAGACTTTAATGCTTTGCATCGTAGCCACGACATCCGAACACTAACATCATTCATCATATTTGCGACTGTTCCATTCTATCTCTCTTTCACACTGCTGCCTGCATTTCATCAGGCCTGGTAGCTTGACCTTTACTATTCTCGTCATCTACAAGCTGAGCCATCTCGTATTTTATTACCACCCCCTTGCTTTGATACGTTGGACTAGGGGCGACTTCCAATACCATTTCTTCAAGAATAAGCTGCGAGGTCATCTCTATGGAAACTTTATACCAAAGTTAAGATTGCCCGTTACTAAATGCAAACCTGAACCGAATCTATTTCGCAAACATTGGTTTTCTATTGCGCCCGTATGCCTCCGATCCTGCTCCCTTTGTAAGATCCATTCCTTCGCGACATGGCTGGCAGGGCGCCTCCCAGAGGCACCTCCAACTCTAGGAATGATCTTTTACTAGACCTCGACGAACAACCTCCTTATGATGGATCGAGGCAACCTATACATGATGACCATTCAGCTAGACCATCCGTATCCTACGACGACTTTGTCGGCGGGAGCCAAACCACCCATCCCGTTGTAAAAAACCCTCCTCCGGGCGCCGGCGCTTCGGGTCCTCGACCGCCCTACCTAGCAGATGCCGACAGGCAATACAGCCAAACGTCTGGTCTAAGCAATTACCAACGATACGCAGACGATTTCGACGACTATCCCGATGACGGCCAATCGTACTATCAGCACGGAGGAGCGACGAACGCTACCGGCGACTCGTCGAGTCGTGCCAATGCGCGGAATCGCAATAGTGTACTCGGGTTAGGAGGTGGGTTCCTGGGCAAGGCAAAGAACATGTTCGGGATGGGTCAAAAAGGGTACTCGGAGATGGATTTACCTCTTACGGAACCAGGGCATGGCCGACTGGATTCGGGTCATGAACAGCCGAAACAAAAGAAGAAATTTGACTTTCGGTTCGGGCTTGGTGGAAGTAAACCAGATCCGTCAACGCTCGGTCCCCGGATCATTCACTTGAACAACCCGCCGGCGAACGCCGTGAACAAATACGTTGACAACCACGTCTCCACCGCCAAATACAACGTCGCAACGTTCCTACCCAAGTTCCTGATCGAGCAGTTCTCTAAATTCGCCAACATATTCTTCTTATTTACAGCTGCCCTGCAACAAATCCCGAATTTGTCACCGACGAATCGTTATACTACTATTGGTCCTCTCGTGGTCGTGTTGTTGGTATCCGCAGGCAAGGAGTTAGTTGAGGATTACAGAAGGAAGCAGGCCGATAGAGCGCTGAACAACTCGAAGGCTAGGATCCTGCGAGGCTCGACTTTCGAAGAGACAAAATGGATCAACGTTTCCGTGGGAGACATAGTACGAGTAGAATCAGAGGAGCCTTTCCCCGCCGACATCGTCTTGCTTGCAAGTTCCGAGCCGGAGGGCTTGTGTTACATCGAAACTGCGAATCTGGACGGCGAGACTAATCTAAAGATCAAGCAGGCGCTTCCGGAGACGTCAACTATAGTCAGCCCGGCGGAGTTAAGTAGGTTAGGGGGCAGAATTCGTTCCGAACAACCCAATAGTAGTTTATACACGTACGAGGCTACCTTGACTATGCAAGCTGGTGGCGGAGAAAAGGAATTGTCTCTCAATCCGGAACAGCTTTTACTGCGAGGTGCTACTCTTAGAAACACCCCTTGGATTCACGGGATAGTGGTCTTTACGGGACACGAGACGAAGCTTATGCGCAATGCTACCGCGACTCCAATTAAGAGGACCAAAGTTGAACGTCAACTTAACACGCTGGTCCTCGCGTTGATCGGTATACTTCTTGTTCTTAGTATTATATGTACCGTGGGAGAATTAGTTTTCCGGTCCGTTCGGAGAGACACAATTGCCTATCTAGAGCTGGACGCCCTTACTGAGCCCGGAGAGATAGTGCAGGCGATATTCAAGGACCTCGTCACATACTGGGTGTTGTTCTCTTCGCTGGTCCCAATCTCGCTGTTCGTGACTGTCGAGATGGTCAAGTATTGGCATGGCATTCTGATTAACGACGATCTTGATATTTACTACGACAAGACAGACACGCCTGCTAACTGCCGGACATCCTCCTTAGTTGAGGAGCTCGGCATGGTCGGTTTCGTCTTTTCAGACAAGACGGGAACACTAACCTGCAACATGATGGAGTTTAAACAATGCACAATCAGCGGAATACAATACGCGGACGAGGTACCGGAGGACCGAAGGGCCACAGTACAAGACGGCATGGAAGTTGGAATTCACGATTTTAAGCAAGTGCGTGAGAATATAAAATCACATCAGAGCGCCGAAGCGATTCATCATTTCTTGGCCCTTCTCTCGACCTGCCATACCGTTATTCCGGAGCGAGACGAATCAAAAGGCGGCAAGATCAAGTACCAGGCTGCATCGCCCGATGAGGGTGCGTTAGTCCAAGGTGCTTTGACCCTGGGTTATACGTTTGTTGCTCGCAAGCCACGATCGGTAATTATCGAAGTCGAAGGCAAAGAGTACGAGTACGAACTTTTGGCTGTCTGTGAATTTAATTCCACAAGAAAGCGAATGTCTACTATATACCGGTGTCCCGATGGGAAAATCCGGGTATACTGTAAAGGTGCTGATACGGTCATCCTGGAACGTTTGAACGAAGACAACCCCCATGTTGAGCAAACCCTGGTCCATCTTGAGGAATATGCTTCCGAAGGCCTTCGGACTCTTTGCCTAGCAATGCGTGAGGTCCCCGAACAAGAGTTCCAGGAGTGGTATAAGATCTTCGATAAGGCTCAAACCACCGTCGGTGGCAACCGATCCGATGAACTAGATAAAGCGGCCGAGATACTCGAGCACAGCTTTTACTTACTAGGCGCGACTGCTATTGAGGATCGTCTTCAGGACGGCGTACCAGAGACGATTCATACGCTGCAACAAGCGAACATCAAAGTTTGGGTTTTGACTGGAGATCGACAGGAGACGGCTATCAATATCGGCATGAGTTCTAAGCTGCTAAGCGAAGACATGATGCTCCTGATTGTTAATGAAGAAGACTCCCCATCAACTCGCGACAATATTCAAAAGAAGCTGGATGCCATTCGGAACAATACGGATGGGTCGGTCGAAATGGATGCTTTGGCTCTTGTTATCGATGGCAAGTCCCTTACTTTCGCTCTGGAGCCAGATATGGAGAAGATGTTCTACGACCTAGCTGTGATGTGCAAGGCAGTTATCTGCTGTCGTGTTTCGCCGTTACAAAAGGCTTTAGTTGTGAAGATGGTTAAGAAGTTCTCGCCGGAGATCCTCCTCGCTATTGGCGACGGAGCTAACGACGTGTCCATGATCCAAGCCGCTCATATCGGAGTTGGTATTTCGGGTGTCGAAGGTCTTCAGGCCGCACGATCAGCCGATATTTCAATCGCCCAATTCCGGTTCTTGCGCAAACTAACGCTCGTCCACGGCGCTTGGAGCTATCAACGTATCAGCAAAACCATCCTATTTTCATTCTACAAAAACATTACTCTATATATGACACAATTCTGGGTAAGCTCACGGCATCTTTTATGGCCTCCTTTGTCTTTTCTCTTAACGCGTCATCCGACCATGTCAGGCGTAGTGTCAGTGGTTCTTGAAACTAATACATTGACAGTACACATTCCAAAACGTCTTCTCTGGGGCTATTATCTACGAATCTTGGACACTGTCCTTCTACAACGTCTTCTATACCGTTCTACCCCCTCTTGTCATGGGTATTCTAGATCAGTACATTTCTGCCCGACTACTCGACCGTTACCCACAACTATATACTCTAGGACAACAAAACCAATTCTTTAAAGTCAGCACGTTTTTCGCGTGGATCGCAAATGCCGTATACCACTCTCTCATCTTATACATATTCTCCGAACTTATTTGGTACAGCGATCTAATCCTGGGCGATGGCACTATGGCGGGCCACTGGGTTTGGGGTACGGCTTTGTATGCGGCTACTCTTGCCACTGTTCTCGGAAAAGCGGCGTTGGTGACTAGTAACTGGACCAAGTACCACATCATGGCCATCCCAGGCAGTATGGTGATTTGGTATGGGTTTATTGTCGTCTATGGAATTGTAGGTCCAAAGCTTGGAATCTCGAAGGAATACGACGGTTTGGTACCAAAACTCTTCGCGAATCCTGTCTTCTGGCTACAAACCCTCGCTCTGCCCCTCCTCTGTCTTCTGCGAGATTTCGCCTGGAAATACGCGAAGAGGATGTATTACCCACAGACGTACCACCACATACAGGAGATTCAGAAGTACAATATCCAGGATTACCGTCCAAGGTATACTCTTACCTCTCATGCGTTCTATTATCGCGTATCGTATTGGCTAACAAATGAAACAGGATGGAGCAATTCCAGAAGGCGATCAGGAAGGTTCGGCAGGTTCAGCGAATGAGAAAACAGCGCGGCTACGCTTTCTCGCAAGCGGACGAAAGTCAAACCCGCGTCCTCAATGCTTACGATACGACAAGGCACAGGGGGAGGTACGGCGAGATGCCGACATCGACGCCAGGCAGGTAGTTAGAGGTTCGGGAGGAAGGGCTTTAGTTGTGTATTATATAGTCGGACGATATGATTACTACGAATCTCGCTTAGAGCCAGCAGTTGAGTTAAAAATAATAAATGAGCAAAGGTCGCGAATGACGATCGAACAATACATCCTGGTGCTACTAGGTATTGCAGACTTGTAGGCTGGTTGATGGCCTTTTGTGACATGGTGCTAGAGCGTTGTAGGTAAGTATCGTAAAAGAGGTGTATTTCATTGGCGTTGATTTGGATAGGGTGTAGTTCATGTCCTAGCCGACGACTCAACTAACATTTAGACGTGATGGACGAGTAAAAGGACCTGATCTAGAGGAAATATCTCCCTATCCATAGAGTAAAGGTGAACTTAGGTGTCCCTAGCACGACCGCCCATCTCACGATTTCCCATCTAATCGCAGGTTCACCATGCGTGCTCAATAATCCTCCAGCTTGATGACGTGGTAGGCAGGCTCTTCGTAGGGATGAGCGCTGGAAGGAGATTTCTCGGTCAGCGGAGTTGCTTCGGACATGGCATGTCTGCCCACCCCTTTATCAACCTTCACCGCTCTAGCACAGCATACCACAATTCCCACTACAACAGCTACCAGACAGCCAGTTACAATGCAAAAAGCACTACTTACCCCTTAAGCGCCCCAACAGCGGCTTTAACGACGTCCTCGCCGACGCACAGGGTCTCGACGCGGACCTCGGGGACTTCCTCGAGGGCCCCGACGGCGCCGATATGCGGGTTCGCGGCGTCGCCCGGCCGGAACTGGCCTGTGCCCAGGGTCGCCCAGCAGCACTCGGTGTAGTTCCCCGGCCCGGGGTAGCGGCCTGCGCCCGCGGCGAAGATGGCGGATTTGCAGGCTGCGAGGGCGGAGGGGGGCGCGTAGAATATTAGGGTGAAGCGCGGGAGGGCTGCCATGGGGTGGTAGGAATTGGGATTTGTCTTAACTAGAGGTTTACTAACTGCTTATGTTAGATTATACAATCCTGTGGAAAGGTATTGAAAGCGGATGGTAATAATAATAATAATAATAATAATAAGAGTGAGATCAATAATGATGAGGCGGGGATATGAGGGTTGATTTTGATGTTTCTAAGTGTTTGATGAATCTAGCCCCGCGTTGGATAGGTATGATTGGATATCTAATAGTTAGTATAACATTTCAAGCTTTGGAGCAAGCAGTTTCTATTATCACATGCCAGGATAACCCATGATTGGTCGCGGTTAACCTGCTGGTAATGATAATAAGTTTGTTTATACTGAAGTTGTATTTATAAGTACTGCAGTCAGAAAAAAGACTAATGAGCTTAGAGTCAGTTATATAAGACTGAAAAAAATTACGTGATATTAAATATACGTATACCTATTACGCATATTTATAACTCTAACTTCAAATTAAGATGAAGACTAAGAGCTTCTGCAAGCCTCTTAAGTTAAAATGTATAACTAACAACAGGATGAAAGAGCGAATATTTTTAAGAGTCTAAAATACCTCAATCTAATCTTCTACATATCATTACAACAGGGCTGTGAAGTGATTGATCAATTTAAGGTCAAGCTCTTCCTGTTGTAGTCTAGCGTTCCATAGTAAATCAGGAAATTCCGAGTTCCCGGGTCAATCGCGGACCCTTGATGCAGACTTCACGGCCGGCGTCTTAGCCTTTGGCCCTAGCGCCCTAAGCTTCTTTCCTGAAAAAGTAACAACTACAAAAAGATAAAGAAAAAAGAAAAGAAAAAAAAAAGAAAAAAAAAAAGGCCTGACCGGATCCACCTAAAAATTCATCACATTCATGTCATTTCCCTAGTTCTAATTGGCGATAAGTCCTGGCCTATTTTTTGTGCGCTGCTCTTTTTTATTTACTAACCCCCCCCCCCAAATCGACTTTGGGCTGAACAAAAGATTTATTTTGTCTGCCAATTCTTTAACAACTCTTCCGCCTCTCTACCCTTTTCCTAGACGGTAACTCCGTCGTTACCCTGTTGAGACCCGATGGCGTCGTCTTCTCGGGCCTTGAACAGGCTCACTAGCCCAGCTAGTAGACAATTATCTGTGCCTGCTGCCAGATTTACCACGACGTCATACCCGCAACAGCTAACCTCCGTTGTCGCAAGAACACGAACAAGAACAAGAACAAGAACTGCTGTTGCTCCCCGGCTTGCCAGAACCTACGCTGATGCAGCTCCTCGCCCTACCAAGAAACCCCGCAGAATCCGGAATACCATTAAATGGACATGGCGCTTTGTTTATCTGTCCATGCTCGGTGTTGTCGGTACCGTTATTTATGACGGTTACTTAGATCGTCACCCCGAAGAACAGTTTACCCCTGATCCTCAGAAGAAGACGCTGGTAATTCTTGGTGAGTAATTGTTACTGATCACCACTTGCCGCTCCATCTCTAATAATAGGGCTTCAAGGTACTGGCTGGGGCTCGGTTGCTTTGCTCAAGAAGCTCGACACTGCCAACTACAATGTTGTTGTTATCTCACCACGTAACTACTTCCTCTTCACACCTCTATTACCGTCATGTACCACCGGAAACATCGAGCACCGCTCCATCATGGAACCTGTGCGCCAGATCCTGCGTCGCAAGAAGGCTGCTGTCAAATTCTACGAAGCTGAGGCTACCCATATCGATGTCGAGAAGAAGATTGTCAAAATTACCGACAACAGTGAGGTCAAAGGAAAAGTCCACCAGACCGAAGTTCCATACGACATGCTTGTTATCGGCGTAGGTGCAGAAAACGCCACTTTCGGTATTCCTGGAGTCCGCGAGCACAGCTGCTTCTTGAAGGAGATTAAAGATGCGCAGGCTATCCGTACCAAGATCATGGATTGTGTTGAGACCGCTGCTTTCAAGGACCAGGAGCCAGAGGAGATCGACCGTCTTCTCCATATGGTAGTTGTCGGTGGTGGCCCTACCGGTGTCGAGTTCGCTGGAGAGCTGAGGGACTTTTTTGATGAGGATATCAAGAAGCTTATTCCCGATATTGCTCCGCGATTCAAGGTGACTCTCATCGAGGCCCTGCCCAACGTCCTACCCATGTTCAGCAAACAGCTCATCGACTACACCGAGAGCACTTTTAAGGAGGAGGACATCAAGATCATGACTAAGACTATGGTTAAAAAGGTGACCGATAAGACGGTCGAAGCCGAAATTTCTAGTCCCGACGGCAAGAAGTCTATTGTTACAATCCCCTATGGTTTGCTGGTTTGGGCCACAGGTAACACTTTGCGCCCATTGGTCAAAGACCTCCTAGCGCAGATTCCTGCTCAGAAGGACTCGAGGCGTGGTCTTGCTGTCAACGAGTACCTCGTTGTTCAGGGTGCGAGAGATATCTGGGCCGTTGGTGACTGCGCCGTTGCCGGATACGCACCAACCGCCCAAGTCGCCTCCCAAGAAGGTGCTTTCCTCGCTAGGCTATTCAACAACATGGCCAAGACCGAGTCTATGGAACAGAAAGTCCGCGACCTTAGCGCTGACTTAAACCTCAAGCCTGGTGACACGCCGGCCGTAGCGCAAGAAATCGAGTCCATCGAGAAGCAGCTGCGCCGTATCAAGGACGTCAAGCCCTTCCACTACTCGCACCAGGGCAGTTTGGCCTACATCGGTAGCGAAAAGGCCGTCGCTGACGTCGCGTGGCTAAACGGCAACGTTGCCAGCGGTGGCAAGCTCACTTATCTCTTCTGGAGGAGCGCTTACTTGAGCATGTGCTTTAGCAGTAAGTCTTTTTGCTTATATTTTCATCCTGCGAGAAATCAATGCTAACAACTTCCAGCGCGCAACCGTGCTCTCGTCGCTCTTGATTGGGTCAAGGCCAAGATCTACGGACGAGATGTCTCCCGAGAGTAGACGGATTTTAGCCGATAATACTTAATCTCACTGAACTAGGTACTCTGCCGCCTCGTTTTCCGAGCCCCCCCCTTTTTTTTTGGATCGGAAATGGCGAGGCCTATTTCCACCTCTATATCCATATAGCACCGCCCACCCCGCTCACCGTGTATTATTCGTCCCCTAGAGAGTTTTAAAGAGAGAGGTGAGAGGAGGTGCCCAGTCATGATATTATGAGGACGGACAGGACAGAACGGGGGGTTTTTTTCTTGTTATTTTAAGAGGCTTTTTTCTCTCTCGAGGGGACATATGGTATACGGTACACGATACATAACGCTCGCGTATAGAGAGCGTTTTTTCTACCCGTGAAAAATTAAGCTCGTAGACTAGGATAGACTTGCGGTAGGCGATGGGCTGATGCCTGAGACGCTTCCCGCTTGTATAAATAAACAGGCAAGTCATCATTAAGATAATACTTGATGGCAATTTATTGATGCTCCTTGGTGATCCGGCGCATAAGTAATGTCTGAATGGTAAGGCGTGAGTGTACTGTTAGGCTTATGCTTCCTCGTCTTGATCGTTACCTCAGAGTTTTATTGGTAATAGCGTATCGAAGTCAGATCCGCCTATGAGTTCAATCGGCTATACATTCTTCTAATAGCTATACTCGAAAAACTACCTAACCTAACACCCTATTGTCTTAACAGGTCCTCCTAGATTCTTTACCACATGCTTGATTTTGCTGTCTCCAGCTAACTTCAGCTATGCACAGTACATTTGTGTATGATCCCCAATGAGTAAAATGAGAACTAAGCAGTTCATGTTGGCGCGGGAAGCCAAGGATGATAGACAACTTCGAAGTTCTTTTCGTTCTATTTTTACTGCGTTAACTTACCTCATGTGGACGATTAACCTACATAAGGTTAGGTAGGTAGTTAACCTCCACATAGATATTAACGGCATCAACTTCCAGCTCTGCGGACTCGTGCGGAACCTACGCCCGCTGTAGTCTAGTTGCGCTCGGATTCTACAAACCGAGCACACGTGAAATAGTATGGCTAATTTGTCTGCGGCTCGGCACTGGGTTCTCTAACCATAGCGTAGAGTTTGATAGCTGTGCCGTCGTCGTCGCATTCTAGCTCCTTTGCAAACTTGAACCCGAAGCGGCCGTAGATTTGCATGTTGGGAACGTCCCGGCTGGACTCGAGGTAGCAATTCATACCCGCGGCGTCGGCCTGGTCGGTTATGGCTTTCATCATGAGTCGGCCTACCCCTCTGTTCTGGGCTTTAGGTAGCACCACCATAATGTTGAGGAAATAGTAGCCTCGCGAGTCTGTCCAGATGGAGGACTGGGCTTTAGCTTGAGCCTCTTTCCATATGTAATAACGCTAGATATTCGCTTTTAGGTTAGCAGTCTTTTGGAACTCGAGGCTGTGAAGGCCGAATAGTCGGTAGGCAGAGTAGAGATCATCCTGATCGCTCGACTGATACACAGGCTGAAACTGGCCATGGGGCGGGGCCTCTCTACGACAGCACATCCTACTCCGGCCCGGGAATCATCGTCACGCTAGTTGCACGTGCAATTTAGAGAGCTCGCCACATGCAGCTAAGCCGGCAGACCAAATGCTTGTTTTGAAGCGGAGATTTCCCCCGCGCCCGTAATTCGTTGAAGTCAGATTCTTACCTTAACATTGAGACCACCTCGGCCGTAGTAGAGGTTCATCCCGACCTGGCTGAACCACAACCGCCAGTCTTCGATCCAGTCGGACCAGCTCGGTGACTCGCCTGCCCTTTGCGGCCTTAACCAGCAAGCGACCCCAAGTACCTCGTCGCTGCCCTCTTCCTTCGCGACGTGGAAGATGCCGTTGCGCATACCCCATCGGCACCGAATGCTAAGAGAGGCGGCATTGCGTTGCGGGTTGAACTAACAGTCTGTGTCAGCATGAAGTGCGGAGATTAATCGTCATAGGAATACGGCTTCGGTAATTCAGTGTAGGTATTTGCTTAATTGGATGGGTGGTACATAAACGGAAAGTATCTCGAAGGTAAAATACCAATGTCAGTGCTACTTAGCCATCCCTACACCCTTGAAACGAATCTTGGCGTGCACAATGTTCGGTAACGAAAGGACCATGCATACCGTAGATTTGTCAAAGACCCAATTGTTGTATGGATCGTCGGCAAAGGCTTGTCTTCGGTGATAGGGTCGTTAGCATGGGTTGTTCTGTTACACGGAGCTGAGGAGGTTCATCAGCCTCAGCGCCCTCTCTTTTGCTTAGGTCACACGCGGTATACCGATTCATTGTTCCGTTACTCTATACTGTTACCCACCGACGGATTCTTAGGATAAAAGGGAGGATACTTACTGGATGGCGGACACAGCGCCTGGGATGTCTGCCTCGGCGAGGGGAGAAACTCGTATTGGCATGATGACGGGCTATCCGATTCGGCGGAATCAGCCGACTTACACAAAGAGTAACGCTGGATGCTCGGTAAAGATTGAGCAACAATTGCGTAGGTAGCGTCTATACACAGCTAACCCAGAATATCTTATAATTGCAACGAAAAAAATAAAAGCAAGGCAAAGTCAAATTTATAGTCTTGATTTTTATGCGTACACATGTGAGTTCGGCTTAACTAGCGCGTGATATGGGAAATGGCAGTGATAAACTGCATAACATAAGTATTAACTTACATAGATAAGGTTATACTTATTCGGGAGTACCTCGGGATAGCAGTCAAGATTTGGGCAGTCGTGGTTTGGTGATAAACCTTAACTTTTATTCTTGTTAAATTTGGATAGTGCTATCATGTACAGAGAGCCAACTTCCCAACTTTCCAACTTTCCCAACCTTCTCAACTTTCTCGACTTTCCCAACTTACAAACACAAGAGAAACAAAACGGTAACACACCTTTTTATTGACAAGGTCAAACCAGATGCGGTCCGACGTGGTAATCTGGGATAAGCAATCTCAAAAAGCTTGATAGAGTAACAACTAGATCTTCCTTAAGATTCCTTCTTAAGAAAAGCTTGCGATGGCTTGGCTTGGGTTGGCGCCGAGGCTTCTATTACGTGTAAAGTTACGTATATTATTCCCTCACGAAGGAGGACTCCCAATGAGAAGTATTGATGGTCGTAATTCATTGGAGTATTTGTCGTACATCTCTTTTTCGGCATAAGAGACTACGTAACTTAGAGTCTTAGAATTACTAAGAACGAATGAGTAAGTAGGTCCATACTTAACAGTCAAACGATGCCGTCGCAAATTTGCCTCTTTCACTCAATATGTCACGGCCATCGCCAGATACCTCCCAGCTATCGCAAGACTCTCGAAAGACTCCATTGCCACAGGCCCGAGCACAAGACTGAAATTCGATATGCCAGACGCTGCTGATTTGTATCAAGTTTGGCGCCGTCGCTCATTATCCCTGTCTGAAACCCAGCAGACTCCGCAACTATTCCTTGTTCGAGACGGGATCCCCCGGTCATCCTGTCACAATATCAACTTCAGGTCAAGGCGGTACCATCAACATCGACCTTAACTCGTCCTTAAGAGACACTGGCGAAAACACCAGTAGTTTCGCTGCGCTGCTTTATACGGGCGACATTAGTCCCCTTCAAGTGGGAGGGAGAGCCCTCTTACACCTCAACCAATTTTCGGACTCTTGCGTCGACACCGACGCGCTTCTATTTGGCTATGGCCCCGGTAATTATTATATCAGCACAGTAAATTCATTGAATATGGCACGAAATTATCTAACATTTGCTTATCTTTACAAGAAGTAAGTGCGCCTAGCATGTTAACCATCATATCTAAAAGTTTCAATTGATACCTATACCTAGCTTGTGTGAGTCGTTGTATAAGTAAAACTCCAGCAGCATACCGTCAATCCCCTTTCGCGAAGACTCTATTGGTATGTATGTATTGGTATGTATTGGTATGTATTGGTATGTATTGGTATGTATTGGTATGTATGTATTATGTATCACGGGCCTAAGCAAGAATAATACCACATGGGACAGTCATGCCGGTCAGCATGCTGGTCAGGGATATGACCGTCCTGGGCTCGTTGAAGCGGTACAGGGGCCTTCATTACATCCCTGAGACGCGTTGCACTAATTAAGCCTTAGCCTCTGAATCTCAACTTGGCTGCTTAGAGACATGAGATCTAATACGACTCTGAATTGCACCTTCTTCTCTATTACTTCGTACCTCCGTGACTCTTGGCTTTTTCGACTTTGTTTTCCCCCTTCTTTCCTTCTCTTTTTCTTCCAAGGCGGGCCTTCTTGTATTCTATTAGTCAATCCTCAAACTTGGGTTCTTGGTATTCTATTCATTCCGTCCTGTCGTTTTCGGTGTACCCAACCAGATACGTTTTCGGGGTGACTTTAATAACATTCGTCTTTCTTTTATCTTGTTCACATACTGGTTATGTTATGAATTCAGAAAAAGTGCTTGGATGCAGAGCATTTCGGCATATAATAATAGCTTCTGAACGATAACATGCCGCCATCTAACAGGAGACGACAATCCCAGGACGCTCAATTATGGAGGGGTTCACCAAAGATGGAACAGCGGTCGACGCTATTCTCGCGTACGGGTTTGGGACGTAGGAATACCGAAGACGATGCTCCTGGCACTAGAAATTCGAGGGCGCGACGGATTGTTAGTCGAGCCGACAACGAGATCGACAGTGATTCAGACGATGATCTTAAGGATGGTCCAGGAGACTTGAGCGACGATGATAGCGATGACAACGATGACGATAAGATCGGCGACTCTCCACAGAAAACAACTCGGTTACCTACACCAAGCTTACCTACACCAAGCTCTTCAGGGTCTGTCGTTACTCTAACTGCGCGACCAAATCCAACTAAAACTACTACTTCGTTAATGATCATGACCACTACCCCCATATCGCAATTGTCATCTACTTCCACGCCGTTGTCTATTCCGGTATGTTCATCTATCAATTCAATCTCGTTAGAAATGAACTAATAACTTGCCGATAGGTTTTTTCGGCTCCTCCCAGTCTAGGGAAAGCTTTCCCTGTACAACAGGGTAAAGAGGAGGGTGATGACGACCATCCTGATCCGGGATCACCCATCACTTCCCAGTTTATTCCCACAGTTACCACTGGGCAGTTGTCTACGGGACCAACATTAGTACCCGTAGCCTCAGATACCGTGGGCGATAGCGATGATGGGCCTAAGCATAAATGGTATGGAGATAAAGGTCCTCAAGAGGAACCGCAGGGTGTATTGAATCCCACAGCAGAGCACCTCCTCATTGCCGCAGGTGCAATAGGTCAGTAGATTTTTCTCACATTTCAGCAAAATTAGATGGCTAATACGTCCAAGGTGCTTTCATTTTATTCTGCTTTATCGGATGGATTATCTACAGGGTCTTAAAGAGGACGAAGGGTCAGGGCATTGGCATTAGCGGCGGTATGGGACCCATCGACAACTTCTATGAGAAACAGAGAGGGTCGATAGATAATCGTACGTTATACATGTCTAACGAGGCGCCCCCCCGTTACGAGCAGGGAGGGCGTGGTACCATGCAATCAGGCAACTTCTATGGCCCTATCAAAGCGTATCCATCAGGACCTGGGAGTATAGCACGCTCAGTTGCCTCAAATTCCGAGGCAGGAACCCTTCGACAGTTACCAGATAATAACCCACCGCTTGCGAGCATCATAAACCAATATATCCCAGGGAATGGAGGCGCCTCAAATAATAGCGATATCAACATGACTATGAGGTCTCAAGTAACCCAGCCATATTACAACGAACCAGACCTTCCTCGCCAACCAGAAACATTCAATGCGCCGAAACGGGCTGGAACCCGAGCTAGCGAAATATCATCCATCTCTTCTGGATTCGGGGACGGTGACATCATCATACCTCCGTCCTCAGAAGCGGATAAGTCCGGACCTGTTCCGGACGAGGAGAACCCTGGCGCTCGAGACTCGTGGATGAGTCGGCCAGGCGAAAGGAGGGAAACGGTATATACGGAAGCGAGCGAGGACCGTCCAGCTCGGTTTCGCTCTATAACCAGCTGGGTCAACCAGCAGGCAGGACGAGCGAAGAGGGCGGGTTCGAGGGCGCGGGAGCGTGGAGAAGTGCCTGTTATGCCAGCAATCCCAGGCCAGATAAGTGCAACGCGACAGACCGCTTACCGGTGATGGATGATACCACATAATACTAAAAGAATTCAACACAATACTTTTATTCTCTTCTTCGTTGCCCCAATCCAGGAACCCCCCAAGGAACAGGATCCATAGCGAGAACGCAACGAAGAGAAATTATAATTTAACTTTAAAGGGGTACATGACCTCGCGTTCATTCGTGTTGTCAATAATATACATTACAATCCACGCTTACAATATCGGTACCGAGTGGATGGTGAATTACAATATCACCTAACCTAGCGTCTTGTACAATTAGGTCCCATATCCTTCTTGGGGTTGAGGACAATGCTGTTTCAGCACTTTCAGCACTTATACCATGCAGTTCCCATGTTGGCGGGGGTCGGGGAGTCACACGAGGGAGTGTTATTATAGAAGAACGGATGACGATGAATACTTGTTACATAGAATTGACTTATTCTGACTAGTTAGTTTAACTTAACTACCTCCATACCGAGTTCTTTTTTAGAAGTTGAAAGTGAACCAGAAGGTAGAATTAGGCTCTCCATAAATCTGGATACGTACATGGTTGGAAGATATCGGGACGTGGAAAAATATCTCTTATATTATTAATAGAGAAAGAATCAGAACTGCCTAGATCAACCCCGGGTTTTATTCTTGTCTTGGATGGCAAACTTGCAGCATATGACTAAAGTTCAAGGTCTTGACGATCTTGACATAGCTCGGAAATTTCAAGTGATCAGTTTTTATTCCTGCGAGTAAAACGGACGATCTTATGTGGAGTGGCTTCCTATCGTTACTAATAGTGGACAAGCCGTGAAGACTCGTTACCGATAGATGGAGGGCGGGTACATACTATGGTCGGGGAGATGTGCTGTTGATAGTTATTGATTTTCATACGGAATACATGTTTTTCATATATGTAAGTTAGTCATTTACGCACCTAGGTTAACTTACTTGAATAAACCTTTGCGTAGGTAGGAAGATTTACTAGACGCGCGTTGTATTATGTTGAAGCTGAGTTGGCTTATATCTTTTTAGCTGTTTAGGTACATAGGTACCTTAGGTAACCGACCTGTAATGAGAAAAGAAGCGAGTGGATTCAAGATTCAAGGTTACCGACGTCCGAGCTGAGTCGCATAGCCCCTCTTGCCCTGTGGCTCGGCGTTCCTCCAACCGGTACGAATAGCGGGGTGGTCCCCTGTAATATTCACATAATATTCACAGCAAAGTTCCCTGCAGATGCCATAATTAGGTACCTAAGGTATGTATAGCAGGGTGGCCTCCACTTTTAAGGGAATTCTTGAGTGACCCAAGCTGCAAACAAACAACCTTGAGCACATGACGACAATGAGACATCGGGTCGCAAACGCCTCCTTCGCAACTAGCCTTGGTGACAATAAGGTGCCGGCGGCTGCACCTCACGCGGGCATGTTCATGTATATTATTATATACCTATGTAGGTAGGTATGTATTCGTACATAAGTACCTACTTAGATTTAATAACTATCGAATGTTTTATTTCTCATCATATCTTCATCTTTTCATCGCATCGCAGTCTTGATGTTTTAATATAATATACATTTAACTAACCACACGTTTGGATGTACATATGTACATGATTGTCATCTTGGCCCTTTTTTGACCCCTGGTGCGCCTCCATTGTTCTCGGAAGGCATAACGACGATATCGAGGCTGAGTCTATTGTGCCGACCCGCGCCTAGCTTTTTGGCTTCGTCACCCACTACTGGCTGCTACTTCTTTCTTTTCCATACATTGTCCACTTAGGTCAGCTGCGACTTGTTTTGGAAGTCACGTATTTTAGAACTCTAGCTTCCTACCTTCTCTTAACTACTTGGAATATTTTGTATCTTGTCCACCTTGTCCATCTTGTCCATCTTGACTAAGCTTTGTACACTACAACTACATACACCACATACCTACATTACACCATATCCCCTACAACTATCACCTATAACTACAACCGACAGATGAGCCGGTACAGAATACTTGGCACAACTTTTGCAAAATGCTCGACGAGAACTTACCAACCTTCTTCTTCAGACCCTCTAATAATCCGCTATGTAGGATCTTATACTTCTCTCAAAATGGCTCCGAGCCGGCACCTGAATACTCACTGCAGAAAATAAACCCGGACCTCCCCCAGTCCAGGAATAAGTACGCCGTGGCCTTGGGAGACGCGAGCTTTCAGGATGTAATCTTAGCCGAGGTCCTGATCGAGCCCGAATTTCAGCAGCCTACTCTGTCCGCTGCCGAAATCAGACAACAGAATGGTGTTCCACCCCCACCTGTACCTTTGATCCCTGACGGATTTGCCATACAGCTCTACAACCCGGAGCAGCAGGTTGTGGTGAAGGGTGAAAAGAGCACCTGGACCGGGAAAGAGTCGTGGGAATTTGAAATGCCTCAGCAGAGCTTTCGCATGCCCTCGGTGTCTAAAGTTGATCGCCAGCAGAATGACCCTGTCGCAAGTAGTCTCACACCCAAAATCATGTTCAGGTGGAAGAGAGATAGTAAGTTCTCTAAGGACATGACATGCTACATGACAGGCACATCAGTCGGTGGCAAGAAGAGCAAGGACCCGGATATTACAATAGCGTTATATAAAAGCGGGAGGGAACCTAGTGTCACCATTTACGAGCCGAATCTTCAGAGGGTAGATATAGAGGATCGCAAAGGTCTCGAAGTCGTATTGCTGCTCGGCGCTGAGGTCATTCGCGAGATATACTTATTCCCCAACCGGGACTCGTTCAATATTGCAGGCTCGGCAAATAGGCGCAAGAACTCGCGGCCTAGTCCAACCTCATCTACATCACCACGTCTTATGACCGGCGCATTCGGCAACCTCCCTCCCGCAAAGACCACTTCCCCCGTCACCCAACAGCCCACACCTCCTGCAGAATCTAGTATCGACGTCGAGACCAAGCGTCTACAGGCCTTAGTCCAGCAAGAAGAGCGTGAGCGCGAGAAGCGGGACCGCGCAGAGCAGAAGCGCATCAAGAAGATGCTTGAGGAAGAGGAAAAAGTGCGCCAACGTCGTGATGCTGAGGTCGCCAAGGAGACGGAGAGGCTCCGGAAGGAGTTTGGCATAGAAGGCCAGGACTTTGGCCCGAAACCAAACCTACCGCCCCGACAATCCGTCGCTGGGCCCAGCCGCACGCAGCTACAACCACCGGTCCCACCGCCGCGGCCCGTGAGCGCGGGACCGAAACCGCATTCGCACGGAGGAGGGTTCAGCAGCTGGTTCCATGGTGTGGGACCTACGCCTGGTGCTCCTATGCCGCAGGCTTTGGGGTATGGGTATGGGTACGGGTACGGGCAGCAGTTGCAGCCGAATTCGGGGCGGAGGAGGGGCGGGAGCGCGGATAGTGGGACTGGGAGCGGAAGCGGGAAGATGTTGAAGAAGAAGAGTACGTTGTTCTGAGGAGTATATAAGTAAAACTGGATTTGGGACTTGAGACGTATGGTGGGGATTAGGTGGTATTATAGAAACTCAAGTTTGAACAGGCTGGATCTAGGTCCGGGGAGGTTTAGGGCTGGGAAGGAAGGCGAGTGCGTAGGTATTAAGGAATACGTGATTTTAATGATACCCATGAGAATTTTGGTCTGTCTTTTGTTTTCCGGTGAATTTGCTGTGGTTGGGTCGAACGGTGTCGTGGATTATGAATTGCAGATACCTAAAATCCCCATCTTTAAGGGGTGTAGTAATTATATGAGTCCACACAGTAATGACCAAGAATTCTTTGGAGAAACACTTTGAGGTTCTGCCTAGATGGCAAATCTATTAATATCTCACTTCCTTCTGGGCACCTGGGCAGCTTCAAGTCTCGATCTTGACGAGTGATGTTACTATCACTGATTCTAAGATTACACTTTTGGTTTACTCTGGATATTTGCTACAGCCCATCTAAGCACCTAGTCTAGATTCTCGATTAAATAGATAGGCGTGAAACCTCCAATGCCCTATGGAATCAGGTGGTTTCTTCTACTATCGAAAATGACCCAGTCTGGCTCTTGATGAAACTACTTACTATTATATATTCGACTGGCATTTGTAGCGTCGACTGTATCGAACATATTTTAGGATCGGGGGGTACGTGCTGCTGGTTATTGATTGCCATGTATCAAATAAGAAGAAACTATTCGAGTCTTGCAAGTATCAGTACTCTGGATCTTACTCCTCGTTTTAGTTGCAATATACTACGGTGTGCAGCTTTTAAGGGGGGCTTTAAGCAAATTTTAGGTGATATTTTTCATCTTTTCGCCTACTTTAGGAGTTGATTTATTTAATAATATTTTGTATGGTGAAATTGGTCCAAGATCATTCTAACTTGTGATCTGTGGTCTTGTGACCGACAAGTACTTGTAGCGGTTCCGTGCACATCTATCCTCAACGTCGTTGCCTTGTGTCGTTGCCTCATGTCGTGAGCCCCTCACTGCACTAAATTCTCTACTACAAACCAGCTATGTACTCGTGACAATAACAAGTAAGTCTTGCGGTAAATCAACTCCCTCCTTCCTGCAAAAAAAAAAAAAAGACGAGGTGGTCTATGCAAAAAGCTCTACCTTAGGTATCTCTCATCCCCTCTTCTCTTCCCAATCACCACTTTTTCCTTTTCTACTACCAAAGCCTATAACAATTCACAACTCACTACAACTCTCTACTCAATATTGAACATCGCACATAACCTTCAACATATCAACTCTTATTCTATCATCTACAACCATCATCATCCGCCACAATGCCGCTCCCTCGAGGAAAAGGCATCTCCTGTACCCTGAACAAATGTGACATCACCATAGCTGGGCCCCTCGGCGACGACTGGACCTACGAGAACGTTGCGCGCTGGACAACGTACAACGGCGGCATCTTCTGCAACGTTGTCGACAAGGACGTGACCCATGTCCTCGCTACGCCTGAGCAGTACAAGGCGAAGACCCCTAATATCAAGCTGGCCATTAAGTACAAGGCACATATCGTGACCAAGGACTGGTTTGAGGATTCGCTCTATAAGAAGCGACGCTGTAAGTTTTTTTTTTTTTTAAAAAAAAATCTCATTGCATCATTATGTTTGCCTAGAGTTACTTGTTTCTATGAAGTATCTTGCGGGATAGGAACTCACGACTGGAACGGTGTCTGATACTCATCTATGAGCAACGATGGTGTATACTGACACTATGCTTTTTTATAGTGAACGAGGAAGATTACTCGCTCAAGAGTATCGACCAGAAAGCCAAATCCAAGAAGGAACTCGAGGCAAAGGCGCAGAAAGGGATTGAGCAGGCTGAATCCTTCATTAACACAAGTAAGTTCCCACTCCGGAACCTTCTCCCCTTCTCCCCCCCCTTATATCTACCATATTTAGAAAATAACAACTAACATCCACTCAAGACCTTTATCACATCTACCGAGATGATACCTACTTCTCCTATGAAATCACCCTCACTCGTAACGACAAGGAGAATGGAAATGTTGGTCAGAGGTACCAGCTTTATGTAAGTCCCCCTCTCACTCTCAACCGCCCATTTCTAACTCCCTTGTCAGCTCTGGGAATCAAACGCCAAACCGCACCTCTACCAGTTCGCGGCCAAATTCTACAAGAAGCCTCGCGACAGCCGTCCTTCGATCCATCGTCCGCGAGAGACTCCCGTACTCCTAGAGACGGCCTTGAAAGACTTCAAGGTGTTCTTCTACCAAAAGACCGGTATCCACTGGAACGACCGCATCGCCAAGGCGGGAACCACGGACAAGAGCAAGTTCCGGTACCAACCTCCTGTAAGTTGGACTTTCCTTCTAGTACTAACTATCTGATTAAAAGTGACTGACAAAATGTAAAAAAATAGACCGGCGGAAAGCCAGTAGGCGCCCTCGACGACCCAGCCCCCGAGGGCTGGTCCATATTCGGCAGCGGCACCGATTCGGCGTCGAGCACCAAGAAGGACCAGGAGCAGGCAGTGGATAAAGCCGTCAGCCGCAAGCGCAAGAGCCCCGTGGAGCCTGTCCAGCGCAGCGGCAGCGAGAAGCGACAGCGCCTCGAAAAGGAGACTGCGAAGGAGAAGAAAGATGACAAGAAAAAGGTCGAAAGGGAGAAGGCAAAAGAGCGGAGGGAAGAGAAGCCGAGCTGTGAAAACTCGGTTTCCTCCCGCACGAGCGGCAAGAGCGCGGCCGTTACCAACAACAGCAGCAACATCAACATCAACATCAACATCAACAACAAGAAGAGAGCTCGTGCCTGCGAGGACGACGGTCTTGCCGTCAAGAATCACGAGACGGCCAAGCGCCAAAAGGTCCAGGAAGCCGGTGCCGATATACACGCCGCGACGGCCAACGCGCCGAGCGACGGGGAACAGCCCGAGAAGAGTGATCTCTCGGCGGTAGCCCGCGCCGTGAGAAAGAGCCGCGAGAGAACGGTGTAAAAGTGCCGCAGGGGACTGACGATAGCGAGAAGAAGAAGAAGAAGGAGGCGGGAGGCGGGAAAGGCCGTGAGGATACAAGATGTTGTCGACGATATATCCGACATGACATGACATGATATGTCAGAGGAGGAGGAGTAAGTGAATGAATGAGTGAGTGAGTGAGTGAGTGAGTGAGTAACGTGGACTGCTGGACTGGATAATAGATGCACGAATGAATGTAAGAGGGAAGCGATGAATTTCGGATACTCAACTCACTCACCGCCATGGGCGGTGATTTACCATAGATACCCATCTCGCTTTTGCTCTTGCTCTTGCTCTTGCTCTTGCTCGAGCAACATACTGCTACATATTGCAAGCGTTGATTTGATTTGATTCTAGTTAAATGGTAGATAGCCGCTGCCGTCTCGCCCTCGGGGGGCCGAATAAGAATAGGACTGCGAGTGAACTCTTACACTTAGAATCGAGTAACCTAACTACCTGTCTGTCTGTCTAAGCTATCATACCATACCGCAACACAGCGGAAACGCCTTCGCCTTACTTGCAAAGTAGACCAGCTCGCCCAGCTACCTAGGTAGGTACCTAACGTAAATGCATCCATCATCACCAAAACATCGTAATATCATTCATAAACTTGTCCTGTCAAATCAACGCTACCAGGGTACCCTACCCTACCCTACCCTACCCTTCCCTTTCCTTAATCCCCCTTTTTTTCCCCTTCACCCCCTTTTCTCTTCTTCTTCTTCTTCTTTTCTCTCCCCCCTTTCTGTCTCAGCCAATCACCTTCCTTCCCTCCCTCCCACCTAAAACCGCAACTTCGGAAACACAAAAACAAGCAGCACGGCAAAAACCGCCAAGCCCGCTATCCAGAGATACAGCATCATCCGGCCCCACCAGCCCTTGCCCTCCGTCAGCCGTCTCAGCGCGCCCATGCGTCCCGCGACCGCGCCCAGCCCGCGCTCGTTGCGCTCCAGGCTGGTGCCGGCCGCGCGCACCACGTCCTGGTCCTCGCGCAGCGACGACGCGAACCGGTGCGACGACTCCTTGAGCGCGCGCGCCATGCCGACCATCGATTCCGTGAGCTTGTCTTGCTCGGCGCGGTGGAGGTCCATGATTGCTTCTGTGGTGGTGGAGGCGGCGCTGGCGGTTGGGTCGGCCCGGGCGCCGAAGAGTTGGGTGCGCAGCGCGCTGGTGGAGGCCGTGTCTGGCGGCGGGGGTTGTTGCGAGGCGTTGCCGCGGGGCCGGAGGGTCTGCGATGTGCTGGTTCCTGGCCCTGAGGGTGTTGGTTCTGGTGCTGATGAGGGTGTTGCTGTCGCTTGATGTGATTGCGTTGCGCTGGATGACTGCTGGCGATGGTCTGGGATTTGCGACTCGGGAATAAGAGACGGTGACTCTTCTGTCTCTATCTCCGCCTCGTCGTTTTGCTGGTCTTCTACATCATCGGTATCATCTCCCCGTTGGCCCGCCGCCGAAGTCGACTCAATACTCTCGCTTGGGGTATGGATGATATCGCCTAGCAAATCCTCGCCTTCGGAACTGTCATCGTCACTATCCACGCTGATCTCCTCGAGCTCGCGAAACCTCTCGGTGATTTGCTCGAGGACCTCCCGCTTCCCATTTAGATCGTTCTGCACCTCCTGTCGTCGCGTGTGTACTTTGATCGTAAGCGCATCATGCTCTAGCTTTGTCAGGAGCGATCGGGCGTAGTCGATGTTCTAGAAGCAGTTGTATGTCAAGTTAGCTCTTCTAACATCTATTAAACCAGAGGCAAGTGATCTAGATCAAGTACATACGACCCTAGCTTTAGCGCGCTCATACTCGCTTATTCTCAGTCGTCGCTCTCTCTCGGCATCGGCATGGAGAATGTTCTCTTGTAAGCGGTCGAGGAGACGGTTAAGATCTGGCAGGGAATCCGGGCTGGATATGGTTCGCTTCTGGGTGATGGGCGCCTGGGCTAGTCGCGCCATATTGGAAAGTTGGTAGTGATCTTTGGGGGGGTTTGAAGTTGCAAGTGTACTGGATTTCAAGAACTCAAGAAGGAGAAAGCTGAGGAGTATTGGCGGTAGGATACCTAAGCTTAGAAACCTTGTTTTGTGAGAGTTTAGATGTTGCCCGAGTTGGTGACACGAAGCACGCGTCTTTGTATGTAGGTAGGTACATATGATGTATGACTGGTTCCGTTGGTGGGGCATCCGGTCCGCAACTAGTGTAATAGAACTAACTTACCTTACCCCCCATCCCATAACCATAAGCAAGGGTCCCTTCCCTCTTCCCTTCCCATCGTAAACAAACCAAAACCTTTCGAGGTGACACGACATCGGCACATGTAGGTAGGTACCTATATTGTACAGGTACCAGTCTTATACCTCACCTCTACGCTAATAGTTTGGGCATTTGACCTAATCTTTACCAAATTATCATCAATTTTTAGAGGAATATATCACATGTAACTTAGGACAAATCGCAGAGAAATAGGTGCCTATAGTAAGAATACACCGATACACGGTTTTGGACAGTTATGACCATATTCACAAATGCAATCACATAGAGACATAAAATCATCGAGTTCTCAAAAGTCAACGCCTATATTAGCAATGCAATTTCTAGCTTGCATCGATAGGGGTATAATGATAATTATCGCTAGCCCCTTAAATTGACCTTCCCATAATTCTACCTCCCCCCAAAATTAGCTCACCCCTAGATCATAAAAACCTCTATTCTATGATCCTCCTAAGTAACTACGCACGGCTAACGTCTCGCGCTGTTAGATGCGTTTTCTAAGAAGTGCAATAGAAAATTCCTATCTGCGGGAGATAGAGGAGCTTGGCTCTCATGCCTCGACGCGTTCCCCCGCAATCCTGGTCTCCCTTCGCCTCCGCTAGAAGCAACTGAGCCCAACCGGGATCGCGGCGCCGCGCTGGTACTGAACTGGTCGAGCGTCGCCGGCTCTTTCCCTTTGCTCTGTTCGAAATTTGACGGCGGCTTTCCGAAAAGAGATAAAAGAGCACTCTTTTGCTCGGCAGTTGAGTCTTGCCGGAACTGTACGCTACCAGGAACCGGTAGTGCTGACGCAGAAGGCGGACCTTGGAGCAGCGACAGCGGGTTGTGTTGACTCCCGTGTGAGGTACCGTATGGATAAGAGTGCGTCGAGTCTGCGTAAGTCCTCGGTGACGACCGGCCGTATTGTTGTGCCTTCTGTGGTACCAGCTGATATGGCTTCGGAGACGTGTTCGTGAAAGAAGGCGAACCCTTACTGAACGACCTATGACTAAGCTGTGATGCTGTGACTGGGTACTGGCCCGTTTCTGACCCGGCAGCTGAAGCTACTCTGTTCTGACTTGGTGACTGTTGTCCAGGTTGAGGGCGAGATAATATGGTAAGTGCTCGGAATGGAAGGTTTGCTTCAGGGTTCATCTGTACAGAACGGCCATTCTCGTGGGCTGCAGATCGCAGGGAACCGGCATTAGAATGAGACTGGCTGGGCCATTGTTGTTTCTCTCCTTCGCTCAATCGGGAAGAACGACGCGTTACTATTTCCCTATCGGCCTCATGTTGTGATGCCGACGACTCGGTCTTCTTGAACATATTAAGTAAATCTGAGCGATGTTTATCGGTCGGGAGTCTCGGCCGCGCCTCAGGCCCCGATGGCGCTGCATGACCATTGTTTATCGACGTTTTGTTCAAATCGGAAAGCATGGCTGTAGCTTCGTATTGGCTAGCAAATGCATTACCCGATGCAGAAAACTGGTGTTGGGGATTCTGCATCGTTGGCATGTTCGAGATCTGTCCTGATAATTCCGGTACAAAGCCTTGGTTCATATCTGGCTGTGTTACGCCACCCTTAAGGACATTCAACAAGTTGGCTGGATGCGCAGGTAGTTCGGTAGGCATTGTCCTTTCAGGATAACCGCCTTGCGTGCCATGATTATGAACCTGGGGACCGTATGTGCCGTAGTGATGTCCTTGTGGTAATCGGGAAAGTCCTGGCTGCGTAGTCGTATTGTCCGTGACCTGTGGGGAGGAAGCCATGCCACGCAGGAGCATAGCCTTTTGTACCTGCGGGGGTAATGGTTGGGGATGTACAAGTTGTACCGGCTGATTCCGGGATTGACGCGGTTGTTCCGAAGATTCTGGGGGACCAGGAAGCTCGGTAGTGACGTTAACGAATGGGCGAGCTCGGTGTTGTTGTGTATAGCTTAGATTCGGATTTGCTTCGCCTGTCGACCGTGCTGCTCCATAGTTTATATTTGGATTTACATCAGCCGTTAACCGTTTTTCTCCGTACATTACGTTTGGATTTGCATCAACCAGCCGTGCTGCTCCGTAACTGGAGGTAGGTCCATGCTGCTCGGGATAATGGTGATGCGGAGCTACTGGTTTAGGGGCATTGATTGACGTAGGATCAAATGGTATGTGAGTCTTCCCCCCTTGTGCTTGTCTAGATGCCTCCTCGTCACTTGATACCTTTGGTCGCAAAAGAGATAGGAGGGCTTGCCCTGCCTGCTGATCTGAGGTCGGTGATAATATCTGAAGACCTTGCGTAGGTGGCTTCACCTTCAACAACCTATGCAGCTCTTTCGTTGCGCTATCAATAAATTCCGAGTTTGTACCTGCGGGTGGTACTTGGACTGGTTCGTGGATGACATTATCATCCGTCAAGTTTTCCTCATAGAACTGGGGGTGGTGATGAGCGCTAGGGTGTCCGAATTTCTGGGCGTCCAGCTTCTTCTGCTTCATCACCCATTGTCGTAACTGAACCATGAATGGAGCGACCATATAGAACTTGTCGTTGGAGGGGCCTCCGTTCTTCCCGGCACCTTTCCTTTTACGATATGCCGGTAATTCTTCGACCTTGTACCACTTGATGCCCCCAATTTCCTTCCTGGTTCTTGTTTCAAAGACAGTATCTTCCGGTACGCCGCGAAACACATAGAGCCGGACCTGTTGGTCATGCATAGTAACCTCGAGGGGGTGGACTGGTTCATTCTTGTCAACAAGACCAGCTTCCCGGAGATCGTACCCTGTCTCTTCGTAAACCTCACGGATAGCGCAATCAAGGTCGTCTTCGTTTTTGTTTATCTTCCCTCGTGGAAAACTCCAGCTCGCTCCTTTCTTGTAACCCCGAACAAGGACAGCCGCATCCATATCGTCGTTGAGCATAACTGCTCCTCGGACAGGTACTCTTGTCTTATATTGCATGAATTCTTCGAAAGCTTTGATATGACTCTCCGCAGAGAATGATGCGAGTAGAGGACAATGCTGGAACATCTTAAGACTAAAAATCCGCAACGACATAGACGGTAAGGCAGGATCTAAAGGTCGGATGAAATCTTCGTAGAACCATTGTGCTTCTTCAATTTGGAAGCATATGCGCGCTACTGAGGACAGGTCTTCTCGGGGGAGGTTTATGATGAATCGAACGCAGAGGTCGTCCAGCCCTAAGGAATAATGTTAGCTAATATCTCATCAACATATGACGCGCTTAGCGCCACGCCGAAATCAACCGCCAGATCAAGATCAGACAGATACCGTCTCTAGAAAGCGATAATACATACAATCTTCTAATGTCATTTTGTATTGCGCCATACTGGACTCTACTTCCTTGCATGACCACAAGTTGGGCAGAATTTTATGTTGAGCTGGAGAGCCGGCCAATTATAGGACGGCGCGACAAGCAGGCGACAAGTGAGGGGTGGCGTGGGCGGTAGCTCTCGAAGCTTAAGAGGCACGACTGCGCTGGGAAATACTACTGTCAATTAAATGATGCTGATGAGTTATGATTTAATACGGGATCTGATTGATTTTAGGTGAGTAAGGTTATGGCGTTAGACGAAACGAATAGTGAGGAATAGTGAGGAATGAATGAAAGCTGTTTGGGAGTTGTTAAGTTGACAGTTAGGTAGGATCTGTCTGCCGATGTGGGGATCGAAGGACGATAATAAGGTTGTTGTGGCTGATAAGCTCGTAGTTGTAGAACGTGGCCAGTGCTGATTGCATATGGAACTTGCCAAGCCTCCAATATGTACATACTGTACAAGCATATACGTACATACATATGTACGTACCGAGATACCCAAAAGGTACCCATCTGGGCAGCTGTGCAGTGAGAATTTTCAGTTAGACAGTAAAACTTTTAACAGATCAGAGCCTCAATATCTGTATGTATAAGTTGCGGCTACTCGTGGGCAAATTTGCCACTTATACGTGTTTTAAAGCATCTGTACCTATTTACCCTTTAAAGAACCAGGAGGTAATTAAATCGTTTGGTATCTATATACGTTGTTAAAACATTTCATTACCTATATATAGGTAGTTCGACAATGGTATGTTTAACCGGATGGCGAAACTCGGGATTTATTCGTTTTAATATTAAATCGATATAGCAAGCATGAAGCAATCTATCTATCCTATAAAACACTTACGTACCTCACGAGAGTCATTATTACGTAGCAAAAATATTATTGTTTGGAAGTACATAAATTGAGAAGTGCTTGGTTGTGCTTAGACTAATGGCTTAACCTAGATAAGCAGGTACAGTTATATATCAAAAGTATGCTTCCATACAGTAAAATCTACCTACATATTATAAGTCTATCTACATAGTAATTCTACCTATGTAAGATCTGATACCTAGCCCAAATGTGATGTATCTTTTCATCATCTAAAAATAACTACCGAAGCTTAGCGCCTGGGATTATTACACAAGCTCCACATAGGTGCCGTAGCCTCGGGACTAAGTGGGTAAGAAGACAGGGGCTTTAATTTTCGACAAGGATTATGACCGGCAACAATCAATCATTCTAAAGCTGCGTTGGAATAACAGCTAGCAAACTGTTAGACGGATTACAATTAATACTTTCAAGCACTGGTATAGCCTTACTAGCTAGTGCAAGTCTGACTGGGACGTATGAATTAGCTACCTAGATGTAGGTATAAAGAAGACACATCAAGCATTAAACACGTTTGGATGCCACAAGTAATCGGTGTACTCAAGCCAACCCCTCACAAAGCTCTGTCATTAAAATAACTGGACTGCAAATGTTCAACCCTGGAATCAAATGGTTTTCTCACAACAAACAGCTCATTCGTGACTCATGCAAATTTGTGAACTGAATACAATACAATCAAAAACAATGAGCCTCACTAACCCTAAAACTCTTGCGTACCTAACCTAAACTGTGCAATAGAGTTGTAGTCCTTCGAAAACATAGGACATTGATCTTATTGTCACTAATTATCACAATTCTCGGTATCAATCGTTGTTGTTGTAAATGTCGTTGACATTATTGTCTCTGCGAAGAGAGGCAAAGCGATTATGACCGCGGGTAGCAGGCTTCGTGCTGGAAGTAGCCTTCTGCTTTGAAGAACGTGACTCTTGTGGACTGTCAAATGGCTCGGAGCACTCGTCGTGGTCCCATTGGATCACCCACTGCTTGTATTTTCTAGATAAAATGTATTAGATAGGGCCATATTATTTCACGGCCCAAGGAAGCTTACCGTCTACTTTGCATGCACATTTTGGCGGTCATTGCGTCGAAGATCGAGTTGGTCTTGATACGGCAATGGCCATCTGAAAATATGACCTTGATGATGACGAGTTTCTCGATATGCTCCGTATCCTCTCGAATATCGCGTTCAGTGAGCTTTCCCTCACAGTCTCGGATGATTAGATTTCTGCTTGCACCCTTACGAATCTGAGTAGCAAGATCGTTGTTGACGTAGTATGGGCGATCAGCCCATGAGACGTGAATCTATAGTATCGTTAGACAACCCAAGAAAGAGGGTAGCCGACACAACTAACCATTCTCTGCTGAATGTAGAGACCATTTTTCTGTACATGGTCATAGAAGGACATGGCTGCTTCTTCCTCCACGAAAGACAGAAAAGCGACTTCGGCGCCAGGTGTCCATCGCAGACCCGACAAAGAGCCGCCACGAACGACACTGGTAATATCCCAAAAGGTCATACTGTTCAACAAACCCTTCAAACAAAAGGTAGTCTTGCTCCCAATGGGAAGTTGTGGTCCATCTGCATCATGGCGCCACGGCTCTTTGAATCGTGGCTGTATACCCGACGATAAGAATTTCGACTTTGCTGGATTGTCCGGTGCTTGCTTGTCCGAAGAAGGCACGCGGCCCTCCTTAAGCTTCCCAGAGGTGGTAGATGTATCCTTCTGCTCTGGATGAGAGACCTTGCACTTGACCTTGCCAGCCTGTGCACCTGGAGGTTCATCCTGACTCAAAGCCTATCAACGGTTAGCCTATGCTGAAGTAGTTCTGTATAGAGGCCACTGTATATTCGTTGAGTTGTGGTAATATTGTACAGCTAGAGGGGATTCAAGTAGGTAATAATACTTACCGTGATGCGTTCCTTAGTCATACCTTCTTGCACAAGGTGACGCGTCAAGTTTGCTAGTAAGAGGTCAGAACAAGTCTAAAGTGCTGTAGACGAGTCAGAAGGAGGAGGGTATACCGTATTGACGTTGAAAACGCATAAGGTCCTCATACTCGTTCATAGGAAGGCACATAAACGGTCCTATCTTGCCAGGGGCGACATTATCCTTGAGTTGATAGTCATTGCTCTAGAAATTAGATCAGAAAGCTGGTGATTTTGTCAGGTCGTAGGTAGGTATTACTTACGGTGTCGGCTCTATTAGATAATAACATGTTAGCATCTAAATCGAGAATAAATCTAATAGCTAGGCAGGGGATTCTCCTGTCAAGAAGTCCATAATCACATAACAAAGAATCCAAAGTCCAAAGTCCAAAGTTAACATACTGTTTCAAAAGAACCTCAAAGTTGGCGCTGTCGAGCACAACAGTATTTCGTGGCTTTTCCATAGCATCAACACTCCAGACGAGACGGAAAAGAAACGAAAAAGGAGAAGATGAGCTAAGAACCGCAGATTTCGACAAATGTATATTGGAAAGAGGTGTTGAACAAATCGGCGATTGCGGTGTGTGAATAAATAGGTGGTGAGGAATTAGGCAACTCTCGGGAATCAAAGCGACGCGCTGTAGGTTATTCTGGTCGCACATTTCTACGCGACAGCAACTAACACGATAGCAACTAACACGATAGCGATTACGAACTCACCGATTTAGGCATATACAAAAGCAAACTAAGCACGGATATTTAACCAACGTTTGGTACAACACATTATCTCCATTTGATAACAGTTGTTCAACATATCTGGCCAGATAGTTATTTGTTCAAGTTAATCAACTATGTGAAGACTGCCACAAAGACGCCAAGGAGCCGAAGGTAAATAACTGAACAGACTACCAATGAATATTTGTGAATTACAGATATGCATCATACCCAAGCAAAGCATAAAGAAAAGAACTCAGTGATTAGATCCCGTGGACCTCGATGGAGTCATCCCTGTAGTGTAGCAATCTATCATCTGCCTTGATAGCCTGCTTCAAACATGCTGATATGGACGTTTCATTTTACAAGTAGGGGGCGTCTCTGTATACCTATCTGGCAAACTGGTATTTGCTGAAGCCATATTTTAGACATCCCTCAGCATTGACACCTCATACACGACAAATCTGTAGAATTGCTGGCTGGAATTATTTGAATATGACAACTGCTCCATCAGCTATGTTTTGCAGTACTATAATTATATATATATTTGTTTAATTTAAATCACATCTGGCGTGTGCGTGAGTTATATGTTTTAGCTGAGGTATATATGAATGCTCGTGATATTAAGACTCCCCTAGAAGATGGAATCTTGACCAGCATAGGTAATTGCATAGGTAATTCTTGAATCCAGAATAGGGGGTAGTTATCTATACTAAGTGGTAGTTATAATAATATTCCGACTACACGCATTGATAAATTATCTACAGGGTTGCTTACTATAATAGCTTGCCTACGCACTCTTACGGTTTCCAGCTGACAGCGTATTGGCTTGCCATATTCACAGCCGGTCGAAGTCTAAACTGACTAATTAATATGGGAATTGGGATCGAAGAAAGAAGCCCGGTATTACTTCCGGGTGAAAAGAAAAAGATCTAACGGGGTTTAAAGCATTTCCAACTTGCGCAATAGTGCGTCTTCCATATATGTATGTTTCGGCGTAGCCGTTGGATCAAAGTTTGTTGTCTAGGTGCTCGTTAAATCTCCATTTGAGCTAGGTCAAGTTAATACATTTCGGGGCTGCATTTAAATATTTGATAGATCTTGATTAACTGAAAGGCATGTGGTAGATGAAAGAGTTGGTATATGGTAAAATTCTCGAATGCAAACTAAGCTGAGATGTATGTATGTAGTCAACGATAGAGCCTCCCTCTCGGGTATTTGACTAAGACTGAAAACTGAACTATTTTTAGGTTTTACAAGCATCTACACAGTAACGCGATGTTGGTGTGGATCCACCAAGACAGAGGCATGTCACATTGTCACCCGATCTTAGAGTAAGAGACATAGGGCACACCTCGGGATGATGACATATAGTAAATATTTAAAGGTGGCCATCAAATCTTGAACTGGTAATTGTCAATTGTATGTAGGTAGACTCGACACCATGTCTGCATGTTTAACAAGTTGTCGGTATATAATAATATGTAGAAGACAAGAAAATGATGGCATTGATAGCCAGGGTATACAGTACTTGATTTGGCTATCGTAATGGAAATCCTTTAGAAGCAGGTTCTGGATGCAGCTCAGGCAGCTCAGGTCCCCGGGTACTTCTCCTCCGCCACTAATACACAATGGATCTCATTGGGCAAGCCAGTCATCGCCCACTGCAGGCCCATGTAGTGTAACCCGATTACCGCACCTACCAATGCCGCCATACCTTTTCTGGCAAGAGAGCCCCATGTTATGGTGCGTACCGCTGCTGCCAACACTTCGTGTTCATGGCTCAGCCCTGGGCCAATCGAATCGAATCTTCTACCTTCGTACAACATACATACATAGTAGGTACATGCACATAACATATGTACCTAGGTAGGCTTGGCGGGAAAATGCAAAGTACCCGTTAGTGAGCCCATCATCTCGTCTTTTCGTATCCCTCTTATCCTTCTTTCATACCATTCTTTCCCACCCTCTCGCTCTCGATGAACTGACAACTTTTCTCATCGTTCAAACCGTCGTTCGCTTTAATACTGCTACCTAGCTACTAACAACATTCGCTTAGTTCTGATAATAACTGTCCTCGCCTAAATACGTTACCGAGGGAATCCGAATTTGCTGCGTTTTAGTTTTTTGTACTGTTTTCCTCGGCATCCACACCTCGTATCGACAACAGGAGGAAAATAGGGGGATCTAGTCAAGGCAGCGAGAGCGGGCCAACGAGCAACAACTTTTACGCCCACGATAAATTCAACAGAAACGAAATAATTGTTATTGCTGGATTTTGAGTGTTTATTTATTTGTGGCGTTCTGTTCCCTGCAACTTGGTCGGAATCAATCGACTATCAAACGTCCATCGGCATTCCATCATTTGAAACAAGATGAAAGGAGCACAAAGCCTGGGTCAATTTTTGACCATCGCACTCGCTTTAACCCCTCTAACATCGGCGTGGCCAGGATGGCTTCCGGATGTAGATTCGCTCGTAGTTCGGCAAGACGACAACCCATCGCGTATGTGTTATATTCCGTGGTATACTAGCGGATGAGGTTGGAATTGAATTTCACTAACAGCATTGAAGCAGCCGAAGCCACACCAACTACCACTAAGGCCGACGATAAAGATAACTCATCAGACGATTCAAAAACCATAACGAGTGATGTTAAGACGACTACTGCTGCCGACTCCGACAAGCCTCAGACTACGAACCTTAATACGGCCGTAGTAACCACAAAAACCGGAAGTCATGACAATAGTACTGCCAAGCCCACACACCAAACGTTCGACCCGCAGGATGGAGCTGGTGGTGTCGCCATGCTCACGCCGGCCATTACTGCGGGAACAACACTTTACAGAATTGGAGATCCGACACCAATCACTTGGGTTTGGAACTACACTTCCCTGCAAGGCACGCCCACCGCTATTGATGTTCTAGTGTCCTGTTCCACGGCCTCTGCCACATGGACCCTGACTCAGAACATGACCTTTCAGCCGACCGCCACCTTTACCTGGGACACCGAGAAATACTCCGAGAGCGCAGTGGCTAGCCCGCTGCTGGTCGCGCAGTACACCCTGCTAATCTACGACTCGGAATCGTCTGCTGATGCGACCGCTGAAGCCGGGTACCTGGCACCGTTCAGCGGCTTCCAATTCGGTTTGTACACGGCCCGACCGTACCAGGACCTCGGAGAGTGGAAGTGCGCAACCTGCAGCGGCGCATTAGGAGATCTCGACCGCCAGGCCCTGGGTTTCGCGATAACTATGAGCATCATCACCGTGCTCAGTTTCACGTGGTACGTGACAGGAATCGCCGCGATGCTGTAGTCGGTTCTACTACAATCTATTCGTAGGCGTACTGGCACATGGCGAGATGGTATATTTCTGACTGCATATATTTCGGAAATAAGGGACAGCATCTTAATGGAGAAGTTCTCAATACGGTAATCTATCTATCTGTCTATCTATCTGGGTTTAAGGATACATCATCATGTAGTGGCGTTTTTTGTTGAAATGAATTGCAAGGGCCGGAAGGGGGGGAAACTTCCGGCGTGGATTCGAAAATGGCGAAGATCTATCATTTACATAGAAATCTACGGCATCGGAAGGGTTATTTATATCGCTATATATGTAGCTCTTAATGATTACATACACACCTAGTCAGGTTGCTTAATACCTTCTCGTCCCTCCGTGACTTCGTGATGTCTATTATAGTATAGATTTCATTCTCATATATATTATTATAGGTACCTTCATAATTCATACCATCCGAAGCGAGAACCCACCTCCTCGCTCTTCCTTCTCCCGCGCCGCGAACAACCCGCTGAAATCCAGCGACCCGAGATCTGCGGCCTTCTGTCCCCTGCCCGGCGCGTTAGGCGTTGATCTCTTGCGCCTGCGCTCCTGGCCTGCCTTGCTAGGGAACGTCGGGAACATAGCCTCGTGCTTGGGTTTCGGGTCCTGCTTAAAGAACTCGTGGTCTAGCATCTCCTTCGCCGTGGGTCGTCGGTCCGGATTCAGTGATAGTAGACTGCTCAGCAGCGCACTGCCCGCGGCTGTTAGTAGTGGAAACCGGGCGCGGATTATAGGTCCGGTGTTGACGCCAGAGCTCTTGGGTAATCGTAGATGTCGGGCGTTGGGCAGGCGGCGGAAGCCAGGCCAGGACTCGTCTGTAGGAATGCCGCATAGCTCGAATATCTTGCCTAGCTCGTCGACCTCGTTCTTGCCCTGCAGCAACGGCTCACGCGTTAATAACTCGCCGAAGATGCACCCGACGCTCCACATGTCAACCGCGGCGCCGTACGTCTTCGTGCCGAGCAGCAGCTCGGGGGCGCGGTACCAGAGAGTAACGACGAGCTGCGTGAGCTTAGGGGGCGGGGGATCGCCGACGTAGCGCGCCATGCCGAAGTCGGCGATCTTGAGCTGTCCGCGGTTATTCAGCAGCAGGTTCGAGGTCTTGAGGTCGCGGTGCAGGATCCAGTGGTCGTGCAGATACGCGACGCCGCTGGCGAGCTGGAGGAGCAACGTCTTGACTTCGGAGGCTAGGAAGGGCTCGGGCATGTCGCCTAGCACGGACATGAGGTCGTGCTCGAGGAACTCGAGGACGAGGAATATGTGCTCGATGCGCGAGGTGTCGTCGCCGACTACGACCTCGCGCAGCGCTACGATGTTCCGGTGCGAGCAGTCTTTCAGAATCTGGATCTCGCGGAGGCCTGTCTCGGGCAGGCCTGATTTGTCGGCCGGGTCGAACTTGAGCCGCTTCAAGGCTACGACTTTGCCCGTTTTGATTTCTTTGGCTCGCGCTACCCAGCCGTATGACCCCTCTTCGATGTCGTTTAGCTTGTCGTAGTTCTCGACGCTTCGTGATTTGCCCCAGCCGTCGGTCTCGAAGCGTAGGAGTTTTGCGCTGCTCTCATTTTCTGTGGTCTCGTCCTTTTCTTGCTCGTCTTGTTCGGGTGTGATCTTCCGTCGCTTGGTGGGGGGTACGGTATCGTCTGGTGGTTGTAGGTGTTGCTGTTGTTGTTGCTCTTGCGCGGCTCGTTGTCTGGCTGCTGCTGCTGCTGCTTCTGCCTCTGCTTGGGCGCGGCGCTCTGCTTCTGCTTTTTGTGCCTTCTCGGCTTTTAAGCGCTTCTTCTCTTCCCTTTCGCGCTTCTGTTTTGCCTCTAATGCTGCGTCTTCTTCTGTATCCGCCCAGCGAGATTTACTCGCCATGGTTGTGGTTGTCTCGATGGTAGCTAGTGTGGTACTCGAAAGGCGGTGCGATGAATTGGGATGAATAGGTATAGTTTCGTGCAATCGTTGCGCATGAAGTGGGAGGACGTCAGCGGTAAATTTGGTATTGGTAGACTAGAGAAAGTCCTCGGGATGTGATTCTTAGATAAATTACTAACTACTAGGTAAAACGTAATTAATTATTGGATAGAGAGAAAGAAGGTTGGACCTACGTAGGTAATCTTGAGGTCTGGGGAATGCTCGGAACTAAATTTCCGAGCTTTTGGAGCTTTAGAGCTTTAGAGCTTTAGAGCTTTACTTCGATTTAGAAGCAGCTTAGATTAGACCTCAGTCTTAAATTATACAACCCGTTTGTAAGTTTTCTAATGTTAAAATCACAAACATGACTTATTAATTCCAGACCCAAAATGAGGTCAAACCTGTTAAGGACGGCCCAATGCGGGCTCAGATACTTATCACGACGACCATTATTATCTCATGGTCCCAAAGTCGCACATCAATGTTATAGAGGCTTCGCAGCAACACCCGCAACCAGAGAAGAAAAGCAATGGTCAACACCTCTAGCCAAGCACTTGTCCGAGGCTATAAATGTAAGTATACAAATATTCGCAATAAAATCCTCATACTCATGGTATACAGACAACTGGCCCTATTCCTCTGGCTACCTATATGCGCATGTGCCTTACAGGGGACATTGATGGATACTACACAGGAGCCATGGAAGCCGGCCACGATCAGTTTGGTCGGAAGGGTGATTTCGTAACATCCCCGGAGATATCACAGATATTCGGCGAACTCATTGGCGTATGGTTCGTAGCCGAATGGATGTCTCAAGGTCGCCCGAAGCAGGGCGTAGAGCTCATCGAGATTGGTCCGGGCAGGGGAACGCTGATGGATGATATACTAAGAGCGAGTATCATAATCGATGAGCTTAACTGGTATTTTTTATATAAAGCTGACTTATCAATAGACTATACGAAATTTCAAAGGCATGACTTCCAGCATAGAAACCATATATATGGTTGAAGCTAGTAGCGAATTACGCACGGTGCAAAAGAATCTCCTCTGCGGCGAGGATGCCGAGATGACGGAGTATATAAGAGGTTGGCACAGTATATACAAGTGTACATCCAAGTATAATGGCCTACGTATCGTGTGGGCAGATTCTCTTAAGGCCATCCCGCCGGAATCCAACAAGACTCCTTTCATAGTGGCCCACGAATTCTTCGACGCATTGCCGATTCATGCTTTTCAGTTGGTTGACTTGCCACCAACCCAGCAACCCACTACGCCAGAAAGCAGCAACAACAAGACCTCAAGTCCAGACTCCGCCGCTACTCCTAAACGCGAATGGCGGGAGATGCTTGTCTCCCCCACGCCAGAGGGAACAACGCACGCAGACCTCGGAACCCCCCAGGCCGAACGGCACGACCCCGTTCCCGAATTCCAGCTTACCCTCAGCTCCTCCGTAACCCGCCACGCGCAATACCTCCCCGAGTCATCCCCGCGCTACCGGGCCCTCAAATCCATTCCAAACGCTCTCTTCGAAGTATGCCCCGACTCCTCCATATACGCCTCTGACTTCGCCACCCGCATCGGCGGCTCCAGCACCACTCCCAAATCGCGGCCCTCCGGCGCCGCCTTAATCATCGACTACGGGCCCGCCGACACCATCCCCGCGAACTCGCTACGCGGGATCCGGCAGCACCGGCGCGTGAGCCCGTTCGCCGCCCCGGGCCAGGTAGATCTCAGCGCGGACGTAGACTTTGGCGCGATAGTCGAGGCCGCAACGATTGCTAGCCCGGGCGTCGAGTGTCACGGCCCTGTGGACCAGGCGTATTTCCTCGAGGCTATGGGCGTGCAGCAGCGCGCTGAGATGTTCTGGCGGAAGCTGGAGGCAGGGCTCTACGCCGATAACAAAAAGAAGGAGATCGAGAGCTCGTGGAGGCGGTTGGTTGACCGTGGGCCAAACGGTATGGGGAAGATTTATAAGGTCTTGACTATCCTGCCGGAGAACGAGGGCAGGCGGAGGCCTGTTGGGTTCGGAGGGGATGTGAATCCTTAAAGGGGATTACTTGGGGATTACTTGGGGCTTAGGGACGCCGGACGGCTTGTATACGTGTAGTAACATAAGACTAGGCTTGATCTTATGTATACTTGCGAATCCCTAATCTGTACAAAATCGAATTCACATGACCTCTCTATTTCCACCGTTGTACGCAGTGATGCACCGAGTACTAGTCATAAATACAGAGACACAGCCTTGAAAAACATTCTTTTCGTACCCGTATGACCTATTGCAATACATCGCAAATAAAAAACAGGTCTTGAAGCTCTCCCAAAGACCTATTTGTGTGTGGATTTGTTCTTCTCGCCTTGATGAGCCCATGGAACGAACAATCCAGAATCCAACGCCATGCGTAGAGTCTATAATAGTACAATAACGAGGGTGTGCTAATCCAAGTACAGCCAATGCCGCCTTCCCCTTGCCGATTTAGCAGTCCTAAGAGGTCCTACTATTTCCTTCCTTTGACTAGATTTGAACCTTCACCACGACCCGTCTCATCTTCATCGTCGTCGTCGTCGTCATCATCGTCATCGTCATCACTGAACTTGTCGCCGTCCTCTCCGACGGCAAATATCGTCTCGCCGTCAAAAGAATCCCGCGGCGTCTCCGCCTTAGCAGGGGCTTTATTTTGTGTGGGTTGTGACGTCGTAGAAGTGACGTTTGCTGCCGGTGTCGAACGTGAGTTTGTGATCTTGGAGCCAATGTGGGCTTCTTCGTCTTCATCTGAATCATCCGGAGCGCCCACATCAGCGAACTCGAACCCTCCATCCTCATCCTGAGCAATCTCATCACTCATAGCGAATCTTCTGTTATTCGCCGTAGGCCTCCACACATACGCGACCCAGGCTACATCGGCGAAGTAGACCAAGTTGAGCCATCCGTCAAGAATGAACCACCGCGATTTCCAGTGAAAAGGAACGTAATCCGGGTCCGAGGCCGAAGCAAATGAGAAAGAGTTGAAAAAGAAGAAACCGAAGATAACAAGAATACTGATCAGGATGCACCACCAGAGCTTCTTGTACATAGCTTCCTTCACGGTCTGTTTGCGCTCGCGTAGATCCTTAAGGGTGGCGTTGAGCGAACTGAGCGTCCACACATAGAAGCCAGTCAAAGTACCTGCCAACGGGAGCACGATGAGGAGAACGAGAGGTCCTAGGAGCTTCAGTTAGCATATATAGGTTCTAGACTGTTAGAGGAATCTTACCAGCCGTATCCGGTGACACTAGAAGACTAGTAACAGCGTAGACCAAGCCGAAAATGAAATGGGCAATGGCCAACCACCGGACATGCACCATCGTCTTGCCCAGAGAAGGCTTCACAACTCCGTAACCCATACACACGATGAGGAGTAAAAAGAAAGAGAACGAGTTGCGGAAAGCGTTCAAGACGGCCACCACAATTAGGAGAGCCTTAGCTCCAATATTAGAACCGTTTCTATTCAGGTAATCTATGCCAGGTTAGTCACACCTAGCTAGCTTAACCCTCATAAAGGTTCAATAAAGAGCTTACCATAGAAACCCCAAGTCATCAACATTTCAACGACTAGGAAGACGAGAATAGCAGTGATATAATTTTGAACGGGCACTACGAACATGTTAGCTTTAGAAAAAAGGGGGAGGTCTGTGATAACTCACAGATGTCGTATCTGTGCTGATAGTATAGGAAACCCCAAAACCTGAACACCATTAGCGAGGAACTTTGTTTGTAATGACTTCGAAACATACACTACGACTACCGCATAGAGGATAGTGACTCCACCGTAGAAGGGAAGCTTGGGGATCTGGGTTGCAGGAAGTTCGCCATAGGCCTCTCGGAACTCTGCGACGCCCATGAACTCCTTCGTATTTCCAAATCCATAGGCGGCAATACAGTAGTAACCCGTCTTCTTGATTTCATAGTGGATCGGAGCCGAAGAGTTCAAGTGTATAGCTTTAGTTAAAATCAAGTTCCCGGATTTCTCAGTCGCATTAGGCGACAAAATCCATGTGCCTATGTCATTGCAAAGGCCTGCCTTAATACTTTCTTCGTCGCAGATCAACATTTTCTAATTTTTTATCAGCCTTGTTTTTGGTACACGCATGGAGGATCGTACCGGGGACATATCATCATCAGGGTTCGAGGAGATGCCGATCAAATCTTCGTCTTTCCATTCAAATATAACCAAACTAACGATAGGGTCGTTCTCGCCCTCGACGGTCTGATTCGGGAACGTAGTAAGGATAAACGGTTCTATCGGACCTCCCCAATCGCTTTTGCTATACATGCCTAATTCATTATGGTTAATAAGGCTTGGCCAGACGGCTAGTATCAACAGAGCATACCGGCGCATTTTTGGCGATTCTCATCGGTATTATCCTAACAACAAAAGTATTAGCGATGTATTATAGGTAGCAGACTAATCGTATCGTACTATCTGCACTTCCAATGCCTGAGCTGTCCATAAGGACAAGCCCAGAAGAATTAACGGAGATAACCAGCTCTTCATCTTCGTTTCGTTGACTAGGGTAGTCGCCGCGCGAGGCAGCCTCGGCGAGAGAGTCTGGTCTGTTGTCGCTATTCCGAAGGCTAAGTGTAGCTACGATACACGACAACACATCAAACACAAACTCGAATCGGAATCGCGGGTCGAACTAGAACAGGTCGAGGGTCCCTTGAAGCATCGGGGGGAGCGCTGAAAAGAAAGAGTAGACGTAATTAAAGATGTCTCTAGGTTAAGCTCCCTAACGTATGTCCCTAATGTATTCCGTATGTTTGCTTTAGATAAGCTACCTAGGTTAGCTACTACGTTTATTAGAAACATTGAAATGGAACTATTGCGCAGCCTCTCCAGCTAAAAGACAGCTAAATTGTTAGGCGCATACGTGTAAGGCAATTTTTGAAACGGAATACCGGCAAGTTAAAATAGATACCCTAGGTAATTACATAAATGTATGCAACTAGCAAGGATATAGATAAGATAAGAAATACTTGGACCAGTTAGCTTCGAAGCCGCCAAGTCAATTCTAGTTGTATGCATCACTGGGGAGAGACTTTCGCTTTGTTTTATTTATTTATCTTTGCCGTCGCATTACGAGTGTGAACCATGGGGAAAGGTACGGATAAGCTATATATCACACACTCCGAGTGGTCATCTTCAGACGCCTACTCGGCAAATACAGGTTCGCGAACCGGTTCTAATGGCGCATCCTTCAAACGATTACCCTTCAACTTTTGCGCCGCCAGTCTCCAACCTTTCAAGAACCCCGTTTGCACCCTCGATGGAACCATATTCGACGTCGAGGTCATCTCAAAATGGCTTGAAAGCCACAATACCAATCCCGTGAACGGCGAACCATTAGCGGCACGAGACCTTATTAAGCTTAACTTCGCGCGCAATGGAGACGTCGACTCCAAGGGTGCAGACGGGAAGGGGGATTTTATCGACCCGGTCACCTTCAAGGTGCTCACCGACAATACCCACGTTGTCGCGATTCGACACGGAACCTACGCAAACGTGTTCGCTTGGGAGACGGTTGAGAGGATGAACATCAAAGCGAAGATGTGGCGAGATCTAGTAGACGACGTAGAGTTTAGTCGCTCGGACATTATCACGCTTCAAGATCCTCAGAATGCTGCTAGCAGAGATTTAAGCCAATTTCAACACTTAAAAAATGGCGGAGATGCGCTCTTGACCAAGGAGCAGGAAGAAGAGAGAAAAGAAGGCAACGTTAATATCAACGCCTTGGGTAGGGTAGGCGACAAGGTCCTGAGAGCGAAAGAGGCCGTTGAGAAGGCAAGGAAGGAACGTGAAGCTGGGGGTGACATCAACCGCTCTAAAGCAATAACAAAGGCTTCAGGAAGCAATAATGCTCGGCCGTCCATGATACAGGATAAGAAGCAAAACTATAATTCTGCAGCATATACGACGGGCAAAGCCGCAGCTAGTTTCACAAGTACAGGATTGACACCCGAAACCAGTGGCGAACGTGCTACGCTAACGGATGAGGAGTATATGTTAAAACCAAAGAGGGTGAAGATAAAGGGCTACGCACGGATTGAGACGAATTTAGGCGATTTAAATATCGAGCTACAAACTGAATATGCCCCGAAGGCGGTGTGGAATTTTATTCGATTGTCGCAAAAAGGATATTACAAAGGTGTCTCCTTCCATCGAAACATTAAAAACTTCATGATTCAAGGAGGTGATCCGTCAGGTACCGGGCGAGGAGGTACTAGCATATGGGGCAAGAATTTCCAGGACGAATTCGAGGGTCCGCTAACGCACGATTCTCGGGGCGTTCTCAGCATGGCTAATAAAGGGAAAAATACAAACTCGAGCCAGTTCTTCATCATATACCGCCCAGTTAAGCATCTAGATAGAAAACACACCATCTTCGGAAAGGTTGTGGGCGGCTTGGATATACTAAGCAAGATGGAGGCGGTACCCACGGATGGTTCAGACCGGCCCCTGAACAAGATCTTTATCAAGGACGTCGTCGTCTACCTCGACCCATTCGACGAGTTCCTAAGGCAGAAATCCGAACGCGACAAGCTCGCGGAGACTCAAGCGGAGATTGAGCGGACAGGAGGCACCGAAGACGACCAGCTGACGTGGACGGGAAAGCGGGTTAGACGGGACGGAACGGTCGAGCAGGGCGGGGGCGGTGGAAACGTGGGCAAGTACCTCCAGGCCGCGATAAAGCAGCAGGGCAACGAAGACGAGATTATCGAGGAGGATGTCGATACGTGGGAGGAGCCGGTGAAGAAAAAGGCTAAGGTTGGCGGGTTTGGCAATTTTGATAATTGGTAAAGGGATTTGCATTGCGTGGCGTTGGGCGATACCCGGAGTCTGTAGGATACTACCTATCTAGGTTGGGCTCTAATGAGAACTTTTGATGAGTTTATGTGGTTGTTGTATGGCCATTGAAGAGTAACTATAGTACATCATAATATTGTTGTCCCTTTCTAAGATTCGTGATCAACTAGTTTAAGTACATAATTTCAAAAGACTGGTCATATGAAGACTTGGGCTTTCATATAAAATCTGTTTAAAATGGACTCTGAGGTGTAAGTAAATAATTTTGTGTTTATTATTCTCGAATCCTGAGGTTTCAAGTCTTATGTAGGTTAGGTAGCTAAGGTGTAAGTTCTTCATGGTGATGATAGGTAAAGAAATATTAGAGAAAGGGATGTTAGTTCGTCTATAAATTACAGCAACTTCAAAATTTGACAAGAAACTCCTTCTAATATAACACATTTTTAGTTCCTAGATCTTAGGCAAATTTCCCATGGTCGTCCATAAATAAATATAAAGTGGTGGACTATTCGGAGAGAAGAAATGTCCGAGCTTAGAACTTCCAAAAAGAAGATAGTGACATGGTCCTAGGCAACAGTCTCAGTTTCATCGCGGCCTCCTTTTACAACAATCCACGGCATGTCAGCAGAAAAGCAGACTACCCCATCTAGGCCGCCGCGGGTGCTCTCGTGTGTGTTGTGCCAGCAGCGCAAAGTCAAGTGCGACAAGGTATTTCCCTGTGCGAACTGTGTACGGCTTCGCGCTCAATGCGTGCCGGCTACGCTTGTGCCGCCTCGTCGCCGCCGACGTTTTCCTAAGCGAGAACTTCTAGATCGCCTTCACCATTATGAGAATCTGCTCCGGGAGAATAATATACCGTTTGAGTCCTTATATGGCGAGGAGAGTCAGAGTAAAGCCTCCAGTCCTCAGACTCCGCAGGATGCGCCTTCAAAAGGCTCCGCGGCGAGAGATGACGCGGTAGTCAAGCCGAAACTGGCATATAGACCCAAGTATGTTCTCTCTTAAAACTTGACCTAGGGAGGTTATTAATAAACTTCCTCGTAGGGATATATGGCGGGCTATGAATCAGATGGTATGATTCAAATTCACCAGTAGATATATTTCTGCTAATAATCGAAAGAAAGACCTCGGATTCCGAAGATGATGATATCGATGAGAGCGATGACAGCGACAGCGACTCTCCCTTCAAAAAGGATGCTCTGCGTCAGCCCATGATCACTAAAGTATGGGATCGTATATATGAGAGCCAAGATAACAGCCACCTTCTATTTGCCGCACCTCAAACAAGCGATGATCTTTCTACTATACACCCGGAACCTATACAGATTTTCAGACTCTGGCAGATATACCTGGAAAACGTCGACCCCTTACTGAAGATCACACATACGCCTACTTTGCAGGCGCGTATTATCGACGCTACGAGTCATATCGGTACTATTGATCCTACAATGGAAGCTCTTATATTTAGTATTTATTGCGTATCTATATTTAGTCTCACCAACGATGAGTGTCTTACCTTCTTTATGGAGCCGAGGGATGATCTTCTGGTGCGGTACCAGTTGGGATGCCGACAAGCTCTGCAGAACTGCAGGTTTTTACAGACTACTGACAGAGACTGCTTGACAGCATTATATCTCTATTTAGTAAGCTCTCCCAGTTCCTTATTACTTGGGGTCAGTCCTAACACGTTCTAGATCTCGGTAAGACCCCAAATAGATCCTCGATCTCTATCCTCGATGCTCAGCATCGCTGTCCGTATCGCACGTCGTATAGGGATTCACGACGAAACCACCTGTGCTAAGTTCACAGCTCTTGAAGCCGAGATGCGCCGAAGACTATGGTGGTCGTTAATAATCTTCGACAATCGTATCAGCGAGCTTTGCGACTACAAGACTGCGTCACTGGCTCCTACTTGGGACTGTAAGACTCCCCTGAACGTGTATGACTCTGAAATCCGACTGGAGATGAAGACCCCTTTGGCGATCCACGAGACACCTACCGAGGCCATCTTTGCCGTCGTGCGTAGCGAGTTAGCCGATTTCGTCCGCCATAGTTCCTTTCACCTTATGTTTACCAATCCGTCTCTAAGTACCATTGTCAAGAGTATCCGACAAGACTCCGCCTCGGAAGGCGATGAGCTAGATGCTCTTGAAAAGAAGATAGAAGACAAGTATCTCGCCTTCTGCGACCTAGATAACCCGCTTCACTTTATGACGGTCTGGACTGCGCGAGGCTACCTTGCAAAAATCCGTATCTTGGACTATTACTCGAAACACCTGACGTCGACAGCGCAGCCGACAGAGCCGCAACGCAACACCACCATCTCTTCGGCCTTAAGAATGCTCGAGTGTGACACGAAGCTCACTACTTCACCTCTAGTTAAGGGGTACCGTTGGCTAATTAACTACCACTTCCCGCTGCCAGCGTATATCCACCTTCTTCAGTGCCTGAAGAAGCGGCCCAACGACGACAAGGCCGAAAAGGCTTGGGAAGTGATGAGCGACAATTACAAAGCTCGGTTTATGAATGCGGAAGTCAACGAGGCCTTTTCCCAGGTTTTCTTCCGAATTGTTCTTCGGGCCTGGGAGGCGCTGGAAGCACTATCGAGACAAGAGGGCAAACCCCTGGTTCCGCCACTGATCGTATCAGATAGTCGAGACAGAATACTGCGAATGAAGTCAAGCCACCCCCAAGGTAGCGAGTTGGAACAGTTGGGTGGAGTTACAGGTGCTAACAACGCCGACTTATTTCAAATATCTGCACCCATGAACTTTAGTAGTGGTTACGACCCGTCATACAACACGAGAGAACAGGACTTCTCTACGAGCACGGGACTCTGGGACAGCTCTAACATACCATCACAGGCTACTATGGATGTCATGAATTTTGACGATATCGATTGGACGAATGTTGGCTGGAATCCTATGTGATTATGTGGTTCTACAAATGATGTTATTGCTTGGAGTGACGATGCAAATTACTTGTAATATAGGAAGAATCTACCCTAGATCAATACATTTCAAGTCCACTCCACGTTCCCTGAATATATGTGGTTCTCTATGCAACCGTGCCCAGGGATCCTTTTGTAGTCTTCCGCGAAAGTCTTCGAGATCTATAGACAGTGATTTTAAACGCGGGTCCTCGTAGAATATCTTGCCCGAAGAGAGATCGCTAAAAGCCGGAGCGTAGCGGTCGAATCTTTTGTCATAGGACATGATTGCCTGAATATTGACGGGGAGAGGGCCGAGAAGAGCTTCGTCATACGCTAATCCAAGCACATAACAATTACCAATTACCTTGAATTTGTTATTGCCTTGTGGGCGTAGCAATAACGGACCCAAGCAACCAAGTAGAGTATAAACCTCATCACCAGGTTGTGCTGATGCCGGAGCAATCCCTACATAACCACCTGTGCACTGAATTAATCGGCACCCCTCTATATAATGAATGCTACTAAGGATTTTTTTAACACCCAAGGACCGCACGAAGTCCCGATTGTTGACACCGTTGATGTCACAATTAGACATGATGAACTCCACGCATTGTTTCGCCTCTCCGAAATCCGGGTAATTAAAATGGGGTGGATCGTAGCTACTAGCGAATTGATCGCAAACGAGTACCCTAGCATAGTCTTCAGCTGTGTGCTGCTCCTTTAGATCTACCTTTAACAGCAAGGTTCGTATTTGCTCGAGTATGCTGTTCCTGTAGCTTGACATTTGCGGTAATTGATGATATTCCGAGACAGCACATTTGGGTACGCCCATGACTCTCAGTACTCTAGGCTGCGGGAATTCATACCAGGCTTTAAACGGTGAAGCATATAAACATGGGAGGAGTGCATTGAATCTGGCATCCGATTTCGACCAGTCGGGAACCCAGCTCGAGCATGTATCACCCTGAAGCTGACACTGATATAGTATAGTTAAGGAATCGTAGTGTTTAATCCAGTTTCTTACAACAGTCGTGTAAAGTTTATCGTAAGGTTGAGTGTAGTCTGGCGATGGGATCAATGCCTTGTCCTCGTCGTTTAACAAAGATAAGACCGCGTAGAGTCGGTCCCGCGGGTCTAGGCACCGTGTATTACTATAATTACGGATTAAAGCTATTAACTTGGTTTTTCTCTGGAAGATTAATCCTTGAAGGTCATCCCTTCGGGCGTTATATTGATAAGAAAAGTCCGTCACCTGGGCGCGTTTTATGCAGATACATACTAAACCTCGTCGAAAACTTGACCACTTGACTTGATAGAGGCCGCACATAATGACTGCTTCCGGACCGGCTAAATAAATCTCTTGTCTAATCCACAGTCTATCAAACCACTGTCGACACATCAAGTGGTAAATCGAGTAAACATCTCGGTCTTGGAAAGGAAGGACGATGTAGTGGTTGCTGATGTTGGGATCGGTACAACCCGCCGCAGGTCTCATTTCTATTTTCACAAAATCGACTTCAACCTGAGACCCAAGATAGTCCATGAGGTACATAGCACCACTGCTATCATTTTCTTCCGGTCCAAGCCAAGCAATCACCCGATGAGCAAGCCGGAAAATCTCCCCCATAATTGAGACTTGAGGGCTTTTTTCGACTTCATTCTTTTGGTTAATACAGAGTGCGTCGATCCACATAACCCGGGGTGTGTTATCACGACGCAGATGCCTTAGGGCAATGTCTAAATTTCGCGTAACGAGAATTCGCTTTAATTTCCATTGAGAGACATTTTGTAATCGTAATCATTTGCTTATAGGGTCATCACTGACGTAGATCGGCGTGTAGTTTTTATCTGAACCCCATACATATGAGAGAGCCTCATACGGCAAAACGTCACCAGGAAACGGTGAAGTATGGAATGAAATGATAATGTCGTCTTCGAATGTTCCGGGATGAATGGTAGCGAGTCTAATATAGTCCTGTCCCGGAAGGGGACTATAACGGTAGCGCACCATTATGGGGGGAGGGGGGGTTGCTTAGGCTACGAATGGAAATATTAATGCTTGTATGCTTGTATGCTTGTAGTGTGTGGCCTAGGCAAAGATATAGCAAAAAGAGTATTGATTTAATTACATAGTCCGAAGAGAGGAGATGTAGACGAAGTAGCCTTGAGATAAGGGCGAGACGGAACGGATGGAAATTCATCTATCTGAGTGAGGAGGCCTCGCGACGTTTTGCCCAGAGGTCACTTCCATCGAATACCGCCACTATGCACTACTACCTAATTCTAGTACCTAGGTATATAATAATACCTTAGTATGGAAGTGATGAAGTAAATAGATTAAGGCTATGGTTCTCCAAGCAGGTCTTTCCTAAGGCAAGGCTTTCTGAGAGAAATCAAGATGCGAGAGTAGTACATAGACGGATTTGGGGTTTAGGGTTATCGATCGCATATGACTTCCACTTCCCTCACAACTACCCTATGGGGCGCCGGGATATTATTCCTATTGCTACCTTATAGGCAGATAGGTAATGATTAACGGTATAGGCATTCGTTGTTGTCAGCGATTTCCACAAGGGGATCCATTAATTTCAGGCTGAGCATACTATGTACCTATGTACCTATGTACGCTAGCATAATCTTGGCAAGGCTCGAGGCTTAGTCACTTAGTTTTATTGTACGACCCAATGGAAACTGCATCTGAGACCAAGGATCTATTTCGTTCTCGCTTTCGTCAAAACCAATCCGAGATGGGGTATATTCAATGCGAGTCCTCACGAGCTGGATTTTCAGCTGAGTGGGTTTGATGAAGCTATATAAACAAACAATAGATAGGTAAGTTCTGATTAAAAATTAGCATCTCAAATTCTCAACTCATAATAATCCTCGTGCTTCACCTGCAATTTATTCCTATACTTCTCTGTATACTCTGCCTCGCTACTCAAGATGGCCCTAACTGAGCGGGATAACATCTCTGTCGCTGAGATTGTTATTTATGTACCAGCACTATTCATTGCAATATGGCTTTCTATACGCCACGGGTTTGGCCGTAACTCGGGATGGCTCTATTTGATTATCTTCTCATTAGCTCGCATCATCGGAGCAGCAATGCAACTAGCTACTATCCCGGATCCTACCAATCTTAGTCTTCGCGTCGGAGCGGCAACTTTACAAAACATTGGCCTATCGCCTCTAATCATGGTCCAACTGGCCTTAATTGGACGAGCTGCTGGAAGTATCAGGAAGTCAACAACATGTTTCGTGACCGAAAAACGAGTCCGCCTCATCCAGCTTCTTGTCCTTGTGGGCTTAATCCTAGGCGCAGTCGGTGGCAGCCAATCCGGACAGAGCCTTGCCAACACGGGAAAATTCACCGTCTCGAGTCTCTCACAGGCCGGCACGGGCCTGATGATCGCCGCGTATGTCTTGCTGGCCTTTTCGACTGCTCTCGTCGCAATGCAGATGTCACATATGGAACTGGGAGAGAAGCGATTGGTTTTGGCCGTAGGCGTCTCTCTCCCCTTCATCCTCGTTCGACTAGTCTACTCGGCAGAATCCCTGTATGGACACAATCCGGCCTTTAACCAAGTGACGGGAGACGTCAATATCCAGCTTGGAATGTCCGTCATCATGGAGATGATCGTCGTTACCATTGTTGAGAGCATTGGAATGACTTTGCATAAGATCTCAAAAACTGCAGCTCAGCAGACGGAAGCCGATTACGAAATGGGACCACACAAATAAATCTCGGTGCCGGCATCATTTTGGAGGAGTGTATAAAATACTATATCGATATAGATATAACTAACCTAGATATAGATATAGACATGATAACATAGTATTTTATTTGGACATTAATATGATAATGATGATAAAGACGAGGAATAATTATTGGTATACAAACGTGCTGTACTTCGTACTTCGTACCATTCAAACTTTACAAAATAAGCTTTAGTGAGATCCCGGTCCCCTAATTGCAAGGGTTTCCACTATCTCGGGGCTTGCCAAGGCCCTGAGCCGTCACGCTAGTGTACCTCCGTAGTACTCGAGGAGGGGCAACTAAAAGCAACAGGGCGGGCAGCCGCGGGGTACTTCACAACGTCAGAAATTTTATTAATCTCCAAGTTAAGCTTTATCCTTGAGTTACCTCTCAAGTTTTGTTCTTCGTTACTTGGAAAACATGCCGGTAAGGACTTGAGAAACGACACTAAGGGGACATAATAATATTAATAAAATGCGACTAGTTAATCATAGTCACCGGTCTTCCTACGTCCGGTAAAACTACGCGCGCGAAACAGCTGCACGACTACCTCTCCGAGCGCATAGGGGACTCATTTGCACCCGCTACGGCTAAATATCGACTGCACTTAATCTCAGATCAGACACTATCCATTTCGCGCTCCGTGTACGATCTATCAGCAACGCCAGCGCATACAAGGTCCGCCAATGCGTCTGAGAAGGATGCCCGTGCTACCATCTACGGTGCCACGAAGCGCGCGCTAAGCGATCGCGACATCGTTATTCTCGACGGACTAAATTACATCAAGGGCTGGCGATATCAACTGTTCTGCGAGGCCAAGGCTGTGCGCACACCTAGCTGCGTCCTACAAATTGGTTGTACGAGGGAGAAAGCTAAGGAGGTCAACGAAGAAAGATTGCGGCGGCGGAACGAAGACGTCGACGGTGCGAAGGATCAAGAGGAGAAGAGTAACGAAGAGCAAGAAGAGGAAGAGGGCCCTTACGAGCCGGAAAACTGGGAGAACCTCGTGTTCCGTTATGAGGAACCGAATCCTATGACGAGGTGGGACAGTCCGTTATTCACGCTTATATGGGAAGACGGCGAGGAGCAGACGAAACAGGTTTTTGATAGCTTGTGGGATGTTATTGCAGGAGAAGCGCGGAAACTGGTACGGCCTAACCAGGCAACTGTGCAACGGACCAGGGAGACAGGGGGGGATTACTTATACATTCTCGACCGAGAGACGCAAGAAATTGTCAAGAGAATACTAGACCAGCAAAGCGATGATGGTGGGGATGAGATAAAGATTCCCCGGAGTAGCGGCAACGACGGTGAGGAGTTAGTTGTGGAACCGCCAGCTGGAAAGAAAGTAGGCCTGCCTCAGTTGCAGCGGTTACGAAGGGCGTATATGGGCTTGCATAGAGGCGGTATTGGCCTCGAGGGAGTTGGAAATTTGGGACCGGAGAGGATACGAGAGACCTTTGTGAGATATCTCAACGATGCTTTTGAAAAAGATGGTTGATATATATGCTGCTGATGCCTGTTTCCTCTATGTATATTGATACCCCCCTGATGTTATTTGTTATTTTTAGTCTTGAACGTATCATTCAAAAAGCTTAGACATTGAAACTAACAAATTAGTGATAGTGAAAATCGAGGTTTATATCCCTAGTAAAGCGTATTCAATCTCCCTCGTGGGCTATTGATGAGCTTGATGAGCTTGAAGGGTCAAAGACTATGTCATGATCGATACTAGAATAGTTCGCCTATTGCGATATAATGCAGCATAATCCCTGTATATACCTGCATTGTAAGCTCGATCTCGCTGCGTGGTAGCTACATATGCTTGTATGTCAGACATGAAGGCGTCCCTTCATCTAGGTAGTGCCCAATGAAGATCCCTAAAAGTGTACAAGATATGTATCGACGGCGGTCTCGGATCATGGAGGAACTAATCAAGAAAGCACTTGAAGAAAATGGGGCTACGAGGAGGCCCTTCGACGCCGTTCCGTGGAAACCCGATCAGCCGTATGCACAGCCCTTTTTCACACACGACCGCTCTAAACAAGCATGGACACCGGCGAATCCCAAGCCGTTACAGGAGGGGGGAAGTGGAAGTGGAATCAACCGGCTGAGGCTGTACAGCTGGAACATCGATTTCATGCTACCGTTCGCGAAAGCGAGGATGAGCGCCGCGCTAGACCATCTCAACGGTCTAACGAGCAACCTACCATCCACAACCGCCTCCGTCATCTTCCTGCAAGAGTGCATCGAAGAAGACCTCGAGACGATCGGCGAAAATGAATGGGTGAGGGATAAATTTAACGTAACAGACACCGACGGCAGCAACTGGCAAACCCACTACGGCACCACCACGCTAGTCGACCGCCGCCTAGACATCACGGCCTGCTTCCGGGTGCACTATGCGCAGACACAGATGGGGCGCGACGCCCTAGTCGTAGAAACAGCGCTGGACGCGCCCGGCAGCGGCGCACCTAAGACCCTCCGCCTGTGCAACTCGCACCTGGAGTCGCTGGCGCGCAAGCCGCCGCTGCGCCCGGCGCAAGTACGAGTCCTAGCGGCGCAGATGCGTGCGCCGGGGGTGCACGTGGCGCTCGCGGCGGGGGACTTCAACGCGATCCAGCCGTTTGACCGGACGCTGCACGCGGACAACGGGCTCAAGGACGCGTATCTGGAGCTGGGGGGCCGCGAGGACAGCGACGCCGGGTACACGTGGGGCCAGCAGGCGGCGACGAAGACGCGGGCGCGGTTTGGGTGCTCGCGCATGGATAAGGTGTATTTTACGGGGGGGCTGGAGGTGCGCGGGTTTGAGAGGTTCGGGGCGGGTGTGCAGTTTAGTGGTGAGCGGGAGCGCAGGGAGATGGAGGAGTTGGGGTTTGAGAAGCCGTGGATTACGGATCATTTGGGCGTCGTGGTGGAGGTTGAGGTTGTTGATTGAGAATGGATATGGATAGATAGGGTGGCTTGGGGGGTTGAAAGTGTGTATAGGATACAAGAAATGAGATGTCTTGCTATCTTTATATGAGATTACGGGATCTTAGAAGCATCTAACCTAGGTTAGGTTACTTACTTTATAGTAGTATGCCTCTTATGTGAAAAATAGGGGCTATGAGTTATACGTCTAGTTTTGGGATCTCATCAAATAACAGGTAGTTAATCTTTTATGGGAATTTGCAATTACATTTCCCCGTGAGAATTAATCATAGACTACATCTACTGAGTAGAGCCTCAAGGTAATACTCGGGTTCATAAAGCGGCCTTACAAATATTGGGTATATAGACACCTTATGTGCTACTTCTGCCTTGAACATAATCTATCTCTAGGCTTGAACCTATAATAGACTGATAGACATGTCTCATTCGCGCCTGGGCTCATATCCCGCTGTGAATTTCTCACTCATTGCAGCTTAGATCGGGTATCCGACCACAACTTATCCACGATCTGAAAGACCGCCGTAACATCACGCATGACGGCACTGTCGACCTGTCCGCCGAGCCGCTGCTGTATCTTATCCGGATGCCACCGAACACGCTCCTCTTTCAGCTTCGCTAGGAACTCCGTTTCGCCAACGTCTTCAGGGTCAATACCAATGACGAAAAAATCCCTTACAGCATCCGCACCTACGTCCTCGCGCCGTCCACTCCGCACCGGCCACGCCATATGTTCCGGCGTCCCATCCCACTCCCTCCACGCCTGCGCATACTCCTCCCAGCGCTCTTTCCAGCCCTTTCTCCTACGCCTCTCCTCGCCCCTGCGCAAGCTCCGCTCCATCTCGCGCGTGATCCTCCTAGCCTCGTCCTCTTCCCGATCTCGCTGTTTCCGGCGCTCCTCGCGGCGCGCGCGTTCCTCCAGCAGACCCTGGTGCGTCTTCTCCCACATCTTCTGCCGCACGTATGTCGCGTACTCGTCGTCGTCCATGCGCTCTAGTTCCCCGTCCGGCCCGGACCGCGCCTGGGGGTAGATGTGGATTGGTTGCCCGTACACGCCCTCCCAGTACGCTGCGCCTTCGTCGTCTGCCATGGCGTCGAAGAGGGATTCTCGGAAGGCGGCTTCGGAGCCGAGAGGGGGCGGCTCGAAGGGGTTGGGAGGCGTGGGTGAGCGGGAACGTCGCCGCTTATGTTTATGGTGGTGGTGGTGACGATGTCTGTGTCTGTGGCGATGACGGTGTGGTTCGGCTTCGTCTTCACGTCCGCAGTCGTCATCGCGGTCGCGGTCTCGGGAGGAGTGATGATGGTGCCGCGAGCGCTTCGATTTAAAGCGAAATCTGCTCGTCTTGTTCTTGTCTCTCAGCTCCGTAGCTTCTAGTTCTTCCTGCTCTAGATTCGGCTGCGGTTCCGGAGGTGGAGCCTCAGCTGGAGGTGTATTGCCATTTTCTATCATGGGTGAAGCTGAACGGCGATCTGGGTTTATTGAGGATAGTATGTGTCGCCTCTTCGGCGACGCTGCCTCTGTGGTCATCTTATAGACATAGCGCGTAGTTGTTCCCTTCAATATATAGGGAAGCTCCGAAATACTGGGCTCGGTATGATGAAGAGGGTGTAGGTATGATGAAAGTGGGTAGGTTTAGAAAACGTATGTAGGCACATGTAAACGGTCTAACTACATATCAGATTTAAGCTTAACCTTATCTTATCGGATATTTTTAAAGGTTGAAGCGACGGGATTGCCCCACATAGCCTCAACTTGATTAAAACATTGAACTGGGATGATGTCCATTGAATTCAAGCAAGATTTTATTGCTGATATTTTAGGTAATTATATAAATAATAACGTAGCAATAAACTTCAGATTAGGTAGACTCATCTGGATGTATGAATCTGATGAGTCTATAATAACATGTCTTTTATAGCAGTATATTGATCCGCCGTCTCGTACTTGGGTATCATAATCCGTCTTGCTACTACTCCTATCCTTACTCAAAGAATCCACCTTCGCTTTCATTATCGCTTAAACCTAGAGCTTTAGACATTTTACGCCTCTCAGACCTGTTTTTGGGTATTTGGGCACCCATAGGACCAGGCGCATCTGAGCTCTTTGCCCTAGAACGATTGGCTTTTGCTAGGGTAGAGTCCTTCAAAGATTCATTGGGTGTTTTGCCTTTTTCATCTGTGTTTAGTTTGCGTTCCCTGATTTCGATCAATGCTGGGGTCCCTATCTCTGCTGCCTTTTCTATAACCTCCCACAGCGGTGGCCGTTCGCTACGTAGAGCCTGTGCTGCCGTACTTGCATCCTCTGCCTTCTCTCCGACTGGGTACAGACTGATGTAACGCTCTCTGTAAGGAAAAAATCGGGTGTAGATACTGTCGATTTCTGCCTTATGAAGGTCTGCTTTGAGCTTCTCAATCTCTTTGGGATCTTCGGCCGTCGTTAGTTGAGTTTTGATTCGTTTCGCGAGCCGGTCTGCTTTCTTCCTCTCTATTGTGTATTGTCAGAATAACTTTAACCGATTCCTATAGTCTAGAAAAGTAGCCCTACCAAAGAAGCGAACCATGTGATATTTTGTAATCATCATCTTCCTCTTTTTTTCATCCACGGCCTCGGCGATTTTCTGCTGGTGGTGGGCAAGTTCCCTCTCCAAATCATTCTCGACGTTTGCAGGCATATTCTGGCCCATCTTGAAGCGTCTCTCAATTGTTCGCACTCGTTTCTTAAGCCAATTTATGTTATCTGGCTTTGTCTTGTTCTTTTTCGGCTTCTTATTATTGAATTTCTTCGGCGCATGGCTTCCTGGAATGCGCTCGTGGGGGCCATCTTGCGAGTCGGCCCTGAACTCGGAAAATTTCCTCTTGGAACTCATCGTGTGCGTATAGCGTATTGTTTCTAGCGGTGATCGTTGAATGTATTGGGAATCAGGTCAAGAGAGCGTCGCTGTTAAGGAATTGAATTGACGGAAGATAAACTTTCGAAGTTTATCGTTTAGATTTAACTAAGATAAGATACGTATCTAAAAGTACTTAGGTACATGCATATAGTACGGGGTACCTTAGGTACCTACATATTAGGTCCCGCCATCTTTAGCTGCATCTAGAACTTCTTGAACTTAAACTCAATGTACGGACTTATTTTTATATTATCGTCCTAACAATGAAAACTGTATAAATCGTATCAAAATGTATTATTTTCACTTCTTTTCTAGAGTACCTGACATATCACTCCCCATTAGGAATGAAATATACACTCTTTCCCGGGCCTCCCTTTGCCGCAGCAATCCGAAGTGCCTCCTCCCAATCTTCAAGCCCAAACTTTCCGGCCACCTCCATGCCCACTCTAGATCCAATCTTCAGAACACCCCTTTCGACAGTTTTTATCAAGTCCTTCGCCTGCTGAGATGTATTCATAAAGGTTCCCTTAATTGTGATACCGTTGTATGATATGTGCCAATAAGGGATGTCGATGTCACCTGGGATTCCTCCCATGAGACTCATCCGGCCTCCTGGCCTCAAAGACAAGATACCCGCTCTAATGTGAGAGCTCTTGCTGGCCGGCCGTGGGGATATGTCGAAATACACATCCAGTGGCCCGAACTTAGCTAGCGCGTCGACGTCTTGTTGAACATCACCGCTAATCTTGACGGTTTCTATTCTTCCAGGATCGGCGAGTTTCTTCAGTTCCGCGAGAGCTGCCTCGTTTCTCCCCATGGCGATGACTCTAGCGCCCATAGCAAGGGCCACATGTACCGCAGCACTACTAAAGGAACCCGTAGCTGGAGCAATCAAAACCGTTTCGCCTGGTTTTAGTCCAATATCTACGAGACCACCGTACGGTACCACCAGTTGACTAAGACAACCAAGTTCTTCAAGTTTATATCCCAGTCGCCCAACTAAAATATCTTCATCCAGAGCGTGCACGCTTTCCAAAGGTGCAGTCGATAGCGTAGCCCAGCAACCATTGCGCCATTCTTCTGACGCCATCAGCTTCCTAGTACCCTCACTGAAGCCCTCGTGGAATGACCTAAGGATCTTTATATTGGGGTCGTCCCGGCCCCGGACCGTTAACTCTACAAATACCAGCTGGCCGGGTTTTAGGCTCGTAGCGTCGGACGGAACAGCAGCAACGCGGGCAATACAAGAACCACCAGGTACAATCGGTAAGGGGTACTTATAGCCTCTCGGATTGCCGTTGGTGAATATCTCGTTGGCATACTGTACGATGATAGAGTATAGTGGCTTAACAATCGCGGTTCCAGCCGTGGGAATCGGTGTCGACAGTGCTGCAAGAGTGGGCGGCGAAGAGGGTGAATGGAATTGTAGACCAGTGTAGGTCTCCGGGAGAGAGTGCTCAGTTAGGTTTGCCATCCTCGTCGTGAATGAGCGGTTTAAAAAATTAGAAGATGCCCAATTTCCAGTTGGAAACTTCCATCCATTCCGCGCGAGTTGGAAGATACGGCAAGCTCTATATATATCTAACCCGACCATGAGCCCTTCCCTTGTGATTGATGTCCCAAATTACTTAATTTGTCATCAAAATTGTACGGCCCTAGTAAGATCCTATCATGTTGCTCTAAATACCAAACCATCTCAAGTAGAGACGGCGGAGTTAGAGATGAAGTTTCTTAACTCCAAACCCCACTGCATCACGCTCGGTTTTAAGAAATAGCTAATTATACCAAGCAGATGATCACACTTCTAGCTATCATGGAAGTAGTTTGGCAATATACAACGCATGTGCAGTCTACTTAATACATTCTTCGTTGTATAAGTTAAGTTGTGTGTGCGACCCATTTCTTCGCAAAACGTTGGTGATATTACTCGTAAGTCAATGGTAAGTCTGCTAGTTTACTACCCTGATGCAGTATATAGTTGTATAACTAGAAGCTCTTATACTGGGTAGTTAGCTGACAGGTAAGCTCGTCGGAAACCGAGCGAGACTCGGACTACCTAGGCTAACGACTACAAGGGTGCTGTGGGATCGAGTGATCATTTCCCGTCAAGGCAAAGCTATATGTAATATATGAGTATTGCATGGTTGAACTAATATCAATACTTAAGTAGACATAATATCACCACCTCTTACCTCGGTTTTGCTTGATATCTTCCATGTTACAACTCCATAAACTTCATAGTTGCAACTACGGACGGAAGTAAGCCTTGTCAGCCACATGTATGACCAGCCACATGTATGACCAGCCACGTATATGAATGGATGGAAGTTCTTGATTGGTCAATGGATCACCTGCAGCGCTGGCGGGGTTTGAGCTTAAGTTTTATCGATAGGAGGCTAACTTAGCAGCTTGGCGCGGAAGCTCTTAAGTTGATTCAATCTACAACAATGTCAAGGTGCTATGTTATTAGTTGACAGCCTAGAGTCAATTGCAGTAAACTTTCTTTTAAGCGTCTTTCGACATAGAACAAGTACGGAGAGCTTTCTATATCCCATAATACGAGACATGCAGAGTCTACAAAAAGATGGCTCTTATCAGTTTCGTTCAATTCACATAGTCAACACTTCTCTTGATCTTTTGTAAGAAACCAGCCCAGGCAATGACAATTTTATATCTGAGAATACCCCCCACACATCTCTGGAGAAATGTCTCAATACGCAACTTCAAAGATGGATAGACCAGAGCCAGGCCTAATCAAATGGTCTCCTAACCCGGCCTACGATACCTTTCTCCATGTTAACTTGCAACATCGAGTCGTGCAGCTATATGAACCAACAGGTCTTGCGCAGCCTGGGTGGTTTGACTTCGAAAAGTCATCGAAGTATGATGAGATCCCTCCGCTGACCACCTACGATTGGTCACCTGCTCATCCTGGGTTCGTTGCCATCGGAACTGCAAGTGGCACCGTGGATATCATAAATCTCCACGGCGATGCCAGCTCTCATCTAGAGCTGCCTATAAGGATCACTCGTACCTGTCAGGCGGTGGCTTTTAATACAGGGTCCTTGCTTGCTGTTGGGTTAGAACGCGTTCGAAATGACCAGTGCCTTAAGATATTCGACGTAAGTCGACTTACGACGCTGGAACCCAGCGCTACATGGGCCTCACTCGAAGGTTCGATGAATCCGGTGATCGGGCTTGAAGCTAGTATTTCTATATCAAGCACCAAGTTCTTCGAAGACAGTCCCCAGGTTCTCGTTGCCGGGATTAAAAATCAGGGTATCCGCATTTACGATCTCCGAGGTAGACCTTGTCCCCGATGATATCCTTTTATAAAACTTACTAATTGCTCCCAAGATCCTCAAGGTGCAGTGATCAACTATCAGACAAAATGCAATAACAACTTAGCAATCGATTATGCTGATCAGAATTATTTTGCTTCGTCTTCTCTAGATAAACCAGGGCTGGTGATTTGGGATCGTCGGGCCACCTCAAGACCGTCTTCCTCGCGCTTTTACCTCGATGCTGTTGATACAGATGAATTGACGTGGGGAGCGGCACTCAATATTGATAAAGCAATTGATGTCAAAGAAGCCAATTTCCAAGATAGGGGTTCATTGATAAGGTCGTTACGTTTCTGTAGGGATCGTTCTGGCTTGATAGCAGTGCTCTCTAGAACTGGTCAACTCAAAGTCCTGGACGCTAAGAAGGAATTCATTCCTTTCGAGATGCATCCTAAGGACAGCCCCGAGATTCTAGAAGTCAGAAAATCGTATGATCTCGACATGAGCTATTCAAAGGAACGAAAAGACGACAGGATTGTATCGTTTGACTGGGTGACGCTCGACTCTCCTGTTTTAACACCACGAGCAATAGTTCTACGCGCCAATGGAACATTTGACATCCTTGAAAAACCATCATATTCATCAGAACATTTATATAAGATGATACCCTGGAAACCACCCCACCGTGGGCTAGAAGGTAACGCTATATTGACCGATAGATGATCATTGCTAATTCAACATAAGGGGGCGGCAGCTATCACTCTCTGATGCAATTTGAAGCAACACAGTATCCCGAAATGATGGGTCCACTCAATATAGACCAGGCTTTTAAGGATCAACCTTTATTTGGAAGCCGTAAGGAATCCACTAATGTTATAATACAGAAAACATTATTATCTCCTTCACCCATGGCTGACCCTATATGCGACCTGGAGGCAAGCACTGAGCCACTACCAGAGTTATTCACCAGTGCTTCAACAACAGCAGATAAGTTGCGTGGTTTGAGGCAATACTCTAGGGCAATCCTCGAAACCGCAAAGCAACTTGCTGATAAGGAGCGACAGCAATCAGTAACGAAAGATTTGGACCGGTCTTTATCGGATTTATCTTTACAGGGAAATGTCTTGCCATCAAATAGACAGCTACATGAGAAGCTACTCACATCAACACTAGATTCAAAGGGGTTCCCTAAAGAAGCACAACTCGTCCTCGATCACGTGATGCTTCTTCGTTCCAAGGAGAAATACTTATTCGACTATGTTGCGAATAGGGACATAGCTGCCGATGATCCTTGGCTAAGGGAACTATGGGATTGGGTTGTCGGTATGTGCTTTGCGCTTTATTGTCTTATTCTGTTTAAAAACTGATAATCTAGTAGGGGCTGATGATGCTGCCTCTGATATGGGAATGATATCGCAGGGCATCGACCTGAGTTATATGGGTGTTGCTAACATATGGACGCGTGACTTAGGTTAGTTACCTACATAGCTAGCTTTCTTTTGAAAATACTAATTGATGGCTGCGTAGGGTCTAATTCTTCAGTCAGACTTTTGGACGGTACTAGGACCCCAGATGCAGCAGCATGGGAGCGTTGTCTACAAGAAATAAATAGGAAGTTAAAACAGCCAGCATACACTGGCGTTGAATCAAAGAAGCCACTACATCGCCAAGTTGCTACGTGGATTTGTGGATGGGGCAGGTCACCCGATGCATACTTTAGTGACTATGCGAAGATGCTGCCCTCTGAGCGAAATTCATCGTGGTATACGATGGCAACCGCTCATGCCCTCTTCGAAGGTGATTACGACAAAGCGGTGGGGATTCTCAAGGGTGCTAGTACAGAGCACCCTGAGCTTTTGTTCGTCTCCTTGGCCCTACAACTCAAAAGCCAAGGGGACAGGAGCCCCGGCGAAGAACAGCTAGACTTCGACGACGCAGTTGCTTCTAAAACCGATCCCTACCTTCGCGCAATATCATCCCTTATCGCAACAAGTAATTGGGAGATTATCGCAAACCAAGAATCCCTACCTCTCCGCGAGCGTACATTCGTGGCGCTTCGGTATTTCGACGACGAAAAACTTACGCAATGGCTCGACAAGGAGCTTAAGAAGGCGATCGATACGGGTGACATCGAAGGCATTGTACTTACTGGCATAACTGATAAGCTTGTCGACATATTTGCAAAGTACATTGAGAAATTTAATGACGTCCAGACTGCCACTCTGGTCTTGTCAATCTGCTCACCGCGTTACATCAACGATTATCGATGCCGTGTGTGGCGGAATGCATACAGAGCCTATCTTCAGCGGCACAAGGCTTTTATGCAGCGGACTAAGTTCGAGGTGGAAAGCACCAAGAAGAGCAAGCGAGGCGGCGTTCCTACTATCATGCCGCCGTCCCGACAGATCGCACTGCGCTGTGTGTATTGCGACGCTGAATACGAACTTTCTAAGACGGGGGCAAATCCCCAGTCACTAGTTGCTGGTAAGGGATCAACAAACCCACTGACGGCAGCCAACATCAACGCGGGCGTCAGTTGCCCGAACTGCGGACGCCATCTCCCGCGCTGCGTCGTGTGCCTCGAGGTCGTGGGTGTCCCGCGATCCGACAAGCCGGAGGCCTCGCCTGACCCCCAGGTCCGTGTCGCTGCCCGCTTTCCAACTTTCTGCCTCAAGTGCGAACATGTCCTACACCTCGACCACGCACGCCAGTGGTTCGCGAGACATGTCGAGTGTCCGGTTCCGGAGTGCAGGTGCCGCTGCAACTTCAGGGCGAATCCGGAGTTGAATTATCGTTGAACGGTCTTTTGTGTGGGTAGCTGTAAGGGGTTTAAGTCGGGAGTGTTGGATTATTGGCTGGCGTTTTATCTGTATACCGTTACATGTCTACCTTACGGCTTCCTTTGGGCAGAAATACTATACCGTTTGAGATAAGTCGGGGTCGTAGTAGGGTTACAATTTTTAGTATTAGACCAATGGTATCGTGCTTGGTTTCTCCTTAACGGACTTATATGCCACTACTCGTCGTTTAATCACACATGAATTGACCTAATAAAGTTTTTGAATGCATGTTCTCCATGTAATAGCGTATCTCATCACCTTGCATGTCCACATAGACTGGCCGCTAACGGGCCTCCATTTAGAAGTTTCGTAGGTTAGGTAGGTTTTCTAGGAACACGAAGCGCATAAGCGAAACAACCTATGTAAGTATACCACCCACTAGGTTACATGTTATCATTTAACCTTATAATTATCATTATTCGTAACCATCGTATAACTTAATATTGTACAGTCTGAATCTAATAACACAACTCTCAGCAAGCCAACAAACAAACAAACAAACAAACAACCAGACAAATACCCTCATGCCGCCAGCTTCCACAGCGGCACGTACGCCCGCGCGGCGGGGGTATCGTCGTCTTCGTCCTCGATCGCCTTGTTCATCCGCGTGATCCACTCGTTCTCCGCCCTCGCCGCGTCCCGCTCGATCTGCCTCATGACCACCAGTTCGGCCAGCATATCGTCGACGAGCGAGCGGCCGCCGCGCACCATCCGCGCTAGCCCAGAGTCGGCTATAGAGTCATCATCGACGTCGCCGAGATCCCGTAGAGCAGTCCGCCACCCCTCGAGCTTCCGCAATAGGCTCTCGCAGTCGCGCGCCCAGGTCCGGTCTAAGTCGCCTAGGAACTGTACCTCGTCGCCGGCGATTAGACCTTCGACGTCTCCGGAGCGCTGGGCTGCGATGATGGAGGCCATGCGCTCGGCCCAGACTTCGAAGTCGGCTACGACGCGCTGGTAGCGCCCGCCGGGCTCGCCGAGCTGCCAGACGCCGTTGAGGGCTTCGTCGAGGATTTGGACTTTCTCTTCTAGCCCGAGCCCCGATCGATTGCTTTTGCCCCACCGCACAAGCGCTGCGATATTCCGGGCCTCGACCCCGTGTCTCTCGAGCTTGATGAGGGCGTCGTGGTCGGCGTTTAGCCGCGCGAATCGCGCCCCGAGCTTCTGGCGCGCGCTATCCCGCCACTCGGAGTCTACAACGGCGGCGTCGCGGTGAAGAAGCGAGAGCTGGAGTAGTTCCGTCTGCAGACGGCTGGTCTCGGCGGAGATGGCGACGTTGGCGGGGAGCTTGGAGGGCGAGGGGGGTGCGAGGAAGGTGGATGTTAGAGGTTTCGGCGCGAGAGACTTGGCTGGGCTGTAGTGCTGTTGGTGTGTGTTGAACGCCGGACGGCTGGTGGGCTGCTGTGAGGTAGAGGTGGTGGAGGGTTGAGATTGCGATTTCGTGCGCGTGTGCGTCTGGGAGCGTGTTTGCCGCGCCGGGGCTTTCGAGCTCGCTGTTGTGACTGCGCTTGGGGCAGGGCTCGTGCGGCCCGACGATGTAGATGATGTTTGAGATATCCGGGATTGAGCGGCAGGGCGGAGGGTTGTTGCGGCCGTGAGGCTCGTGACTGTGGATTTGGATCGCGAGTGTCCGATAGGTCGGTTAGAAGCTGTTGGAGGCGGACCGCCGGATGATCTCGGTCGGTTGACGGTTGAACTTGCGGAGCGGGTTGAGGGGATTGATCCTGCTGTTGTCGTTGCCGAGGATGAAACTTGACGCGTAGACGATGCTCTGCCTAGAGGCCTGGGAGCTTTCGCTGCAGGATTTCCAGCATTATCTGAGCGTGCGGACGGAACCTTGCTATAAGTGCCTGAAGGAGGTCTCCCCGTAATAGTAGAGCTTGCTGTTCTTCGCGCAGTGATAGTAGAGGAGGAGGTTGTTGTATTCGATGCCATGGATCGAGTCGTCATGGTGGGTTTCACCGGTAGTCTGCTAGGCGACGTGTTCCTAGCCTCGTTACGCGCCGAGGGTACATTTCCCCGTGATGATGCATTGCTTCCGGAAGTAGGTTTTTGAAGCGAGCGTGTGCGGCTTAAGCTAGTTGACGACGACATGGTGGTGGTTCTTAAGACAAAGTCTCTTTTATGGGAATAGTTTGGAATGTTGGTAAGAATCAGGGGTCTTTGTGCTATTGACCCGTGCACGCGACTAACAGGGTAAAGTTACCGAGAATTACAGTGGATGATATAGCGGACCCCACAGTTGATTCAGTCGATTCCCCCTGCTGTCAACCCCGCTAAGTTTAAAGGGCTGAAAAGGCTGAAAAGGCTGAAAGGCTATCCGCCGTTGGTTCCTCCACAACTGATTGCGCCTGTCATATTATACATATTATTACATAAAGTCAAATGCCGTAATCCACTCTATCTCCCCTTCCTTATATGATAACTATGCACCTGCTATGTTACTCAAGCGTTTCAAAAGCTGTCATCAAAGGAAGGAGTTATAGCTCAAGTAAGGAAACTACCTAACCTAGGTTAATGTATCACCGGGAGACTAAGACTGAGAAAGTCAAAAAATAAGAAAAATATAACTGGTTCACTTGTATTCATCTCATCTGCATCTGCATCTGCATCTACATAAGCTTAATTGCAATTGGTATCATCGTGCGGCTTCTAGCCTGGATTCCATTATACCCTTTCCCTTTTGCCTTACCCTGTCCAAGCTCTTGTCGTAGATATTATATACCAGTACACGAGAGGTATCATCGTACTATAAACGCCTATTTCCTGATGCAATTCCTCCCTTTCCGTCGTCATCTATGTGCCATTGCGTACACCGAATAAAATCATTCCTTTCGTATTGATGCTCCGCAAGCATCAGGGCCGGTTTCCGTACTATGCATATCCTGAGAATCGACGGAAGAAAAATAATAATGACCCCAGGTCTAAAGAAGAGTATTTGAAGAAAGGTGTTCGAATAAAATGAAGAAAAGTATGTGGTTGGTTGGTGAGTACGTCAGTCATATCGACAGGAGATTAAGTACTCGCTGCTTGCTTCCCCTTCTCGCGGCGCTGGTCAACTTCCATGTTGTCCATCAGTAACTTAAGGTCCGATTTATAAATACCCATGAGTCGTTCATGACACCCGAAGCAAATGCGCAGATTGCACCATGAGCAGGTCTTACGCGAGCCTGCGTCTTCAACACTACATGTTTGACAAGCTAATGGGTAGTTCAAGTTCTTAACTGGTACCCATTTATCATGGCGAACATAACAGTTGTAATGTCGCGAAGATATAGGAGCGGCTCGCCAGACGGTATCGGTTGAAGGAGCGGCTAGACTATAGTTCCTAGGGAAACGAGAGAGGGCCTCGTTGACTTGGGCTATCTGCTCTGCAGTCATATGTTCAACCGACTCGCCAATATCACTAAGTGCGCTCGAATCAACATCTCTTGAGATCTTGCGCATCGGTTTGCGAGCACTCGAGTCCGGCGACAACGTGGGTTCGTTTAATGCCGTTACGACATTAAAGAGCTCAGGCTTCTTCATGGGTTCGACTGAGTCAGATGGCAGCATCAAAGGCATCGCAGCGGACGGGCTTGATTGCGGTGAAGCTCTGTATCTCATTGGCTCTTGAGCATTTTGAAAAGCTGAGGGAGAACGAAGGGAAGGGTTGCTTTGAGATGGTCGTGGATGTCGTGGAAGCCCAAGACTCGGTTGTCTCAGATTGGATGAGCTCCCCTTCCTATGGACTTCCGGTTGATTAGGAGGCGAAGGAGTTCCGACAGCGCGGCGCGGAATTGACTTTTCTGCGGACTCTTTTGAGGGGGTCTCCGACGATGGTCCGGGACGAATCGGCGCGTAAACTACGGTCTCGACTGAAATCTTTGGTATCACAGATTCCTCGGCGAGAATCTGATCTTTTACAGGGGATGTAGGATTTATGCTAGTCTTATCCCCATACTGCACCGTAGGCTCCGGTTTCTTAATATGCTCAGCCTTCTCGACCGGCTCATCTTTAACTTTCACGGAGCCTTTCGCAGCCTCGCCTCGGCCAGTAAGCTCTTTTAGCTTTGCCGAAAGTTTGCGCATCTTGTCGTCTTGTTGCGGTTCTATTGGTTTTCCTGGTCGGATATTTCTTCCAGGGAGTGAGGCACCTCTAGGAGGTAATGGAGAAGTGGTGTTGTTTTGTGTGGGCGGTGGGGGCGGGAGAGGGTCTAGGCTGACTGGTTGTGCAGTGGATGCGGTAGATCCATGGGAACCAGCTAATTTGAGCTCTGGGACGAGAAGGCCATGATCAGATTTCGATGATGCACGTCGCCGCCATATCTCCCGTCGCTGAGGTGAGTCACCTACAAGGTCAGATGGTGACACTGACACCGACGGACCTCCTTCATATACACCAGACCGGGACACGGGGAATGCCGGGGACGAGTCTACGGGCCGGGTATGAGACGGCGTACTCGGACGGAACGGGTCTTTCAATGGCAGCGGCGGCGGTACATCAGGCATCATCTCATCTCCATAAGGGTTACTTGGAAGAGCCGTCAGAGTCTTTGTTAATGATGACTGGGCATCGTTTGTTCCTTCTCGCCCTGGTGAATTGGATGGCTCGCTGTCCTTTGTGAACACACTGCCTTGCGACGACCTCTGAACAGAATCCGACGATGTGTTCGAATATGCCGACAGCAGACTAGATATAGAAGAAACCCGTCTCATCTTCTTTGTCTGGATATCCGCAGCTGGGGCCGGGGCCGGGGCCGGGGCGGGATTTGCTGGTAGTCCTACCGGCTTCCTTGGGATCGCCCTCGTCTGCGTTTGTAACTTTGAGGCCTCCATGATATTCTCTGGAGGTAACGCAGGAAGAACTGAGTTGAAGCTTGACTTTGGACTACTAATGCTCCTGGCACTAACACTATCCTTCCTGGGTGGAAATGGCGAGAAAACCGAAGGTAACGGTTCTTGAGGAACTATTCGTGGCCTCTCGTTCTCCAACTCAGGCGGAGGGGCAGGTAACGCTTTTGAAAAACGTGAACGACCCGACTTGGGGGCCTGAAGGGTAGGGCGTTCCATTACTACGTATTATCGGCTGAATTAGGAGTTTGATAGGAAGATGTAAGGAGGACGAAACCACATATGCTGTCATACCAACTTGACGAGATATGACTGTTCGTCTGATAAGGTCGAGAAAGAAGAGACGGGGGTTGAGCAATCAGGGTTGCAGAAGAAAGAAGTGATGTGCTGTTGAATGGGGTGGGTTCACTAACCTTCTGTTAGTACCCTTGACTTGATCCTGCTTTACGCTTTGCAGAATGACAGCACTCTTGATGCAGGTACCACGCTGGAAGGATCCGCACGAGAGAACCTCGACGAGTCAAAAGATAGAGGATCCCTGCTTGGATGGAGACCCCAACGTTGTTTTTAGATTTTCCTGCAAGACTGCTGCGGAAACTGGCTAAGGGAGGAAGCAGGTTTAGAGATGGGCCAGGGGCGAGTCGGAGCTAGCCTTACAGACTTGGGGGGAGAGGGGGGGGATGGCTCTTTGTGGGAGGCCCGCTCGATCTGTTACGTATCGCTCACACTGCAATAATATGCGAATCCTCTCGCCTCCCTTCAGAACAGGGCCGATCAGCAAATCTGCATAGTTACTCTTGCCCCTCGTGGAGATGGACCCTTGAACGGACGTTTCAGCCACAGGAAGATCCCAAAGAGGAGGGTAAGTAGTCAACTTTAATTAACGGGATTAAGTGGATGTCTCTTTTTGACGCCGGTTTTCTCAGCTGATTGACACTTCGACTGGTATTCACAATTGACACTGTTTAGGGTTCGAATCAGTCAGATGAAAGCTGCGGATACCCAGGACTCGAACGACGATTTTATGATAACTGGAAGCATGCAAAACAGCTTGAAGATCCTTGCTATGTATTTCATACAGGTACCGACGCTGATGCCTAGAGGTTTCGAGAACATGTCTAATTTGCAAATCTCACTACTAGACTAAAATGAGACTAGCAAGACACGCATTGTCGAAGATGTGGTGTGCGAAAATCGCTGCAGCCACGATACTGTACGATAGATTGGAAGCAACCTGAGGCTGTGTCTTCAAGCAACTATGTGATACATAGACAGTTAGCTGCATGCAAACGCATCGAAATTCGTCCGAAGTGGGGCTATGACGACTCAAGCATGGTTAATCCCGTCCCACGTCCGGAGAGATTAGCCAGTAAGGGCCTCGACAAAATGGATAGGTAGCATTCTTTCCCGGGCCTAGGGGCCCTATCAGAACTTCGCGTACAAGCGTCTCTGGAACTTCGGGAGAGCCGGAGATTGGTAGTTGTGTTTTGCATTCCCGCTCCCTTGTAGACAGATAAAAATGGGTGCTGGTCTGTTTCGGGAGTTGGGATCGAGTTTCCGGGTCCACTGAATCATCAAGCATCAAGCCGGCGTGATGGAAATATCCGAGTTGATGATAAACTAACAATGCTATTTAGGGTTATTTATTTATTTATTTATTTCGTTATTTATTTCTAACCAGCTCACATGCCACTGATTTAAGCAGTGAAATACATGAGGTCTCCTGATAAGAGACAGACCCCTGGACACCCTGGATACCCTGGATACCGTGTGTCTTAAAACGAGGTATGACACTGTATTCATCCGAGATGATGCAGCACAAATTCCATAGACCTGGATTTCAATCTGCAGAAATTAAGTTTATACGAACGCGACGCGGCAACGCACATAGTACATTAGTTAGCTCTCGGATTCCTCATTGGTAACCAGTTAGCATGCCGTTCGAGAGATCGCTGCATCTAAAACCGGTATATTATTATCGTAATGTCTGTTTCGGAGATAAAGGGAGAAATGAGCAGACAACAAGTCGTCAACTAAAATTAGGTCAAGTGCCACAATGCAGATGCAAGACAACATCAGCCATTGATACACATTGATACACATTGATACACATTGATACACATTGATACATGATTCAATCCTCGAGTTATGTACCGAAAGAAGAGAAGTTATCTATTATGCAAATACAAAGCTCACGGTCTATAAAATGGGGTTTCGGCGGGTCTTTGGCGATTGCGGGCTAACGTTATCTCGTGAGGACCGGACAGCGCCGTCCGAATGCCGATAGATAGGTAGATTATCAATCACTGCAGAATCCTCCAATTGCGTGATAGTAGATATGCAGACCGCTACTAATCGCCTGAAGCTCGCCTTTGTTAGTAATCCCTACCTCCCGTCCTGGGGGATAGAACATGTGAGCTCGAGGTGTTAATTAGGCCAAAAAAAAAGGTGTCTCTTTTCTCTCTCTTAATATCTTAGATAGGTATACTTAGATGTTCGTAAAATCATCTAGATTTTAAATCAATGTCTTCCGAAAACGTCGCCCCTAGTCATGCCGACGGGGCCGCAGAGACGACACCTCTGCTAAAGAAAGACGTCTCCGTCGTTAGCGTCTCGGCTCAGAGTCAGTCTAACGGCACGTTTTCGAGTGAGAGCAACTCGGTCGCAGACGACTTCCCGGAGAACGATGTGGAAAATGGCCGGCCTAACGGCGCTGCGCCGAACGGAGATGCGCCGAAGTTGAAAGTAAATATGAAGGCGTTACTGCCGGCGCTTGCCATTGGTGTAAGTGGGAGCCTCTGGGCAGACCTATTGTTATAGGTCCTTTCTTCTATGCAAAGTTTATAAATGCTAATACCAGCAGATCTTCATGGTGGCGCTGGACCAGACCTTGACTATCGCCACCTACGGCAAGATGGGCAGCGACCTCAATGCCCTAAACTCGACGAGCTGGATCTCCACCTCGTACTTCCTGACGCTGACGGTGTTCCAGCCCTTATATGGGCGGTTGTCTGACATATTCGGCCGCAAGGAATGTCTGCTGTTTGGGTACGCCGTCTTTGGGCTTGGTTGCCTCGGCTGTGGGCTGTCCCGGGACATCGTCGAGCTGTGCACGGCCCGCGCTATAGCCGGCATCGGGGGTGGCGGTATGAACGCCGTTGTGACCATCCTCGTCACGGACCTTGTGTCCCTTAGGGACCGGGGCCTCTTTCAGGGATATATTAACGTCGTGTACACTGCGGGCAGTATGTAACACTGAGAATTCCTTTTTTCCCCTCCCCCTTTTAGATCTGTCTCGGGTGCCAGCATTCTCTCGTCGAGCTGAGTAGATTGTACTGCGTCCGAGACATAGCTGAAATTGCCACATACCTTTTCTGAAAGAAGTAATTATTGATTCTCCATGTTACAGTGGTATCCGGCGCACCAATCGGCGGGCTGATCGCCGACACTATCGGCTGGCGGTGGGCGTTTGCAGGCCAGTTCCCGCTGTCGCTAGTCGCGTGGCTAGCTGTATTCTTCGTCCTCGACGTGCCCAAGGCGGACCATGCGCACTGGACACACAAGGTTCTACGTATCGACTTCCTAGGGGCCTTTACGCTGGCCTCGGCCGTGTTCACGTTACTATTCGGCCTCGACAACGGCAGTAATGAGGGCTGGAGCCAGCGAATCACTATTATCCCCCTGGCGCTGACACCGCTCCTCATCGCGCTATTCCTCTTCATCGAGGTCAAAGTTGCCTCGGTGCCGTTCGCGCCGGGCCATGTTATCCTCGACCCGCCGCTGTTAGCGGTGTATGGGGCCAACATGTTTAGTGTAGCCTCGCAGATGGGCGTCTCGTTCTTCATCGCGCTGTTCTTCCAGGCTGCCGTGGGCCTCTCGGCAACGTCCTCCGGTCTCATGTTCATACCCAGCACGTTCTTCGGGCTCACGGGCTCGCTGGGCGGCGGGATTCTCATGCGCCGGACGGGCAAGTATTACTGGATTACGGTCATCGGGTATGCCTTAATAGTACTCGCCGTAGTACCCTCGGTGTCGTTCTCTGGCGCGGTGGCGAAGTCGACCGTGGGCGTTATCGCAGGTCTCTGCGTCATGGCGCTTGGGTCTGGTTCTTGTATGTTTCGTCTTTCTATGCATCCCATCTATTTCTCCCTTATATCTTGTGAAAGTTTCTTGACAAATAGATACACCTCTCATAACAGAAGAGATATGAGAAAATAAGTATGACAGAATGCTAATATACCCACCTAGCAATTACCAGCTCGCTCATTGCCATAATCGCCAATGCGGATCCCGCCGATTCGGCCGTGGCCATTGCGTGCTCATACCTATTCCGGTCCCTCGGCACGACGCTCGGAGTTAGTATTACCACGGCGGTCCTGCAGCAAGTCCTACGCACGGAGTTAGCCGCGGAGCTCGGCGGCGATGGTGACAAGGCGCGCGAGATCGAGGAGGGCGTGCGCCAGAGCCTCGACTACATCCGGAGCTTGGATCCGGCGATCGCTGAAATCGTGCGGGACTGCTACGCCGTCGCTGTGCAGTGGGCTTTCATACCGGTTGCTATTTTGGCCACGGGCGCATTGATCTCGTCTATCTTCATTAAGGAGAAGAAGCTCGAGGGGCGGTAGGCGGTAGGTGCCCATGTACTTATTCCGGCCCCTTTTGTCAACTTAGGAGACGGTGGTGAGGACGTGGATGAGAAAAATAAAATAAAGGGGGTTTGACTAGATAGTAGATCCCCTATAGGCTTATTTATCTTATATGGCGGGTAGTCCTGGATGAGATGAGATTGTATGTACCTACCAAATAACTATATGCCTCCACCTACGTGTGTGCTAAGCTGTTAAACAGCAACAACAACAATACAAAAAGAAAATACAAAAAGCTCGGTCCCAGATTCGAACCCCCTCGAGGGGGTTTGAAATCCAGGACCTACGAAAACCCTAACATCGGATGCTAAGATTTTACTGACCTGCACTGGCAGCTTTACCATTAATCCAAAGGGCTTAATGATTCAGTAGTCAGGCACAGGCCGAAGGAACTGGCTGTTGCTATGGTATATATGCCGTCTTTGGATGCATGTGCAGCTGTACGGGTCTACCTGTTAACAGCTGGGGAAGGTTGCTAGGTACCTACCTAGCAGGCGGCAATATAACTCCTAGCAACAGCATCGCAAGTATCAAACAATCTCAACTGAAAGCCCGGTGGTGTAGCGGTTGGCACATTCCATCATTACGCGCTTCCGAGAAATGAACTTGGATGAGAGGTCGAGGTTGGAAAGGCTATGGGTTCAAATCCCATCCGGGCTCACACCTTCTTTTTTGATATTTACGCGTCCTCTCTTTTTATATAGAAGGTATATATATATATATGGAATTGCGTCCTTGCTCGTTTCTAGTATCCTGTTATTTATTAGGCCTCTGATGCATCTCGAAAGCCACATGTATGTATGTATTCACGAGGCTGGTTGGATATAAAGTCAATGTTTAATAACAACTACTATTGGGATTCTAGCGACAAAATAGGGATATTATTTCTTCTACAAGTGAGTTGTAGTCTCCGTTGGTTTAACTACAACGATGATGGCTATACGTAAGGACCCTGGACCGGATTCAAGGTCTAAATTCTTGTTTCACTTACTGATTATGCATAGCCCATCTAAATTCATACTTGATACTTAGACCGTCTCTTTTATACATCGATATTGACGTTCCAGCGGTGAAGGTAACTGCTTGGGACCTATCACGAGCTATAGATCCCCTATTCACGCAGGTAATGAGGAGTAGAAGTTTTGAGCATCAAGATTCAAGTGGTATATTAACCTCAGTAATAGTCGATGAAACACACACATTCTCAAGACACCTGCTCATATTTATAAATTACTTAACCTGAGCAATCGTAGAAAATAGAAAGCAAAACAAACCTTACGCGCAACAACCAGGCGGCGCTGGCATAAATCATATCAACGCAAGTTCGCATAAAGCAAAGTCATAGCATGGTAACCATAGCAAATAAGTAAGTAATCGTGGTAAAGTGTAATCAGTGTTCCAAAACCCCTCGACTAAGCAAGAGGTCTAAGATAGATGAGGGGGATATGTCACTTCTCTAACTAATCCGTGCTTGGTATCAGATCCCTTCCCGAGAGATGTATGTCCCATCACGCCTCGTCGTATGATGATGCAATAAAATCCGCACGTCTTATGCTCGTAAGAACCATCCACTCGTCGCCAATCTACATAGATTAAGTCGTGAATCGAAGAAGACAGCACTAATTACTCGCTTGCGGACCTCAAGAGACATCGCCTAACTTTTCTTTTTCGCCTGCCGTAATCTAGTCCCAAATCATATTAGCTATGACTGGTGGCGCATCTCCTTCAATCCCACTCCGCAGAACTCTATAGGAATCCACGTCGGGGGAAGCTGACACCTTCTACGGCAGCCGTGTCCGTAAACCAACTACATCGCTCGCCGGTTGCTTCGTTTACGAGCGCGCACGGAAGTCCGTTTCCTTGCTCGAATATTTCCTTCATGATCTCCTTCTTCGCAGCGCCCGTAGCGACAAAGGCGATCTTGACGGAGTGCGTGACGACGGGTAGTGTAAATGTGATTCGTCGAGGCGGCGGCTTAGGTGAGTCGTCGATGGGCGCTACCCACGCGTCTGTCTCACGGAGAAGAGGGTGGCCTGGAAATAGACTGCAAGTATGACCGTCTGGGCCGGAGCCAAGAAGTAGTAGGTCGAAGATGGGTAGCTTGACCGAGTCGCCCTTAGCAAAGGAGTTGACAAGTATTTTTTCGTATTGATCAGCTAGCTCTTGCGTGTCATCTAGGTATTGAGTGTCGATTGGGTGTATGGTAGGTTGGCCCAGCTCGGTTGGCATCTTGTCCAGCAGCTCCTTCTTAACCAAACCATAATTGCTGTCTTCATGATCTAGAGGTACAGCTCTCTCGTCAGCGAAGAATATTTCCCACTTGTCGAACTTGATCGTGTCTTCTTTAGATTTCGGTTGCGCAAGAAGGGCCTCAGCGAGGGTCTGGGGTAGCGAGCCGCCCGAAATGCCGACTTTGAAGACGCCATGACGTGTGATGCCAGCATTTTGACATGTGATGATGTAGGATCGCAGGGCGGGCGCAAGAGCTTCAACGTCGCTAAAAGCGAACAAATTGGGTTGCTTTCCCGGCATGGTGGTGGACTATTGGTATGCGACTCTGAATACGCAATGCCTGTGAGGGTAGGTATGAATGTGGAATATGTGATATGTGATATGGAATATGGGATATGAATGTGGCAAGTCGGTGTAAGTCGGTGAGGCGAAATTCTTTAATTTAAGAAATTCTGAGTTATTTGCGGAATATGATGATGATGGTGGGGTAGGTCATGTAAGGTAAGGTGATCATGTAAGGTGAGGTAGCTTTCACGAGTGATTTTTTATTTTTTTAGGGAAACAATTACCACCCAAACTTATATTAAGAGCCTCAGGTAAAGGTAAAGGTAAAGGTAAGGTAACGGTAACGGTAACGGTTAAATATCGATAAAATACCTAGATAGGTAGATAAACATCATACCGCGACAATCAGAAATCTTGGGTGTATGTGAATTCTTAAGTAATTGTTTGTTCTTTGGTCCCTACGATGCTAGATTGGTAAACTGGTAAACTGGTAAACCGGGGAGTCGACGATATCGAAAACGATAACGGTTACACATGTATCTTGCGTTGGCAGTGTCCACTCGCTATTAAGAATCAATGCGCTAGGAACCTTGGCATTGAGCCATCGGCCGTTTTGTAATTGGGCTTGTAGGTCTGGGTTGGCTGGTTGGCTGGCTGGCTGGCTGGCTGATTATAAAAAGTTGCAAGACTAAACTTTGAGATATGCGAAATATCAAATCCTGACTTGGTATCAGAAGGTAGTGTAGATTGTTTATAGTGGTATCAAGAGAGAAATAGAGAGACAACGAAGGCTCTGCCTGTCTTGTCTATTCCTATTCACATGTAGGGATGGGTATGGGTATGGGTATGGGTATGGGTATGGGTATGGGTATGGGTATGGGTATATGGAAGGTTGTAGATTAGGTTGTTGTATCAACGTCCGGTGTTTTTTGCAAAAGGATAAAAAAGAAGAAAAAGAATGGAGGGGTTGTTTAACGATTGACGTAAGGCTTACTGATCTTGGATGACCAGAGGGGCGGGACAGGGAGGTGCCTTGTAGATAAGCGGGCTCTATTCCGTAGATGGGTGGGCAAGCGGGCAAGTGGGGGTTTCTGCGCAACATTAGAATGGATCCAATGCGGGGCCAACTTTCAAAGTACCTAAGGTACATGTAGCTAGCATCTTACGAATTCTGTATTGCTGCAAAGACCCCGCCAACCAAAACCAATCGCCGCCTCTTGCTTATAGAAATGTTATCAGGTCGATGATGCTCACGATGATAGATTCTTCGATGACTTTCGAGGGTTTAGAATTTGACACCGTTTTCGGTTAGACTGGCATCGCACAACGCGGCACTTCCTTTGATCAAATCAACAAAATATTCTTTCGTGATACACTGCATCCTCGAGTTTCGTGCATACCTACCTAAATTATTCATCTCACAAAGTTTCCACCTTGCTCGATCATCTTACCACCTACCTAGGTATGTATCTAACCCTAGCCTACCTAATCAAAGTAGTAACGAGATAGAGCCCTTTAGTTTGTATAGGTATACATACTACATACTACATACTGCATACTAATTGGTTGGGGATTAGAACCACTCAACCAACTCTTTTGCTATCACCAAAGAAACAAGTTGACAAGTCATCTTCAGTGCCGGTGTAGGGTAGGTGTGGTCGGAAGGTGTGGTCGGAAGCTCTGTCAAATCGCAACCCTCACGATTCACCAAATTTTCGTCGCAACCATAGAGCAATAGGTCTTGGGTATGATTACACATGCGACATTACCGGCAGTTCCAGGCACAGTCTGCACATGTTCTACACGGGTAGGGTTCCAATGCAGCGTGAACACAGCACTCGATCTTATTTCCAGGACTTGTGACGTTAGCTGCCCTAGCGTATATAAAGTATACAACATGACGGAAAGGTGCGGCAACTGTGATGAGTATAAATCTTATAGTTCCCGAGAATTTGGCTTGGCATAATCGAAGAATTAACATTAGGCTCTCATTCCGAATCATGCAGAATGATAGAAGCCATCGGCATGGTAATGATGTGTACAGATCCGGATTATCGGGCGTACCTTGCGGTTAATGCATAGCCGGTTACATAGTGCAATCCTTATTCAGCAAAAAAAAAAAAAAAAAAAAAAAAAAGGAAATTCAAGCAAGTAGATCTCAAGGGATACATGTCGATATTTTGATTTGTAAATGTAAAAAATGAAAATATTGATAATAGTCTTCATAAGGGGAATACATGGAACACATATACTAAGTTGACCTTTTATCCAATCCAAGGGCCGGGCGCGATGAGTTATTAGTGCCGGGAACGGACGGTGATTGAACAAAAAGCCGCGGCTGCTTTGATATGAAGTAGTTAACTAGGTTAAACTGTTTTAAAACTTGACTCTTACAACTATTTTATACGATAAATAGATCGCGACGACGACAACAACTGCCATTGAACAATAACCAACAATATAAATCCGTTACATTTTCCGAAGCTTTCTGATAGAAAAGATGCCACAAACACCCAAGTACCTGACGGGTGATTCAGCTGCTATTAATGAGTTTCTCGATAAGTTTGACGTGCGTCATTTTAACCTGAGCTGCCACCCTTCATAACACAAAGTCTTACCTTCTATACAGGTTTTCCTACTCGATTGCGATGGTTAGAATAAATGGCCAAGCTTCGAAAGGACCAGATGGCTGAAAATTTACAGGAGTCTTATGGTCTGGGGACAATGTCTTCGAGGGCATCGTCGAGACGCTGGAGATGCTGAGATCCAGGGGTAAGCCATGCTAGACCTAAAAAACTACAAAGCATGCACTGCACGTATGTGTACCACGAACTAAACTGGAGCAGGAAAACGGATTGTATTCGTTACGAATAATTCTACAAAAGACCGCCCGGGCTATCAACAGAAGCTGACGGGCTTGGGTATCCCTAGTAATGTCGAGGAGATATTCGGCTCGTCTTACTCAGCTGCAGTATATATCTCACGCATCTTAAAACTACCCGCACCTAAGAACAAGGTCTTCATCATCGGCGAGAGCGGCATGGAGTCCGAGCTGCGCACCGAGGGTGTACCCTTCATCGGCGGCACAGACCCGGCTTTAAGACGAGACATTACACCCGAGGACTTCAAGGGGCTGGCTGACGGCTCTTTGTTGGATCCGGATGTCGGTATTGTACTTGCCGGGTTGGATTTCCACATCAACTATCTCAAGCTATCTATAGCCTACCAGTATATACGACGTGGTGCCAAGTTCATCGCGACAAACCTCGACAACTTGCTACCTATGGGTGACACCTTCTTCCCCGGCGCCGGTTCTATATCCATCCCACTGGTCAACATGACCGGACAGACACCCTTGACCTTGGGAAAGCCCAGTCAGGCCATGATGGATGCGATCGAAGGGAAGTTCCAGTTGGACCGGGCGCGGACTTGCATGGTCGGCGATAGGTTGAATACCGATATCCAATTCGGCGTCGAGGGCAAGCTGGGCGGGACTCTACATGTGCTCACTGGTGTTCACAAGCGGGAGGATTGGGAGGCTGAGAATGCCGTGGCCGTCCCCGCCTACTATGCCGATAAGCTGAGCGATCTCCGAGGTGCGACATCATGACGAGATGCACTCTATCCCTCTCATGTCCCATGCTATCCAGCATTTATTTAGACTTAGATTTGATGCGTAGCATTATGCTATAGAGCCTATATAAAGTATAGACAGACAGACAGATAGAAACTACAAATTTCGGAGATACTATCAGGAAATCCTCGAATCATGGCACTCCATCTGCTCTAAGCTTCGGCACAATGCTGTCGACCAGCGGCGAGTATACTAAACCGAGTTCTCCAACAGCTCTCCGAAATCGCATGTCCTATTGGTTAAGGGAATTACGGCCCCGTATGCCGATTTCCCCGCGTAGCTATTCAGCTACCCCGATGGAGAGGGGGCCAGTATATGTGTATTGATTCGACGGGCTGCTTCTAAGTTGATGCATATCGTCACTCGTGATGGAGCTTAACAGGATACTATTCGTTGGCAAGTATGTATTTAAGAATATGGTAGGATACCGTGATGGAAGCGTACTCTCTATTTTGAAATTTTATTTACTTCCATATATGTCTACCTTGGCTATCTAATTACCTTAGGTGTGTACTAATATAACTAGGTTGTCTTAACTAGACATCTTGAGATATAACCGCTTTCACGGCCTAATAAGAGCCACAAAACCAGCCATGGCATCGCCACCCACCCCCCTAACACAAGAGCAGAAGGACTTTTTCCTTGAGAACGGCTACCTCAAGCTAAGCAACTGCTTCACGCACGAGCAAGCCGCCTCCGTAACCGAGGGGGTGTGGACGCGCCTGGGCATGTCGCCGACAGACAAGTCGACATGGACCGCGGAGAAAACCAACATGCCGTCGCACCGGACCTTCGACTGCGCCGAGTTTGCGCCCAAGGCGTGGCGCGCCATCTGCGAGCTGTGCGGCGGCGAGGACCGCGTCAGCCCCGCGTCCCGGCACTGGCGGGACTCGCTGATCGTGAACCTGGGCACGGCGGAGAGGGAGGGCAGACCGGTCCCGCCTAGGGAGCTCGCAAATTGGCACGTCGACGGCGATTTCTTCGTGCACTACCTGGATAGCCCCGAGCAGGCGCTGCTTGTGATCCCACTGTTTACGGATGTTGTGTCCGAGGGAGGCGGCACGATGCTTTGCCCGCCGGCTATCGATCGCGTTGCGAAGCATCTGTACGAACACCCGGTACGTGGGCTCGGCATTTGTCTGTTCGCCCCCTTTTTCCTATAAGCTAGTTTTTTTTTATTGGGAAGAAGGGGGGGGGTAAGGAGTTCTGAGTCTGAACTCCTAACTCTCCTACTAGTTTACCTCGGGTGCTTACCTAGACAGGTACTCGAGCGCAATGCTGATTTACGTACCTAACGTATCGTCACAGGAAGGCGTATCGCCGCGCATGGTACCCCGAGCGCACCCGGATTTCCCACGCGAGAAGAACCTGGAGTGGTACATGGCCATCGCGCGAGGCTGCGCAGACACGGACTTCGTCGAGGCGACGGGCGTCGTAGGCGACGTGTACCTGCTGCACCCGCTCATGATGCACAGCGCGACGAGCAACGCGCGGCGCGCCGTGCGCATCATCACGAACCCCCCGGTCAGCATCCGGGAGCCGTTCCGCTTCGACAGGCCGAGCGGCGAGGAGTACAGCCTCGTCGAGCGGAAGACTATTGCGGCGGTGGGGGGCCTGGAGAAGCTGAAGGGGTGGCGGATCACGACGCCGAGGGAACGGGTGGTTCCAGAAAGAGTAAGGATTCAGGAGGCGATGAAGCGGGAGGAGCTGCGGAGGTTGGAGGAGGAGCGGAAGCTGGAACAGGGTAAGGTTGCCGCTGCTGCTACTGCTGCTGCGGCTTAGAAGGGGATGGTGAGTTGAGGGTGTATAAGAGGGACTGCGTATAATGAGGATTAGTGAAGAGCCAAAATTGGGTATTAGCTTCTAATGTTAAGACTAGAATGTAGCCCTTTTATCATTCGCGTGGTATTACATACCTGTTAGGGTTGTCTTCATTTAGATATAAGTACCTATCCTTGATTGTTACACCTCATGGTATGACTTTACTAGAGCTCGTTTCGATAGGGGGTATGTCTTATATGGTTCTTATATATTAGTTATTGCAGTCGAAACTCATAATCCTGTGTCGATTGAACAACATGGTCATGATTATCAATTGTAATATACCTAACTTGAATAGATCTTATATGATAAAGTCTAGTAGTGTTAAGGTATGGATAATGAGACATGGTGCACATTATCAAGTAGTTGTTTGCACAGGGAAAATAAGGGGCTAGATAGATTTACAAGCGATACTAATAAAACCCCGAAAAAACAATTGCTAGCGACCCCAACTCGCCTCAAAATATTCATCTTCAAGCTTTTTATTTTTTTTATTAAACAACTTACCCAGGTACATTAGGTGCCTCACCTTTTCTAAGCCTATTTTTCCTTTAACAAAAACAACACAACCAATTCTAATTTGCTACCCCCCCCCAATAAGGCGCGAGGAAAGAATCCTGCAAATGTCCAGCCTCTCACCCTCACCCGCAGCCATGCTCCCCCCAGAGCTAACCCTCATCGTGGCCGCCACACGCACCATGGGCATCGGCCGCAGCGGCACGCTCCCATGGACCGGCCTCAAGAAAGAAATGGCGTACTTCGCGCGCGTGACAAAGCGCCTACCACCACCACCTTCATCTCCATCTCCATCTCCTCCTGCGCTGAACGCCGTCATCATGGGCCGCAAGACCTGGGACAGCATCCCGCCTAAATTCCAGCCGCTGAAGGGCCGTCTCAACATCGTCATCAGCCGATCGCACACCGGCTCCGAACAGCAAGAGACGGCGGCCGATGAAGGCCCGGTAAGAGTGGACTCGCTGGACCAAGCGCTCGCGCACCTCAAGGCCGCTAGTGTTGCCCGGGCGTTCGTCATTGGCGGCGCGCAGATCTACGGAGCGGCGCTGGAACTTGAGGAGGCGCGGCGCGTGCTGCTGACGAGGGTGTTGTCGCCGGATTTCGAGTGCGACACGTTTTTCCCGCTTGGCCTGGGGGAAGACGCAGCTAGTCGAGACAGCGGCTGGGTGAAGAGGTCGAAGGAGGAGTTGGATGCTTGGGTTGGGGAGACGGTGGCTGGAGGGGCGCAAGAGGAGAGCGGGACGAGGTATGAGTTTGAGATGTGGGAGCGGGTTGATTGAGTTGACCTGATGTGTGCTTTTACGGTTTGGTACCTAGGTAGGTATATATATGTACATGAGGAAATCTCGCTGCGAGATCACTTTTAACTTCTATTTTTCCTGCGCGCAAGATACTATTGCGCAAAGTCTTATACGAGAGTAACTTTTCACCTCCATATAACGTGCCGTCATTATAATCCCTAACCCACCTAGTATCTATCCTATCATACACCCCCCGAGCCTTACACAGCTACTTTCTGCACCGGCGGCGTTTCCTGCGCCAGCTGCCCGTCGAGCTCCCTCGCGGGCTTATCGACGAGCATGAGCTCGTTCTTAGCGCGCCACTTGAAAACGGCCTCGGTCTGGTAGTGCAGGGCCTCGTCGGGGATCTGATCGAGCATCTTGAGACACAGCCGCATCCAGCTGACGACGGCAGCCAGCGAGCGCACGTCGATGTCCTCGCGGGCTTTGAACACGTTGCGCCAGACGGCGGCGGCGAGCACAGCGTCTCCCTTTATGACGCCCTCGTCGTACGCGGCGATCACCCCGCGCCACTGCACGAATAGATCTTTAAGGTAGCGGTGTCGCAGCCCGCGCGAGGTGATCCCGTGGGTTAAGTCCATGCGCTCCTCGGCGTTGAAGAAGAAGTGGTCTGTAAGCTGTCGCTGCCAGGACCGCGCCGCGTCCGGCTCGAGATTGCGCAGTCGAGCGAAGACTAGGTATAAGTGTAGCATCGTGATCTGCGACCATGTGCTGAAAGTCGGGGCGAGCTTGAAATCTAGAGGGCGAGAAGGGAAGGGTTTAGCCACACGACCAGATTTATTACCGATTAATCGGGAGGACAAAAGCATCAATTACCTTCATGCCACATCGTCTTTCCTTCTCCCATATCCTCGCCCTCCGCCGTCTTAGTTATCGTGCCCGCCTTCCTGTCCTTATCGGGGATGGTATAGTCTGCCTCGCGAGCGCAGGTTTTGTATATGTTCTCGGTAGCATTGATGATGCGATATGGTTCGGCCGTGCTTTGGAATACCTTAGCAATGGACTCGCGAATACTTATGGCTGGCTGGTTGGGAGTGCTTTTGAAGCTTCGTCTCTGGTTGGATTGGGAGCCGACAACTGGGGCGACAAGCCGTTGTGCTGTTACAGCATTTTGGGTCTCTGCAATCGATCCAGCTTGACGGATTAACAGCATAAGCTGTCGCCTGCATGTTCTACACGCCATTTGCTACCGTGCTATAAAGAGGCAGAAAGTTGTCGTTAGGAAGGGCATTGATTCCCTGGGTTTGGTATGTAGTCTGAGTTATCGAATGTCGATTCACGTCATTGACATGGGCACGTCAGAGGCATATGTAGAGAAAGAAAAAAAAAAAAAAAAAAAAAAAAGAAAAAACTGCGTGAAGCTTGGACCCCTGCTCGATTCTAAGATCTACAGCAGGGATCTGGATCTACATAGTACAGGTACAAATGTACTTCTAGATTAGGTATAACTGGGCATTCAACATCTAAAAATTAGTAATATTTTGGTATAAGTGTGGAAATATACTATATATTATATACTCGTCATGTCTTTTATAGCATTTATACGTCATTATACATTATATATACATAGAGTAATAATACAATAACCGAATTCCCTGGATAGTCGACTTACTCGAGTTGAGAGAAGACCAGCGTCGCATTGGTACCTCCGAAGCCGAAACTATTCGAGAGAGCAACATTGATCTTCTTTTTCTGGGCTTTAAGGGGCACGAAGTTGAATTTGGGCTCAACATTAGGTTCTGTTAGATTTAATGTAGGAGGGAGAATATTCTATCCATGAATTAGTTAGGGGGTGCCTACTGCGAAATTTAACATCACGATTCGAAAACTTACTTCGACAATGGCCAAGATGGCGAAAATGGCCTCTATTGCGCCAGAAGCCCCAAGAAGATGTCCAATAGATCCCTTAGTACTACTGACGGAGATTTGGCCCTCGTTGACATGTCCTTCCTCGCCTACCATTAATGAGCGGATCGCAAGGGCTTCCGCTATGTCGCCGACAGAGGTACTAGTCGCATGCGCATTAATATAGTCGACTTGACGAGGCTTGATTCCGGCATGTTTTAATGCCCTCTTCATAGAGAGGTATGCCCCAGATCCATCTTCGCGAGGAGCTGTCATATGATGAGCGTCACCGCTACACCCATACCCCTTTAATTCGGCATATATACGAGCACCCCTTGATTTGGCATGCTCTAGTTCCTCCAAAACAACAACTGCTGCGCCTTCAGCGATTACAAATCCGTCCCGCTGGGTATCGAACGGCCGACAGCTTGAGGGTGGATCGTGGTTGAAGGCAGTGGATAATGAACGCGACCTCCCGAACCCCGCGAAGGCTAGAGGGTGAATACAGGACTCTGACCCCCCCGCAACCATAACGTCGGCATCTCCAAATGCAATAAAGCGTGAGGCATCTCCGATGGAATGTGCCCCTGTGGTGCAAGCTGTAGTTACAGCATGATTAGGGCCCTGAAACCCGTATCTCATTGCAATATGTCCTGCTGCCAAGTTGATGAGGATCTTTGGTACGAAGAGAGGAGATACCTTCTTGTAGCCCTACCTTAAAGACTTAGCAAATATTGAATTATTGAAGTGGTGCATGTGATCTCACATCTCGTTCGTACGCAACACTTGTGTTGTATAGTTCATCTAAATTTCCGATGCCGCTTCCTAAACAGACACCAGTCGATTCCAGATCTTCCCGCTTGTTTGGTTTCCATGCGGCATCCTCGAGAGCCATCTCTGCTGCGGCCATCGCATATTGAGTGAAGGTGGACATGCGCCGTTGATCCGAAACTGTCAACCAGTCATTGGGACGCCACCGGTTTTCACCGGGACCTGACTTTGGAACGATGCCAGCCACGGTGCTCGTAAGATCGCGCCATCGCTTCTGCGGTTCGAAGTCCGCAACGCTAACAATACCCGAATGCCCAGCGATCAGTCTTTTCCATGTATGCCGAATACCTACGCCAAGGGGTGTGATGGCGCCGAGGCCTGTGACAACAACTCGGCGCATTCTTTGCCATAGCCAGGGGTGCCTGAGCTGGATTTATATGTAGAAGAATAGGTACTTTTTAGTATTGATCTATTTTGTGATTGGTTGTTAGATAGAGAGTTGCTTATTTGTAGTTGCAATTCGCGGATATTGAGAAATTAAAAGGTACATGTATGAGTCAAATCACGCAGTTATGAAGTTAACCGATTTTCTTTCATTAGCGGAAAAGATCTCTCTCCCCCACTGCTTCAAGCAATGTACCTAGGTACCTGCCTAACCTAACGTAATGCAATTCTGCAATGGGAATGCTGGATGCAGTATTATTTTATGCAGGCAAAGATCGATCAATAATCCCAGCTTCCAGGTTATGCGTTATGCCACGGGGCAGTTATCTAAATTTAGTTTCAGAATAACTAACCTAACAACTTAAAATCATCACCTTTCATACTTTTTTTTTTTTTTAGAATTATAGGAAACGGCAGCAATTTCGGAGAAGCATAACGGATATTCGAATCATAGCACCATATATTCCAATTGATGCATTTGACCTTTCACAAGGTAAACTTTTAAGCTCGTAGACGAATGAAGGTCTAAGCACGCTTTAAGCATCCAGCTTCAAAGATATCTTAAACAAACGCCCATCAGCTATCTCGGAGCTAAACGGAATTGTACCGTGCAAATCTTCGGCTTTGTTATTTTCAAGCCTATCTATATTACCAGACAATGTCTTCTTAGAGGCAATCAACTTATGGCTCGCCACTTTGTTTTAGCAAACACGGACAACCCGTGCAATCAGATTTCAGGGGTAGTATCTTCAATGATACCCTATATAGTATCAACACCCTTTTAATTTACAGGATTAAGACGCGATCTTTTAGCTTTGGAGGCTGATTTCCTACCAAGCCACCTTTAATTTCTAAGTTACGGAATGGGCGACACCCGTTCTTCACGGCCGTCTGGGGCGGCTCATAGGGAGAGGATGGAAGAAGACGATCGTATCTCGGAATATGGATCTGATCTCGACGAGACCTCTGGTGAGATCAGACATCGAGCGAGAAAGTCTGAGGAACGCTCTCGTAGGACTCCAAGAAATGGTGCTGCCAATGGCTTAAAACGCCAAATCCCCGAATGGTCGGAGTCTAGTGACCGAAACGACAATGACTATGAGGAGGGCGAAGAATATGAGCACTTGCTAGATCCCAACCTTCCAGATGAAGAGGCTATTGAACTGCATCGAATGGATTCTGGGAGTCTGGCATCGTTCGACGATGAAACCGCTTCCAAAGCTGGCGAAGAAAACTCGCCGTATGAGGAGGTCCGAGCTGCAGTACGCAACTATGATGAAGATCTTCCATGCAATACTCTTCGAGCCTGGTCGATTGGGTTGGCCTTGGTTCTTGTTGGCGCATCAATGAACACCCTCTTCTCATTGAGACAGCCCTCAATCGGCCTAGGTGCTCTCATCGCTCAAATCATCGCTTGGCCACTTGGTCGTGCTTGGGAGAAAGTAGTGCCTGACCGCCAAATTAGGATATTTGGCCTAGGATGCGACTTAAACCCGGGGCCTTTCAACATAAAAGAGCACTCTATTATCGTCGTTATGGCTTCGGTATCGTTTTCTGTAGCCTATGCTACCGATATCATACTTGCGCAGCTAGTATTCTACAAGCAAAATTTCGGCATAATATTTCAACTTGTCTTAACCATCTCGACGCAATCTCTTGGATATGGGATTGCGGGCATGATGCGGAGATTTCTAGGTGGGTTTAAAGACTCGTAAGCTATCGTTGGTACTAACAAACACTTCTCAGTGTATCCTGCCTCCATGATCTGGCCTGGTAATTTAGTCGCCGTTGCTCTAATGAATGCAATGTATGAGAAACACGAAGCACCCGAGCCATCTATCATTGGCGGGCGTATGCCAAGATATAGATGGTTTGGTATTATGACTTTCGTCTCCGCCCTATACTACTTTATTCCTGGATACTTTGCCCAATTCTTGAGCGTCTTTGCTTTCGCAACATGGATGGCTCCTCAGAACCCAGTAGTAAACCAATTGTTCGGTGGCACGACCGGCCTGTCTTTGTTACCGATTACTTTCGACTGGACGCAGATCTCAGGATATATAGGTTCGCCTCTGACCTTCCCGTGGTTCGTCCCCCTAGTTTCGTGATCCCATCGTAGACGCGGTATCCGTGTTCAGCAACTAAATGGCTTCTAGGCATGCTATTGCAAATACTACGATAGGTGTCGTATTGTTTTATATTATACTCTCTACATTTTTCCATTACACTGGCGTATGGTATGCTCCGTTCTTACCAATGAGCGACTCTTCTACATATGACAACACCGGCGCCACATATAACGTGTCAAGGATATTGACCCCCCAGTTCACCTTAGACGAAGAAGCCTACAAGGCTTATTCACCAATCTTCATAAGGTTTGGCATCCCTATATCACTCGCTCGTATATTGAGCTTACATGAGATATAGTACCACTTTTGCATTGTCTTACGGGTTATCTTTTGCGGCGATCACTGCCTTGATAGTATATACCTATCTGCATCATAGAAAAGTTATCTGGGATCAATACAGGAACAGCACCAGCGAGAAACCTGACAGTACGTATAATTGTGTTAAGAATACGTTAGATCATTATTTTTGGATACATCTAGCAGATTCGAATCCGCCCTTATCCATTTACATAGCTATTGCTAACACAGGACATTGTAGTACATATGAAGCTTATGCAGAAGTACAAGGAAGCACCTTCGTGGTGGTATTTTTCCCTGTTCGCGATTGTCCGTTCTCTCAAACCCAGATAACATTTGGCCTTCGTCGCTAAATGCTCATATAGGTGCTGGCATTGGCCTTTGTTTCGGTCTTAGCATATCCAACCAATCTAACTTGGTGGGCTTTCTTGCTCGCCGTGGGAATCTCATTCACTTTTTCGCTCCCAATTGGCATTATTCAGGCTGTTACGAACCACCAGATCGGGCTCAACGTCTTAACCGAGTTTGTATACGGCTATATTCAGCCCGGACGACCTTTGGCCCTTATGTTGTAAGCGTATCCCGCTCCCATACCTATATATGTCACTAATGAGCCACCGATAGATTTAAAACATATGGTTATATCACAATGTAAGTGCCCAGGGATAGTCTTCTAGTTGGCACCACATTAACCAATTTGCATAGGGCCCAAGCCTTGAGCTTCGTCTCCGATCTGAAATTTGGTCATTACATGAAAATTCCCCCGCGAACTATGTTTATGGCTCAGGTCGTCGCGACGACATTTTCATGTTTCATCCAGATCGCAGTCCTCAATTTTGCACTCGGCAACATTGAAGGTGTATGTGAATTAACTCAGCCGCAGCGGTTTACTTGTCCAGGAGGCCGAGTGTTCTTCTCAGGTACTTGCCCCCTTATTTTTAAAAACATCCTCCTCTTGGTCAATCACTAACTCAGATAATCATATAGCTTCCGTCATCTGGGGTCTGATCGGACCATCCCGGGTATTCTCTCCCGGCCAGATCTATTCGGGGCTCCTCACGTTCTTCGTCGTTGGCGCCGTCGCACCCATTGTATTCTGGTTCGCAGCGCGCCGATGGCCAAGGTCAGGTGCCAAATACTTGATGGCGCCTCTGATCTTCGGTGGTGCGGGTTCGATCCCACCAGCAACGCCCCTTAATTACCTGTCTTGGGGTGTCGTTGGATACGTGTTCCAGTACGTAATCAAGAAGCGCCATTTCCGCTGGTGGAGCCGCCTCAATTACCTCACGTCTGCCGGCCTCGATCTCGGTCTTGCGCTAGGCACGTTTGTCATGTTCTTCGTGTTTACGCTTAACGAGATCGAGGCTCCCCGCTGGTGGGGAAATGATGTGGTGACGGGTACGATGGACTATCAGGGTAAGGCTATCCAGGTTGTATTGCCGCCGGGCGAAACTTTTGGGCCAGAGGTATGGTAAGGCTGCGAGGGCATATTCGCTAGCATCGACAGGCGTAAGTATTTGGTGATGTACTCTGTATGTCCCTAGTTGACGTGGAGTTGAAATCCTAGAACCAGCATAGACGATCTAACATAGAAGCACGTCCCATAGATTTGTATCGATACTCGTTATTCTATTATAGGTGATTTACCGAGGAGTTAAATTTGCGGGTGTTTACACGTAGGACAATCTTACCTCAGATAACCCCAAGGATAACCCCAAGGTGATAGCTCTATCACGCATATGTACCAGGTGGCCATAGCCACAGTAAATGGCATGGTCCTCGACAAATAAAAAAAGGAAGTTAACCCGCCCATTCAGCTCAGCCACCTCTAAGCCCGCGGCTAAGTCTATAGGTCGGATGATTCGTTTCGATATCCTTTACGACCCACCAACTCAAGAGACTTACTTAAACTAGGTCCCTTCTTAATTTTTATAAAGGACTCGAATCCTTGGTCTATACGACCATTATACTGTTTCCTAACGTTATGTCTAAGCATCAGCAAAAGTAATTACAGTCACAACTTATTCACCGCAAAACTGATTGTGCTGTGTTTCATCAGCAGCCACCTCACTATCAAGAGATAAAGAGATGGAATCGTTTATGGCGCTCTTGAACTCACCTTTTTAAAGAGTATCAACTGTTGCTTTCACTACGGCGCCAATAACCTATCTCATCATGTAAGATATCCGGTTCATACACTAAAATCATCAGTTTAATGATCTTACAGGGCTGATTTTACAAGTTTGGATTTTACAAGTTTCGATTATGATGCATATGACTACCTACTCGATAGTCCAATTCATGACATAAATATACCTTATGACACAGATGAGAAAATAAGGTGTTGCGACTGTGATATATATGACGATTTCGAACATAATGGCGACCCAAATATTGCTTTGTGCAAGCACTGTGGTCATGCGCATTGTACTGACTGCGAAGAGGGTGGCTTGGGGGAGGGAAGGATAAGTCCCGGTCTTATAGACTTGGGAGATTCTGATTCGTCAAAAGATAATGACTCCTTTTTTTCCGTGAGTTCGCTCCCCTGATACCATGACCTCGGTATCTGAAGTAGAAGGAATAAATGCACTTACTGCTTGTCCAGAGTTTCATGGATATATTTTACGAAGAAGGGGATATTACATCTCTAATATTGGAAGCTGCATCAAAAGAGAACATTGGAATAAAAAGGACGCGACGCAAAGTCCGCAGGTTGCTTAAGCGTTGTGCTAAGGATCTCAAAACAGAGACACGAAACAAACAGCAGAAGGCAGCTGCAATACTTATACGGTCGTTTTCAACTGATATAACTAGATATATCTTCTCTGGACTTAATATAGACAGCAAGAAGACTCGGTTTCAGCATGAACAAACTCAACTAAGTACCTGGAAAAAAAAGAACAAATTTAAAGGATACCTTCGCAGAATATTCAATGCCACCAAATTTGACCAAATTAAGGGTTTTGTTTTGGGGAGCGTCGCATACCAATGTCTACGATCTCGACTACATGATTTTGTCTACCCCAGTCTGCGTTCTAAACTTGGGGACTTATTCAGGCAATGGTCGAAGCCTCGCAACGAATACCACAGATATATCTCCGAGTATAATCTTTTTGATTTGACGGCAGAGCTGCAGCATATAAACCCATATACTATCCAATTCCACAAGGATGAGAGATTGAATCGTATATATGACGCAGTCAGGCAGTGCCAGAATCTGGTCGAACACTGGACCCGAGAACATTGGGATTGGTGGCCATTACCACCATATATCAGACCCCTTGAGGAAGGAGAGGTACGGCTGCTATGGAAATGTGTAGGTCGCCCCTATTAGACATTCTAGATACCTCGTTCTTGCTATACCGAAGACTGAGGCTAACACAACCTATATAGGCCTGCGGCGAGGATAGATGGGCAGAAATTCCTTCTCCTTTCGAGGAACGTCTTCGGGAGATTATCAACAGTCTACCGCAGTCAGACATCCCTATGCGTGACATACAGCCTCCTGCCGCTGCGTATCATGTGGATCCAAATAGGTCTGCGTCTGATCAAAGTATTGCAGGTCCTAGCCAGCCCTCCCGGAACGACCAACAAACTCATAGGGTTGGTAGAATACTATCAGACAATGCAATCCAGAAAGCTGAGCGAGGATATCAAGCCTGGACTGGCACGAACAATTCCTCCAAAGAACTAGTTCTCTTTGTGGTGAAAAGGGGGGCTGATTATAAGCTCGCACAGATCGGGGTCAGCGGGCTCTCCTGTCATGACTTCTTCAGTGAAATGAGGAAAGAATACTTCCGCCTTCGAGGCTTTCTCCGTAACTGGTCTAGTATCTGGCGATACTCTCATTGCGACTTCTACCAGGTAGGTAGACCCATACCAAAGACTTCCAGCAGTAGAGCTCCCATGATAACATATAAAACAAAGTGTAAAAAGTTTGACGATTATTGGTTCGTCCCTATACAGAAAAACATGTTCCCTGAAACTACAAACAAAGACTACGAGTACACGCCAAAACCGATGAAACCTATACCCCCAATATCTAAGCATGAGTTCTTCAAGCGTTTCTACGCGTGTCATAACCCACGCCCGATATCTCACTGGTATCACGAGTGTAAAATGTTGGGGTGCAGCTCTTACAAGATCTTAAAGCTCTTTCCGAAGAAGAAGACAGAGCTAAACGAAGCAGCTGAGAGCAATGAAGATTTTTGGGGGATTTATGCGCGCGAGCATATCAGCTTTCTATGGGTGCTGGGTTATAACCTCATTTGTATTCTGCCGATGCTTGCATTTTTCGTGGCTTGGATTCTACCTGAAGGATATGGTACTGACCTACAGAATCCATCTATGCCGTTCTCAATGATGCTGGGGATGCTGTCTCTCTTTTGGAGTATATTCCTCAGCAGCTTGCAGTTCGGAAAGCCGCGTTGAATGAATTGGATGTTTGGGTGTTTTATAGTTGGTAGAGTCTGGAGGTATTTTCATAGCGAGTTTACGTATTTAGATAATATGAAACCTTGAATATACTCGACACATCAAGTAACTTCTGCAAGATGATTACTGTCGGGGATAGTTATAAGCTATTCGAATAATATTATCCTACCAGGATCAACCCCTTACCCCTTTTCAGTGGCTAACCCATTATTACCTGACTACCTAAAGTGCATTATAACTGCCTTTATCTTAAGGTGCATACATCACTGCAAATATACTGAAGGGTTACCATGCTAGCCTTGCGATATTATCAAGAGCGAAATATAACCCAGTTGCCGCATTCCCATGCCTTGGTTCGCTTGAGCTAAAATCCGGGACGTGCGTGCTCATGATTCAAAGGCATAGCCCCAAAGTGACTTCTTCACTACTAAAATTCCGACTGATCGCCATCCGCTCATCGAGTTTCAATAGTTCTTATAGGTTATTATTACTACCTGGGCTACGATTGATTTGAAATAGCTAATAGTGTGTCCCATTGAGACTTCCCCAGGACATAGCGACGTTGGTTCATCTGTTCTACAAGAAGAGAAACTTCGTGGACTGATTGACTCTCGGTAATGTAGCGAACTCCAACGGCTCTAAACTTCACGGACAGATTCTGTTAAGATCAACACTGGTACTGCAATCTAAAGATTTTCAATAGTCTCGTCGGCTCTCGTTTAGCTACCTACATAGACCACCTATTACAGCCATCATCTCAAGTAACCATATAGGCAAAAACTACCTTCCACTCCGATTAGTCGTATTCAAGTTAAGCATACACCGATAGTAGACCGATTCGTATACAATATCTAGGGAGCGTTGAATCCACGAGTTCTGTCCCGTATATTCTGCGCCGCTCTCGCCTTGCCCAGCATCCTCACTACCTGCTACAGTCGAACGGGATTCTGCCATAATAAGCCTACCCCAACGACGATAGCAGCCGTGCCAGCAGCCACGAGCCTAAATCAAGGTTAGAAGAAGGATCTTATATAGTACAGTTAATAAGGTTGGGAGTAACTTACGCTTTGTTCCTGCGATCGTGTAGCCACGACGCAAGACCCCCAATCCACTTCACGAACACGATCCGTATGCAAGCTTCGAGCCAGTCTGGAAATTTATTGCGGCCCTGGGAGTGATGCGTAGAAGGTGGAGTAGCCGGTCTGTCGATTATACGTTTCCGTAGGCCTGGAGGGCTAGTAGTACCGAAAGATGTTGATTTCCCTCCCGATTCGCTTGTGCTCTCCATGTTAGAACTGTTACTCAAGTACCTATCTGGCGTACGATCTGCAGTAATAGTCGTACTGGGCTTAGGTAAATCGCTTTCAACAATGGCCGGTACGTCGTCAATACTTCCCAAAACATCTGCGTTGCCTTCCAATACTGGGTCCTCCAGTGTCGATGCGGAGTTTTCTGGGTCCAACTCTGCGGCCTCCGGAATATTGCCGTCGGAAGATGCAGGTGGTGAAGGTAGGGACGGCAGACATTTAGATTGCTCGGCCATTTTCCTGGAATCAACCCTCATAGCAATACCTTCGTCGTTATCGTCATCGCTAACGACGCGGTCAGGGGTAGGAGAACCCCAAGAAGGCCCAGGATGTTGTATGAACGGAGCTGTAGCATCCTCTGTTTCATCAATGGCATGCTCGTTGCGCGCCTCATCATCTTCAAAAATTGATCCCAGAGAGTTCGTCGATGATTCTCTACGCCCGGAGCGCGATCGCCCAGTGCTATTACTAGGGCGGAGATTCTGCTTATCATCCGAAAGCGAATCCGACAGACTTAGCGGCTCGCCCTGATTACCGGGTGAGTGGTCATCGTTGCAATTCTGAAGAATAGTAATTATAGGTGCCGATGGAAGTTCGTCGACAATTGTGCGGTCGGCATCTATGCTTGTCGAAATGCGTCGCATAGCAGCCATGATAGACTCACGATTGTCCGACGGGAACTCTTCTAGCTGGGGATCGTTAAAGTCTACGCCCTCGATCTCAATAGCTGGGTTGCCCAACTCGGAGTGAGACTTGTCATCCTTGCTGATGTCATCATCATCATCATCGTCGTCGGGTACGTCTTCTTTGTGAGAAGATGGTCCTATGGATTCATGGGAAAACATAGGGCATAGGTCTGTTTCGCCGTCATACCCATCATCTAAAGCAGATTCATCAACATCGAGCGTCGCAGCGACAGTGGCGACCTCTATGGCTGTCTCCGAGACTTCACCAATTGGAGTGGTTGACATGCGCCGGGTACCTATTCTTCCTGCTTCGCCATCTGATATCTCTGGCTCAGGAGTCTCGGGATCTAAAGTGCGTGCCGAGTCGGCCACCTCAGCAGCTGTCTGTGCGAAGTCCGGAGTCTGTGTGCCACTGTTGGCTTCTGATCCCTCTGATTCGTTGGCCTTAGGGTTTGGCACCTCGGTGACACTTTCTTGAGACGCATCAATTGAGACTCTAAGAATATTGTTCGTGTTTCCCGATTCATCCGTAACTTGCGATTTGCCATTAGTATATGAAGTAGTAACGCAATTGAAGAGTAATGCCGGATATAAAATATTTACCTGTATCGGCACTCTCGTCCAAGGCCCACCAATCACCAGATCCTATGCGAAATTTGTATTGGATTTCGGTGCCATCGTCAACCATGACTTGTTTGGTGAATAGATAACCCCCAAGCTGGTCGATGGCGACATCCATCTCTTGGGGCTGCCATGGCGGATCCGAAAACGAACCTGCTATATAGATAGGAGGATCGGTGTCCTTCCTCTTGTATGTAAAGGTAATGGGGACCTTTGGGGGAGACATATCGGTTGAGGTAGAAGCTAATTTTTGAGTTATTACGAGTTCATGACTAATTGATGCCTGTCGAGGGTCAACCGAGTGTAGGATAGTCGGTTCGACAAGTTTAGGATCGAGGATGGCGTCCATGAAATAAAATGGATATTAGGGGGCTGAATGAGGCTTTTGGGCCATCAATCGAACCGGATTGGAGTTACTTCGGCCGCTGTTGTGCGAACCTGGATTCGCGGGTGCTCGGGTGAGAGCCTGGTGAGAAAACCGGTGAGAAAGCCTGGAGAATTGAGGCGAATCCAACGGGAATCCACGGATGTCCAGCTACGGGATTAACGAGATAAACGGGATAGTATAATCTAAGACTGCGGGTTTAGTTCTTCGCTTGGAAATATATATAATATCTCTTATTCAAAATCAATTAGTTTTTTTTATCGTAAAGCATGGGTTAAAAAAAAACTCTGACAGCTCGGAATGGTTTATATGAATGGGCTTGCATGATCCATGTAACTTTTCATGTGCAGCCACATGCAGCTTTCATGCAGATAAAAGACAGGTTGTAGGGATCGAACTTGATAAGGTGTTTGCTCAATTGACAACTTACAGTCGGGCAATAGTTGTTGATACGGCGTTTGAAGGATCTGAATCGACGATACTTGGTAAAAACAATAGACTCGCGTGTGTTTGGTAGAGGATAATGATAATGAAATAAATGGTAGACCCAACCAAGTCTATTGGAAATGAATCAATGATAATCTGAGAGTGACAACTCTGGTATAAGGATTTCTTCAGGGTGGTAATGGCATCATGCGAGACGGCCTAGTGTGTGTAGGTGTGCGTAGGTAGTGAGTACGGTTAGGTACTTGGCTAACTCCCTTAGACGGTCGTGGCATGATAGTTATTAAAATCAAGCTGCGTCGTCCTGACGCAGGTTTTACGCTGGTCTGGGTCGTTCCATTCATCAGCCGTTGCCACTGGAGCAACCCAACCATTACAAAGCCAAGGTTCTTATGGATCCGGGCCACACCCCAACTCGCGAGATAGTGAAATGTCAAGTCGAATCATTACTTTCGAACCCATCCCTACCTACCCATAGCTATCCATACCTACCTAACCGTTGAGGCTCACCAGTATCCCCCGATGAGTTAAGCAGCTTGTGGGACATGTACGCTTGTAGCCATGTAGACATGTATGCTTCTAGGCTTGAAGGAGAATGGTAGACACGTTGTCGTATCTGTAGGCCGAGTGGGCATTTCGGAAACGTGTCGCTCTCCTGGAGGAGAAGTTGTATGATGTAAATCTAGCTGCAATAAGGCAGTAAGGTTCGCCTATCAGCCAACGGTGCGAATAGCGTAACGCTAAGCTCATAGTCGAAAACGTAAAGCTTTGTAGCTGGATGGCCACGATGGAGAAGCGGGGATATGGAGGAGATTATGGAGATAGGTATGGAGACATTGTACATCTGTAATAGTAGTGTACATATTATTACCTATAAAGAAACAGGCCTTCTCTCTTCTCCACTGTTATTGACTCGATTCACCCGGGGGAAAGAGGATAGGTATGATTATGTACCTATGTAGGTTGACTATGTTATACATAGGTATATATGGCATACATATGTCAACCTATGAACGATACTAATTATGAAATGATGAAATGATAGAATGATGGAATGATGGAATGATGGAATGAATAAAAGTGCGCCACCGTTTTGTTGAGATGGACATGAAATCAATTTTTAAGTTCGATGAAGACCCACGGAGCAAAAGTTCCCTCGCTCATGTCGGCTGGTCGGCAATTGCAACCTCGCCCATCAGGATAAGCTTATCGATATAGATTTTGTTAAAGGGTATAAAAGCTTACCAGATATTAGCGATATGTATGGGTTTAACCGTCATGTTCATAAAGGTTTATGAATGGTTTATTTTCCATCTTAATCGAATTGGGTGGGCCATTTCCGCTTTATAAATAAATACCTATATATCAGTAGATCGGCAGAACGAGACTATGAATTGAGTAACGACGTCATCTTAATACTCACTTTAGAAGAAAGCTACTTACATTGGAGTAAACCCTCTATACCATGCCACCATGCCACCATGCCACCAACACAAATTCACACCACCTAAGTATTAGTTTACACTTAACTACTAACCTAGTAATCTCACCTTACCCCTTACGAAGCAAAATATTCAAACTATTCAAACGCGACTTTAAGCGCAGTATTGTCCTTGTTGATTTTGGCCCACTCGGCGCTCTTCTCCCATATAATGCGCTGCTTCTCCTTATCCAGCACGGCGGGGTCAGGGTCGTCTTTCTTGAGGAGCGTATAATAACCTCGTTCACCATCTTCGGCCTGAGCAACACCCAATTCTATGATATCAATGCCGGCCTCGCGCGACGTGCGGAATGTTGGGTCAGCAAAGCGTTGAATCAAGGGCATCAGTGGTTTGAATACGACTTTCTGTATGATCCTAAGGGAAAGTGGGACATTGGTTCGAAAAGCGCGGGAGTCGCCAAGGTTCCCGGGATTTACGGCCACGACGGTGATCTTAGAGAACTTGGGGTCCTTATAACGTCGAAATGTTAGCCAAAGCTCAGAGAAAAGTGCTTGGGACATTCACCTTTTGTAGATATTCGTTGAGTGGATACATCCAAGTAGTAACGACCAGTTTCAAAATGGCATATCTCTGGGCCCCTCTACCTTGCTTATCAGGGTCCGCGGGTGGATGGATCAGGAGGTCGATGTTATCAGGAATTTCGGGAAGATATGGCGTCATCGAGCTCTTTTTACGATAATGCGAGATACTCGACAGGAGCTCGATACGGCCGCCATCGGGACTGAAATGTTCGAGAAGGCGTAAGACTAGTACTACATGAGCGATATGCCCGACTTGTAAAGTCTTGTCGTATCCGTCGACGGTAAGTTCAGGATCAGCGACAAGATTCCAGTAAAAAGCATTACAGATGATCGACTTGATGGCGGGTAAAGATCTACTAGTAATCTGCCCCGAGATAGTGGTAGCAAATGCATGAACGGCAGTAAGGTCGGCTAGATCAAGCTCATAAATAGATGCTTTCGCCTTAGGATATTGAGCTATAATATCACGTAGGTTATTTGTATTAACATCGGTATTGGCGGCACTTCTGACCGTAAAAACAGCAGTATGCTGCGGGTATGTTTTGAGAAGGTGATCAACGGCGTTGAGCCCCGCTGAGCTGTTAGCACCAGTAAGTATAACGGTGCCAGACATAGTGGGTGCTGAGCTGCAATGAAACAAAGGACATGAGATAAAGAATGTAACTAAGACAAAATTGATTGTACGACTCAATGTCACAACCAACCTACTTCAATATATTAAAAGGGGAATAGGACGACTATGTACATCACTTCGGTCCAATAATAGCTTATTAATTCAACTAGCTAGATAGCATCTCCGTCCAAAGTCCTACATATGTAATATTAGAAGGATTGTATATCGTTTATAGCTTCAAGTACCTTGCTAGGGTATCAGAGGCTTTGATTGGCTAGTCGCTTGTAGGGCGAATGAGAAGCTTCAATTTTTCCCACGCCTCTGGTGCGGAGAGCTTATGTGGTTACCTCTGTAAGGCTTAGCGCTCTAAATTTAATATGAGCTAATGCAGGTAGAATCTTTAAAAACTTTGATTGGCTACTCGTATTTCTTACATCTGATGGCACATCAAAACGCCCAGAACGCCGTGTATTTTGACATCTAATCCTTGTTGATATTCTTTTCATTGCTCGAGGTTTTTTTTTTTTTTTTTTTTTTTTTTTTCTTTACATAAGTACGCCTTAAAGTTCGGTCCACTATAACTATAAACACACCGTTGCTTTAACCATAAGGACATCAATCCTGCCTACTGGTGAGATTACTATATTCGCCCACTTTAGGGCTTCTCATACGAATAGGTAGCCTCTTATGCCCGCTCTTACCCACAACCCTAACTCTCTAAAACTCGATATGTGACCATATATTTACCATTTACTTAATGATACCTCGAATCAGTACTATATAAGTATTAAAGTACTCGGCCGGCCATCAAGAAAAAGAGCTTAACAATATTATCATCGATACAAATGCGCCCCATACTTTAAGTGCTAGCTAAAACATGTGTATGTGTATAAGAATGGGTAAAATCGATTAGCCTTTCCATACAAGTATTTCACGATGACAATGAAGGAGACTAATGCCGAGACGCTTACTTTTATAACTGGACCCCTCTAGGAATTGAAACAATGCTCACAGGTTTTATTTCCTTTACATAATACCTTTATCCGCAGCAGGCTTATTTAAAGGTTATACAGTACCTCCTGAAGTTGTTTTTGACTTTTAAGACTTTAGTTTGTGATTGAATGACTTTTATTAGTCATAAATGATAACGGTTACTTGTACGGTTATTTGTACGGTTACTTGCATACGAGACTAAGATGCGAACATTACAGATAAGATAAAGCTATCCACGTACCTAGGTACTAGTTATACTAATTTAAGGTTAATTATCTTACATAATACAATACATGCCTATAGATTTCTACGTACCCAAGTACCCATCCGTAGGTGACATATCTGCCCCACGTCAAATAGTTCAGACGGGAACAACTCATTAAAGAGTTCCTCATTACAACTTCCAACAACAGTTGTATTGCCAGCTTTCGGTGCAGAATAGTCTACGTCCAAACATCTGCTCAAATATTCTATATTACCATGTCTATACCCCCGCAGTTAATTCGCGTGAAGCGAAAGGCCACAGAGGAGGCCCCAGTCTCTTTTCTCCGTAAGTTGTCGCATAACCCATCTCATTACGCGCCGTGGATAAATTAGCGGTTGACCTTTATTCTAGGTGTTCAGGAGAACAAGAGGCACCGGAGCGAAGCCTTTGTGTATCAAAGACAGCAAGAGCAAGCTAATTCTGCCGAAAACATTCCATCCGAATCGCACAAACCAATCATTCATACTTCTCACCCACACTCGAAAACCCCTGCATTCCAGAGCCCCAAGACATCAGACACTATCGTCCATGATGGATCTAGCGATAATGAGACCGCCAGCGAATCTTCCAAGTCCACGAGCCCCGTCGATGCCCCTTCTGAACCTCGAAGATTCCACATGTCGAGGAAAGATATAATGCTTGCGGCGGCTTCTCAGCCCGGCCGACCTCATGGAGGAATCTCGAAGAAACGTTCTGCACCTGCATTATTCGTAGAACGCAAGATCAAGCGAATCTCATCCAGACCCCTTGAAAAATTCCAGGCTATTACCAATGCTGCCAGTCAAATACCCGGTCCAGCACCTGCTGCATCGGAGGACATGGAAATTGACAAGCCGGAGTCTCGCAAGCTCAAGAAGCCAGGTGTAGCAAAGCTTGCAAAGAAGCAAGATGGAGAAAAGTACAAAGCCGACCTCCCGCAATCCATAACACAACGATGGAACGTAGATATAGACAAGTTAACGGCTGAGCTGGATGCATATACAATGGAGCAAATTGGTCTCAACCTCCAGAAAGCCGAAGAGGAAAAGCAACGCTCTATTCTTAGCCAACACAGATTCAAGCCCAAACCGATCAAGCGATATGCAGAACGACACCCTGGGGAAATGCAAGCTTCGGTGGATAAGGACACGATGGATACGGATGTTGATATTAGTGATAGTGATGACAGTGACTACATTATCGAAACCTACGAACGCGTACCTGCAAGCAAGATGGGAGAGCATGTGCCTCCGCACAGCGTCGGACTCCTCGTGTTTGATGGAGAGCCTGACATGGAACACTTTTATGGAGAAGATGACAATAGTGAAGACGAGTGGGCTGAGGACGAAGAGGATGAGAACGGTACGTGCTACCCTCCAATTAAAAGTTACCTACTGTTCAGCACACTCACGGGTATACAGCCGAGAATTATTACGCCGCAGACTACCCCGATGAGGAAGTTGCTTCGGATGATGAATTCGATAAGAATCCATATTCTTTCCGAACTGGCAACGCCTCAGATCTCGAGGAGTATGATCTAGATGAAGATGACGGCGATGCGGCCTTTACCGACAAGGACGAGGCGAGCAGATTCGCTGCGTACATCAGTCGGCCTCAGGATAGGTTCATGGCAAACCAACTGTAAAAAATGATATTACGAAATCTCGATATCATTGGTACCGCGCGGCTAGGCTGCGAAGCATATTATGAATTTATGCCAACATCTATAAATGGCTGACTTTCATTGAACGGGTTGGTCTGCAGCCCGGCCCGGCATTCTGACATAGCATCGGCGTTTAAACCCCTGGTTGTGGTTTTCCGAAACATAATTTGGCGAGGGAAAAGGGGGTTTACCTTGCCCTACCTTGCCCAGCCTTATCCGCAGGGTTTAAGCAAACACGCCCTAGTCCCGATCCGCATGTGAATCCCGAGTGGCCCGAATATGGAATGGATATCGTCGTGGTTGGCCATCTTTATGACGTTTATTGGTGCGGTAGTACCGATAGGCAAACTTCGTCTTCAACCTCTCTTGTAGATAGATAGGTAGGTTAGATAGGTAGCACAGCCGATGTATCCAACCAGTCTGGAGAGGAATCACATAGCATTGCATCCAACCATTTTAATTAATTCTTGGTTTCTGCAGCATAGATTCTGATAAATGCTTATTTAAGCCCCGGGGTAGGTGAATAACACCCCATGACTTCTAACTTGTTCACACCGAAGAAGATGATGATTCATGAGGTAGACAGATACGTAACTGATGAATAGTGAAGCTGATTATGACCGAAAATGTCTGAAAAAAAATATAGTTGCTTTTTATTCCTGTCCTAACAAAAAAAAAAAAAAAAAGCCTCCCCTGATGTCGCTTGACCGCCCAACCCCAACCTGCATATACGCTACGAACAAATACTTGCTAATCAGATAAACCACATATGTAAGACACAGGAGTTTCTAGAAAATAACCAGAGCCTTGCGAATAGGCGAGCAAGATAGACACAGAATCGAAGGGGAAAACAAAGAACAAAGAACGCCTCAAGACGCAAGAGAGAAAGAAAGAGAGAGAGAGAAATATGGTATATACATTAATCCGTGCCAATACCCATTTCCGTGTCCACGTCCTCATTCATTAATCCGTAGCCCATACAAGTAAATCAAATCCAAACAAATCAGATTATATCAAGAGGTAATCAGTGATTCGGTCAGTCAGTCAGTCAGTCAGTCAGTCAGTCAGTCAGTCCGGTCCCAACCCCAAGTATTCAAGAACAAGAAGAAAGCCGTGGTTCCCAGCGCCATGTCAGCAAGGCCTCCTCCCTTTCTCGTTCCCTCTGACGCCCCCAACCTCACCGCCTCCAGACCGTTTGTTCGTTGGGTGGCTGTCGGTTCCTCGCCTCGCCTCGTAAAAGCTAGCTTACGGTAGGTAGGTAGGTAGGTAGGTAGACAGCGGGTTCCCTGTCGCCATGTACTTCTAGAAATAAAGACTGAATAGATAAATAAACAGATAGACGAATGTGTGTGTGTGTGTGTGCTCGTTATGGTGGTGGCGGGGAGGGGGTCCGGGATTCATTCGTAGATGGGCCCCCCGCGGGATGGTAATCGAGTACGAAGGAAGTCGTCGGTGGACGAATAGATACAAACGAAGGTAAACGAGAGAAGCCTGTGCGGCTTTCGTGTTGGGCGTCTATGCATGTGTGTATGTATGTCGGCTGTCTGACACGATCCGAGACAGCAGGCGGTATGGGCTCTTAGTGTCTGCTTGAGCGTTGTGTTGTCTCAGGGCAAGTCGAGTCAAGTCACCTGTGGTTGGCGCCGAAGCCAGCATTCACGTAGAGACCATCCTCAGTCTTGACGATATGCGAAATCTTAAGAGGGTTGTCTGCGAGCTTTGGGGGCATGGCGAATCTGCTCTCTTCTGGGGAGGGCTCGCGCGGGGAGGAGCGCTTTGGGATCTCCCTGTCGCCGTCTGGCTTGTAGCAGCAAGCGCAGTGGCCGTTCACCAACTTCTCCTTCCATCTGCCCGTTTGGATCGCTTCACGTCGTGCCTGTTCCTTCTGTGCAGCGCGCTCTTTAGCTGGTTGAATTCGTTAGCTGCGGTTGCTATGGAGGGGAAACCCCCTATCTGACGGGGACTTACCAAGTTCGGCTGCCACGATTTTCACCTTGTATGGCACCCAGTCGTAGAGAATGGCTCGCTCGGGATATAGGTAGGTCAGGCTGAAGTACGGCTTGTCTTCCCTTTGTGCTCGGACCTTAGCAGCCACTGCCTCTACGTGTCCCTCGGGTAGAAACACGAGTCTTCTTCCCTTATCTACGAGATGAGGAAGATGCAGGTTGTCTCTGTAGTGAATGCCTTGGATGCCTTGGGTTGAGCGTTCTTTTCCAGGCGGCATAATAAATTTCTTCCTAAAGAGGCGCTTGCTCTCCTCCCACGAGAACTTCATCTCGTATTTATTAAATCGAATAAAATCGGCCTCTTCTGTTGTGTACTTGAGGTTGTTGTGAGGACTCTTCTTGTTGCAGTCTTCCTTAGGATCTTCTTCAGATGGTGAGGGCTGTGGTCGGGGTCGATGATAATAGCCGCGGGACTGCGAAGTGTACTGCTGCTTCTCCCGATAGAATACTGGTTGCGGATCGCATAATTTCAAGGAAATATTCAAGGAAATATTCAAATAATTCCCCCTTGAGTCCCGGGGCTGCGAAAGGAGTTCTTGACAGCCATTGGATTCCTTCCTTCTGAGGTTAAGCCACTTGACGATGGGGTCTTCTGGCGCTGGAGACTTTGGCTGTGATGAGAGAGAGTACTCATTTTCGGGCTCCGGGCTGGAACTTGGTGTCTGCAATACTCTCCGGTGTCTGTGATGGGAAGTGGGCCGACGACTTTCACGCTCCTTGGCTGGTAGTATATGGTAAACACTAGGGAGTGTGACTGGTTGGAGCTTGACCTTCTTCGAGCTCTCATCTAGGTTGTCACATTTACGCTTGAGAAAGTCTACACGAGGGGGCGCTAAGTTAGACCGAGGAATGTCATCGTGCTCGTGCTTTGACTCTGGTGTCTGAGGGGGTGAAGACCTAATCGAAACGTTCTCCCACGGCTCTGTAGAAGTCGAAACGTCTTCCCACAGCTCCGCGGTAGATTCCTGGGAAAATGAAGAGCCAGACCTCTCACTAATTGGCGAATAAGGCGGCAGCAAAGTATCTGTGAGGCGAATCGTGCCGTCAACTCTTCTATAAGGAGTAACCGGTGGAAGCCGGCCAGTATTTAGTTGAACCGACTCGGACTGTAACGTACGGAGTGGGAGTGGTGAATTAATAATCGCTTTGCGCTGGATAGCTGAATGATTCATTCTTATTATATTATTGTCGTATTGAATTCGCATACTATTAGTAAAAATCGACTCGTTGATGGAATGAGAGGAGGTAAGGGTAAGTGATTAGATAAAGGCTTAGATGATGAAAAAATGCTTGCTGATCAAAGCGTGAAGGGATGAGGACTATTTATGACTCTGGAATCGATGCAGGACGACCATCCAACGCAGGACAGGTACCCGACTGTTTAATGTAGACCAACAACGTCCCGACACACAGGGTCGAGTCTACTGAAGAGTACTTGGTGCAACCTTACAGACGAGCAGCAGCCCTGTAGCAGAGAGCCACCCCCGGGGTGTCGCTTGGGCGGCAACTATTGGTAATTCGTCTCTTGGCTTCTGATATATAACGTAGCTTGGGGTTGATAAATACGCCTATGTCTCTAGTAAAATGACGAGAAAGTGGTTTTTCTTTTACAAGATTCTACTATTGGCGGGTATATGAAAGACACAAACTAATGCGGAGAAGAAGCCATTCTGCACTGAAAATCTAAACTCGACAAGAGGCGAGCGGGAGCGGTGGCCGATGTGGTAGGGTAGGAATGGACGACACGGAGAATGACAACGCTTGGTTGAGTGGCGGTATACCCAAGCGGAGGAGTCCATCCATCCCCAATCTGTGATGCTTGAATGGACGGACCATGGCGCAAGGGGGGGGCTCGAGGTCCAAGGCTATTCTCGATGCAAACCTGGACAACCTAGACACACTGTTTCAATCAATGCAACCACATCGATGGTGGCCGATCGTGCATGAGACCAAAGCCTGAATAAAGGCAAGCAAGACATTATAAGTAGGTAAAGCTAAAGGTACCAAAAAACGCCCTCCGGCATTAGTAGTATAGAGATCGTCTAAGGCGGTAGTCCAGTGAGAATAGGCATGAATTCCCACCCACCCGAGATGGAAACAAGGCAATTGAAGAGGATTCCCGCCTTTTCCAGCCGATAAGTCTAATTACCGCCGTTTGGCACTGTGAGCGAACTCTTATGTGTCAATGCCACGCCATTCGCTTATAACCCTGAGAGGTTCCCAAGCTGTCGGTACCAGTCCACCAATAGAACCCTCGAGTAGGTCCAGGGGCAGGTCAATCGAAGAGGGGGTGGAAATCCACGGGCCGTTCATACGATTTGATTAAGCGTGAAGGACAGAACTGAATTATGCCAGATGTGCTGTCAGCCGGCGATGAGGATTGTCAGGAAGCGAAGCGCGCATAAGCAACCCGTCCATCATCGTGCCAACCACTTGAAAGAACGTTGTCTTAGCATGTCATTTGTGGAAGAGGCTTAGCCTGCCTAAAGTGCCCCCTATCCATAAACCTGGGTTCGTCTATACGGGTGGTAGGAAGTAGGTAAATACTAAAAGCCACACGGTGATGTGCTTTTTGGGGCTTCTCAGGGCGCGACAATACAGGTTGTGATTGACTTTCATTGGGTCATTTTATCGTGGGGGTCGTTCGTGGTCGAGACTTTTCGACACTCGGGCCGGCCAGAGAGGAGTGAATAATCGGGCCAAGGCAAATCCTTACCCAACTCGGTTCTGCAGAATTCTGTAGTCTAACCCTGCTCCCATGACCCCGACAGTGTACATCGGGCATGTGAATCGCATGTTACCAACATGGAGAAATGCACAGAGCGCCAATTGCGAAAGTGAGCCACTTATGAACCCCAGAGTGATAAGAGAGGTCGGTATAGGGTAGAAAACGGCATCGAAGGAAGGATCAGTTAATATGTCTCCCTTGTTCCGAGCACGCAAAATAGCACCCAAATTTGTTTCCATGTTGGTTGGAAGAACTACTACACGGCGTCTAGCAAGCTGATATCTTGGCCTTACGAGGTAAATTAAACAACCGAAGCCGATATGTATCTTTAGAAATTAATTCAAAGCCTCCCCACCGCCCCTGTTTTGCAACTTCCTAAATTTGGCACCCCCGAAACTAGTAAACGCCGTAATTGGTATACTAGTATATTCGGTGTTTAGTGTGATTATAACACCTAGCGGCTGAGCTCAGGAGAGGCAGTCGAATTTTGTCCCCAGATCTAGGAAACAAAACTCCTCGATTCTTTGTCCAAATTGGTTCGAGCCTTGCTTAATTTCTTTTCTCTTCCCGTCTTTTGTTATTTTTCTTGGCCAGTGGGCCTGTCGAGATGCAGTAACACGGTATTGGGACAATGATGTTGAGGCTTTCGGCAAGTTTTACAAATTTCGCAAACTCATTGGACAGGACGGGATCTGTCTGCCGTGATGCCGACCAAGACACCGTCCGCTAGTACGCCCGATCACAAGGGTTCTCCAGACTGATGATCTCCAGGGTTCTGTAAGATAAGATGTCTAAGTGACCTGATGGCCAGATCCTAACGCTAGACTGAATCTCGGACCCCTAGTCCACTAGAGCCGGCTCTGATGTATACCCAAATATCATAGTGGTCTTTGACTGGGTGCAGAAGCCGAGACCATACTATTAGTATATATCTAGTAGATCCAACCCCGTCCTGTTTTCCGCTAGCCACAAGAAACTAACCTGCTAAGGAACTCGCACTTCTGATACGTCACATTATCGAGGTCATTGATTTTCGCCTATAAGTAGGTAAACATCCAAGACTGTCTTAGCTTTCAGCTGCATCATTGTTGACATTCATTTTCGCCACCAGAGAATACAAACATGCTTAGGTAGTTTAGGACTCGATCGAGTTGGAAATATTCGAATAATCTTTGAGGCTCTCTGGGGTGGGATACACAAGAGAACAAACCGCCCATAAGATGGTAGCACCAGTCATACGTTACAATAGTCGTTTTTGTGTTATTGTTACACCAAAAGTTGAAGTGCCTCAACAACCTCTGTGTGACAGAGTGCCCATCTGATGAACTCGTGACAGGAGGCGGCTTAGTTCCAGTGGGGAATTGTTGCTAGGTAGGTCTATGATAGAGATAAAATTTGAAGGCGTTGCAAGACCTTTTGCTAAGTCCAGAGAATAGTAATTTAGACGAGACTGGTTGAGTTAGGATTAACTTGGTCGGTACGGCAAAACAGCCAACGACACTATTGAACACGACAAGCCTATTTACGAGAGCCTCGGCGTCATAGCTTAGACCGATCGACTACCGGATTAATATGACAGCTACTACTTGTTGTTCTACCCTCTTCGATGGCTGTGTCAAAGTTGGAGGCCGCCGTCGATGGCCAAACGCTATTGCCATCTATCTCGATGAATGATTCGTCACCGGAAAATTTCCTGTTATTGGTCAGCTCGCTGCTGCAACCCCCCTGAAAGAAACCATCGGAGACGCTCACCATCCTCTTTCCTCGCCGCCTCGAAGAAAGCTACATTCAGAGTCCAATTCGCAAGTCCAGCTTCCGTAAAGTCCGGAGCTAACTCTCCCTTGCGAGCCTGGATCAGGCGACTTTGAGTTATGTGGCTGGAGATCGACATTACTTGCAGGATCGGTTTTAGAGTGGGTTTGAGATCTTGGTACTCCGACCTCTCCGTCGACCTGCGCCGCCGGAATTATAGCGTCAGTTTCTGCTTTATATTCAGACTTTGTAGATGTTTGGTTGGCGGCGCTACTCCGCTGCCGCCTGTATTTGCTTAATCCGCAAGTAAATGCCCCGAAGTCTTTCTCGGTCTGCCCAGTAAGAACTCGCCCTAGCGCGATAACTACAGCTGCATGAGTGCACACTAGCACGACTTTGTGACCCTCCTGGTCGCTACGTCTAATAATAAAGTCGATTGCCTGTGCAACCCGATCATGCAGCTGTGGTAGAGTCTCCCCATAGCGCGAAGGCGGCGGACTGGATGCGTAGCTCGCATCGAGCTCGGGAAAGAGGCTCTGCAACTTATTCAGGGGTGCAGACGAGGGATGCTCGAAGTGTGCTAAGCCATACCATTCACTAAGGCCGAGATCTACACGAATCTCGGAGTGTGGGTCTCCTGAGACACCCCCAGACAATTGGGCCTGTTGATGTCTAAGTTTGCGTATAAAGGGCTGAATTGTCTGCATGCATCGATAATAGGGACTAGAATAAACCTGCTCTATCGGCGGGTCAAGTCCTAGTAGGTGTTCTGCTAGCTCATTTGCCTGCTCAATGCCATGGGATGCAAGAGCCGGGTCCGTTGGTAAACCCGTAGGAGAACGGACCGAAGCCGTGTAATTCCCAGTGGACGGGTCGACAGCCCATGGGGAACGGAACTAGCGAGAATAAGCTTATATTCGCCCAAATAGCTTTGAGGTGGCTTCCGCCGCAAGATAGGGGTGAGATAGATAATCTCGGAGTTAAAATAGAGTGCTTAGGTTATAGGTAGACTAGAACTAGCACACCTTACCCCATGTCGGGTCACGTAAATGACTTCTAGAGACATTGACTGGTGTCTATTTCTATATGCGACGGTAAGTTGCCTAGAATCTGATTGGCCAGTAGAGAAGCAATGTCATCAATAGCATCAATGGTATCAATGGCAAAGTCAAGCCACCGGGAAAGAGAAAGACAGATACCGAATCGTTACTTATCCGACTATACCATATTCCGTGCGAGAGCAGATGTATGGCCAGGGCGTCAACTCTAGGTATATTATTCGTGATTTGTAGTGTTTAAAAGTGAGAGAAACTGGACAGTAAACTCTAAAGAAAGAAGACTCAAGTTAAACATCGGCTTACTACATGTAGGAAGGTACCAAGGTACCTAAAATATCATACCGAGGTAAAATGTACCTACCTATTACCTACATTAGTAATGTCCGCCTAGAAGTAGACTGAGGTCATAGCGCATCACGTGCTTTTCGCGTGTACTCCCGATTTCATGGTGCGACAAACGAGACAAATACCAAAATCTCTAGGGCAGGTAAATAGCGGTATGCATGTAAAAGCCCAAAAGCAAGTCGACTAAAACACAGAGGTTTACAAAATTACCTAAGGTACCTACCTAATTTATGTATGCTGGCCATAGCATAGATCTATCATATATCATTTCTGCAAGTGACATTGCATACGGAAAAGTTAACCGAATAGGTATTAGTTATGTAAAGCATCGAACAGTCACAGATTCGGGAAAGCTTCGATGCTCGCTCAAAATAATCTTCATTTCTATATGTACACTTTGCTCAAACGCGCTAGTGCTTTCTATTAAACTTCCCAAGAGCCATCGTACTCTACAACCGATTACAACAGACCCCGGTAAAAACCCAAATAATCATCGCCCTGAGACGCACACAAGCGCCTTTAATTGCAGTTGGCGTTGTTTGCGGCGGCGGCATTCATTGTTGCCGTTGGCCTGCTTTCGGCGTGGTAACGCTTATTGCTGCTGAGTTTAATGTTAGCAATTAGCGCCAGTATTAATGAAGAAGCAATAATATGAACATGATGGGTTTGTATTCTAAGCTCTAGAGGGGCAAACCACTTACTTGTTGTACGCGCTCAAGCGTTGGCCTTGTTAGCCTTAGCAGCGCCGTTCTTGTTGCCGTTGGCTTGCTTTCCGGCATGGTGACGGGCTGTCACCTTGGCGGCGTTGTTCTTGTTGGCCTTAGCATTGGCGTTGGCATTGCCGTTAGCCTGCTTTCCAGCATGGTGACGAGGCGTCACCTTGGCAGCGGCAGCGGCGTTGTTCTTGTTAGCCTTAGCGTTGCCGTTGCCGCTGGCCTGCTTTCCGGCATGATGACGAGGCGTCACCTTAGCGGCGGCGGCGGCGGCGGCATTGTTGTTGTTGTTGTTGTTGTTGGCCTTAGCATTGCCGGTACCTGCTGCTACGGCGGCGCCGTTCTTGTTGCCGTTGGCCTGCTTTCCGGCATGGTGACGGGGCATCACCAAAGCGCTGGCGGCGGTAGCGAGAACTAGGATGGAGAAGAACTTCATATTGACTGATTTTGACTGGTTTGATAAAAAGCGATTGGCTGAGAAAGATTGAAGCTGTACACGTCCACGGGATCGTATTCAAGTGAATGTAAGTTGAAAAGGAGGACCGGCCACCAAGAATACGAATAGGAACGAAATAGAATGAAGAAAATTGAGACGAGCTGTTTCAATGATTGATAGCGGAATGAAGAGAGGAAAATGTTGGATCATCGCGGGATTCTTGGCTACCTCTTATACATATTCGAAGAACCGATAAAGAGGTAGCTATACTACCTGCTGCTAGGTATACTACATACTAGATAACCGACGATGTCATCTTGACAAGCCCCTGACAACAATAGGCTTAGCTTCGACCCCTACACGGCTCGAGGCGCCCTGCATTTCGTCAGTGACCGGGTGTAAAACAGAAGCGCTGTGACATTTTAGGTACTGAACTTTTCCTATTCGTGATACTAGCTTGGAGCTCTCTCAGCGGTAGTTGGCCCCAAGTCTCAAAAGAGAGAAGTGCGGCAGGATTTCGCGACGTTTCAGCAGGATCTGAAGCAATGTGGGACATCTAGAATATGGGGAATAAAAAGCTTGAAGCAATCGCTTCGCCTTCCTATTGGTGCATTTCTCCCAAATGTCCCTAATAGACCAGGGGTCAGCTCGCGCCTTGATACAAGCATCTACTAAAGCCTACCAAAACCTCCCAAAATAGTAAGCTCCTTGGCTCCTAATCTTCAAGATCCCCAAACCCCCGACCATCTTGGGGAATCTATTATTGATCGACTTCTGCAATAATTACCATACCAATCTCTCATTGGGGCATGAATTTCCATCGGCGCTGGGATGATTCCCTATTAGCTGAATACGGCAAGACTCCGTGCCAAGTTACAGTCTCATCTCTTTTGATTCCCATTCCAGTGCAACCTCCAGACTTGGCATCGTGTTCGCCCTGGTTTATTTGATATTAGCCCTGATTGGGCCTTGCCAAGTGCGTATTAGAACCACCACGGTATCAAATTCTAGACTCCTACTACCCAGGGTACGATCACCATGAATATGCTACAATATCAAAACAATACAAAGCAATAATCGCGTAGGGTGGCTGAACTTGGCCACGACCAAGGGACCGATTCATTATTTCGGAAATTAAGCCACAATACCGACTCCGTGCGCGTAGTGTAGGGAGCAAATGACCTCTGATAGCAAATCCCGTTAGCCTTTCTTCAGGGTTCGTGTAAAATTAAGTAAGCATTAGGAATGAAGTCCTTGGCTATTGAACGTAGATCAGTTTCAGCACAAGGTAGGGCCTAATACGAGACTTCGCAGACTTAATCCACGCAGGGAAATTTCTTGAGACGGTCAAGAATTACCGGGATTTACACCAGGACACGCAGAGATTTGCAGTGATCATATGCGCTGACCTGCGTGCAGAGGAATATCAAAGCTTAATGCTCATGCTGCTAGGAGTTCCCCTGCGTAAATCGCGATATATCCCTCTCAATCAATGTCAATCAATGTTGAGATTTATACATTAACTAACTATACAAACCATTATATAGATGTGCCGTTTTATGAAATTGATTTGCATTATTTCTCGGTAATTTTATTACATGCTAAAGAATAACTGCACAGTTGACAGGCCATGAAGACCATTTGCCACTATTCGCAAGAAAAGGAAAGAAAAAAAAGGTAAGGTCGCAAAGGCTCACCGAAGTTCATTGGCTACCAGGTAGCTAGCGTAGAATCCATGGTCGTTAGTCAAGTTTCAGCTTTTATCCAAATGCCAGGACTAGACTCGAGAAAGTCGAGAATATGAATAATGAGGTAACCGAAGAAAAAGCACCAACAAATACCATTAGATAATAAGCCGTTAATTAATTCAGACCCCGATCTTACAGCATAACGGCGTAAATCAAACCGAGTGTTACAATATTCAAACGTTCTTCGCTAGAAGTTACCGTCGCAAGTCCCAGGCTCCTAGGTCTGAGCCTTGGCGATCAGTGAGAGAGGTGTCTTGTGATACGCAACCTTGTGGCTGGAGATGACGACTGCTGTTCCTATTCCCTCGCCATTTCCATTGGGAATCAAATAGGGTATCTTAGGTACTCATTAATTCTAGAAGTACATAGGTAACATCCTGCGTGTTTAGAAAATTACCAAGACAAATGGCGGTCAGCTGTGAAAGGAGGCGACACTTCTCCTTGGTTGAAATGGTACTTCACGAGTACGGGGTAGGCCTGCTAACAGCACTACCTCTCATCCAGAAGTAGAAATTCATTTAATATTTAAAAATCCGGGGAGCTGGTTAATCCTCCAGCGCCCATGCCGGTGAGACATTTGGTGTAAGTGAAGCAGAAGCTTAATAAATAGGAGCGAACCAGAAACACGTAGAAAGGAGGAGGCGGTTAGATACAAAGTTCTATTGAAATATTGTTCAAGATAACTGTCTGGTCCCCAACAGAATAGTATGTTAAGTTAAGAACGTAAGGGTCCAAGACAGTCCTATGAAGTAGGCAGTAAATGAAGATTCTCCGTTCACATCTCTTCTTAGCCAGTGCTAGGGCTCAGGGGTTATATCATATCATATGCCTCCTAAGGAAGCACAGAACGAAAGACCGCAAGCCTGGATTATAATAGTATACAGGTGTAACAGTGGTTTCTCCAACCCATGCCCCTTCTAAAGATAGGAGAGCAATGCACTTCTTATAGAGCCTTGCCTGTAACGAAGTTATATAGGTATCACTTGACTAGGTACCTTAGGTAATTTAGCAAAACTTGATGATGGTAGTGTTTTCATCTCGTTCTTCCTGAGACATGTCCTGTTTCCAAATGTTGCCTAGGCATGAATAGATACCTACCTAGACTACCTACGCAGGTATGTAACGAGGGCGTAACAATAGGTATTATCTCATACTTTTGTACAATATCCTATACAAAGTCATTTACCATGTCTAATCCTACATCCATCTGGAAGACTCATTCGTCTAGATCGACCCAATGCTCATCTTCAACGCCACGAATCCGTAGTACGTGAGCTGCGAAGCTGTATAGAGAAGAATGCCACCAAGGGTATTTCAAATTTCCAGAGTTATATACACATTTTCTGTCATACAAGTCGTACACTTCATTTTTACAAAGCGCTCGGTTTATATAAGTGCCTGACCCATGAACATGCTTTCTCTGACCTCAGCAACGATATCTCGCCGGTCGTCCTTGCCGACTAACACAACGCCTCTTCCTCTCCTACCCATGCGACCGGCACGTCCTAAGCGGTGTATAAAATCGATGGTGCTGTGCGGTACATCGTATAATATTACATGTCGAACCCCTAGGGTATCAATACCTCTCGAGGCCAAGTCTGTGGCCACGATGACCTTGGTATTAGGCAAACTCCTTCGTCCTTTTCCTGGGGGTGGTACGGTGAATGTTGCGAATGAGGTTTTCATTGGCGTGGTGGTTGTAAACGAACCCAGCATCTCAGATTGACGTTGCTCAGAGGTGTCACGGTGTAGCGCAATAGCGTCAATGCCCTTGGAGACAAGGTAGTCAGCAACCTCTTGAGTCTTCTCGCGTTCATTGACAAATACCATGATGCGCTTAACATCGACCTCTCCAGGTGCGGAGCTCTCGTGTCGGACGGCATCTTTTCCGATGGACCAGATTGCATCGGCACAGGCAAGGTCTTTACTATTTCGGTAAGGGTCCTTAGTTACGTCAATAACTCCTAGTTGAACGCGTCGAGGGATGGCGTGGAGATTCGGCGTAGTAATCCGGACCATATCCGGGAATTCAGAACCTAGGTAGTTATCGAGCCGCTTCGGAATAGTAGCAGAGCAAAGGATGAGTTGCTTCATAGATGGCAACGCACGATCTAGAATGGCCGTCGTCTCAGGTGAAAAACTGCGATCGAAAAGAGAATCGGCTTCATCAACTACTAAATGGGTAACTCTAGATAGGATATAGGGGTCTGAGTCTGCCATCGATGACAATAAATGAGGTGTTGCCACGATAAGATCGATGCCGGTAGGCGAGTACATGTTCGCATTGATAACCGTTGCGGAGACATTGGCAGAGAATTTGCTGGTCCTAAACTTCACAATATGTGACAGAGCCTTCGCAACACGACTTACTTGGTCAACTAACTCAGCTGTTGGTACTAGCACGACGACTTTCGGTCGTGCAGCAGTCGGATGAGGATCGAATTCTCGGGGGCCAGTGTATCCTGGTTCCCTCATTGCTGCCATCTGTTTATCGAAATATTCCCGATAGGCCGCAATGGCAGGGTCAGAAGCTTCAGCCTTCTTCAGAGCATCTATCGCGGGTAGCATATAGGCTAGCGTTTTGCCCGAACCCGTCTCAGCTGCTAATAGAAATTCTTGCCTCCCGTTATTATCTTTTGCTCGAGAGGATCGTCGGCTAGTGTCCTGACCTAGAAGTGCAGGAATCGCGAGTCGTTGGATAGGAGTGGGTTTTAAGTCCACCATGCCTTTTAACACGTCTTGGGACATGGCTTCTTTGATCGAGGGTAACAGTTCGAATTGTTCGAAAGACTCCATCTCGGCTGCACTCGCTTTCGTCCGAGTTCTGTGGCCGTATGAAATTGTGGCTAGAGAGCTTTGCATTTTCATAGCCTTCGTTCGTCGGTCGTCATGTTTATCGCCCCTCTTGTCTCTACCGCCCCTGGTCTCACTTGTTCGAGATGTCCTTTCTGGTATACGTTCCCTTATGCCGGCATACGTTTGATTCATGCCACCAAACGGTCCTGCTGATCTCTGACCGGGTCTTCTACTTCTACTTCCACGATCATCACCGTCCGTATCTCGTCTGGGAGAGCGTGCGACACGGTTGGACAGGACCATCCTCGAAGGACCAACTCTCGCTCGGCCAGAGAAGAATCGTTGTTGCGCCGTCACCCATGGTCGATAGGCGCTTTGGAAGGCTGTTGGGTTGCTTGCTGCGAATAGACACGACGGACATATTGGTGCTGAGAGAAAAGAGCGCATCTTGAGAAGCCGGGCGTCGATCCGATTTCCTAATTGCGCCGAAATTTACGGAACTAATTAAGGCTTGTTTCTTGTTTTCTGCCTTCTGCCTTCAAAATTTAATAAAATTTCTAGATTATCTAGATCTTTTTTGATCGCTATCGATAACAGCCAATCGGCCCACCCCTCCTTCCCAAAAAGGCAATTTTGAAAAGGTACCTCAACACGGCCCGGTACCTTTTCTTCGATTGACGGTATCAGCCGGACGGGACCCAACATGCATCCGGCCTGGATACATGCAGATGCCGGGTACGTACACCTCCGTCAGTACCTATGACAGTCCATGGCAGCCTTTACTGTCCCCATACATTATGTATGTACTCCACAAGTAGTTGCCATGGGATTTTGTATGAGAAAAATACCTAGGTACGTAATAACTTATTTCAGTGGCTTATGCGAGGCCTAATATGTAGGTAGGTATCTTCAAATTCGAGATAACAAAGGACCGGTAAGTATGTAGAAGCCAGAGTATTTCTCATACAATCATACACTACGCATACGCATACACTACGTAGCTATACCTAACTTAGCAGACCATACACGTACTCTCAACTGGCCATGGCCCGTACAAGTTCCCAAGCAACTAGTTACCCCCTTTCTCCTTCGAATAGTTTCGTCGATATGGCAGATCTCCGTATGTCCCCGGAGACATATGAGTTTGCAACAGTAAGCATGTAATGATCCTCAATTCCGACCTTGTCTACCATGTATCCACATCCCCAGTATAGGCCACGAGTCGCCCTCCGTGGGTGGCCTTTGTAGCTGCATCGATTACGCTTATCATTCCTTGGCATGATTCTTGAACCGTTATAAGTTTTACCGGGATGTTGTCGTGGACTTCTACGAGGCCTGCAAGAGCGGTTTGGCCCATCTCGGTGTCTGCTAGGCCTGGGTGAATCACAAATGCCGTAAGCCAGTTTTCTTCCTTGTCGATACGCTTGGTTACCCAGTGAACTGCAACTTTCGACGGTCCATAAGCCGCGTGTGGAACATCAGGTTGATCCCTATACTACAATTAGCTACGCCGACGCGGGGGGTGACATATACTTACTACATTCAATATTACGTTAGTCGACGCCCGCAAAAAGAATAGTATAGTATAGTATGGATTATTTGGAGGTATTGTTAACTTACCAATATCTTTCCTCCAACAGAGCCCATAGTTATCCACTTAGGATTCGTAGACTTCTTTAAGAGCGAAATTGCAGCCTGGTATAGCCATACCACGCCAAAGAGGTTAGGAGTAAGATGTCCTTGTAGATCCACAGTCTTAATTTCCGAGATCTTGGGGAAGACATAGCAGACACCAGCATTCGCAATGGCGATATCTATATGGTCGATGCCCTGTGCAGTTAACTGTTTGATACCCTCAGCAGCATCAGATTCAACAGAGGCGTCGATTTTAATAACAATGAGGCGGGTATCTGTCCCTTTGGGTAGCTCGGCAAGAGCTTTCGACGTAGGGTGATCTGGGTTGCGATTCGCGGCGATGACGACATGGTGCGGCCTAGCGAGGTAGAGCTCAAGGAGTCCTTTGCCTAAACCTCGGTTCGCGCCGCTAATCAAGACGATAGTTGGTGCCATGATGTGTGCTTTGATAGTAATATTCGTGAGTTTTGTTTAGTGTAAACTTATTCTTAAGTCCTGCTCGTAGTCGGTTCGTCCCTTGACCTCTTATAGTCGACTATCCTTTGTATTCACCATGCTGTGCCGCATGCTCTCGGCCCGGGAATGTCTTCTGTAGAGCTAGGACACGCCGAGCTTAATTGGCTAATGCAGAATGAGTTGTTCTTGTTACAAGCCGAGGTGATATAGCCTTTACGCGTGTTGGGATATGCTACCGGGAATATCACTGTTCACAAAACATGACCCCCAGACCGACGGGTTCGCTGATGGCCAATGAGGACTCAATTATATTTACTGTTGGTTACAGCCTGCAAATAAGTACAACATACATACATAGGAACTATCAAATTAGATGAAATAACCATGTCTCTTGTGTATTTGGCACTGAGAGAAACGATACCTGATTAATGCCGGGTGTTATGGCGTAACTTAGATAGTCTTAATCTCTAGTTAGAGAAAATTGATAGCGCAGACTTGGCATTTTGATGTTATTGGCTATTCTAAATAATCAACGATTGTATTAGCAAAAATAACTGTAGGGTATCTAGAATATGTATCATTTTACTCGCAAGAAGTTCGGAATATTGTATATAGGTACTTATCTGTTTTGAAGGGTGAAAAATGATTCTTTTTCCGATTTTTCAAGGTGACTATTTTGGATAATAAGGAATGTTATCTTAGAGGGAAAATACAAGAGGGGAGCTGGGTCTTCACCGCTTTAGAACTTTTCATGGGTACCACGAGGCCTGACCCATCATTCATGGACTTAACCATGGAACCCCCCAGGGGTAGTGCTCGACTAGTCTCTATGGATTCTTTAAAGCTTCTTCGGAGCCTTCCGTGATAAGTACCTAACCTAGGTAGGTATCCAATCCTGCCAATCGTATTAAATCCCGGACCTTATATTAAATCCCGGGTAGGCATTATTATGTAAAGACATCAACGTCGATCAATACATAGTACTATGTACTACCACCGTGTTGGGCTATTATGGCGTAAGATGGATCCGAGGATCCCAGGCTGCAGGACGCCAAAGGATTTATTGCATGAAGAAGAGGTCAAAGAGACATTATTATGCCTGTTGGGGCCGAAGAATCGTATAGTCCACGTGGTTAGTCAGATTCGAATTTTTATTAGGGAGGTATGTAGACTTATTCTAGATTAGCGAGTTGGCAGACTAATTATAACGCCAACTTACAAGACGACATTTAAAAATTATCGGGCTCCGCGTACCTTTAGAATAGTCAACTACCCTAGGTCTTACAAACTGCAAAGACCTAGGTTAAAATACTGAAATTATTTGACCTTTTTTTCAGTCACGCTACTATTTTAATATAATTTCTATAGTAATGAATGCGTAACTAGTTGGTATGATGTTTGGGTACGCGGGTACGCGTGAGATCTACTAAGATGTAACATTACGAGGGCCTACATACACTATTTATAAGGGTGCTGTTGGTCCCCTTTCCACCTTGATACCCACTTTGATACTCACCAAATATAGGTGAGGAAACCAACTCGTCCTTAGAAAAACCTGTGGAATAAATCCCTAAAAATGACGCATTGTTCAATTCGATGGGGAAAGGGCAAGGAAGTTAGGTGTCGGTGACGGGGTTTTACCATTTTGTATCTGAAGAGTAAACGTAAGTGCGAGCTTGAGCAATTCGGTTCTATCATCTCAAGAGGTAGAATTTTTCTTATGTCAAAGCTTGTTACGCAACAGCACCAGCACGGAATGGGCGACTAGTTTACCGAGGGCACGGCAATTCTAATTATTGCCATTAAAACTAGCATTGCTAAATATAGTAGTTGATCCAAGATAAAATACTCAAGCCTTCTATGTATAAGAGATGAGAAAAGGGGTCTACAGGGCCCTCCTAAGGGATTTCTTATCGAAGAAGCTTCAACCAATGTGATAATGTAGTAGAGATAGAAATCTCCATTGAAGTTTAGTAGTAGCCAGTGAAATAGTAAAATTTATGCGCTAGAATTTGTATTTATTAACTAAGTACTATTAAGTCTAATTAAACGAATTAAAAACAAGGCAGGCAATCTGTATATGTGCCTGTTACCAACAACCTATCGTAATCGTATGGAACCCCTTTCCCCCCTGTGATGTACCATATTAATGAGAGGACATGCTGAATCTAGCATCTAACATGTTCCATAGGTAGTAAATATTTCCAAACCAGGAATCAGAAGGCCTAGACCCCATCGAATGTCTCATTCTATTTCTGCGAGTAGTTGCAGCCAGAAATAACAAGAGCCAATGTCGGACGCTTTTAGTGTTGGCTCTAGCTGGAAATGTCTGAACAATATGTCTGTATTTTGTACCGGTGGAAACATCGCAGCAAGAAGGGGTGCTAGTCGGCCTATTGCTACCCTTATACGAACAAACGAACTTGATATATTTTCCCCTGCCAGGGTTACAGCAGCGATCATAGGTTCCCATCTAGAGATATTCTGTTGTAGGAGGTAAGAGGTCCTGCGGAACTGTTCCTTCTTAATGTCGCGCGTGTATGCTGCCGCATCGGAATCTTCCGACACGTCGGGGATTGAACCTTCTATCTCGTCTGGGTAGGCCAGTCTCATTACTTCCAATAGGTGGTTAATAGTGGGTTTAGTTTGGTAGAATTGTCGTAAAAGATCGCAGAAGTTGCATAGCGGCGGTAATGATCTTAAATCGGCCCCTGGCTGGAGGTTCTGAGGTTCGGAACGATGTCCGTATATACTGTGGCGATAGTGTTGGAAACAGTAAGGGCAAATTTGTTGATTATTGTATTGACCGTTTAAAATACATCCCAAGTTGGGAATTGACTGAGTAGTACGAGAAGCCATTGGCAAATATTTAGATGAGTAAATTGTTGAAGTTGTGATGCGGCTGAGAATATATTATTGGGAATTCTGCTAATCGGGGAGGGGGAATCGTGACTGGGGAGGAGAGGGAGTAGTATAATATTTATAATAAAATCAACCATGAGATGCGTGGCCCCGGAGATGTGTTCAAGCCTCGCGAGTCTTTGGGTTAAAGGGTTAAAAGGTTAAAAGGTTTGACGTGTAAACAAATAACTAGTTTTTGTTTAAGTTCAAAGCAATCTCGCTCGGTCGTGTAAATATCAGGACAAGATTTATACGAGAAGCATTGCCTTAATAATGAGGACTTGGACATATATCAGACTTTGGTATTCGTACAGCTTGAGATAAACACCTATCTACGCTCATTAGGGGAGTTTTATCTCTATACGGTGGCTAGGCAGTACCCTACGCAAGTAAACTGTTCCCCTTCAGGAGTTCTTATGAATTAATAGCCTACAATCTCTTCCATTACATAGCAACTGATGCTCCTATCTTCAAATTTATATACGAATATATTGTGCTGTAGAATATGAATTCGAGGCAGAGAAACCAGCAATCATTTGTGGGTTATTATATCAAGTATAGTTCGTCTGCAACATTGGAAGTAGGTGACTCGGCGAGATGTGATAATCACCTTGGGTTAGGTATATAGATTTTGGGTATAGTCATTGCGCTTGAACTATTACGGTTCGTGCGGAGTATAGAACAGCCTCGTAAACAGAGCTGCGTCAGCAGCTGTAATAGCACGCCTGGGGCGCTGGATATCCGTGCGGATATTGTATACGAGTAATAGCAAAGACAGTTGATTATTAAGGAGATTGGGTTCTAGCTAGCCTTTAAGAAAAAAGTATAAATAAGCCTCATATTATATATATATAGGCCTAGTAGAGCTAACTGATAGCCCTGTAAACAGTCCTAACAGGAACTATATCACGAACTATGTAGTACCCGGAGTTGACAGGATGGAATTGTAGGAATAGATGAAACCAGCTTAAGAAACTCTATAGAAATATGGAACTATAATGATCTTGGCTACCTCTTATGTACATTAGGTACTAAGATAACTCCAGTCACAAAAAGTCGTATCGTTACCCAAGACCGAGGACTCCTATCATATGCAGGATTGACAATCACATCTCAGTTTCCACCACACTGCAAAATAATGATGAACTATGATAAAGGTACCTACATAATGGCAAGATATAGTCAAGTTTAGAGTTCAAAAATACAAAGGATGGTTCCCAGAGAGGCTCGAATTCTCGGCCTTCGCCTTATTAGTACGACGCTCTAACGACTGAGCTTGGGACCAGACCGAAACTTCTTTAAGATTCGGAGCCTTGAATAAGTTCTGATCGTGCAAAAAACCCCGTAAATGAATTTCAGCAAGAAAAGTCTTCTTCTTTTTTTCTTTCTTTTTTTTCAATAAAAAATTATACATACATGTATATTTTTTCATAGGGGTCTGAATGTTGGATGTGTACTATGTATAGTCTGAAGTGTTATCGTGCGCTAAAAGGGACCGGACGCTGTCAGCCCCCAGCGAAAGTTAATGGCCTGGTCTTGGCATTTTACCCCAAGTTTAACACCACATATTAATTCAAAATCAAAATGAAAGAAAGGCCACAAAAAAACAGAAAGGAAAAGAAACTGGTTATTCAGCCTCCATTTAACTAAATATACAATTTTGTAGTTTTATCATAATTACTTTACCAGTTGTTTTGCTTTTATAATTGTTGATTATCCAAACCGGTTAAATGCCAAGACCTGGCCATTAACTTTCGCTGACAGGCTGACAGCGTAAAGGCGCTTACCTAATTTAGTAGATTTCCACGCCAGATCTTATCGGGTTGCGGCTAAATTTAGGGTCTGACACTGATAGCTACGGTTACCACGACTACAGGTGCTCAAGCCCCAAAAGTCAATGTAAAGCCACCGCGATTAGAAACAAGTTCACACTCCCACACTCCTACATACCAACCAAGGACAAACCATGTACGAAGATTCATGGTACAACTTTGTACCAGATCATACCCACAAGAGGACCCCTTCTATCCCGCAGACCTCAGGACACAGAAGAAGGGAGTCACTTCTCCAACAGCCCAATGTCAGTCTCATCTTTAAAACACCCAACGTCCATCTTCTTAACGTAATTCTAACAGCTGGTTTAGGGAAACAAGCTGTCCGATGCCGTAGAGCCGCTAGAAGAATTATTTGAAGAAGCCGAGGCGATAATTGAACCCCCCGAAGCAACCTTAAGTCGAAGGGCGAAGTCTTACTCTGATTTCTACCATGTCGTTCGTGCGCAGCTCTCTAAGGATGCCGCAGCAAAGAAGAGGCGCAAGAAGGCTAAAGAGAGGAGTTTAGAAGCGCTGATGGTTGAGAGGGTTGAGACCGTCGAAAAGATTGCCCGAAAGCAAGAACCGTCCCAATTGAGATCTTTCGATGACGAATTGATCGAGGCTAGTCAGCAGGAATACTTGTACGGTGCTTTGCGTTTAACGGATGCCAATGTGGTCACTAACAGGGGAACAGGCTTTACCAAGACCAACTAGAGATGACTGAACGCCACCTAGATGCGCTTATTGGCGATACCAATAGTGTTTTGGATCTGCTAACAGCTTTGGCTGGTTCATTCCGTGCCGTCGAGTCGCAGACGTCCTCTTTCCAGGCCCAGTGCGACGATCTCATATCAGAAGAGAGAAGATTACAAAAACTTGCCGACGAGGTTGGAACTGACTTGCATTATTATGCATATCTAGATGGCGTTACAAGGAGGCTGAATGCTCCTGGTGCTGGCCGCCTAGTGAACCACGAAAGTTTTGGCGAAATCCTAACGAATCTAGATGCTTGTATAACATTTATGGTAGAACATGTTAGTTTCTGCATGACTTGCGTACTTCCCCATGTGCACTCTTTACTGATCTGTATTAGCCTGACTACCGGGATGCCGAGTCCTACCTGGCTAGATATCAGTCTCTACTCACTAAAGCTCTTCATCTACTCGAAGTTGGGTTTACAGGCCATCTTGATCGAATCTCATCGGACATATCAAAGCAAATTTCTGCTACACAATCCGAATCTGCTAGACATGCGCTCGCATATGGTCGATTTGAGGAGATGGTACTTGAAGTGGATGGTTTAGTGGCGAATGCCCAACGCGTTATTCGTAGTTGCTATGATCAACTGGGAAACCCAACCACTGGGCAGAGCTTTGATTATTATTCTAATACTGCCGTCAACATATTTTCGTCTTACGCAGACGTGAGAGACCGTGATCTCCGTCCCATGACTCAACATGATCTCGAGGCTTTCAGAAAAGAGGTCAAGGAAGTCAACGCAGAAACCGCATGTCGCAATTTTGTCAAGCAATGCTATGAGCGATCATATGATGAAGCAAGTCTTTTCGCCAAGATCTTCTCCATAGAGCCACAGTACAACGTGGACCCCCAGTCCGCCTACGTAGCCTTAAAGTCTCAACAAAAATCACTAGTCAATGCCGCAAACATTGCCCCGATCGCAACGACGTTGCAGTCTGTCTTGCAAACAAGCGAGCTTCAATCGGTTTGTAACCTTATAGGATGGATCACAAGTGAGTACCTCCTATCAGAATACGACGAAGAAGAGACTCGATACTCGGTTCACTGCCATGACCTCACCGCTCGGCTGCTCATCGAACATCTCTGGCCCTTGATTGATGCTGCTTTCGAAGCCGAGGTTACGAAATCTATCTCAAAAGCCCCCATTTCGCAAGACTCTCTTAAGATCACGCCCGTCGTGAATGGTATCGCATCTTCCAATGTACATCCAATTACGAAACGGGCTCTCGAGCTTCTAGCTATGTATGATCAATCCATGCCGAAGGAACGAAGCGTAAGTAACACCCTCGTTTTATTTTCGCTATAGTTGAAAATTGACCTATTCCCTTTAGTCGAGCCCAGTTGTCTTCCGAATAATCCATGAGACTATTCTTGCCATGCAGCGTGCCGAATCCCGGCTAAAATCTAACAAGGCAGCTAATCCAGAGCCTGATCCTGATTTATTCATGATCAAGAATCTGCTTATTCTTAAGAATGGACTGGTGTCACTCGAGTTCGGCGATGTTAGATCTTATCCAGCAGCTATGCAGCACTTTGGCCAAATATGGGATGCTCTCAGTCCTCAAAATTGGATGGGCTTGTTCAGAGGTATTCTCGGCGGTTCCCTGTCACTCGGCCTCTGGTCATCCGCAGTTGGCGCCTCCCCAGCTGCGAATGGCAAGGCCGCACCGGCCAGAAATCAGGTGCAGCCTGAGCAAGACGTGAACGAGAAGTTGGACGAACTGCTACGGCAGAGCATCTACGCCTTTACACAGCGGTGGGGAACATTGATAAACGCAGCTAGGAGCGGAAAACGCGGCGCCAAGAGTCTGGAGGCCACAGAGAAGGAACTTGATGAAAAACTCCTGACTGCGTTTGGTGGCCAGCCTGAAGTTGTAGCCAAGCTGCAGGAAGCTATCCAGATAAATGCACAAGCCCAGAATGAGCTGAAGGCGGAAAAGGGTGTGCGATAGGAAGAACTAGTGTTTATTCCTGTCCGTGCCTGATACTAGCCATCCTCGCTGATGATAGTTGTAGTACCAGTTATTTCCACCAAGTTCATGCTGGGGAGAAACACGAGATACATTGGAAGTATGATACTGACATTCGACATGGTACTTGCACAGCTTCGAATATTACCTCATGTCTAACCTAGCAGCTGTTTTCGGATTGCAGGGAGATGGCATATGTATCCGTCTTGGCATGTAAGAGGAACCCCCCGTGACGTAGCTCGGGCGGAAGGACTAGTCAAAGAACGTATAACCTAAATAGCTCTAAATACTACTATGTAAGAACTTCACCCGGAATCTTGCCCTCATTAGTTTTGTAGCTATCCCGATATGGTCTAGTAACCGAGTGTGCCGCACCATCGGTACGGGCGATCAAAGGGACATCCTCGCAGGGAAACAAGCAAGCCTAAGTTCAAAGAACTATAGGGAGTATTAAAGATCGAAGGTAACCCAATTCAGGCCGTATCCAACCTATAAGTTCTATTATCTATTATCCTGAAGCGAGAGACACCATGGCCGCGACACAAACAGTACAAGTACCACACTTGGAAGCCCGGGTTGGGTATGCTATATCAAATAACAAGCTGGATACTTCAAAGCCGACATGGGTGCTCATCAACCCCATGTGCACTTCGGTCGAGTTCTATCGCGCACAGTTAGATAGTAAGACATTGACGGCCGCTGTGAACTTAGTGGCTATCGAGCCGCTCGGTCATGGCGTAACAACATGCGCTACGGAGCACTTCACCTACTGGGACACTGCGCTCATTGCATTGCAGGCCCTTGAGGCTTTAGGCGTAAAGAAGGCCTACGCATTAGGAACTAGCCAAGGAGGTTGGATTATCATGAGGATGGCACTGCTGGCGCCGGAGAAGGTAATTACTAAATTTTGGACACTACTTGATCTCGGCTCACAAAACATAGATACTGGGTCTCATTCCTCTTGGCACGTCGATGGATGCTGAAACTAGCGAATCCCGTGAGAAGGGCTGCTGGTGAGTCAACTTTCCATCACCAATACCCTCCCAATCCCGTCGTGATATCCCTAGACCATACTTGCCTTTTAAATGATAGTTGTAGTTGAAAAACCAGGTCGCTAACCAGGTAACCGCCGTAGGGATCCGGTCCCATTTCTACAACCATTCCTTGAGAAATGGGGTAGCCCTACCCCCAACTTCGTCGTCGGTGACGACTGGATCCAAGCCGTAATTGGGTTGGGTTTCGGATCTGCAGGAACCCCTCAAGCCCTCGAGTTCTGGACTGAGACCCTCCGTCGCGTCTACTCGGGGGACGAGGGACGCCGCAAGCTCCGGATGGCTGCCATCTGCTTGGCGGACAGAGATGGGCTGCAACTCAGACTTGGAGATATTAAATGTCCCGTTAATTGGCTACATGTAAGTTTTGTTTCCTCACCGCTTATTGATTTCTGGTTTAAGGGATAATTGTTGCTGAGACACTTCTAGGGATCTGCCGATGCCATCTTCACTTATGTAGTTGCTCAGGAGCATTTTACACTATTCACGGGCTCATGCGACGCCCAGTCTAACGTGCTCGAGGGCGGTGCTCACTTCCTGGTTGCGACGCATGCTAAGGAGGTTGAGGATGCAATTTTGGCCATGACCGCAAAGGCCTAGGCTATATTGTTACTGACAGGGCTAAGGTGTACACGTCCTAGACTTTCATATGGAATTCGGATAATTGGTCAAGACTTCTGCATCTTTACGACTGGGGTTAGGTTAGGTAGGTACGGGGGTATCAGAGGACAAAGCAAGTAGGTCATCCAATGTAAGTTTCAATAAGAGGTTGTTGCATGCCTCGAAGTTGAACTTAGCATTATTTTATACAATTGAAAACCACTCTTTGACACCAAGGCTATTTGGGCCAAACCTGTTAAGCACATCACTTGGCTGGTGTTTAGACAATGATTTGAGTGCTTGTCTCCCTAGCAGCCGAAGCCCCTGTCACTGTTGAGCCGCTGACGCAAGACAGCGTCAATAATATCAAATGCACGAATCATCGTCAACAGCCCTTGTAATGTATCATGTAGTAATACCTACAGCATGCAGTGATACATCAGAGTCCTAAAGCAGAATAGCTCGGTTCGAAGGAAGTACTGTCGAGTGAGACCAGTCCGCTCTAATATCTTGCATTCTTCGACATATGTGCCTAGGGTATTCCCCAACTATTAGTTGATTTTCAAGATACGGTAATGTCGAACTGTAGATTCCCTTAAGTTGATTCGACCTAGGTGATATAATATTAATTTTGCTATTTTTCGGCTGGTAACGGGTATTTTTGATGGCTTTCTATCTCCCCTTGACTCTCACCTACTCCTCCTTCTTTTCAATTACACCCTCATTGGTTTTATTTCCCTTTTTCGTTTTCTAGAGATTCTGGTGGTTCCCACTCATGCACTTGATCAACCATGGATCAATGGGTTCTCAGCTCCAACTTTATAGAGCCACAGTGCTTCATCGGGCCCTGCGTAAGTCTTGCTTTATTCTTGATACTTACACATATATCATCGAATCTGAGTCTAACGAGATTTGAAATTTAGTGCCTATCATTGGTGGCTTTGCTCGGTGAGAAGGTTGTATTTCCAGGAAACCAAAGATATAGCTCTTCCATTTCTTCGTATCATAGCCAACAACAATCTCGTCTCGAGCCTTTATGTGTTGTTATACCATCCACAAGCGAAGATGTCTCTACCGCAGTTCACTCACTATCCTCTATTGCAGAGTCACTTGGAGATTATGAACATAGTAGTTGTCAATTTGCTATCCGATCTGGTGGGCAAGCAAGCATTCCTGGAGCAGCAAGTATTGCTGGCGGGGTGACCATAGACCTGCGTTCTCTCAACACTATCGAGGTGAGCAAGGACAAGTCTATAGTCTCTGTAGGAGCGGGCGCTCTTTGGGGTGACGTATATTCAGCACTAGATCCTCTTGGTATATCGGTAGCTGGCAGTCGTGCGGCACAAGTCGGCGTGGGTGGGTCAACTTTAGGTGGTGGAATCTCATACTTTTCGCCGCGGTACGGTTGGACATGCGATACGGTATCGAATTTTGAAGTTGTGCTGGCCAACGGATCTATCGTAAACGCCAATGTCGATGAGAACCCCGACCTTCTGTTTGCTCTCAGGGGTGGTTCAAACAACTTTGGCGTTATCACCCGGATCGACTTTCAAACCTTCGAACAGGGCTCTATATGGGCAGGAGGGATTCTTTCTTCCAGTGATACCATAGATGAACATCTGAAAGCGTTCGTTGATTTAAATTCGGCGGAATCATATGATGAATATGCGTCATTAATCACGAATCTTGGCCATGCTGGCGGTCGCAAAACTTTCATCTTGAGCAACATCATATATACGAAAGCCGAAGAGAACCCATCTGTTTTCGAACCATTCATGAAAATATCTGCGATGGATGAGAAAGTACGCATTACTAGCATAGCAGAAATGGCGGTAGAACAGGGCTCGTACTCAAAAAATGGACGGCGGTATGTACTAGGGGTTGGAACGACCAGAGCACACGCACCATGCCTTAGGTACCTAAACAACATGCTAACACACTAAACAGCCAATTGTTCGTCACGATTACCCACAAGTCTACAGTCCCAATGCTCAACGCAGTTTACTTAAATTGGAACAAAAGTATAGAGACTATCAAAGGCGTTCGTGGCATTGTCTGGGCCATCTCGCTAGAACCGTTACCACCCGCCATTTACGCGCGATCCGCAACGTCCCATGCTTTCGGACTTTCAGACAGGTCAGATGCACTAGTCATAGCCATTTTAACTGTATTTTGGAGGAATGAGGAGGACGATTTGAAGGTTGAGATGGCAGCGCGCGAGTTATTCCAAGCGATTGAAGACGACGCAAAAAGGTTAGGCGCATATGATCCCTTCATCTACCCGAACTATGCAGCGTCGTGGCAGGATCCTATTGCTAGTTACGGGGATGAAAGGTTGCGGAAACTACAAAGAGTGAGGATGGATGTAGATCCGAAAGGGGTTTTCTCACGTCAAGTTCCTGGTGGTTTCAAGATTCCGTTCTAGTCAAGGTATAGCAGCGACGTGTCAATATCATATGTATGATACTACATATAAGAACTACTGACTAGACAAAGAATTAACTAATTACGATAATTTATCAGGTAGCTATATAATTCCCGCTCCTGGAGTGAGACTTGTATAATACGTTCCCGTTTCATGACGACATACGTGGGCTTGGTATCCCACAATGAAGCAAGAACCGGAATTCTCTGTGTCTTGTTCACAGTCAAAGCCAACACAGAGCTCTTTTTATTCAACGAGCTCTAAAAGGATACTCTTGGTTCTTTGACCCTCCTTATAACTGGAGATCAAAGACTGGGATAAACTTGATCGTTGAAGTTCAACCATGTGATTGTTTGCGAACAAAGAAAGGGATACCAAACATAAGACGGTCCATACCCAATTTACAGGAATGTCTATAATCGTTCGATACCGTTTACTCTCATCACAATATACGCCAATTACTACGTTATTTTACAGCTAACCTCAGGTGTTTGAGACACATCTACAACGACCTAGCTATTAGGTAGACAACCCTTAATAATTAGCTGACCCGTATTGAAAAGTAAATATTTCGTATTTCGACAAGATGCGCCGCGACTCTGCAATGACGAGATTTTTCAACGAGCTCCCAAGCATCGTTTGTATCGCTACGTTACTTGGCTGCTTTTACTTCACCCTTTTCCACGTTTCCACATACTTTCTCACCCCGGAGCATCCTACAGTGAAGGAATTCTCTCGTCGGCTCAAGACAGAAGGGCCTGAGAGTGCGCAACAGTTCCTGAGGGAAGGTCTTCCCCCAGACTCTCTTGACTACTATGAAGTCCTCGACATTCCACGGTTCTCGCCGATTGAAACCGTGAAAAAGGCATATCGCGAGAAGTTAACGATATATCATCCCGATAAGTTTGAGGGCGACGAAGAAGAAGCGAACATGAAAACACACCGAGCAAGAGAAGCCTACCAAGTTCTCACAAGCAAGGACCGCTGCATGTACGACTTTGGCCTTGGCTCGGGTATACGCCGTTTTGCCGACTGCAACCAAGTATGGATCGACAGAGAAGCCGAGACGTTCAACGAAAAGCGGAAAGAAGCAAAAGAGAGGAGGGAAGCACAGAAGAAAAACCCGGCGGGGAGACAAGAAAAACCACAGGAGCAGGAGAGTGTCCAGGAGCAAGAAAAGCCACAGAGACAAGAAACAGAAACCAGGGGAAAGCCCGTCGCAACTGGAACAAATGACGTCGCAGGACCTGTTGTTACAAGTGGACAGAAGCTTGTTCAAAAGGTTAAAGATATCGGCGTAGCTGCTAAAACTGCTGTTCTTTTTGTCGTGGGGTGGATTGTTGTACATTTTGGAAGGGGAACTCCTATCAGATTCCGCTAGGTTTGGAAGTCTTGGATTACATGACGATAGTTAGTGTAAGATTATGCTATGATCAAAATAGATATAGGGTTGCCTTATTAAAGTGCGGTATTGAGTGGCGGTATGGTAGACGGATTGCCAGTTTGTTCTCGTCATTCAAATCGAGAATTCTGTAAGACCAACTAGGTCTTGGAAGAATCTTTCAATTGGCACTGGATGTAGTTGCATCTAGTTATACATAATCTAGTTACTTCACTTTTGCTATTGGCTTTGAATTTGAGTACCTAATATTAGGTAAATACCTGTAAATACCTGTAAATACCAAGTACAGCCTTCTGATGATGAATATCAATTCCACTTTGTTCTGCTAACTCTTTTTTTGCTGGTGTTATTATATCCGACAGCATACCCAAATAACTCGACGCATTGATGTTAGTCTAATTCAATAAAGCATCAAAATCCACTGTAAAACCATGTTTGTGCTTTGACCAAAGATGTATATATTAATAAAGTGAATTTATCACAACTTGAACCAGGGTCTAGGATACCCCACCTTGGGAGACACCGAGAGGCACTTTGGCGGAGTGGTTAACGCGATGCCCTGCTATCCATCAATAGTCCAGGCATTCCCTTCGGGGGCGTGTGTTCGAATCACACAGGTGTCGATTTTTTTCCCCACCTAGCGAAAGGTGGGTTCTGGTGAGAGCCGAAGCCAACTACGAATTACAATAGACTTCTAATTATGCCGTAAGTTGTGCGTTCCTATGAACACGCAAATGTATATCTAATGTTTTAAATCCAAACAACTTCTTCATTATCCCTTGTATTTATATCATTGGAGTAATTGAACAACAATATTTTTTTTTAACTCTGATTGGTAATTACATTTCCACAATTCGAGTATTTCTAAACTTGTTAGTATGTCTTTCTTCTAGGTAGTTACCTAGGTAGCTAAAGCTAACCCGGTACTATTTTATAGGTAAAGGGGGTGGTGTGGTGTGCAGATACCTTTTCTATATGCAAATGCGAAATACATAATGTTAGGTACCTACCTATATAGACTGGCTCTACCAATCAATCACTCATGCGGAACTTTCCGTCTCTGCGAGAACTCGCGGGGCTTAGGAAGCAGATGCTATTGCTATGTAGGTGATAAGTGATAACCTGAGGCTGTGGTAACGGCTTGCGGCCGCGACGACCGAGGCCTCCAGGTGGCACAAGCTTTGTATTTCTTTTCTCAATGAGCCAACCGTTTAATAAGTCCAACTACCCCTCTTTCAAACGGTTTCTAAGAACTCAATTCCGAATCTTGCATTGGGTATTGAAACTCGTAACTCGTAACCAGCTCTTCGACAATAGGTACCTATGGGAATGGACACCAATATCCATCTCTACGAATCAATTCCTGAGGAAATGAGTGAATCTAGTTCAACTGTCGGGGGCGACGCAACGCCTACGCATTCGACGACGACAGGTGACCTCCTCAGTGACTACCCCATGACGCCCCCACGACGTAAAGAAACAGTACCGTGGCCAGGACACACTTTTATCATACGCGAACCCATTTCGGGGAAGCAGCTTACCATCGTCCGCGGAGAGCTCCGGCTCGAGCCGCACAAGGGTGATCAGGGTGGCTATCATTGGATCTGCGTCGAGAAGAACGGATGGCTAGGGTTCTGCGATCCTATACACAGCATGTTCATGGGCCATGATAGCCTCGGTACATTCATCGCCCAAGTCAGACATCATAAAGCCCACGAGTACTTCTGCACTCAAAGGCATCCGGATGGCGGCTATCTGCTTTTGACAAATTACAAAGATTGGCTATGGAAGATGGTAGTCGCGGAAGACGGCCAGAAACTAGTTACCACGAAGGGTGATGGCACTGCTTGGGAGTTTATCAAGGTTTAGGTGAACGGCCTATACTGTCTTGTACCATTGGGTACTGCTCTTGTCTCCGCTATTCCATAATACTTCATGTCTGATTCTTGATTCGCTCCCTCGACGAATTTTGTATTCGAAGCGATATCTACTATGTCATAAAGACATCTTGTTAAGCCCTACTATTAGCCTTCTTTTCCATATCTATACGCAAGACATTTCTTTGCGACAGCCGGCTATGTTATCTTAGGACAATGGAAAACCTAGTGGCATGAGTATTATTTCGGATTAAGTGAAAATGTAAGCCTTACTGAACTAGCTGTGTCAGGATTCTAGATGAGACATCTAGAACAAAGGACGTGTTCAGTACCTTATATAGAGATATTTCAAAGAGACTAGATGAAGTTGGCGTTCGTAGATATCTTATTGAAAACACTGTAGCTTGGCAGCTCATAACTCGGGTCTCTACTAAGACGTAGCGGTGTTTAGGCCGTGCTGAAATAGGGGCTAGGGGTAGAAGCTGAAAGGTGTTATCCTTAACAATAAAGGCCACTTCGTCAAGCAAGATCACAAAATGAAATAAATTGATCTTGGACATGATAAAAAATAAGTTAAACCACCCTTACTGGGGCCACCCTAGTGGGGGCCACCCATTTCCCATACAAAATCAACAACTTCGCATGTCTATAATTAATTTAAGAAAATAGATAAAAATATATAATCTCTTATGTTTTACTTTACAATTATTATAATAGCTTATGTATATTTTATTATATTTAAAATTTAATGTTTTAATAGTAAAATAATAAAGTATATTTTTAATGTTATTTTTAAAAATTTAAAAATTTTAATTTTATATGGGAATTTTATTAAATTACCATAAAACTTTATAAACGCTTATAACTTCTCAGATAAATAAGTTATATAATTGGCCTTAAATTTAAAAATTGTATTAAAACGTTTTTTATTTAACAATATAAATTCTACATTTATACCATATTAATTGGTAAAGTTATAAGCAATAATATCCCTTAACAGCTTTACATATAAATTTATATGTGTAATTGTTAGTGTATACTCTTGTATTCATTTCACCACAGATATTAGCCCTGCCATTTTTTCAAAAGTTTATACCTGGTGAGAATTTAATACCGTACTCAAAATCAAAGATTGTATAATTTTATCTATTTTCTTGAATTAAATACAGATATGCGAAATCGTTGATTTTGTATGGGAAATGGGTGGCCCCCACTAGGGTGGTTTAACTTAACCTTTCAGATCATAGCTATGGCCTCATATTGTATCCAAACCTATCTAGCCCTGGATGCCGTTACCCTCTCCTAAAGTGGATTCTAAAGACTTGTTCAGCTATACAGGAGCTTTCTAAGATTTTCAATCATTTTCAGTAGACACAGAATTATCCCTTCTACATTTACCCGCATTGAAAACGTCATGTCCACATTCAGTATGCTAGAGTGCTCTTAATTACAAGCACTCATTCTGGGTTGGCAAGTTTTCTCTGGAATATTTCCAAAAATATAGGATTTAGTTGTTTATTAAAGCACCTAGCACCGAAATTAATTCTAATAATGACGTTGCAACTATACAGCTTAGTCCAATTACGCCAGTAGTAACGCGAGGTCAGTATGCTAATACTTTCATAACACCATGCCTAGTCCTGCTTTACTATATCATCGACTATACTATCCCAATATCCAGAAGCGCCCTTGTCAGAGCCGTCTTGTAAACTTGACGTGGCAGAATCCTCAGATTCCTTGCTCTTTGCCGAGCCTAAGTCGATAGACTTTTGACTACCACTTACATTTTTTATTGGCATAGCCGTTGCTGTGGAAATGCCAATCACCACGGGGCTTCTAAGTCCCTCGTGGTGCTCATCGTAGTCCATACTACCAACAACAAACAACTGGTCGTCGTTCTCCCCATCGTAGTGGACAGGTACCCTCCTTTTACTGGGATAGGTCGAACTTGGAGGAACGATAAAATGGTCTGAAGCTCCCTCCTGCGCAGCCCAATGCATTTCCCTCCAATCACGGAGCTCTTGCTCCCAACTCTCAGGAGTGGGCTGTGTGGGGGGAGTGACGGGCCGGTCATTGACTTCAGCGGATGCACTAGAAGGAATGTCCCGTTGCGTTTTCCCCCAACGACTCTTCCGGCGACATACCTCCAACGCCGGGATGGCTAAAAGAAACAAAAATACAACAGCCCCAACAATAATATACGTGACGAGGTTTCTATGATATGGATCATCTCGTCGAGATAGTCGAACGGATCCGTTGTCGAACATACCGACCAGTGTAGTTGCTATTATTCCTTCTTCGCTGGTCAGCCATCTAGGAATGACGGACGTATTATTATTAAGTGAGTGAAACATGGTGTAAGGTGCCATGTTTGCATATTATAATCCAAATAGCGAGCGACTTTAAAGAGAAAAACCTGGGGAAACATTTTCTTTTCTCACCACCAACGCTCAACCTACCTTATATCATACGTCATGGATAATACTATTGTTTTTGAAAAGACAATCGGTAGTATATAGGTCATTACAATGTTCTTGTTGATATAGTTAAAGGACAATGTCGTTCTTTATCTCAGTAGAAAGAATCGACATAATTACATTCAATAACACCTTAACCTAGTCATATTCTAGAATGACATTCTTTGTGTGAAGGATGGGTAGGTACTTATCTGGGTTAGGTAATCACAGTTCCCCAAGCGGTGTAATATTGATATTTAGAATATAGGAATAAGCTACCTAGAATTAGTTGATAAGTGAAGTTTTGACGCCAATTTGAACTAGAGGTAGTATGTTGACTAGCACTGCCACTCCGTGGGACCCAGCCTAATGACTACCTACCTTACCTAGGTACCTAACCTAACCTAGGTATTTTCAGTCCGGGTGAGTCATCCCGAAGCCGCTACGGCGTAATTAGTGATTATTATATAGAGTACTCATTATATAAAGCTTCATATAAACCACACTCTTTATAATTATCGAAAAAGAAGAAAAAATAAGAAGAAAACACATACTGGGAATATCACCTTAACTCACAACGAACATGGAGGGACCATGGGCTTTCGTGGAAACCACGCTTCCACACATGCCACTTTTACCAATTTCTCAGCGCCTGCTAATCCGAACAGAGCGACTATTAATTCGACCAATGAGGGACGATGATCTTCAGGCTTATCACGAGTTGCGCCTACAGCCAGAAGCAATGGCCTGTAGTAGACAGGGGAGACCTGACCACGATATTGAAGAGACTCGATCAGCGCTGAACCAATTTTTATCGCCACATAGCGACGAAACATTTTTGTACGGTGTTTTTCTTCCGTCTACGGGAGAACTAATTGGAGAAGGAGGTGTTCATACACTAGAGTCTTCATCTTGTGGCTGGCCCGAGATTGGGTACAGATTCAGGAAAGAGGTTTGGGGCCGGGGGTACGCGACCGAGTTCCTAAGGGCGTTTCTCAAGGCTTGGTGGGATTTGCCTAGAAACCACACTAAGATTCGGGTTCATTCGTCATCTATTCAAAAGGGAAGCAATTCGAATGCTGTAGAACAGATCCATGCCAACACAGACTTGGACAATATAGGAAGTCAGAAGGTTTTGGCAAAGCTTGGGTTTATACAGTTCTCGAAGTACACGGTGGCTGACACACAAGAGGATAAGCTGGGCGAACCACTGGAATTAATCGGTCATAGGCTCCCTTTTCCGGAAGACGATAGCGGAAATCGAGAATGATATTTATCGTACATAAGAGGATATATGTTAGGAGACAAGGACTAGGACCAGTCAGGAGACACAATTGGAATTCTAGGCCGGAGCTTATCACCAGTTAGCTACTGGATAGTGCATAGATGGCATTTTGTTGCTCCTAGTGTTGAAATAGAGTAGGTATCTACGGAGTTCTTCAATGCGTTATATACATTAGCTTTCTACCAGCTGGCTACTTATCACTCTATAGGTACCGAACCTACTAGTTCATATCAAGGGTTATCTGACTTTGACGGAGCCGTAAATTAGGTAGGTGCTTTATATATTACTATATACCGACTTAGTATATAACGTATGCCGTAACATCTAGTATAATGTCGTATTGTTCTCGAGCGGGGTCCATCCAATATCAAGTTTGGGACACGTTATCTCGTTGTCAGAGGATCATCCTGCATGTCCGAGATAGGAGATCAAGCCGAAAAATCCCATATCTGTATATTCTAGATTTTCCTGTATTTTAGATGGTCCCCTTTATAAAGTCATCCAACTCTGGACCCATAGCGGGCCACTCTAACCCACGTTCTCTCGGTTCAAAATGCTTAGAGCGACAGAACGTATTATAACTCCCATCCACCTAACTGGATCACCGAATTCTACGCAGCCCCTTTCACCTAGACCGGACTCGGGTATTAGTGAAGTGAGTAGGTCCGGTATATCCGGACCACCGTCTCCCACTTCACGAAGTCGTGTACGGGATTGGTTTAGAAAAGGGTCAGCACCCGTATGTAATCGACCTGCACTGTCCAATTTGGAACCTACCTCAGAGACTCCATACCAAAATCAGGACTCGAGTGTTTATACACCGTTATCGCCTCCTTGTACGCCCGACCTAAATTCGCCTTTCGATTCACACCCAGCCAAGAGGGACGAGAATATAGACAAATCGAACAACAAGGAAATCAATCAAATATTATCCTCTCATACAGATAACTCCGGCAATCTGGAACCACGTCGAAAATCAACTCGGCCAACACCGGCTCGAGAGGCTCAAGAGAAACGAGTCCAACGCGTCTTTGATATAATAAAGCAATTAAAGAACGAAGAGCTCTCAACCGACGATATTCTTATCGTAGAAGAATTGACAGAATCAGCGTTTAAAGACCTGCGAGATAAATTACAAAGGGAAGATGATGATCTGAAAAGATATTTCGAGGACGATCTGTGGTGAGTAGATCTTGAGAGTCCCGATTCGTCCCTTTTGACCATCTATGTAGCTACGATTATCCGTATCGAAGTAAACAAACAGACCATATTGTCTTTCGCATGAATTCAGAGCTCCATGAGCACGTATCTAGGGAAATCTTCATGACACTGGCAAATCAGTTAAAGACGCATTCGAAGAGGGTCACAAATTCAGAGCTGCCCGGCCAGATCCCGAGTAAACGATTTATCTTCACAGGATCGGCGAGGATTTCCTTCGGGGATAAATCTCGTGGGAACTGTCCAGATGAGAGTTTTCGATATCCCGACTGCAAATACCCGGGACTGGTCATAGAAGTGTCCTGGTCGCAAAGGCCCAGGGAGTTGCCAAAACGGGCAAAAGATTTTATCACCAAAAGTAATGGTGGAGTGAGAACCGTCATTTCTATCGATGTGCACGATAGTTATGAGAAGAAGCGGCAAAGTGGAATGCCGGGAGAGGCCAAATTTTCGGTATGGAGGGCAGATTGGGTCTCAGGTAACAAAGTAATACCTAAGATGAGCGTGGACAACCAGGTAGGTCACCGACTACGAGGTTCAACCCCAATGTTGATTTCGTTCATTCTAAAGTGGAAGCAGGTTTTCCAAAACGAACGCGGAGAATTTAACTCTTCTGCCTCTGACTTGCACCTCACCTTCGAAGATTTTCTCTGTAGAAAGGTAGCAGACACGTTAGGTCCTGACAAACCACGTCTTATAGTTGAAGCTAAGGAGCTATACGAATGGGTTCAGGAAGGACTGGCTGCCTTAAATGCCCCACCTCCTGGACCATCAGCGGAACAGAATAACGCCTCGGAGCAGCAAGTTTTACCCGTGTCACCTCCGGATTCCCATGCGGGAGGTGGGGAAATGTCGCAAAACCCGGCATCAAGCCCTGGCCAACCGGTGGATCCACATCCCGAAAACAATTTACCACAAGGTCAAGCACCGCTTCAGACTCAAGTGGAAAGACCGCCACGAAGAGCTCGTATAATTGGAGCTGATAAAATTTCGGCCTACTTCCGGAGGCAACGTAGGTAAATGTTACGGCACAGTACTGCAAGTGGTATCGAACAAAGACCACGTAAAGATGGTGTCGCTGGTTTGATGATGAAGGAATCTAGAAGGTGATTAAGATATTGAAGAATATCGAAACGGTATGTGAGAAGACATTGTCCGAATACAACTGATCTCGACTGGTGTTAGAGCGCGAGCTAGCAAAGGCGTACACAGGTAACAAGCGAATCAACAAGACAGACTATCAGAATATACGAGCTCGACATGACAGTCAAACGACAATTACGACCAATTAAATGCCGTTACGGTTTAATTATTATAAGTATAACGGATTGATATTAATTATTGAATATTTATTTTTACACTATTTCCTCTTAAAAACAACCTGCGTTGATATGAGTAAAGTGATGTTGATTGAGTCAAGTTTCTAAATACTAAGCCAAGTCTACACGTAGTGTAGTACCTAAATGACCAGCAAAGCTCTTATGTAATCCCCCGCAGCAGAGGTAGAGGTCCACCTTACATACTAGTGTAAAGTATGAGGTAGGTAGGTACATATGTAAATCCTAAATCCTACATGCGCTAACCCTGTTAAGCAATTACCTTGATGGAAAGGGAGCTTCGGCCGGGGTAGTCGCGCAATGCTTGCGGGATCTGACGTCGAGAGCCCCTCCATCTCAATCGCAAATACTAATGCTCCCTTACTGCCTTTATTGTCCTTACTGCCTCATTTAAAATTATAACTACATACCTCCTATGTATCCGTTAGTTATATCTCAAACAATCCGCTCTAGCACCAACACTTCTGTCCGATACATCCGAAACTATTCCTAATTAATAGATTAGGTACACCTATGTAAGAGCCATTAGTTAACCTGAATTCGTCGATTCGACTTCCAATATCTCCGATATAGCTTCTAAAGGCTTTCGACATTCCTACGTATACGCGCGGTCCACGATGTTCGATGTCCCATATCCGTAGTCATGGTTGTCAGAATGGTCCTCCGGGCTACTGCCCCTTGTCCGGGCTGCCTCGGCTTGAATAGACCACAATTAAGCCCATGGCTTTCACCGTCGCGTAGTAGCACGCGTATCTTCGCGACGTCGCAATATCCTCTACAAAAAACTCATATCCTAAGCTTAGCCTCGAACACGCAGCTGGGCATAGCCAAGTTTAGTTCCAATGCCGCCAATAAGCCCGCCACGACGCAGAAAGATCCTCTCGCCACGATCGACAAAAGCGCTCAGGAGCAACGAAAAGCGGATTGGGCAATCATGAAAGAGATGGCACATTACCTATGGCCAAAGGATAGCTTCAACACTAAATTACGTGTATCATTGGCTGTTGTACTTCTCGTTGGGGCCAAGGTGTTGAATGTCCAAGTACCCTTCTACTTCAAGAGCATTGTGGATGCTATGAATATTGACGTGGGAGAGATGGGTGGTACCGCCGTTATGGTAGCTGGAAGCATGATAGTAGCATACGGCGCAACGAGGATAGGGGCCACTATTTTCCAAGAGCTACGAAATGCTGTGTTTGCTTCGGTGGCACAGAAAGCTATACGAAAGGTTGCTTGCAATGTCTTTGATCACCTACTGCGCCTAGACCTGAACTTCCATCTCACCAAGCAGACTGGTGGTTTAACAAGGGCTATCGATCGAGGTACCAAAGGTATCAGTTTCCTACTTACTAGTATGGTATTCCATATCTTCCCCACAGCCTTGGAGATCGGCATGGTGTGTGGAATCCTTACTTGGCAATATGGTGCGAAATATGCTGCCATCACGGTTGTCACGATGACCGCGTATACTGCATTTACTATCTGGACCACCTCCTGGCGAACTAAGTTCCGAAGACAGGCCAACGCCGCAGATAATAAGGCCTCGACAGTAGCTGTCGACTCGTTGATAAACTACGAGGCCGTCAAGTATTTCAACAACGAAAAGTTCGAAGTATCTCGGTATGATAAGGCGCTTCATGAATACGAAAGGAGTTCTATCAAGATTGCGACTTCGTTGGCCTTGCTCAACAGCGGTCAGAACATTATCTTCTCGAGTGCCCTAACAGCTATGATGTACCTTGCCGCCAACGGTGTGGCAAGCGGCTCCATGACAGTTGGCGACTTGGTCATGGTCAACCAGCTCGTCTTTCAGCTTTCCGTTCCGTTGAACTTTCTAGGTTCGGTTTACCGAGAGCTCAGGCAATCCCTTCTTGACATGGAGACTCTCTTCAACTTACAAAAAGTGAATGTCACTATCAAGGAACTTCCTGATGCGAAGGCGCTTCATCTTTCTAAAGGGGGAGAGATCAAGTTCCAGAATGTAAACTTCGGCTACAATGCAGAGCGCCCCATTCTCCGAGATCTAACAATGACAATTCCTGCCGGTAAGAAGGTCGCTATTGTAGGTCCAAGCGGATGTGGAAAATCTACATTATTAAGACTCCTTTTCCGATACTATGATGTTGAGAATGGTCGCATTCTCATCGATGATCAAGACATTCGTCACGTTACGCTAGAGTCTCTGCGCAAATCGATTGGTGTTGTCCCTCAAGACACTCCACTTTTCAATGATACCGTTGAACATAACATCAAATATGGTGACCTGTCGGCGCCCGAAGACCGAGTGATCGCAGCTACCAAACGTGCTCGAATCCATCACATTATTTCTAGCTGGCCTGCGGGATACCACACCAAGGTTGGCGAGAGGGGTATGATGATCAGCGGAGGAGAAAAACAACGTCTTGCAGTCTCTAGGTTACTACTAAAGGATCCCCCTCTACTATTCTTTGATGAGGCGACGAGCGCACTAGACACACATACGGAACAGGCACTCATGCAAAACATTAATAGCATCCTCCGAGAAAAGGCACGTACCAGCGTGTTCGTAGCCCATCGATTACGAACTATATATGATGCCGACTTGATCATCGTATTAAGGGAAGGCAGAGTGGCTGAACAAGGGACGCACAAAGAGCTTATTGACCGAGGTGGGCTATACTCGGAGCTCTGGAGCGGTAAGTAACCTTAGAAAGGGACACCTATAGCCTCCTTAATAACTTTAGGTTCTAACTTATGGCTTGTAGCTCAAGAAACTCTGTTCAACTCTGACGGGGAGAAAGAAGAAGTGGCTAGCGAAAAAAAGCAATGAAAGGAATGCCAGAAATCAGAAGCCTCAGTCGCGATGAACATCTTGGGTGCTCGCTGATCTCGGGTAGAATAGAGCTGTGCAGACATCCTTTGGGGGTCGCGCCCGATTGAAATAGTCATTCTTGGGGATCCTGCGAGCTATGGTAGGACATAGTAACGCGAGTGTGTTGTATAGCATGGACAGTTGAACAGCAGCATCATAATCCGTGAAGAATATGATGCCTATATTTCCAGTGGAGGGATATTCAGCAGTGTCTGTTGAATCAACTCCAGTGTGGGCTCAGCACCTAGCTAGCTATCATGACTGTTCTCCAAACGCACCATCACTTTACTGGACCTAAAACCCCCGGTTTGGATCAAAACTTTCATCTTATCAGTGCATTAGAGTGCGATCCCCGTAGGTCAATGTCCGTTGTTGGCCGTCAAGGAGCAAACTTGGTATAGCGCTGTTGCTCGGCAAGGCAACGAGCAGAAGATTTGTTATACAGTTACTGCCAGCAACGTACGTTTTCAGACCAACCGTGAACTCTATTTCCCACTAGAACTCGGAAGATTGATATTTTCGATGATGCCAGTGACTCGGACCTATAAGCACCAACGTTTGGGTCTGCGGCTGAGCATAGTGTTAGTGTTCACGTTTCCACATACTCAAGGTATAATAGATAGACTGAGCGCATTCTATATCGGTGGTACGAAGAAATAGAGGTATTGTTCAATTTTATAGGTACCTAGGTAGGTAGTTACTTAAAAACTTACCCCCTAGGATTAGAAAAGCTTGGATAGTATGTATAGGTACATATGTCTAGCTGCTGGTTGAGGCTGAGAAGAACCTACCTGCCTAAAGTATATCCTATCATATAGCGCTATGGGGGGGCGTTATCTCAACATATTAGCCCCGTGGTCGTTTCCGCCGAGTCGACCTGTATAGCACGAACGCACGAAGCGCAAAGGGTTACATCACGGCTACGAGGCCCTCTATTCCCCCTTCTCTGCCCTTCGTCTAGTGGCTGTGAAGACATGGTCCAGGCCTGGCGGATCTTGGCTCAGATAACCTTCCTATTCCGGACCTCTTATGTATAGGTATGCAGAAGATGTCCGACCGATTGTCGAGTATAGTCTTTTCTTTTTTTTTTTTTTTTTTTTTTTTTAGACGTAGATACCTAGTGTGGTGCCCGAGTATAGGTATAAGTTTCGAATGAATCTATGTGCTTGTGTGCATGGTCGGCGCCTAGACGTTGCTTGTGCCCAAACTCTAACAATATTTGTGCACGCTCGACACAACTGTATCTGAAGGGTGCCCAGCGTAGGATATATATATCATGCAAGTAATGCCCATTCTAGGTATACGAGTTATAGTCGTGTCCTCTTGGATTACTCCCCTTTCCCATTCCATCTCATATCATCTCAAACTCTTCTAACTATTCCATACGATTTCAAATACACGATGTCTAGCCTCAGGAAGTTTCCTTGGCGTTACTTAGCCATCTCTGCAAGTATCTTCTCCGTAGTTCTCGGTCACAGCGGGAGGAGTGACCCCCCTCCAACCGTAGACCTAGGATACGAAATTCGGCAGGGAACAGTAAATGTGCGTTATCCCTACCTACCTAGATATCCAGTTAAATCACTCCAAGTTCGAGGTGATCTCTTGTATCTGCCGTTTGAAGGGAGAAGAGCTCGGGAACTTACTTGGAGGGTACTAATAAGTTGGCATAGGAAACTGGTAACTACTACGTCTTCAACAACATTGCGTACGCGCAGCAGCCGGTCGGCGACCTGCGCTTCAAAAAACCTGTTGCTATCGTCGAAACCGAAGGACCACCGGGCCACGAACATGGCAACGACGATGTTGTCATGTGCCCACAGGCTTACCCGCAATGGGTTATTAACCTCCTGGCACAACGCAGCGGAATCGACAACACCACAATGGCGTCTATGCTCAACGACCAAGCCGGCCAGACGGAGGCTTGTCTAGTTCTCGACGTCTACGTGCCCACGCACATCTTCGATGAGGGCCCTACTGCGAATGGTGAGTTGCATTGTAATTTTTGCTAGTATGACTTAGCATACGTCCCTTAGATACATAAATAGGTACCTAATAACCACGAACTTTGTAGCGTCTGTCCTCGTGTGGATACATGGCGGCGGCTTCACATTTGGGTCTAAGAATCTATACGGCAACCCAGCCGGCCTGATCGCTAGATCCCAAGAAAAAGGACACAAAGGATCCATTATAGTCTCGATCAATTACCGATTGGGTATGTATGGCTGGCTAGCTGGCCAGGATGTCACGCCGAACCTCGGGCTTTATGACCAGCGGCTTGCTCTAGATTGGATAAACAACTATATCGTCTTATTCGGAGGCGGCATAAATAAAATGACGGTTATGGGCGAGAGCGCAGGGGCTGCGAGTATCGTCCACCAGCTCACAGCGTTCGGCGCAACGGAAAGTTGCCCCTTTACCAAGGCGATTATCCTGTCCCCTGCATTCCAGTATAACATCGATCTGGATGGCAATTATCTTAAGACGTTGGCGGAGGCTTCCAAACAAACCGGACGCGACATCTACAATGTAGATCAGCTACGCGGACTACCAGCTGATCTGCTGCAGTATATTAACCAAGAAACTGTCACCACGGCACCCGTGGGTACATTTGGCTTCGGCCCCGGACCCGACAAGGACATTGTGACGGATATACCGCAGAAACTACTTTACCAAGGAAAATTCGACTCTACCGTTGACGTGAGTGACCTCCCCTCGCCTAGTATAAGCAAATATTTAATAACGTGCTACTAACGCCGCAAACTAGCTACTCATAAGCCACACATCCCATGAATCCGTACCCTTCCTGCCGAGCGGCATAAACACCGCGGCTGACGTGAAGGCATACGTACGAAATAACCTGCCGGCGGCCTCGAACACGACTATTAACATGCTGCTTACGGATCGGGGGCTGTACCCGGATGTACTAGGCGGCAAGTACCCATGGAAAACACAGGCTGGGCGAGCAGAGCGCCTGGCCTCCGATATCAGCTTCGCGTGCACGACGCAGTACCTATCGAGAGCGCGAGGCAATGACACGTTCAACCTTGTCTTCACGCACCCACCCGGCTGGCATGCTGACGACGTGCCGTACGTATTCTTCAACGGCGACACGAGCACGCCAGATAACATGTCCCCCGTCAGTGGACGCTTGGCAACGCAGCTGCAAGCTTACATCGTTGCATTTACTCGAACCGGAGACCCGAACGCGTCTGGTGGACCGTACTTCCCAAAGTACGGACGGAATTCGACGATACTAGAGTTGGGGTATAAAAGGTTTAGGAGATCGACAGATGATTTATGGGGTAAGAGATGCGCGTGGATCCAGCAGGCTATGGTTGACGGAAAGTTGTGATTTACGCTGAGTTCTGATTTCGGCGACTTTGACCGAGATACCCTCCCGTTGGAGATTTTTTCATTAGACCCTAGTCGCGATGTTGGAAGCATAGCCATCATCTGGGTAGCCGATATGGGCTTATTGCATAATTTATCTATATTGTTATTCCTTTAGGGGCAAGGGGTTGAAAAAGTGACCGTTGCATCCGGCAGTGTCTTGCAGTTTTTGACCTTTACATCATGTTGCTGGCTAATGTTTATGTATATTTGATCGGCCGTGCCATCATGTTCGAAATAGCCGGATGGGCATATAGGGTTCTCTGGTTTGTATTGGTGGTCCTCGTATTATACCTATTCCGGGTCAACCAGCTTCTAAGTCAGACACCAGATGAGGTCCGGCAACTGTCGGGTTCACGCTGGACGACAGATCAGCTGAACGAGACCTATAGGCAATTGCAAGAGAAGCCAATAGACTTTACTAATAAACTTCCGCCAAAACTAGAGCGTCGCTATGTTGTGACGGGAGGTTCGGGTAAGTGATTTTATTTTTAAGCCCCGGCTTTTGCTTGTAGAGAGTGCCGCTTAAAGCTTGAATTCCCTTCTACAGGGCTTGTGGGTGGTTTCATCGTGCTTCAGCTTCTAGCTCGTGGTAACCTACCGGAGAGCATTCGAATTATTGATATTCGGAAGACCGAGCGCAATGATATGCGCTCCGGACCGGCTACAGAGGTCGAATTTGTACAGACAGACATCACATCATCCGATTCCGTCGATGCTGCTTTTGCGCGTCCGTGGGATCCTAGCGTTGCTCATCTACCGCTGACAGTGTTCCACACTGCGGCGGTGATTCTAGCTTCCGAACGGTCTAAATTTCATTACGCATTCCCGGAAGCTGTCAACGTGATAGGAACAGAGAACGTGCTAGCGGCAGCCCGCAGAGCCGGTGCGGATATTTTTAGTTCCACATCATCCGGATCCATATCTATTCGTCCCGTCGAACCGTTTGTACTCCCATGGGCAAGCTCGCCGCGGAACTTTTGGCAAGTTCTGGACGTAGGCGACTTCAATTCGCCTTTGAAAGAACGCGAGGGGTACTTCGCCAACTACCCCGCTTCGAAAGCGGTCGCAGAAAGATTGGTTTGTGGTTCGAATAACGAGAACTTCCGCACCGGTTGCATTCGTCCTGCGAATGGCGTCTACGGACACCCGACAGATAATACCGTCGGGGACCCTCTTGGCAGAACGGTCTTACCTTGGTAGGTTCTCTGCCACCCAGTCTCGTTCAGTGTACTCTGCTTACACCAATATGAACAATGATAGTTGGGTGTCCCATATCGTACAGAGCTTTGTGCACGGCGCGAACGTATCCATCGCGCATCTACAGCACGAGGCGGCGCTTGCTCGGCCTTGGATAGAGAGCTCCAGACAGGCGGGCCGGCCATTCGTAGTAACAGATCCCAACCCACCAATCACGTACGGTGATCTGTATCACGCGATCGAGACTCTCTCAGTGCACCCATTTCGCATTATCAAGGTGCCACCCGTCGTCATGCTTCTCCTCTCGCATGTGGTAGAGATGTATACTGAATTACCTTATAAGTATCCGCTTTTACGCAAAGTGCTACCTGAACTTAAAGGTGATATTAAACACCTCAGGCCGGGGATTTTCTCGATATGTACTCATCTAATCGCATCGAATGACGAGATCAGGAAGCCGGTTTCTCAAGGTGGTTTGGGATATACCGGCGTACTCACTACGCTGGAGGGGATGACGTTGGAGATCCTAGAATGGAATAAAGAGCATGTCGATGATGTCAAGATGAGGAAGGCCTACACAACGTCAGTCTCCCTAGCAGAACAAATCCAGGAGCTCTGGTTAGGGCGAGGTGGTTCTGTCTCTAGTTGGCAATGATATGCGACCTCACCAATGCAATGACAAATGCGAACATACGCACTCATTCCATCGGTTTGCACAACTATTGAAGATATTTCTTATTATAATGATGAAGACAATTCAGCATATCCCATCCGTGCGGTGGCTCTGCCTGTGTCAAGTTTTGTGAGCAACACCAGCATTGCTGCCATTGATTATGCGCATATTGATCTACCTTAGGTAGGTAACCTACCTACCTACCTAACCTAGGAGGTAGGTTAGGCTATTAGGTGAGAGGTAGCTAACGCATAACCTGCAGTCCACAAATCGCAAGGTTCCGTGTTGACGTTTGCATTGTGCTTGCGATTATGTTATTTGCATTGCAACAGCATCCATTCTCGGAATAGATGTTCGAAGAATTGACGATTCCCAAGTGCAAGTAATCGGCCCCGAGGGGTCATATGCAATGGAAAGGGCTTGCATCATTTCAATTGGAGGTTTTCGTCATTTCTTTGTTGGTCTGCCCAAAGTTAGACATGGCATTGCATCGCATCGCATTGCATCGCATTGCATTGCGTGTTTCTGCCCCCTTTACTGGCTTTCGCAATTGGCTTTATTCTTTTTGCTCCGCCCTTTTCTTTATTAAAATAACTTTCGATTTGCGGTGGATAGGTAGAGATCCAAGATTCCGTCTCGCGATGTTCATAGGATCTTCGATCGCTCTAGATAACCCCGGATTCTTAAGTCGATGGGCGAGTTCGCAATTCGCAACCTTTCATCCCTCGCCAAGTCTTAAAAAAAAAAGGGACCCAACAAATCAAAGATGCCACCGATTTGAACGGTTCAAATGTTCAAATGGGGTTCAAATGGTACGCATTGGCCTATGGCTGAAACGTGGGTTCCCCTGCGTTGGTCTATGCAGGCCGCTTTATCCCAACGGGTAAGGCTCTATGCACGTTAGACAAGCTATGTAGGATAGGCTTATCAGGATAAACTAGGAGCGAACACGTGCTAGAACAATCTTGGTTCAGCCCCCGGGGGGTATGAATGCTCTGCTAATATTCCACTTATTCGCGTGCTTTTTAGTGGCTAGGTTAGTGGATAGCCTGGCTAGACATTCTGCAACGGTAGGGGGCCGAAGCCTAAAACCTTGCCTTTGGCTGCATTTAGCTGCGTCTTTAGCGAGCTTAGGTAAATCATAGCTGAACTTCCCCTTCCCATCTTACGGTCTTACCCTTACCATCTTCACTCGTTCCTGACCCTGTTGGTTCATTTCTATGCAAACTCTCTTTCCCCTGCTCAATAAATCGTCCTAACTCGTCTCTAATCTGCTCGCTTCTTTTTACTCTCTTCTTTTCCCCCCCAACCTCCAATTTCCATTCTTTTACTAGTCACTCATAAACCCGACTACATACCCGGTGAACACAGGACTGTTCCCTTTCGTTCGTTTATCACGAGTAGTTTCCGAATTGATCACAAAGATACATCGGTCGCTACTGTATACGCGCTCTTTCATACCACAAAGCTCACGACTGTACCTGTTAGAACACAATAGACATCAATTAAAATCAACCCAAGTTTGAATTGCGCCATTCACTCCTCAACATATTAGTTGTAATACCAATTGGATTGCAAAGAGTCAACGACACCACCGTGACGCACAAGAAATTTGCTTCGAGCAGAGTAACTAGGAACCCAATTTATCACAATGCCGAGCTTCATCGAAAAGATTCAAGCTAAACTTGAGCTATTCCGGCTCGAGCAGCGATACACGCGCAACCGCCATCGCCGCTCTGCTTTCATCAGCAATGCCATCTACGTCGATGGCGAGTACATCTACCAGACACCCAATACCACGGGATCATCTACCAATAGTTCCTCCACTACCACCTCGTCGCCAGTCGAAGAGCCCAATAGACGTCATAGTGCTATCGTCGAAGGGCCAAGAATCCGTTATAACATGGAACCCCAAACACCGGCGCAGAAGAAGCGATTAAACCGATTCTCGTCAATGCCGGGATTCGGCTCCTCGTCAAAGAGCAGCTCCCGTGACTGGAGACCTGACGTTGTCGACGTGAACGAAGTACGATGAACAACCAATGGGGGGATGCTCATCAAGATGACAACGATGGATGAAATTACATTAGGCCGGTGTACATGGGGTCATGAGCTGACTACCTAGGAATTGTTTGTGTTTGAATATACAAACTCAATGGGTGGTTTTAACTCGCCATAGAGCATCAACGACTTTGACGATTGCCCTTCGATTAGTGTTTGGTGTATAGCCAAGTGCTACGGTATCATAAAGATATCCTGATCGTGCGAAGGCTTTTGGATTCGGCGTTATGACACGATTTTTCAGCTGTATATATTTGCTCTCACGACAAGGGAAAATTGAATAATATTTCAAAGCTCATGACTAACGTTGGGTTTTTAGTCCCGCGGAATTAGAATTACGTACCTTTTAATCCATCATCTCCGTTCTAGCTGCTTAGACGCTACACATGACGATTCTATTGTAGTAGATCAAAAGTGACGTTGAAGGTTCTTCTAGAAAGGATCGTCAGGTTACTGCCGCGTTGCAACCCCCCAAGTACAAGTCAAAATATGATTGGACCCGGCTACAAGCGAGTTCATCCTTCTTACCGCATGTCGTTATCTGCCGGTACTATTTATACCCCTACTATTATATAGTGCCTCTTAATATATTCGAATCAAGGCTAATTATGACATTATCAATGGGCTCGAGAACTAAATTGCCCTTTGCCAGCAAGATAGGGATTTGGCCGATATTAGCTGCTCATGCTACCATGAACTTGCGATTCACACAATTGTTATTTCAGCCGATATTTAGATCAACGAGCAGTATTCTATGAGCTCACCTGCGTCATGGGACTATCCATCACGGCTTGTACTTGATGTATCATACCTACGACACATAATCCAACTGTACTTTAGACATTGGTCGCATCTGTGCGCCCATGTTCCAAGACACACCAGTAGCACCGACGATCTCAACGTGTAAATCTATATCTATTATATTCCAACCTGTGGTAGAATCTATCTATCCTGAAACCCAGTTCAAGTCGAGTGACGTACTCGGTGATATCCTCTCTGCATTCTTAACCTTCCACGGAATTGTTCACCAATCATCGGACCTCTTCGCTCGGACTGACCCTCTAGACATCAGTCTCGTTCAATGAGGACCTCATCCTAAGGTTTCCTCGTCGCAGGTGAAGACCTATAGGTTGCGATACGTTAACAATATTCGTTCCCTATATATAGGGGGAAAAAAAGGAATATACGGCAACTTACCAGAAGACCGTTTCTCGTTTGCGGCTTCGGAGAAGTTTCCATTCCTGCGGGTAACTACTGTAGTTCGCGTTAGCCAAACTCATCTATTCATCACGATATCTTACAAATGTGTACCTAAAGAGCCGGCCACATTCTCCGTAGAATTCATACCCCTTGGGATCGCTATTTCTTCCAGTTAGCCCAAAGCTACCTATCAATACTACTCAAACGACTGAGACACGTACCTAATAACTTGGCCGCATTTTCTGTGTTGTTTGACCTAGTTCCGACTACAACTCTGGGTGCTAAATATTGTTAGCTAGGATTCAGACTGTAGATAATACGATAGTTATCATACCGAGTTCCAGTGCCCGAGCCGCAATGCTGGCAGCTATATGATCAGTTAGCGAACCTATTCAAGCAGTTCCTCGAGGACCTTTTATTTCAATAGTTTAAAACATACGTTCAGCCGAAACAGCTCGCCTCTCACTTTTGAATGCTGGCGTGCCCGTCACGAAAGAGCCGGCAGAGGCCAAGAGGAAAAGGATCGCGCCAAAGTTCTTCATGGTGTTTGACTATGCGGGAGCGACAGAAAACTGGATTCGATGTTGAGCTGTGGACTACCTGGTCCAGAAAATAAACTGGATCAGACCGAGTTAGCAATAGAAGAGCGTAATAAGCAGCCTTGTAAAACTCACATTGAACTGGTGTCTAGTTACGAAACACGGGAAGACAACAAGTAGAATAGAATATGTTGAGAGATGTATAGTACGTAGGCTATCACAGAGGATTACTGGAAGATAATATATATGCTTGATAGGGGGTACCACAACCTCCTAACCTAGATGGATAAACAGTTCACACAAACATATTGCGATCGCCCGTCCCCTCAGCACGTCTGGTATGGTCGTTGGGATGGGTGATTCCGGGATTCGGTCAGACCAGACCCTCTTATTATGAGAACACCGGGTCTCCTAGGTCGCGTCGACTTGGCTACCGTGAAGCGTTTCGAGGTTCTCCCAGCCGCACAGCTTCTACCGCCGTGTCCCTGTCCTCGCAACCACGTACCTATCACAGATACGTGTGCGAGAGCTACATACATACCTACCTACTGTTCCTCCACCAGGACTCGCCGCAGCGAGCACCTTCGCTACGCCTGGCGGTGCGACCCTTACACTATGTAGGCGCTCGACTCACGGCGGACAAGCCAAATCCGCACAGCTCGTTGGCTTGTAGCGGTCGCACATCAAACCGGTCCGATCCACAGGCTAGAAAGTCCGGATACCTAACGGTTAGTGATTGACGGCGTGTGGGAATCGAATGGGTGGAGCTGCGACGTGATCGGCTGGCTTATCATCGCCGATCGCCCTCACTGGCGGTCGCTTTCAGCCTCTCACCTCCTCCTGCCCCTGATTCACATGTCAGCGATCTTCCAATCAGAACGGTGCAAGTCTACAAAGGGCAAGGCTGGGAATATGGCTCTACATAGATACCTAGGTAGGTTAGGTACTAATGGGTATTGGTTGAGTAATTGGCGGTAAGAACTTCCCTTACTTTGGCCATTTGAGATACACACGACATCAAGACACATACATACCTAGGTTAGTTACTTCCTAATAACTAACCTAGATATATACGAATAAGAATAATAGCTGTTCCTTTCTCAAAGGTCAATAGTACGGCCGGCGCCTCTATGTATCACGAAGCGTTCAGAGACCATGATAAAACGCCTATCATATTGCATTCTGAAGAAAAAGTCTCAGCCCTACGCAACCGTGCTGATGATACAGTGATGGGCAAGCAAATATGGACCATGACGTCAGAGCCATCTTCGTTTCTATGTAATCTCGTTTGCGGAACGGCGGGACTGAGACATTTACTGTTAAAGATGGCTGGCTTAGCCGGGGCTCATGTCTCTCATGAAAGAAATTTATCGATATCTGATCTTTCCTTTCACCCAGTTATGAAGCCAATAAAAAAACCCTTAAACTGCTGGTTAATATCTGATCTTTGGATGAGTCTGATCTTGACTACATATTGAGATGGATCTTAAGTGTTAATTTTATATTAAGCCTCGGCTGCCCGCCTACCTTGGATCAGGCCTTGCGATACTTTGGGCGTGTTAAATGGCCAATAAAGGGGCGACACCCATCATCAATCATCGTAACTTGGTCGAGTACATTTAAATAACACCAGGCCGACCCTCGAAACTAAACTGCTAAATCATCATATTGAGCACATGAACTATCACATGAACTATCTACGATGTTTTGCTGAGTGGTTATAGACTACAAATAGATTGACAGTAGAGGATATATTATGTCGCCGCGCATCTGGGTGATATATGTCGATGCAGTCACATCATTCCTAGTATGCAGTCGGCTTGGTGGAAGAAGCCAGTTGCAATACTTGGATTACCGTATGATCTTACTACCAGCTATCACGAGATGACTTTTAGCTGTGCTGAGCTTACAGTACACCTGAACTTCGTCTAATTCACAAAGAATACTAGGTCGAGAATAATTCATTATTCAACAGTCCAGAAGTGTTTTGTTCATTAATTCGACTCGAAATCCGGCCCCTGCAGGAGCAAACAGAAAAGCCCCCCCACGATTATATTCCCATTTCGTCCATTAGTCACGTAACCGTCCGAACATCCTTGCTTCTGAGACATGCCTCTAAACAGATCTCGTCCGATCTCCGGTTGATATCCATACACCCCCAGCGAGCTCGTTGAAGCCTATCAAGGAAGGTGATATACCAGCTCAGGTCCTGGTAATTTTCTATAGTCATACGGAAGAGTTTAGAAAGTACATTGGGATCTTAGAGTAACAGAAGAATCCCGTAACAGCACGAGCGTAAATAGTATTGGAATCTTATCTATAGTTACCCATAGTTATCAGCTCTAGACGAATTACCATTCTGGAAGAGAACTCTACATTATATTTCCTGTCGTGTTTCTAGGTTAGTGTATAAGCGTTCGTTACAATTTCAGCTCGAATTAATATCAGTTATAGATTTGAATTGCTCCACCTAGGTACTTTAACTCATTAAGTATGACGAAGCTATTTCCTAAAATCAAAATCCCTTTCAGATCTAGGAAAGACGGACTATACAATTGGAAGGTTAAGTTGTGCTTCAGTAGAATGAACGATTGCTCGCTCATACATGCCCCACCACAATACATAAAATATCCAACAAACTTCAGCATGATTATCTCTTCAACTCAATGACTTCTTCCATTTGCTCCTTAAAATTTATAATACAAAGTGTTTACAAACCTAGGTACGCACTCACCGCACGTACGGGGGCTCAAGCCACAACATCCAAAAAAACAAAACCTCCGTCGCGTTCGGAGACAAAAGGGGCGTGGCCCTAGTGCGGGGCTCTCTACCTCCTTTTATCTCCATAGTCCGAAGCCGAAAGCCTGAGCCTGAGCCTGAAAGCATCGCGAGATACTTAGGTTAGGTAGTTAGGGAGGCCATTACCAAGAGAACAAATACGGTATATATAAGTAGGTTGTGCAACGAGTCTTTGGTAACTAGAAGAAGAAGAAGAGACTACTATCAATCTGCAAATTCCGAGATTTCCAAAGTCCTTGTTGCAAATGGCCCCGCTCTACAAGAAAACCCTCGTCATCGGCGCCACGTCCGGCATTGGCGAGGCCCTCGCCGCGAGACTGCATGCCGAGGGTACTTGTGTCATTGTTACCGGCCGCCGCAAGCATCGTCTCGATGCGTTTGTCGCGAAGCACCCCGGATCCAGCGGTGTCGTAGTCGACATCACCAAATTCGACGACATCCCGTCCTTCGTCGCCTCCGTCACGCAGCAGCACCCTGATATCGACAGCGTGGTGCTCAACGCCGGCATCCAGCGGCCGTTCAACTTCGCCAAGCCCGAGACCGTAGACCTGTCTACCTTCGCGGAGGAGTTCAACACTAACTACGTGTCTTTCGTGCACTTGGTTAAGGCCTTCCTGCCGCACTTACAGCGCGTGTCCAAGGATGCCGAGGATGCCGAGGCGCATTTGGTATTTATAAACGCCTCGCTGGCGCTTGTACCGACGTGTATGTACTTACAGGCTCCCTTCCCTCTCTGAACCCTTATCATATGAGTTTAAGTCTTCGGGGACACGACTTCAGCATTCAAGCCTATCTCCCTAACATTTACTCACCCCACTGCTCTAGTAACCCGTACACCCGGGTATAACGCCAGCAAGGCAGCACTTCACTCATTCATCGTGAATGTGCGACAGCAAATCAAAGACGCTGGTTATAAGATCCGCTTTGTCGAAGTGTTCCCTCCCGCGGTGCAGACAGAAATCCATGACACGAAGCACCAACCGGACATGATAAACGGCCACGAGATAGGTATGCCCCTTGGCCTTTACACCGAGCGGATGTACGAGGGCCTGCAGAAGGGTGATGAGCAGTTTGCTATCGGGCACGCAGAGGAGTATGTATACCTACTACTTCCCTTCCCTTCTCTTCGTAGGAAGTTATACTTACCTGTTCCTAACCTGTCATAGATGGCTCAATGAGGACGGCTTCGAGGCTACGCGGGCGAAGCTATTCGAGCAAGGTCATGTCACCATCAAGGGGGCCCTGGCAAAGTATGTAAAGAGTGCATAGTAGATAGTATTCTACTTCTGCCTATACGTTAGTTACATGGTCTATAAACTCAATAACATGCACATGTAACCATGTTATACTTTATAGTTTAGCTATCATCATTATGCAGTACCCCGTGTAACGCCTGTTCTAGAAACCAACCCTGAACGTCTCATTGTAGTGTAATTCTAATAGACAGGAAGCGACTATTAGGTATTACCCGTTAAAACCCAAGCGGGTCCAACCGGTCTGCTGCGGCGCGGACCTTCCTCGTGAGATCGTCAAGCTATAAAGTGAGTTAGTCGATTCAAAGTCCTCTATGTCCTAGATGTGTTATAATAGTAGGCAGATATCAGATTGGAACTTACATAATCAAAATTAAAAATGGAAAAGTGGTGACCTTCTATATCCACAATATCTTTAATGAAGCTACCGTGTTCCTCGTTGTAATTACTCCAGCCCAAAAGTCGTTCTTCGCGCGTGAAATCGACGAAGCTCTTGGACGGGTCGCGGTTGAACCACTCTTTTGCTCGTAGGAGGATGGTTGGCGGTGCCTGCAGCCCATCCTCCCAGCGTGGTAAATTCCAGAATGACACCATGATGCGGGCGTGTGTCATGTTCACGTTGACTTTCTCTTTCAGTTTCATGGCCTCCGACTCGTGGGCTGATAACACTACGGGCTCAGACGGTAGCCGCGCCCGCATCTCGGCCGAGTAGCTTGGGCAGAGGCTATCGAGGAAGACCATGCCTTTAACCCGAAACTTAGCCCCCGTACCACCGTCGCGCCTCGCTACGGCAATCCGGTGCGCCATCTCGAGGGATAAGAGCCCCCCCAGTGACCAACCTGAGGTTCATGTTAATATATGCCTACGAATATTTAATATTGTCGGTAAGTAGATACGTACCTCCGAGGAGGATGTCGCCGCCCTCGGGGATAGCCTTAGAAAGAAGTCCAACATAGTAGGTAGCCATCTGAGGGATACCACCTTCCCACCAGCCGCCTTCGTGGAGCCTAGCGTTCGCGAGACCCCATAGCGGGCGGCCAATCTGGTTCAGTAGATGGTAGTTGAAATTGGTGCCACCACCGTCGTGGATCAAGATCAGCGGGGCACGCGGCAGCGCCGGTCCCTGGTAAATCAGTGCCGGGTTCGGGAGGTAATCGTGCATAGATAGTGGTGGTGACGGATTCCAGCCGATTCAGACTTATGTGAAATAAATGAATGGATGCTCTGCTCGAATTAATTGTCGCTTCACGGCTAAGCAAGACAAGAATCGATCAGTTTCCCCAATTCTATTCCTTTCCTGCCAATTCCTTCGTATTAATTTCGTTGTTGAGCTCGCATCCCACGTGCTTGCTTGCATGCGGGAATTTGAAGCTGATCTGATGAGGTGAGAGTGAAGCGAGGATAATTAAAGTCAACGCCGGTCGTGTACCAGATTTCACGAGTGATGTTGAATCCGCAGTTAGCCAAGCACCGAGTAGGGTTCCTGATTCCAAAGCGTACAAAGGAAGACCAGCCGTTCCTTGAATGTGTAACAAACTAGGTACCTAAGGTTAAAAGTTCAGTTTGGGTGTTGAGAAGATAGTGGAGTTGATTAATGCCCAGTCCTGGTGGCTTACCTGAATAGACCTAACCTTACTAAGGTATGTATTGTACCTGCCGCCAATTGAAGCACTTTAGGTACCTCTTAAGGCAGTAGGTATGCACCTGGGCAGCTTCAGTAGCGGGCGTTCTTTCATTTCTTTACTTTGCTTCCACATGTACAATTCGTAGGGCAACGCTCATTGGATCCAACTCATGCAGTGTTACCCCCCTTATCTCTCGCAATCTATCTGTTTATATGCATAAGAGCTACGATATATCTATTAAACGCATATCAGTATGAAAACTACAGGTACCTCGGTTAACGCATTCTCAACATCTTCAATCAGGGTTTCCACCTATAAGCTCAACAACAGCTGCCACTGTTATGCATTACTTGTACTGTCTACGCAAGCTCGCCGCACCCTAACGTAGACAGTACAAGTAACAAGAAATCGTGAGGGCTAGATGGTGTAACCTCTTATGCCACCCTCGCAAATCAGTTGATATATATCAAGTCAACGTGGTAATATGAGCATTTACAAGTTCAAGACGCGAAAGACGCATCTTACATCTATGTGACATTCCACAAGATCCGCATCTCCCCTACTGCTGCTCAAAATCCGATGGCCGCAATAGCTGGTTGTCCAACAGCTTCCCCATATGTGTCTTCTCAATGCTCTCGCAGTTGCGTCGGATCTTGGTGTGGAGGATCTTAAAAAACGCCACTGGGCTGCTCTTCAGGCCCGACTCTCCACCAACCCTACCCGTACTGTCTTTGGCTATGAACCCGTCTGCAGCAATCTCTTCACCCTCCCTGGGCGTACTGCAGCTAATGCCTAGGAACCGACATGCGTCCACATATTGCTCATACGAGTCAAAATAGAGTTGTCCGGCGAACAGGTTCAGTTCCGTAATAAGGCTTTGGGGCACCTTGCGCGACGCTAGCCTCTCGGGTACCGTATATAAGTCAAGCTTGTCAAGCTTGCAATAGCCCAGATTGGCCCTAGGCGCATACAGGTGTAAGGCAACAGCTTTGGATTTCATTATCATTGGTAACAGTACCTGTGCCTCGTGTGGGCTAATGACCATCATGTGTTCGACGAGCGTATCCGTAGAGTCCTCATCGCTAGGAGGTGCTCCCGTTAAGATCCATTGAATGGTACGTTGGTATGAATCTAAGTAATCCGAAGCGCCGCCTCGTTTGATAGTGTTTGCAAATTCATTCGACACAAGTAACCCAGGACGGAATTGGGACACGTCGAAACGGGCCCCCGCCGAAGTATTGCGCAGGGCTAAAAATGCAGGCATGTATCCTGCAGACCTTTCGATGATCATACCAGAGTCAATGAATTCCTTGATATCTTTGTGGATTGTATGGATAGCTGGTACTGCTTCGGGAGGCCTCTGATCTTGCCGCTCCTGTTCAATCTCCGGCGATAACTCGCGTTCTTCCTCTTCTTGAAGCTCTGCTGAATTGAGCTTTAGATTTTTGAACTCATTGCATCGTAAAGAGATCAAGTCCGTAGTGTCCGTACCCGCCACTTGCGAAGGCGTAATTGCATCACTGTCGGGGCGAGGCCGATACCTGTAGTCTAGTGTCTTCGCCTCCTCTTCAAGATATTTATCGGCGAGGCCTCTAGTAAGATTGACCTTGCCGCCAGAACGGGCCTCTGCCCATATATTCCTATGGTTTTCGTTGCGCCGGCCCTGGTTTGCCCACAATGCCATACTCCTATGGATGTCTCTCCATGTCTCACCGATTGACCAGGCCAGAATATCCAAGACTGAGATATCCTGGTCGGCAGGAAGTCCGATATCAGCCCTATGCGCCCGGATCTTTCTTTGGACTTCGTCAGGGACGCAAAATACTACCGACTGTCCCTCTGCTAGCATTCTCATCCGCATACAAGCTGATACGCGTCAGTTTGCATAATGGTATAACAGTAAGGCGTCGGGTTGACTCACCTTGTACTAGCCTATCTTTCGTTAAATTTGCTCCCAACGTGACAGCTGCACGGTAATCCTTTGGCAACTTCAGGTCGGTGCCTCTCGTGTGCTATAATAATCAAAGTTAGTAATCACTTCTTTTAAATAAATATTATAAAAGTTTGTGGCATTTTCGGTCAGTTCGATCAACAACCCCTGACACCTAAAAGAGGTTAACAAAAAAGGAGAAAGAACTGTAAATACATACCGCTTCATCTAAGAAAACAACACACATATCCAGTTGCGACGCAAATGGCGATGTATGGAGAGGCTCGAGATGGCCCTTTCTGTCTAGAACATAAAGTTCGTCATGGTCGTCAACGAAGATGGCTGCTTGAATGTTATTATCGTCTGAGGTCTTATATAACCATGTTCTCGCTACTTCGAAGTTATTTAGCTCAAGTATCTGAGCTCCCACGTCTAGGATGACTCGTGTTGGCGGATCGAGCTTTGTAATGATATTCAATAGCATCTCGGCGACTGAATTATCGCTCTCCTGGCGCGGCGGCAGGAGCGTAACAGAGTTCTTGGAATGGAGTAAATTCTCTAGGACCAAGGCGTTTGTGTGCTTCTGGTCCTCGAGGTCTAGCTGCTCAACATCAAGTGGTAGTACCTGGCGAGAGTCGTTTGTGCCGCTAAATCCTGTTGTTGGGTGAGTCTTGACTTCGCCTATATCCCAACCCGAAGCAGAAAGCCTGTGCGAGAACTCCTTCATTTCCTTTGGGAAGACTATGCGCGCTAGAAAATAATCTATGACACCTTTGGCATGCCGGAAAGAGTTAAATAGGGATTGTGTACATTCTGCATCTTCGAGATTAATGCCCACCAAAGTTTTGGAGGTATCAGATAGATTCTCTGCATCTTTTACCCATACCCCGAACTCCTGATCGGCCTGGTCAGACCTAAGGAGGTGTTTGAAGGTTTGCAATAGGTCTTCGTATTCGAGGCCGCCATAGTAATAACTCAAAGAGGTGAGGATGATAACAACATCCGGATGACTGAATTCAGACCGCAGCGAGGGGCTATCTTTAGCTCTGTATGGCACCGCGAGTTTAGTGCTTGGCTGTCTGTTTGAGTCAAGGCCATAGTCAACTCTCCATCTCTTATGCCCAAATGCGAAGCCTAGTACGCCTCCGGCTATAAGACCTCGCAAGAGGAGCAAAGTTTGGCTAGCACGCGTCCAGAATCCCTTCAGGCCAGGGTCTTCAACAAGCGCAATGTCGGTAGCAGCAGGTTGGACCTCAGTGATGTATCTTATTATTGCTTGACGGACATGTTTCTGTTGTCTTGTAATTGGAAAGCCGTTGAGGCCTGTTGCACAAATACGCTCCGTGACCCGAGAGAGGATCTGGTCGGCAGCATCTAGTTGCAAAATACGAGTACGTGGGAAACATCCGGGATACTGGGAATGGACCTCCAGCGCACCGGAGAGGTCAGTGCGAACTTCCAAGATGACTTCTCTAACTACGTCTAGGACCTGATGGATACACACCCATCTTTCGGGGCTGTATTCGGTTGGACGTTGTGTGCCCATTGTATAGACCAACTCGAATTTGACGCTAAAGTTTTCATCGCTCTCATCGACGATATCACGAGTATTCGTATTAAGGTATTCTTGACTTTGTACCAAAGCACGACCGATATGTTCCTTTCCCGTTAGGATACACTCAATACCCATAAGCTTGAAAGACAGGACGTGTTCGGGCTGCATTAAAAATATACCTCCATTGGTCTTGCAGGCTTCGAACATGTCTCTCATCGCAAGTATTTCGGGGTTTTCGACTTTAACGGCGCGAGAGAATGGCAAGTGAAAGATCTGTCGGTCCAGCAAACCCCCAAGCTTAGAGATAAGCATTTGGTACATTTGCCTCGACTGCGGTTTTCCAACAATTACCCGGACTAAACGAGAACCATCTGCGAGAGCTGTTGCGACCATGGGTACGATGACAGATGACTTCCCTTCTCCCATGTTTAACTGCATGACGGCATTCTTACCCCCTTCGGGGCTCCTCATATTCTTGGCTATTTGCTCCTGAACTGGACGGATCATAAGGTCGCCCTCTATTTCCAAGAGCAGAGACTCTGGTTGATCTCGTGGTTGCCAGTTCATATGGCCAGGATTTCGCAGTTCGCTTACTAGGACAGAAGGATTATGAACTGCCCTTAACAAACGGTCTGCTCGCTGTAACTGAGAAATAGTTATGCCGTAATGAATTATACAGGTTTTCCAGTCTTCAGGTAGCTTCTGCCACTTACTACGACAGAGACGTTGCAAGAAGAAGCTTGGTGACAGTCTTGGCCATTGGTGAGTTGAAGATAAGAGAGCTCGTAAAGTACTCCGTTTGCCTCCTTGATGGGACATAACAGATTCTTCTATAGCCCTATAATTCTTTTCAACTACTTCTTGGCAACTATCGCGATGGCGAACGAGAAGTTCTTCAAGCTCTTGTACACCTTTCGTCAGGCGGTACTCCTTCCTCCAGCCCTGTAGTGACTGCGTGCTATTCTTAAGGTCTGATACGTAGCGTCTGTCGTATCTAGATTGGACTTGTTTGTCTAACCTCGACAGCAAAAAAGGAAGCTGCGGCGCTTCGTTACTATCATTGTTAGTCAGGGATATGCTTTGTGTAATATCAGTACACAGTAGCATAAGAGGAGCTGGGAGGGTGAATATTTCGTCGTTGCTAGTAAAACCAGGTTTCCTCGTACAATTCCAAGGGGGGATAGTTGGAGAGAATCGAGAAATCCTATTTGGAATAACATGCGGAGGAATGTTGCCACCGATCTGGTTAAGATAATTCTTAAGCAGACGGTTGTGATAACGTGGCCTGAATAATTCTGTTACTTTAGTCATGGCCAAATCCACATTTATGTATTTCCACCATTCCACAGAGCCCGTGCAGTAGGGGGAAGTCGGGTTCTCACAGGGCCATTGGGTTTCTAGTTTACCACAAAAAGTTCTGACCGCTTCAGTTTTTTTGTTCTGAAATGTCTGAGACTGTCGGGCCCTAAAGGCGGACGAGCT